CCTCTGCCACTTTTGCATTTCATCAACTGTATTTCTACACTCCTTTCGTCATCGTCCACCCTTCCCACCCCCTCGCGCAAGCATCTTTTTGCACACGTCCCACGCTCTCTTGCTAATACCACACTGTGTTCACCCTCGTTCAACGCACGATGCGAATTCACTTCAACCTCTCACAGCACATCCTCTCGAGCACGTGTCGCAATCGGGGTTTCGCAGGATTAAATTAATGAGCACGGAGCGGAGCTAGAGCTGAACGGCAGCACGGCTAATGTACAAACGCAGACACGGAGCAAGGAGCGAGAAACGTAGAGTCGCGATCAGGCCACCAGCGAGGCGAGCAGGCCGGGCCAGTCCATGCCGGCTTCGGCCTTGACATGGTGGCCCGCAGCCAGCATGCTAGACGCATCGAGCGCCGCGCTGTCGTCTTGGATGTGAAGCTGCATCGGCTCTTCGATCTCAATGTCGAGGTCGACCAGGTCAAACGGCGACGAGCCCACGCTGCCCTCCGAGTGCGACGACGCATCCGTGGTGGCGAGGCTCGTGTCGGCGCTGTCCGCCTCCGCATCTTGCGCCTTGCCGTAGATGTCCTCGAGCATCGCGTCGGTGGCAAGCTCCCACACGCTCCTCTCGCTGGGCAGCAGGGCAGAGTTGAGCAGAGCGAACCGCTGCTGCGCGTCTTGCTCCTTGCTGCCGTCGATGTCGGTCGGGGCCAAGCTGATCGTGTTGAACTTGAACGGGTCGCCGTGGCTCATGTCGCTGGCCGTGCTCGCGTCGTGCGCACCCGCAAAGACGGTGCTCAGGCCTGCGAGGCCACCTGCAGCGGCTTCTGCTGATCGCAGAGCGCCGCCTGCTGCTGCTGCTGCATGCACCTCGCCCACAGATACAAATGGAGTCGAGGCGGCAGGCGCCGAGGCACCTTGATCTTGAGCCGCAGCCGCCGCGTCACTGTTGGCGAACTTGGCGTCGAGGTCGATAAAGTGGGAGAGGATAGCTTCAGCTTCAACGGCAGCGCGGCTTGCCTTCGCTTCGGCGGCAGGCTCACACAGAGCGCTGCGGGAGTCGGCCGCGATCGACGACGGCTGCTCTGCGGCGGAGACGCTAATCTGGTTGGCGAGCGGGTATCCTTGTGCGACGATGCTGCTGCCGTTGGCATCGACATTGCTTCCGACCTTGGGCACGGCAGAGGCTCCGTTGCCAGCGACACCGTCGAACGGAGTGAAGACGTCCGCTGCTGGGACTGCTCGAGCTCGGCATCTCGGTCAAGAGATGGTGCGTCAGAGCAGGTCGCCTCCGCTGCAGGGAGGCGAACGTCTTCGTTCGAGGATTGCTGGGCAGGAGTGCCGGGCGAAAGGGTAGAGGAAGCGGTCGATGCCGGCGCTGCAATCGGCACGGACAAGGAACCATCTCGCGAGGCCAGACCGGCGTTCTGCAGAAGTGCAGACGCGAGATCGGCGGACGACTCTGCAGCAAGCTGCGGAGCCGTCGACGAAGTGGAGGAGGCGGCGTTAGCCGATGAAGCGGAAGGGAGGGAGACAGAGGATGATGATGACGACGACGACATGAGTAGCGGAACAAGGGACGGGGCGACGGTGCGGAGGATGGTCTCGAGCGTGTGTACACGGATCTGAGCTTCTTTGAGCTTGGACTCGAGGGACTGGCGGACGAGCTGATCTTGGTCACGCTGTTGGCGAAGGAGGGTGTTCTCGGTCTTGAGCGCGTTGATGGAGCCTTCGAGCTGCTCCATATAAGCCTTCTTGCGTTCGCGCGAGTACTGTGCGGAGAGACGGTTTCGGGCTTGACGGGCTTCGAGACGAGCCTTGCGCTCCTCGTCGCTGGCCTTTCTGCGACCGCCAGTGTTGGCAGCCTTTGAGGGAGAGTTGGAAGCGGACGAGGATTCGTCCAGGTCGTTCTCTTCGTCGTCGTCGTCCTCGTCGTCGTGGGACTCGTCCATCTTGCGCTTCTTTGCGCTCGATGTCGAATCGGGGAGACGAGAGGAGGATGGCGTCGCTGACGACGACGACGACGGGGCCGTGGGCGCGGCAAGGGATGATGGCGATGCAACTACAGCCGACATGGTGAGGTGGTTGTGTTGGTGGTGATGACGATGACAGGGAACGTTTGGTCGGGTCGATGAGTTGGAAGAACGAACGACGACACGAGAGGATGCTCTCCAGCGCTCAGCGAAGAGGAGGAGATGGCCTAGAGGAGGAGGTGGCGCGATGAGTTGTTGGAAGGGTGACGACGTGGAAGGAAGAGGAGAGTAGGGACCCTAGGCGTTGAAGCAGAGGGGGCGGCAGAGAGATGCAGTGTTCGATGGTGGTTGATTACAGTCGCTCTGCCAGAGAGGAAGGTGAATACGTGGAAGGTTGAGGGCGGCGCGGTCGAGAAGGAGGAGGGGGAGGAGACGGGTGGTGGTGGTAGAGAGGTGTGTTGGACGTGGCTGAGTTGCGGGGGATTTGGGGATGCGTGCAGTCGAGCCAGAGTGAGCTGGAGCCCGAGTGAGCGGGGCTGCGAGTGCCACGTCGACAGCTGCGCCCGCCCTGCATGCGTGCGGGACCCTCGGGCTGTGCTGCTCCGCACCCATGGATCGACGTGGAAGCCTCTGCCGAAAATTAGGCTTTTCTCGCGCGAGTCCTTTGACAGATCGCCGATTCCACGAGTGTGAGATCGTCAGTAACATTCCGGCTGCATTTTCGCAGATTTTTTGGCGCGGCTTCACTGCAAGATGATGCTGCTCTGCTTCCACCAAATTTCTCAGGCCTGTGTGCGACAGCGGCGATGCGCGCGGCAAGCTCGGATGCTGACAACCGGGGCCCTGGACCCTGCACGCAATGTTTTGGCTGCTCAGCGTCGATGCTTCCAGCTGCTGATATCGACACTTCGTCTTATGCCGCCATCTGCTTTTGCGAGCGTAGCAACTGGCTGTCAACATCTCTGGATTGCAGAAGAAACGGCATTGCACAGAACTACAAATGGAGGCTGCGTAGCCTGCCAGGCCTCGCCATGATCAAGATGCAACGACCCACCCTGCCAAGGGTGTACAGTGGGGCGCGGAATGCGCTCTTTGACGATGTGCAAGATATGCTGCGCACAGAGCATGCCGAGGCTTCAGCTCCGCCTCCGCCTTTTGTCGTCGCCGGCTCCGCTGCCGCCCTCACTACGGCTGCTACTCTCGCTCTGGCCCAAGCGAATGCAGGCAGCAATGCCGCTTCCGAGTGCGGGGTGCCTGCATATGCACCACCGCTTCGTCAGCGCGTCATCGGCTTCTACGAGAGACACACCGAACTCACCGACACTCTCGAATCTCTGGGAGATGTAGCTGCCAGCCTTGACGCGGTGCAGCACGATATCTTTGCCATCACAGGCAAGGTCAAGAGTCAGGAAGTGCGGCTCAAGACCTTGCAAGCTGTGTCGAGCGAGAAGCGCCAAGCGCACGCCAAGATGGGCAGCACACTCGCCAAGCGCATCATGAACAAGCGCGGAAGCCGATCGCGGCTGCTCGTCCAAGCATACGACGAGGCCGAACAGGCCGCAGCCCAACAAGCCGCTCACGAAGCGGAACTCGAGAAGAACAGAGCAGCGCTAGCCTCGAAGATCACTGCTAAGAGCCGGCTCGAAGGGGACTTGGTCGAATACACACGCGTAGCCAAAGAGCTCGACGAGATCGACAGCACGTTGTTCGATGGCGTCACGCCCGAATTCCCCACGGAGGACGTGGCCGAGTTCGAGGTCAAGGTGTGGACGCAAGTCCAAATCTTCATGCAAGCCGAAACCAACCGCGAGAAGCGCGCGCGACAGATGCTCAAAGAAGCCTCGCCGCTGCTCGTCTCTGTGCTCAAAGACGTTCAAAAGGCGCTGCAGTTCTGCATCGAATCAGGCGTGGCGTCCAACAAAAAGTACACGCGGGAGCTCACGACGAACAATTCGTCTCGGTCGACGGTGCGTGCCACGCAGCCGCTGGTGCTGCGTGCCAAGACGAGCTCAGGCAAGCTCTTCACCACGCTCGCCAAAGCGAGGGGCAGCCAGATGCTCGTGGGTCGTCCGCCCGACTTTCGGCTGATCGAGCTGCACCTCATGCCGGGCAGCAAGAATGCCAACGCGGTCGACGAGCGCGGCCTGCACAAGTCGCTCGAGACGTCGTATGCGCAGGCAAAGGCGCTCGACTCCTATCTCAAACGCGAGATCGCCACCAGCCTCGAGCGGCAGAAGAAGCTCACTGCCGAGACTGTCAAGCTGCAGAGCACGGTCAAGCAGGCCATGGGGCATCTGCGAAGCGTCCGTCGCGGCATTGTCATGGCGGTTTTTCGAGAAGAAAGTTGGAGGCAGGGACAAGCGACTGGCGCTTCACAGTCGGAAGTCGGAATGGGCAGTGAGGAGCTAGCGGCGAAGAATGCAAAGAACCCGATGATCTCCAAGCATCTCAACGAAGACTTGCGCAAGGAGGCACTCGTGCGCCTGCGCAGGCTCGTCGCCCTACCCGATCCTGAGTCGGACGACGACAATCTGTACCCCATGATCGCCTGATGATAGCCACCAGCAACGCAGACTTGCACGGAGACATCCGCACCTGCAAATATCATACCCCGCGTGACCATCATCCGTACCAAGACACTCGGCTCGAGCGCTTCCAGCACGAGGAGTATGGTGAGCTGTTTGAGATGATGCGAGGGGGATAAGCGGCTCGACTCGCTCGACCAGCGCTGTTGGTTTGTGCATGTGCCTTGTGCCTGCATGAATCGGCGGGGCTGGTCGTACCCCCGCATTTTCGTGGATCGTCAGGGCGAGACCAGAACTTATTCGCGATCCCCACCAAACTGCCGGCTGTGCGAGATACCGACGCAAGCTTCCCCGCGAGCTCACCCGATGGAAAGCCTGTTTAATCCGCACCCCCAACCATCTGGCAGAGCGGGGTACGACGGGGCCCCGCATTTTCGTGGATGCAGGAATCTCGACCACCATGGACCATGGTGCGCGGACGTGCATCGGAACCCGCTTGCCGCAACGGGGACGGCTCGGGTAATCCGTTAAGCCTGATCGTACGCAGGGGGACGTCGAGGCGATCCTGAATCGTCTTTGCAGTCGCCGACATCTCGCTAACGATGTGAATCAAGGGCTTGACGCCAACTCTGCACGGAGTCCGTGATGAGGGATCCGGTTTGAAATTCAGCTGGAGGCTGCCCATCTTGCACCGTTTAGCCGAAAGCAGAGCAGCGTCCCAGCATGCAGTCGTTGCGAAGAGCGAGCGCTACGACTGGCATAGAGACTCAGGAGAGGCCGATACAGTACTGCAAGGCAAGACGTTGATCTGCGTTTGGTATTGCCGAAGCAGCGACGCAACTCAACAATCGTACCTGTCTCTCTAGGTATGAATGGATTCGCCGAAGAGGATCGAGGCTGACACACAGGCGAGGGGATGGAGCCACGCTGCCAAGTCGAGTGGGGGCACCAACGCCAAGGACTCGCTTCCTCCACCTCGCAGTGAGAGCCCGGCAGCCTGTGCAGCGCACAAGGCATTGTTGACCGGTGCGAGGAGGCAAGGAACGAGAGTGACAGGCCCCAGGCCTAAGTTACGACTGGTGCGGGTAAGTTGGAGCAGCGCCAAGAACTCCGAGGTGCATGATTTCAGACTGCGCCGACGCTTTTGCCTGTCGACGCGCGTCGACCCTGTGCGACACTCTGGCGGCGCTTTTCGACACGGCGTTCGAGCGGTTTCGTTCTGTTTGCTCGAACAGAGGCGCCAGGCCTGGACCCCACCCCGCTCCAAGGCAAGGCCGTTTGGGCGATTTCCAATTTTGGCCTTTTTCCGCATCGCCTGCTGCAACGTGGCCAGCCTCGGATGTGGGGTTGACAAGCACGTCAGTCGTGCCCAGAAGCTCGCGTGGATTTGGGCGACTCATGCAGACGCTTGGCCGTCACAGCCTCGTCGCTCTAGAGCGCGTTTGCCGCCAACACCTCTTCGGCCTTCTAGCCGCGCCGCGTCAGTCGCCCTGATACACAGAATAGACGAAATGGTGAGCTGGGACCAGAGGGACGGACGCCGACGGACCATGAGCGGCAGGGTAGCGCCGTTGCAGCGGTCCAGCCGTGGCCCGTCTGTTATCTTGCTGCCGTATCAAAGCAATGTTGCGTGCGGCGCTCGATGAGCCGCGGATGTCTCCGTTGGGTGACGGCAGAAGCAAGCCCCTTCCGGGTCGGATGGCGTCCGTGCCGGTCTGTCTCCCTTGGGCTCTACACTGGTGTGCTGCGACAGTAAGCGACATGCAGCGCCATGCAGCGCCTTCATCTCGCGTGCTTACCCACTGTTGTCGCTCATCTCCGTGCTCATTGCCACGCCACTCGCTCGGCAAAACCATGACCGAGTCCCTTGGCGTCCGTGTCCCGCACCGATCTGCCCTCCAACACCGGCGACCCCTCCGCCCCAGCCTTATCGAGCCGGATCTATCTCGACATCGCAGCTCGAGCCAAGCTCTTCTCGATTCCGGACATGCACCAATCTCAGTCTCGCCATGATTGCTTTGCAAAAGACTTGATCTTGACGGCCAAACGAGGATGAAGATCCAGTCGGAGCCTGGAACGTCTTTCCGACGGCGTACGAGGGGGGGGGGGGGTTCTGGAAGCCTTGGACAATTGTCTGATGCGGCGATCCCCGGTTTCCCCTTGACTAGACTCGGGCTTGAGCTCACTTGGAACGGTGAGCGGCGGAGAAGCGGGCGGACGAGACGTGCGGGGGAGCAATGGCCGTCACGGCGGCTGAGCGGACGGACGGGCATTCGGCCGTGCTGACCTTGAATTTTCGCACGCTCCAACGCAGCATTTCCAACTCCTCTCGACGTTTCGCCGATTCCTATTCCCCGCCCGCTTGCTCTTCTTCCAACCTCCTCAGTTACTCTAGCGCCTACAGGACTGGCATTGCTCCGTTGCGGCTTCAAACCGCGGGCTTCCAGGAACGGGCCATCTTGGGCCTTCGCCGTGTTGTCGCGGTACGCGCTCTTGAGCTCTGCTTACGATCGCGGCGGAGTTGAGCGGGCCATTTTCTTAGACTGCAGGCTTTTTTGCACAGTTGAGCTTCGCATTTGTTGGGCGCGGATCTTGGTGTCGCCTCGCTTCCAGATCACAGCAGGACTGCACATGCCCAGACCAACCCCGCCTGCAAAAGCGAGCCCATCTCCAGCGCTGGCTGCAGCCCTGTGCAGTCATGCTGTACCCGCAATGGCGTGGCGAGTACTGTAGCTCGGCTGCAACAAAGCTCGCGATTTTCGTTTGCTTTTGCCGAGCAGATCCATGGCTGTGGTCCTCTTCCCCCGCCCTCGTCATGCCAAGACAATGGGGGCATGAATCCGCGATCGCACGTCGCCCACCCTGATCAACGTCGGCCTCTGCCCCTCTGCCTGTTTCCGAGCGTCGCCGCGTGGCATCCAGTACACATCTGCTCCCCTGATCCAGAGCCCTCGAGAGTTCCTGGATCGCCGTCGACGCCGAGGCGCTCTCGCAATCTTCCAACCCTCAGCCCATTTTTCGCCTTGCTCTCGTCTTCCCGCTTTCCCGCCAGTGGGCATTCGCAAACCTGATCTGGCCGCCTCGCCGTTTAGCCGGCCTTCCAAAGGCGGAACAGCGCGCGGAGCACGTCAGCACTGCTGGACGCGACTCTTTTGCTATCGCTCTGCGTACCCTCATCAACCGATGACAGATGCTGCTCCACTCCCTTGTCTTGCCTTGGAGCAACGTGAAGCGCCCCGAATGAGCTGAGGTGGGCCCATCGGATCTCAGCGGCTTCTTCTCATTGGTTCGCCCCGGATCCTGTGCGCGCCTCTCGGGGTGCATACAGCAGCGCCCTGACTGCATGTCTCTCCTCCTGCACGGCCGCATGCTCCTCGCCTACTCGCGCCACGCCGCTCCTCGCTCGCTTCTCGATGGGGCCTCGACTGCAGACGCCATGCTGCTCCAGGGCTAGACGAGTGCAGCTGACTACGTTCGCCGTGCTCGCCTCCCCAACAGCCTTTGCCCGCCTGACAACGTGGATGCGGTTGGCTCAGCATCCCTCCTGCACCCCGCTTTCGTCGCTCCTGGTACCCCCGCATTTGCAATCCGACCCCATTCCTCGCTCCCTCCTCAAGGTATAAAGAGGTCGTTGCAGGTTTGCTTATCGTCATCTTCCTTCCCTCGTCCTTTCCCCTTCAGGCCACTCTTCCCCCTTCTGTCGTGACTCTCTCCTCCACGCCTCTCTCACATCTCTCTACCCACGCAGCGCTTCGTCCCACAAACAACTACTTCACAGCAAGCGATTGTATCAGGCATCATGTCTTCGCCCTACTACAACAACCGCAGCCAGGGCGACTCTCCCGACTCGGCGTCGATCGAGAAGAAGGATGACTCGCGCCTTGAGGACGGCGTCATCATGGCACCTGTGCTGACCGCCGGTACCACTGCTGCCGACGCTGTCGCCACGACCATCGAGGACCCCAAGGAGACGGCGCGCCTGATCCGCAAGCTCGACTGGCACGTGCTGCCCATCTGCTCGGTGCTCTACCTCTTCTCGTTCCTCGACAGGACGGCCATCGGCAACGCGCGTGTGCTCGGCATGGAGAAGCAGCTCAAGCTCACCGACCACGAGTACGCCGCCGCGCTCTCGGTCTTCTTCGGCCTCTACTGTCTGCTCGAGGTGCCTTCCAACCTGGTGCTCAAGAAGATCGGCGCCAAGCTCTGGCTGCCCATCATCGTCGTCGTCTGGGGTCTCGTCATGCTCGTCACCGGCTTCTCCAAGAACTTCGAGTCGCTCCTCGCCTTCCGCATTCTTCTCGGCGCTGCCGAAGCTGGTCTCTTCCCCGGTGTCTCGTACTACCTTACGATCCTGTACCCTCGCAGGTCGATCCAGCTCCGTATCGGTCTCTTCTTCAGTGCGGCCACCATCGCTGGTGCCTTCGGTGGTCTCCTCGCTTTCGGCCTTGCCAAGGCCAAGTCGGGAGACTACCAGGGATGGTCGTTCATCTTCTTTGTCGAGGGTGCACTTACCATTGTCGCCGGCATTGTCGCCTACTTTGTGCTCTTCGACGGCATCGAGAAGGCGCCCTTCTTGACCGAGAGCGAGAAGGTGTACATGAGCGACCGCGTTCAGTTCGACGGCAACGACATCCCGATGAACGACGAGTTCGCCTGGAAGTTTGTCTGGGCCGGTCTCAAGGACTGGAAGACGCTCTTCACGCTGATCTGCTACGTGACGACCATAACGCCGCTCTACTCGATCGCGCTGACGCTGCCCTCGATCCTGAAGAACTCGCTCAAGTACAACGCCATCGACTCGAACCTGTACACCGTGCCCGTGTACACCGTTGCTGCCGTGACCGTGGTGATCTTCGCCTACTCGTCGGACCGCCTCGGTATTCGCTTCCCCTTCATCTGCCTCGGCACCCTCATCTCCGGTATCGGCTGGGCGCTGTCGCTCCACTTCAGCAACAGCCACCCCAAGGTGGCGTACGGTGCGCAGTTCATCTCGGCTGCTGGTTCGTACGCTGCCTTCCCCGGTGTGGTTGCGTCGTTGACCCAGACGATTGGTGGTAAGACGAAGCGCTCCGTCTGCATCGCTATCATCGTCGGCTTTGGTGGTCTGGCCGGTACCATCTCGAGCAACATCTTCCCCAAGAAGCAGGCTCCTTACTACCACCGCGCGCACTACATCAACATCGGCATGAACGCCGTCGCCTTCTCGTCGGCACTCGCCTTCGCCGGCCTGCTCCACCTTGCCAACAAGCGCAAGCAGCGCATGATCGACTCGGGCGAGGCCGCTCGTCTGTCCAAGGAGGAGATCGCCGACATGGGTGACGAGTCGCCTTACTTCAAGTACCGCTACTAGACGCCCGCTCGGCCTCGTATAGACGGACGATGGCTTCGCTGCTGGGTCCGCTTTCGCCGCTCCGCATCACGACTCTTGACTTGCGCTTCCATGTATGATTAGTGGCTCTTCGGCAGCGTCCCGGAGAGCATTGGGGATAATGAAGGTTACGACTGTCATCATCGATCTTTTCCAAGGGTGTGCGCCATCACGTCTGACTGCAGTGACCGATGTGGCATGGCTTGGTCATAGGTTACTGTGTTGAGGAGAGCTGGCGGTTTCGAGAAGAGCTGATGGTGGTGTTCAGGAGGGAAGGCTGAGCACAGGAGTCGGGACCAAACGCGACGTGGAAAGAAGAAAGCGAGCTGAGTCGTGCAGGGGAGGGCCGAACTGCGCAACGACAACAAAGGGAGCAAAGAGGACGAATCGTTGATAACGAAGTGGGCGTAATCGAGGGAGTGAGATGAAGTGTCCCACTCCAGACGGTATCATACGCGGCAACGCGAATTTGTTGCCGAAAGGTGGCGACAAACGTTGCACTACCGGCCCTTCATGTGCGGGACTCGAATTGCACAAACATGACCTCGTTTCTGCACCGAATCAAACTCGTCGTGTCATCATCTAGTCTGTGCGCTTTGATAACGCCTGTGTAGCAATCATCATCATCATCACCATGTACATGCATGATCAGCGAGATTTCTGCCTGCAAGTGCGATACCATTACAACATGGCTGAGGACGACAAGAGAATCTGCTTCAGCTGGCTGATGACCTTGCCAATCTCGATGTCATCATGGTCGACCGCAGCAAAGGGTCCTTGCGCTTGTTGAGGGATGACACGATGATGGAGGTCAAGCTTGATAAAGACGTCAGACGGCCAAGGTTGACATTTCCGACTCCCGAAATTCGCCGAATTGAGCCGGTGTGTGAGTTCGTGTCCGAGCGCAAAGACCATCCGTCCGCGTGTCGTCTCCTCATCACCAATCCCCTGCAACACAGCCGCTCGTTCAAGGCTGCAGCGGTGTCCATCATGCAGCAGCAAGGTGCGGGCTCGGGCTCGGGCTCAGGATTCGGCTCCGCCTTCGGCTCTGCGGCCGGTTCCGGATCTGGCTTTGGGTCTAGCTCCGCCTTTGGGTCTAGCTTCGGTTCTGCTTCGGGATCCAAACCTGGATTCGGGACCGGCTCCGGTCAACCTACACCAGGTGGTGGTGGCTCAAGCTTCGGCTCTTTTGCCCGACCACAGCCTCCATCAGTATCGACAAGCAGCGCGCCGCCCAACACCTTCTCTCGACCTCCTTCCGGCCCCAGCAATGTACCGTCTGCCTTTACCTCCGGCTTCTCGCAAGGCGGGCAGCAGCAGCCAGGCTTCGGACGTCCTCGACCCTTCACCAGCAGACCGCGACCACAGTTTCAGCAGCAATCATCTTTCGGCAACTCGCGCCCTGTCAACTCGGGGCAATTTCACCAGGGACAGGGGCAGGAGCAACAACAGTCACCGTTCGGGAACCGACCAAGACCCTTCACCGCACGGCCATCAGGCCCGGGAGGCCCTGGACAAGAGGGTAGACCGCCAATGTCCGGATCGTTCCGTGGCGGTAGAGGCGCTAGTGTTGCGCGGCCCGGCAGGCCATTCGCGTCAAACGTGGATGCCGACGGCCAACGAGGACCGACAGACGCAAATGCAAATCTAGCAGGCGCCAGCGGAAATGTTTACCAACCTAGACCTCGACCAAGACCATTTGCTAACAAGTCGACCACCTTCAACACACAGCCTTCTGCGACGTCATCAGCTTTCGGTGGTCAGTCGGCTGGACAAGCACCCGCACCTCCTTCTGCCTTCGGCGCTGCTGCCTCCTCTCAGAATGCCTCAGCCCCAGCTCCCAAACCCGCACCAACGTTTGGGTTCGGGCAGCCGAGTGGATCTGCCTCTGGCATACCGCAAAGTAATGGCTTTGGTCAAAGCTCTTCTGCGTTTGGCTCCTCTTCAGCCAATCCCACCCCTGGCTCTCCATCACCATTTGGGGCACCACAGGGAGCCGCACCGGCCTCTGCCTCTGCTTTCGGCGCGAGTTCGTCCGCCTCCACTTTCGGCTCGTCCTCTTCTTCCGCCTTTGGAAGCAGCCCCAATTCAACCGCGTTCGGCTCAGCACCGGCCGCAAGCCAAGCCAATCTTGCTCCTGCCACCACTGCTGCTCCGGCTCCGTCTCCAGCCGCATTAGCTCCGCCGTCCAGCTTTGCTCCTGCTCCCACCAACACTGCGCCGACGAGCTCCTTCTCCAACTTTCTCCGAAAAGATCGCACCGGAACTTCGACTCCAGCTGAAGGGTCCAGATCGCCGTTGCCAAGCGTCAGCTTCGGAAACAAGGGCGCGGAGGACGAGGATGAGCTGCGCAAGAAACGTTTTGAGGACGCTCCCAAAGTGGGCAACCGCTTCCTCGAGATGAAGGGCGGAAGGGAAGCTCTTCGCAATGCCTACATCAAGTCCGGCGTGCTTCCCGACCCGGACAAGCCGACCGACCTCGCCTTGGCAGTCAAGCTCGTCGGAACATGCCAGGACATGTGCCCCGAGTTTGAGCGCGAAGAACGAGAGTTTCAAAAGGAGCTCGACCCGCTCGAAGTATACCCGGGCACCGACCGAGTCGATCCGCGCATCGCCGTCAAGATCTACCGTCGCCCCGCCGCTGGTCGCGAGCTGCCGCTGCCAGAAGACGTGCGCCCGCCGCCCGTCCTCAAACGCACCCTTGACTACCTCTTCCACGACCTTCTCCCGGCAGATCCCAACGACCCACGATTCACGGCTGTCCAAGGCTTCCTGTGGAATCGAACGCGAGCAGTGCGACAGGACTTTATCGTGCAGAGCGAAGGCGGTGCCATCGCCATCGAATGCCACGAGCGCATCGCAAGGTACCACATCCTCTGTCTGCACTGGCGAGGCGGGCCCGGCGCAGAGGGGTGGAGCGAGCAACAGGAACTCGAGCAGCTGCGCAAGACCATGCGCAGTCTCATCGAGTTCTACGATGACAATCGCCGAAAGTCAGCCACGGGCGCAGGCGCCGTTGTCCAGCCATCTCCCAACGAGGCTGAGTTCCGCGCATACAATCTCCTGCTCCACCTTCGAGATCCCGAGACGCTGCGCGAAGCCGAGCTCTTACCCGGCGACATCTTCCGCGCCCCTGCTGTGCAGACTGCGTTGAATCTGCGCCAGCTGGCACAGCGTTCCAACAACCTCGAGAAGCGCGGTCAGCCGAGAAACACCGAGGCCACGCTCAACTTCTTCTCCAAGTTCTTCGCCGAGCTGCGCAAGCCGAGCGTCAACTATCTCATGGCCTGTCTGGCGGAGAATTCGTTCAGCTCCGTGCGCATTGGTGCGGTCAAGGCTATGGGTAAAGCGTACATGGCGCAGCACAGGGGTCTGCCGATCGATACAATGCGCCATGTGCTGGCCATGGACTCCGACGAGCAGGTGATCGCTCTATGCACGCATCTTGGTCTCGAGTTCGAGTACGACGGACAGACGCCTGTGGCTGTCAAGATCCACAAGACCGCGACGGTCAACGAGGACAAACCGCTCGTCTCACCATTCAGCGCGACGATCGTCGAAGCGAAACGTGGCTCGTGGAAGAGCGCCGACGTGATCGACGGCCGTGCGTCGGGGGCAGGTGCGATCTTGCCGAACACGCAGAATGCAGCGCAGGGCTTCGCGCCGATGCCATCCATGGCGAAGCCGGCACCTGGTCCCACCTCATCCAGTCTGGACTTCAAGGCGCCGTCTCAGGCGGCGAGCAGTCTTGGCTCGACCAGCATGCCCAAATTCGGCCAGTCGATCGCAGGACAAGGTGCCCAGGGCACCTCGGCATTCTCGGCGTCTTCTCCATCGAAGCTGTCTGTCGCCGCCACCAGCTTCATGCCTTCCGCATTCGGCTCGGGTTCGAGCAGCGCCCCGTCGACAGCCGCACCGGCGAGCTCGTTTGGCGGCTTTGGTGGGTTTGGTGGCAGCAGCGCCACGAAGCAAGAATCGCCCACGAAGTCTGGCTTGCCGTCATTCGGGGGCTTCGGCAAAGAGCCTGCCACTGACTCAAAACCGACGGCCACGACTCCTGCGCCCGATGCCAAGTCCCCGCTCCCTTCGCTCGCGTCGGCCGACAAGCAGACGACGCCCTCGTCCCTGCCCAGCTTTTCGTTTGGTCAGCCAAGCACGAAAGCTCCCTCAGCTGCTGCGGCTCCTGACGCAAAGCCGGCCTCGCCTTTCACATTTGGCTCCTCGCAGGCCAAGGACACCGAGCCCAGCAAGACAACGATGCCGTCCTTCTTCCCTACATCGTCGAAACCTCAAGACAGCAAGACGGAAAAGCCCGGAGCTCCCGCATCACCTTCCAAGCCGGCCGATGCTGACGCTGTCTCTACGCCAGCCGCAACGTCTCAGAAGCGTCGCGGGTCTGACCCTGCTGCGGCCGCCGCATCTCGCGCCGCGGCTGCGGCAGTCGCCGAGGCAGAAGCCAAGGCGCGGGCGAAGCGCAAAGCAGCCGCACGTGCACAAGCCGTCGAGCGGGCATTCAAGACGCTTTCGAGCGAAGCGATCCAGTCTGCCGCCGCCTCGACCGCTGCTGCTGCGGTGGAGGAAGAGCGTGCGCGTCGCCGAGCCGCCTCGCGGCACGAGCTGCTGACACGTCTGAGCGACCGGATGTGGGCGCAGCTGGCCGAGGAGCGGGCGGCGGCTGCAGCGGAGGACGCGGCGCGCAAGGCAGCTGCGGAGGTCTTCCGCTCTCGAAGCGGGACTATGAAAACCTGGCAGCACTGGCGGGCCGCTCTGGAGGAACGACGCGATCGCGAGCATCAGAAACAGCGTCTGGAAACGATTCGCAGCGAGATCAAGCGGCGAAACGTCCTGGGCCGCATCCAGGCGGACTCGGGCGCATCCAACGGCTCGTCGCCAGGCACTCACGGCAAACGCGTGTCGATCTCGCAGTCGGTGCTAACGGGCGTACGACGCACGTCGGGGCGCGACGCGCAAGTCACCTCGCCGCAGAGGCGCAAGCTGGCAGGCGATCGATCCGCGCATGGCGATGATGCGGAGCTGTCGGCGCAGTGGACACGTGTGCGGCGGCAACGCGGCGAGCTGTGGGCCGAGGGATCGCTGCTGGATCGGCTTGCGGACCACATCGAGGAGCTGCTACTGCACTTCCGGCCTGCTGACCTGGACGGGCTGGTGGTGCTGTACTCTGGCGCGCCCGGTCAGCATGTCGCATCCAACTGGCTGCGCGTCAAGTTCGGCTTCTCCCCCTCATCGCCCGCGCCAAGCACAGATGGCGGTCGAGATGTGCTTGAGGTGGAGTTGGCGGATGGATCGCATTTGGCGCTGGTGGATGTTACTCGCAGCGGCGATGGGGCGACGCTCGACTCGATGGTACCGGCCGAGGAGGAGCACAGCCAGGTGGGACTCGTCGTGTTCGAGACCAATCCGAATGCTGCGCGAGCGAGCTCCTCGCAGCGACGCGCGATGGTCAAAGAGGACCGTAGCAGGCTCGAGGAGATTGCGCAGTCGCGCGTTGTCAAGCAGAGCCGTCTGGCGTGTCGCCTGCTGCTGGTGACGTGGGGCAGCTCTGACTCGCAGCCGACTCGAAGCGCGACGTCAGACGGTGCGATCGAGGACATCGAGATGGCTGACGGCACCGCCTCCGAGTCTGATGCCAACGACGCCGCTGCGAGTCTGTTCAGCTCACTTGGGCTGGATGCGTCCAAGGCGGTGCGTGGCACGGGAGGCGTGTACGCGGCCGCTCCGCACACGGGGTCGGCGGTGCTCTCGCGCGCCTTCGAGCGCATCGGGGTGCTGGAGCTCGCCGACGCATCGGTGTCGATCGAGAGCACGCTGACGACGCTGCTTCCGCGGGCGATGCCTGATCTGGCGCCGAGTTCTCACCTCGACGGAGCTCGGCGCGTGACGCTGGACGAAGTGGCGCGCGAGCTGGTGGACCAGTGGTCGCGCACGTGCGTACTGCTCTACGACCTCGTGTGTGCCTTTCCGCCCATCGTGCTATCGGGCACTTTATCGGCCAGAGCGGAGGAAGCAGCATGCAAGGCGCTATGCATCCTCAGCGCTCTGGTGAACTACGTGGTTCGTGCGATTGTTGTTCGTTGCGAGCTGACGCCGGATGCCGAGGTGGTGGAGATTGGGATTCCGACTCGCGGGAGGCTGGTGGAGATGGCGCTGGAGCAGCTAGAAGCGCTACCGGAGAGCGTTGCGGAGCAGAGGGAGGGGTTGCGGTACCGGATGCTGTCGACACTACCGGAGGGGGGGTTGGAGGCGACGGTGGCGCATGTGAACCGGATGCATGTCGAGGGGATGTTGCGGATTGCACTGGGCGCACTCGAGCGCGTGTGGATTGCGCCGCTGGATGGCGCGGATTGGAAGGCAGCCGTGGAGGGTATGGCGAGCTTGTGTGCGGCAGCGGTGCGCGAGGTGGCAGCCGAGACGAGGAGGATCGCCAAGGATGCGCGGGCTGCAGGCGCAGGTGGGGCCAAGCGCATGCGCAACGATGCTTCACCACCGAGCTCGGTGCACGAGGATGGGAAGGAGACGGGAGGAAGCGCAGTCGACCAGCTCCGACAGCTCATTGCACGCACAAAGCGGTTCCTCGACACACCATCGCACGCATAGACACGATCGCAATCCTTTTGTTTGTACACCAATCAGGTGCCGCTTGGGCAGGCTCGATGCAACCTTCTCTCACACACACGCACGCATAGTCCGGCTGTAAGCAATGAAATTCCAAGCGTAAGATCACCAGTGGTAAGCCCAACCGCCTCTGCCGCGGCTTGCATCCCTGTGAAGATCCCAGTCGGTTCGAATGCCCGCACTAGCAAAGGGGACCTTTCTAACCTGCTGTTTAGCCTGTTCGACCTTTTCGTCCACATTGTACTTCTGACGGAGCTGATCGGTCTTGTTTTTGGCGCCTACGCGGGTGTAGATCCAGTTGATGAAGCGACGCGACATCCAGCGCGGGAGCAGCTTGTCGACGATCGCGGCGACGGGGAAGAGGCCGTAGACGAGCGTGGTGAGTGCGATCGAGACGGAGCGCAGTGCGAGCTCGGGCACAATCACGGGCACGGGCAGTAGCGCCGCTCCTCGTGGAGAGGCCGAGGTGAGCGAGAACGAAAACAGACGGAACGTCGGACTGCCAATACCCACTTGGCCGCGAACGACAGAGGGAAGGGTGACCCAGAGACGGAAGTAGCCATCGCCCGTCTCTACGGGAATGCGACATTTGTAGGTACCGAGAACGCGGGTGGTGGAGGACGAGTCTTCGGAAGTGGACTGTGTGCGAATCTGCTTGTCGATCTTCTCCTTGCGCTTGGTGGCGATATGCCGCGTCTGCTGCGACTCTAGCGAGGTGGACGAGTCGGTCTTGCTAAGCGTGCTCATTTCGTACTCGTTCGAAGCGCCACGCTGGGGCTTTTCGCCATAATCCTCATCCTCCTGCTGCTGCAGCGAGAGCGACACCGACTCGGCCTGGGTGTCCTTCCACCCCGCGCGCCCCGCAGGCGTCACATCCCAGCCCTTCTTGGTGGCAACGCCGAGATAGCCCGCCGCATTCCATCCGACCGCACCGGCGATCCAGCCCTTCTGCACGAGCTGCACGTTGGTGTTCTTGACGATCTCGGCGATCTGACCTGCCGAGACGGACTCGAGCTGCTTGCGCGCGTCGGCCGAGTACGCCTGTGCATACACGGAGAAGGTGAGGTACGTCTCGGGCCCGCGGTAGAGCAGCACGCGCGGATTGTGCAGCGTGATGGAGTAGGCGATGTTGTTCTGCCACACCGTGGTCGTCGACGGACTGAACACCGAGAAGACGGAGCGGAAGAACATCTTGACGTACGAGACCGGGTCGACCATGGTATCAAAGTGAGCGGCGGTGGTGGATGGACAGCAGAGGCGAGATGGTGGTAAAGAGCTACAATTGCGGCGACTCTTTCACGTCTTCTCGCCTGGCTGGGATATGCAGTGTGACGTGAGGCCGAGCTCTCACACTGTCACATCGACGCAAGGGAGGCGGGGATAAAACCTAACAGCGTGAAAGTTTTTGGACCCTGAAAGCGGCTCGAAAATGAAAGCGCGGCGAGGTGGAAGAAAGTCGCGGCGTTTCGCTGCGAGTCGCTCAGCTCGCTCAGCTCGCTCAGCTACTGTAGGCGCACGCACCTCCTTTCCCCTAAGAGCCCACTCCTCCTCCACACACACCACCACCTCCAGCTGGTGAGCAGCACTCTCACCCACCACTAGACAGCACCACCTGCCCCATGGTCGCCGCCGCTGCTGCGCTGGTCGCCTCCAGCGCAGCGTCTGGCTCCCCCGCAGTTCCCTCCGCCAAGGACGACTCGCAGGCCCAAGCATTGCATAGAGAGCGCGATAGGAAACGTCGCCAGCTTCGGGCAGCCAACGTAGGCGTGTGGTCGGCCGGTCCAGCTCCACCCGCCCAGTCGCTCGACTCGAACCTCAAAAAGAACACCGCCTACGTCAAGCGGGCAAAGCAGAGCATCGGTCACGATGCGCGCGACCAGCTCCTCAAAGATCTGCCCCAGCTCAATCTCGAAAAGTACCTCCAGGAGCTCATCCAGGCCGTGTCCGAAGCACTCACCCGCTGCGTCACTGCAAAGGACTGCATAGCTGCCACAGAGATCATATCCGCCTTTCACGCACGCTTCGGCCCCACCACCTTCAGCGAGCCTCTCACCACCTCGCTCGAGCACGCCCTCGCTCCTCCTTCCAAGACTCTGTACCAGAGCGCCACCGCAGAACAGAAGGAGAGGGACGAGGCAGCTCGAGTCGCGCGTCAGAAGCCCTTGCTCCGCGTCACAGCAGAGCTTGCCCTCGTAGACGCCCTCGGTCACACCCGCGACGCACCCACAGGCTCCGACTGGCTCTTCAGCATCATCAAAGCCCTCTTGGCAACGGACAAGGACCACGCAAACGTCCCCTTGCTCATTTCCCTCCTCAAAGGCTTGGGGCAGTCCCTGCTGTCTCCGGCAGCGTCCTTCACCAAAGATGACAATTCACTCCTCGCAGACAGGGCCAGTGGAGCACTCACCATCGGCGATGCAGTAGACATGCCCGCCATTGCAGCACTCGATCCCGCCTCTGCGCCCCTCGTGACGCCGGACATGCAGGCAAAGTTCCGCAAACTCTTCGAGACCTACTTCCAGACCCTCGCTCGACGCGTCGTCAAGGAGCATCAGCGGCTCCAGGACCAGGATCGCAAGAACCACGAAGCCTACATCCGCTCCGGCGAGATCTTTGAAGACCGCCAACAGAACTACGAGCGCATGACAAAGAGCTTCGAGCGCGTCCGCGAATGGGCGCGCATCCTCTCCGATCTGCTCGGCGTCGACATGCCCGACCTCGAATCCTCCGCTTCCGCCACCACCGCCGTCGGCTTGGGCGTCAACCTCGAATCCAAGTCCGCCTTCGAACGCGCAGACGAAGAGTTTGCCTCAGATCAGAGCCCTTGGGAAGACCAGGACTCGCAAAAGTTCTACGAGGACCTTCTCGATCTCGGCGACATCATCCCACCCTCCATCTTGGCGCAGACAACCGGCATCAGCGCCGCCTCATCCGCCAACCCTGACAAACACGACGCCGGAGAGGATGGCGCAAATCGCGCAGAAGAAGAGAAAGCATCGACAGCAGCCAGCACGCCCCAGCTCGACGCCGACGCGGGCGACGAGGCCATGAACGCAGGCCCGGCCGCGCAGCTCGCAACGCTCATGGCCAAGCTGCCCGACATGACAAATCGCAGCATGATCGACAGTGCCGCCGTCGATTTTGCCTTTATCGCCACAAAGCCAGCACGCAGAAAGCTCGTCAAGCATCTCGCTTCGCTGCCCCGCAACCGCATCGACCTCGCTCCCTACTATGCGCGACTCGCCGCCACCCTGTCTCGCTACATGCCCGACATCGGCGCCGGCCTCACCGCGCTCCTCGAGGACGAGTTCCGCTACCTTCAGCGCAAGAAGAACGCCGACCTCACCGAGACGCGCGCCAAAAACGCCCGCTTCATCTCGGAGCTCACCAAGTTCAAGGTGACACCCACGCATGCCATTCTGCACTGCTTCAAGACGTGCCTCGAGGACTTTTCCGGTCCCAACATCGAGGTGGTCGCAACGCTCCTCGAAGGCTGCGGCCGCTACCTCTTGCGCACCGAGGACACCTCGGTCAAGATGCGCAGCATGCTCGAGATGCTCCGACGCAAGCGTGCGGCTGCCAATCTCGACTCGCGCCAGCTGCTGCTTCTCAACAATGCCTACTACCAGTGCAACCCGCCAAAGCGCAAAGCCATCGAGCAGAAGTCGCGCTCGCCGATGGAGCTCTACATTCGCCATCTCATCTACCACCTGCTCGCCAAGAAGAGCGTCGACACGGTGGTGCTGCAGCTGCGTAAGCTGGCTTGGGACGATGCCATCGTGCATGGCTGGCTCAAGGACGCCTTTACGCGCGCCTGGCGTATCCGCTACTCCAACATTCACCTGCTCGCCATCCTCGTGTACGATCTGGACCGTTTTCATCCGTCGTTTGCCGTGGACGTGATCGACCAGGTGCTCGAAAACATCCGCATCGGCATGGAGGAGAACATCTTCAAGCACAACCAGCGCCGCGTCGCCACCGCGTGCTATCTCGGCGAGCTGTACAATTACCGCCTCGTCAACAGCGGCATCGTGTTCGAGCAGCTCTGGTCCATGGTCACCTTCGGTCATGCCAAGGGGAGGCCCTGGCCGGGTCAGGTGGCACCCCTCGATGCACCGGACGACTACTTCCGCATCCGCTTGATCTGCACGCTGCTCGACACGTGCGGCGTGTGCTTCGACCGCGGCTCTCTGCGCAGGAAGCTCGACGACTTTCTGGTGTTTCTCAACTTTTACGTTCTGTGCAAGCAGCAGCCGCTGCCCATTGATGTCGACTTTACGCTCACCGAGACGCTCGAGGCGCTGCGTCCGGAGCTCAGGTTCAAAAAGACGTTCGGAGAGGCCGCAGCGGCGTTGGAAGAGATGATGGCAGCCAACAGGCAGCTAGCGCCGCAGGCAGAGGCCGAGGCGGAGGAGGAGAGCGATGGGAACAGCTCGGATACGCGCAGGCAGGGCAGCCGGGCCGACGCACACGAGGCCAGTGCAACGCGAGGCTCGGAAAAGCGCAGGAGGAACCAGGCTCGCAACCAGGCGGCTTCCGACGCGTCTGACAGCGATAACTCGAGCGATTCTGGCTCGTCGTCGTCGTCTGGGTCCGACTCGTCCGAATCGGCGTCTTCCTCCTCGTCGGGTGATTCGGACGCCTCGGACAGTGACGCGTCGGACTCTGGCTCTTCGGACGTCGACGATTCGGACGACGACGAGGCAGCAGCCGAGCGCCATCTGCAGGACCAAGAGCTTGCGGCACGCAGGGAGGCGGACGACGAGTTCGACCGCGAGCTCGCGCGAATGATGGTCGAATCCAGCGCACCTTCCGCCGCCACAGCGCAATCCTCCGTCGGCGCTTCGACTTCGCAACGGCCGCATGCATTCTTCTCTCGTGCCGCGCTCGCCTCCAGTGGGGCCGGCTACGGCCATGCGCATTCGCACGCGCACGCGCACGCGCACGCCTCCGGGTCCAGCCTGTCCGAGATCGGACTGCCCATCAAAAAGAAGGCGGCCGAACAGGCGGACGGTGGTGTCGAGGTCGAGGCAGGTTCGCATATGAAGTTCTCGCTGCTCTCCAAGAAGGGCTCCAAGCAGGTCACGCACGAGGTACACGTGCCCGCCACCGCTTCGATCGCCATCAACACACGCACCAAGCAGCTGAAAGAAGAGGCGGAGCGCAGACAGCTCAAGCAGCAGATCTTGGCGTACGAAAGATCGTCCGAGTCGCAGCAGCATTCGGGCCTCCAATCCCAGGGTGTCCTGCGTCGCCAGCAACCGCAGCCGCAGCCGCAGCACCACCACAGGGAAGAACCGGCCAACAGGGCTGCCAGCAAGGGCGACGATTTCAAGATCTGGACCAGCCATGGCTTCTAGCCGCCGGTTCCAATGAAAGCACTACCAATCAGCTGTGCGTTTCAGTGTGTGTCTGCTGTAGCGAAGCGTGGAGTCTATGCCAAACGTCCCCCAAGAGCAGGTGTAGGAGGCGGAAAAATGACAACGTGTTAGGTTGGGGGACTGGATCACGTGATGTGCGCTTCTCCAGGGTTGGCTGGCTGGGAATCTGGAATCGGTGAACCCTCGCGCTCGCGCCCCGTCGTTGGCATTCCTTCTCACCACCTTGCTCACGCCACGCTTGCGGCACATCTCCACCCTCATCCGTACGCCGAGACACCACACGCAGGATCATTTGCCAACTGCACGCTCAGCATACACAGGCAATCTCGAGTGTGGCTTTCGACAGCACCAAGCCCACTTGCGAATCCGACCAACGCGGTCTTGTGGGGGGATCCACGGCGCACGCCTGCACTTTTTGGCGATCGCAGCCCAACACGGCCGGATATCGCCAGCGCAGGCACATAAGCAAAGATGAACGGATCGTCGGCGCGGTACGACGTGACGGCGCAGCGGCCCAAGATTACGGTGCGACAGCTGAACCGGGACCGTGCGAACTTTATCCTGGAGAATGTGGATCTGTCGTTTGCCAACTCGCTGCGGCGCATCATGATTGCGGACATCCCCACGGTGGCGATCGACATGGTCGAGATCCGCAACAATACGACCGTGCTGCCGGACGAGTTCCTGGCGCATCGGCTGGGTCTCATCCCGTTGCTCAGCATGGACTGCTCCAAGGCGCTTGTTGACCACAGGGTAAGTCGAACCCCCACTTTACTACTAGATTTTACCTTTGATGCTGACTTTGTCTGGGTTGGGGGGATAGGATTGTGCATGCGAGGATGGATGTGACCGATGTTCGGTGGAGCTGACACTGCGCGCACGCTGCACGACGCGCGGGAACCTCGAGGTGACTTCGCGCGACTTGATACGCTCGGACTCGATCGAAGGTGCACAGATGTACGACGACGACGCTATGAACGAGCCTGCCGCACCTAAGCATCCGGACTTTGGTCGGCCGGTGGGACACGATGGATCGATGGCGCCCATCATGCTGGTCAAAATGTCCAAGGGGCAAGAGCTCGACATCCGGTGCATCGCGCGCAAAGGATTCGCCAAGGAACACGCCAAATGGTCTCCCTGTTCCGCGGTGGGGTTCGAGTACGATCCGCACAACGCGCTGCGCCACACCACGTACTGGTACGAATACGACGCCAAGCAGGAATGGCCCGAAGGACCCAATGCCGAGCTGGAGGAGCCGCCGCAAGAAGGTGCGCCGTTCGACTACAACAAGAAGGCCAACCGGTTCTACTTTGACGTGGAGAGCAGCGGCTCCATGCATCCCGCCGAGATCGTCGAAACGGGCCTCGGGCTGCTCGAGTACCGCGTGGCACAGATCGTGCAGGAACTGAGTATGATGGACGAACAACCGGGTGCGGGCGCGGGCGGGATGGAGAACGGCATCATGGACCCGTACGGTGCACCTGCAGCTGGGGCTAACGGTGGGTATGACAACGGCGCGGCCGATATGAATGGCTACCAGCCGCCCCCCGTCAACCCTTATGCAGCGAGCGGATGGGATTGATGCCACGCACTCCAGACGCTGTATACGCTACCACAAAAAATCGCGAATCCGATGTACTTTTAACCGCTCTTTGCTGCGGATAGAACGACGCTTCGAATGTATGCGCAAGCATGGGCGTAGGCCAAAAGCGTAAAGTGTTTGATCGTAGCAGACAGACAATGCCCACTTTTCAATGACTCTGTTACACCGTCAAAATGAGACGAAATCCGAAAAAAAAAACAATATTGATGGATTTGGTCGGGCTCGAAAGTCCGAGAGAAGCCAGATTCGGCGGGGGGGCGGACCGAGGGATTTGCGTTCTGAGACGCGACTGTGCGATGATGCAACGCTGTTGCGGCGCTGGCCTTTTCGGCGCGAACGGAAAAAAAAATCCTTGGCGACCGGCTTTCTTTTTTTTCGATTTTTGTTTGCTCGCCAACCGAACGTCCGACTGAAAGCCAAATTCGGCAAGTCCAGGAACCGCTTGGAACCACTTCATATCCGACCGCGCCACATGGCGACACCCTCCTAACTCCATGCACACTTTTCAACACCTCACAGGATCACACACAAATACCGCAACGAGCCGATGAACGAGCCTGGATGTTTGACTGGGGATGCAGAGTGACCGGGATGAATAGGGGCGGAAGGGGGGTCGGGACTCGGAGGGGGTCAAACCGACAGCAGTGAAACCGAGCCGTCTCGTTTCAAGACGCGCGGAACTCCGAACCCCCTTTTGCGGATCCCGCTGCCCGGCGTGCTTGCCGGTGCTTGCAGGGCAAGTGGGACCAGCACGGCGACATCATCGTCGCAATGGGGCCGCTCCCGAAACGGCTCGCTTGTACGCCACCGGTCATGTTGCTGCATAGAGCGGGAGGGACAGGGAACTCCGCAGACCGCCTTCTCGACGGAAAACAAAATCGCTGCATGAATGCGCATCCAGCACTTTGATCAGGACCCTCCCTCCACCGCGAGCCGGGCCCTTGGTGCATGCTCACACACGGCAAGTGTGAGCGCTGTTCAGCATGAGCCCGGACGCTGTCGCTCCGCCTGCTATCCAGTAGCGATGTACCCTCCAGCTGCCTGGTCGGAGAAACGCATAGGGTCTCATCACGATGCCCCCGGCCTGTCGTATAAAGCGCACCTTGGCCCGGGATGAATGAGACGATCCCGCATACATCCCAGCTAAGCAACCTCCCCCTCCTATTACCCTTCCTTCACTCTCCGGGATTGGCAGCAAGACCATGCAACTCTCTCCGTCCTTTACGGCGCTGGCGGCGCTTCTCGTCTGTGCATCGTCCGCGTTCGGCGCAATCGTAACCGACGCCAACAGCCTGTCGGGCCGGAGCTACGACTACATCATTGTGGGTGGCGGTCTCGCGGGCCTCACGGTCGCCAACCGGCTCTCTGCCAACTCTTCCACCTCGGTGCTCGTCATCGAAGCCGGCAATGACGACCGCAACAACGCGGACGTCTACAACGTGGACAACTACGGCAAGGCATTCGGCACCGACCTTACCTGGCACTTTACCACGGTCCCGCAAATCGGTGGGCGCACCAAAGCGCCGCTCGGCGGAAAAACCCTCGGTGGCTCGACGAGCATCAATGGCGCTGCGTGGAACCGCGCCTCCCGCGCGCAGTACGACGCGCTTGGTGGGCTTGTGGGCAGTTCCGGGTGGAGCTGGGATGGCTTGTTGGGGTACATGAAGAAGAGCGAGAACTTTATCGCGCCCACTTCGGCCCAGCAGGCAGCGGGGGCACGCTACGATGCAAGTGTACATGGGAGTGGGGGGCCGTTGGAGATCGGGTTTTCGCAGATCCGCAACCAGCGCCGCTCGGGCGGGGCATCGCAGGAGTGGAGACGAATGTTCATCGGCCCGCAACAGGCGGCTTTCATCGCGGCGATCGGAGAGACGCTGGGAGTGCAGCATGTAGACGACCAGTGCGCGGGCAGTGCCAACTCGGTCGCCTACACCCCGAACTCGATCGGCACCAACGCAAGACGCACCAGCTCGGCTTCGGCGTACTATACTCCCGTCCAGGGGAGGGAGAATTTGACCGTGCTGACGGGCACTCGAGCACGAAACCTTTTGTGGGGTGCACAGTCTGCATCGGGATTGGGTAGTTCAGGTGTGGTGGTGCAGCAATCGCACGATGGCAACTTGGTCACGATCAATGCGAAGCGCGAGGTGGTGTTGGCTGCGGGTGCGCTGAACACCCCCACGCTGCTGCAGAGGAGCGGGGTGGGCGCCAAGGCGGATCTGGACTCGATCGGCGTCGACCAGAAGCTCGCCCTCGACGGTGTAGGCAAGAACCTGCAAGACCAGACCATGACCACACTCGGTTCGCGTGCCAACGTCAACTACTCGGGCGGTGGTCCCTCGGCCGCGATCGGGATGCCCAACGTCAACCAGGTGTTTTCCAACGCCACTGCCGTGCGCAGCTACATCTCGTCCAACCTCAACGCCTGGGCTGATACGTTGGTTTCGGCGGGCCATGTGGCGAGCAAATCCGGCCTGTTGGCACAGTGGACCAGCGCAGTATCGCTGATTTTCGACCAGGCCGCACCGATCGTCGAGATGTTCTTCGACACGGGCTACCCAGCCAACTCGTACGGCATTGATCTCTGGACGTTGCTCCCCTTCTCGCGCGGCTCCGTACGGGCTACTTCGGGCAACCCGTTCGATGCACCGCGGGTGGATCCCAACTACTTTGGTCTGCCCATCGACATGGATATGCAGGTCCAATCGCTACGTGCCGCCCGCCGCGTTCTCAAGAACTCCCACCTCCGCAGTCTGACGTACAATGGCGAGACTACGCCTGGGTTCGGGCTCATCCCGGATGGGCCCAATTCGGGATCGTATGCAAAGTGGCGTGCGTGGATCCTGGGAACCCTCCAAGGGGGTGGATCGGGCTTCTCCGCCGTGAGCCACCAGTTGGGCACCGCCGCTATGGGAAGCAAGCAAAACGGCGGCGTCGTCGATGGAAACTTCAAGGTGTACGGCACCACCAATGTGCGCGTTGTCGATGCGAGCGTCGTCCCCGTCCAGCTCTCGGCCCATTTGAGCGCATCGCTCTACGGTGTTGCTGAAAAGGCTGCCGACGCCATCTTGGCCAAATAAGATAGATAGAAGCAAGTGTACATGATTTTATACCACGCAGAATTCCCAGCAGCCTAGGTGGAGCCCCGAGTGCGCTTGGCGGAAGAGAGGGAGGTGGAGGGCTTCTTGCGCTTGTGACTCGATGCGGGCGTGCTGTCCTCGTCGTCCGACTCTTGGATCTCTGCAGCAGGCAAGTGAAGAGAGAGAAGGGGGGGGGGGGGGGGGGGGGAGCGTCAGTGGATGAGGTAAGAGGTGGGTGTGGGGGAGGAGGGCGTGCATACCTGGATCGTCGTCGTCGTCTTCGTCGTGCGACTCTTCAAAGTCGTCATCGTCCTCGTCGTCCTCGTCGTGCTGTCGCGTGCAGTGGGGCCGAGTAAGTCTGTGCTTTTTGGGGCGATGGCCCGGGATTGCGCCATACTTACATCTTCAAGCAGGTACGACAGGCCCACATCCGCGCCCTCATCGCTGCTCTCCTCTTCGTCGTCTTCCTCGCCGTCATCTTGGCCGTCATCTTGGCCGTTCTCTCCCGCTACACTGCCGTCTTGCGCTTCCGCGTCTGCATCTTGTTCCTCCTCGTCGTCGTCTTCGCCCTCGTCGCCGTCGCCGTCGGCGTTACTGTTATTGTCGTTGTGGTCGCCAGCATCGTGTGGGGCATGCTCGGGGGCTGCGTCGTGCTGGCCGGCCTTGGACGCTGCAGCGGGGCTAGAGTCGGCTGCTTGTACGCTTTCTGTCATCGTGAGAATCCTGGCCGGGGGCGATGCAATGTGCTAGCAGTCGAAGATGTGCTAGGGCAAGAAGGATCGAGGTGACCAAAAGTGGAGAAACGCCGAAAGATGATCCGAGCGTCGGCGCAAAATCTAACACCTGCGAATTTTCGAGCTGCATTGTGTTGCACCGCCTCAATGTAGTGTCAGCGTTTGCGTACCTGTCTCTGCTCCGGACCCTGCAGGATAGCCTTTTGCACCTCTTGGTCATCCTTTGTCGGCCAGGGCGTTTGTTTCGCCCATTCAACATGCTGCTCTCTCATAGACGTGTACCTCTTGTCGGTCCACACCTCGTCGTCGAGTACCGTCTTGAAGATCTTGGCCGCCTCGACCTTGTCCTTATCCTGCCGCTCCGGCTCCAACCTGGGGATCTGCTTTGCCTTGACGCCCTTTCGCTTTGGCTCGGTGTACTTCTTCCCGCCCTTGTGGTTGGCGTACCTTCGCGCACGGGTGTAGCCCATCTGGATGAACTTGCGCGCCATGTCGGCGCCCACAAAGTCGTCCTCGTCTAGATACGCACGAAAGGCGGCCAGGAGTGCGGTGGACGAGGTGCGTGCAGCAGCAGGGTCTTTGAAGCGCCACGAGGGGAGAAGCTCGGACTTGTACGGCTCGACCATGAGCACGCCCTGCTCGCCGACGCCCGTGCGGTAGAGCCAAGGATGGGTGCGCAGACACAGCGAGGCGTACGGCAGATCGTAGGGGAACTTGGAGGATCCGCCTGCAAGCGGTTTAGATGAAGAAGCATGCTTTTGGGATGATGAGGACGAGGAGGAGCGTGTGGAGACCATGCTGAGCAGACGTCGGTGCGCCATGGACGAGAGGCGGATGGTGGTGTGGGGCGAAGAGGGGGGATGCCGGTGTTGGTGTGGAGGTTTGGCTGGCGCGCGGTTGGGCGCGGCGACTAAGTCGGAATGAATGGGCGCTGACGGGCGCGGCTCTCGGCTATCCAAGCAGCAAATCTACGCGGTCAAACGGCAGCTCCAAGCCGGCACAACATTTCACCGGCAGCAGAAGTGCAGTCGAGGTTGGCACTTTTTGAGTTTTCGACTAGGCACACTCCGCTCGGCTGGCAGGCTGAAATGTCTTGGATCGGCGCCGACGCCCTCGTACAGCAGCCTCGGGCGAAGGCCAACCTTGAGCCTCCTCACCTCGTCGACATGCATCCTCCCTCCTGAACACCACCACCACCACCACCATGTCAGCACCACGTCGCGATGGCGACGAAACAACACCGCTGCTATCATCAAACTCGCGCACGAGTCACGATGACCAGCAGGCGCCCGTTCGGAGCGCGACACCGCTGCCGCGCAAGCAGCTGTTCGTGCTGTGTCTGATGCGCATGACCGAACCCATGTCATTCACGGTAATCTTCCCCTTCGTCAATGCGATGCTGCGCGCCAACCTGCCGGCGTCGGTGCCCGACTCGCAGCTGGGCTACTACGCGGGCGTGGTCGAGTCGGCGTTTGCATTCGTCCAGTTCCTCACCATCTTCTTCTGGGCACGCCTCTCGGACCGCATTGGCCGCAAACCCGTCCTCCTCATCGGCCTTCTTGGCTCCTTTTTGTCGGTCAACGCGTTCGGGCTCGCACGGACTTTCCCACAGATGGTCTTGGCGCGGTCCATCGCGGGATTGATGAACGGCAATATTGCTATTCTCAAGAGCGTGTTGGCCGAGATCACGGATGAGACCAACCAGGCGCGCGCGTTTAGCCTCATCCCGCTGTGCTTTGCGGTGGGCAGCATCGTGGGGAATGGTCTGGGCGGGTGGCTGGTGGGTGTGGGCGAGGGAGCGTGGTGGAAGGCCCATCCGTTTTGGCTGCCATGCGCCGTAGCCAGCTCGTTTAATCTGTGCGCCATCGTCCTCGGCAGCTTCTTTCTCCAGGAAACCTTACCCAAGCACAAGCGAACCGCGCACAAAACCGCACAGCGCGCTGGAGCTAAGGACGAGGATGCGCCGATGTCGATTCGGGCGTTGTTGGGGGATGTGACGATCCGCCGGATCCTGTCGACGCAGTTCTGGCTCAACTTTCTCAACGCCTGCCATGCTGCGCTGCTGCCGCTGTTCTGCTATACGGCCATCGCGCACGGGGGGCTGTCGCTAAGCTCGTCGGACATCGGCTCGATCCTAGCCACCAATGGGGCATTCACCATCTTTATCCAGCTCATCGCCTTCCCGACCCTCGAGCGGAGGTTGGGTGGACCGGCACCCGTGTACAAGCGCGTCACTGCCGCCCTACCCCTCGTATGGGTCTGCTTCCCCATCGCTCACATTGTCGCCAGCACGACCGGGTCCAAGGCAGGCATTGTGGCCGTGTTGTTGGTGGCGATCGTGCTGCGCGGCGTGAGCAACATGTCGATCGTATGCTCGAGCTTGCTCGTCAACAACGCCGCCCCCACCCGGGCTAGCTTGGCCACGCTCAATAGCGTCAGTCAGATGGCCGGGTGTTTGAGCCGCACCATCGGACCGACATTCAGCACCTCCTTGTTCGCCTACTCCACGTCGAATCATGTCTGGGCGGGTCAGTTTAGCTGGGCGGTCATGTGGGCCATCAGTGCCACGGCCTGGCTCGTCACGCTGCGCATCCAAGCCCCCGCCAAAGCTGCATGGCGCAACCAACCGCGCGCATCATAGAATGCACCTGTATTCGGAAATCTACTCCTGCTTTCTAGCTTGCGATACGGGCGCAAGCCGCGCCACGAGCTCGTCGATCTTGCGGAACTGGAACGGAAACCGGCTCGGATACAAAAACGGTCGCAGATCGAAGCGGTTATCGTCCGGACTGTACCCTTCCGCATGATAGCTCGGGGTGAGTGTGGTCATCTTATGCCTGTTGCGCGCATACTCGAACCAGAACAGCTTGACCTTTTCCGCCACCTTTTCCGCCCCCAAAGTTGGGCCCCACTCTTGCAGCAGCTTGTTGAACATGCTGTAGGGGCCGCATTTGAGATTCTTGCGCAGCCGACCAAAGATGCTGAGCTCGTCGTACGTCATGCCCATATCGGCTTCGTCCGCCTGCACGTATGTCTCGGTGATCGGCTCGAGCTCGGCCGTGGGCACCGCGGTGAGGAACGACTCGAGGATGGGCAGGTCGAATGCACCCTGTGCATAGGCGATGAACGCTTTGAGATCCGTCTTGGAAATGCCGCCGATGGGGTTGATGTCCGCCGAGCTGCAGTCGTATTTCGTCAAATACCCGCGCAGAGACTCGTCGACATTCGCCGAGCCAAGGACGAGGAGGCCGCCCCAGGAGCCACGAACCCAGGGGGTGAGTTGGGCGAACATGTAGGCGAGCAGCATGCGCAGACGCGCCTGGATGTTCTGCAGCGCCAAGTTCTCAGCTGGCGTTCCGCCGTGCACGCGGAAGCGCGGCGTGGCACCCGTGACGGTGCTAAACAGCCCGACGATGGCGCGGATGACAACGTCCATGTCGAGGTCTACGTGGTACGCGCCAATGTCCGCCGCTAGCTGCTTGGCGCGCGCGCGCGTCTCGGCCGACGAGTTCTCGGTGCCCATGTAGCAGGTGACAAACACGCGGTTGCACAGTTCCTGCGGCGTGCCAGGCACCCACGTCGAGCCCTCCTTCTCGTTGCAGATCCGGCGAACGTCCGAGAGAACCTGCGCGCGCGTGTCGGTCGTCAACACCGACGCACCCCTTCGCGTTGTACTGGACTCGGGCTCGGAAAGCGCGGCGAGGACGAGCCTGCACATGCTGAACACGATCGTGGCGGTAGCGCACGAGTCGATGCCGCCCGAGAGCGGCACAAAGTAGCCCTGGGTGCGCGAGCGGCGCAGATAGTCCCACAGCCAGCACGCCGGTCCGAGCGCGATCTCCTCCTCGGGCGTGTGGTAGCGCACCTCGATCGGCTGGCTCAGCGGCGTAAAGTAGCGGCGATACAACCGTGCCGCATCCGCGCCTGCACCCTTTTCACCCTCTCGCTTCTGCCTGTGGTGCGCGGTGTCGGGAGTGGCGGTGCCGGGCGTCTTGGATCCAAACTCCTCGGACTCTCCCAGTTCGAAATCGACATTGACGCGCGGGCATCCAGCGCCGATCGACTCGCTCACCGCCTGCATGCCGCGGCTCTTGGCGCTACGGTGCGCACGCACATCGTCCAGATCCACCGTCGCCGAGATGACCTGCACATCGTCGAGCGAGAACTGCGAGCCCTGCGCCACGATGCTGCCATTCACCGCAATCAGCGGGCATCCGTCGTAGTACAACCGGTCGCCATCGCACCCTTGCTGGTTGGCGTACAGATAGATGCCGCCCAGCTTGAGCGTGGCCTCCTTGATGAGCTCCACACGTCGATACAGCTTCCGCAGCTCGTGGTGCGATGCCGACGAGTTGGTAAAGATCTCGACGCCGCTCAGGCCCTGTCGGATGTGCGGCGAGTTCGGAGTGAAAAGCTCCTCGCACAGCTCGACGCCCAGCACCGTGTCCCTGGTCTTGACCACCGCATCGCCAAACGGCACCGAATGCTGGTCGGTGATGTCGGCGACAACGCGCGGGAGCGTGAAGTCGTCCGTGTGGTTGGTGCGTGTCCAGGGGGTGAAGTAGCGCATCTCGCGGTAGTTGCCGTCGTTGGCGAGCCACATCTTGGGGCGGATGTGGAGGATCTTGCCATCGAGCAGGAGGAGGCGACAGTTGTAGAGCGTAGAGCGGTGGAGTACGGGCATGCCGACGTCGCACAGAATGCCGTGCGTCGCATCGGAGGCGAGGATCTCGGCCAGCACCTGCCACGAGTGCAGCACCGTGTCCGGCTCGAGAAAGTGGTCGAAGCAGCCGTAGCCGGGGATCTCGAGCTCGGGCCCGACGCGCAGACGCGAGCCTGCAGCCTTGGCCAGCCGGATCGACTCGAGGATGCGCTCGCGGTTGCCGTCAAAGTCCAGCGCCCACTGGTTGAGCGAGCACGTCGAGACGGTGCTGTCACATTTTTGGGAAGGGCGGGTTTAGTGTCATGCGCAGGTTGCAGTGCAGAGTGCGAAGGTCAGGGTCGTGCTTACATTGGCAGTCCCATCTTGATCGAGTGGTCTTCGTGGCGTGCCTGTCGCCGAAAGAGAAATGGGAGCACGGGTCGAGATGGAGGAGCTGAGCATGGACCATCGCATCCGAGACCCTTGCTGGATCTTCCGTCTGCCGATCTTTGACTCGACCGAAGCCAAATTTTTTGATGATGTGAGACCGTTATTAATCACAATGTGAGCCATTCTTCCACGTCAAGGTCGGACATCGTCATCGTGCGTAGATGCGGAGCTGCAGTTGCCCGGCGTACGAGTGTCCTCCACATGGCGACACACACCCGCCCACAGTCATGCCGCTGCGTTCTTCGCGAGCCAGGTACCGATCCTGAAGCCACGGATCCCGCTCGGCTGGATTTGAGTCATCTCTCTAGCTGTTGTTCTTTTGTTGATCCTGCTCGCCTGCTCGTTCGTTTGCTCCTAACCACCATCTCTCGTCTTTACCACAATCGCCATGTCAGCCGCCGACGAGGGCACGCCCAACGTGGCGTTCCAGAACGAAGCGTACGTCTCCCTCCCCCCCCATCTTTCCCTCAAATCATGCTGACCGTTGTGTGTGCAGTAAATATCCGGGTCAAACCACCGAGTTCCGTGGCCCTGGAGTATCCGCTGAGAACCCAGCCGGTGCCTTCCCCCGCGACCTGCGACAGCGTAAGACACCCCCCTCCCCCTCCCTCTATGCTCTTTCACTTTGCTGATCTGACTTGGCCTCGGACGTGCGATAGCCGACCCGGATCCGATCGAGGCACACCGCCCGCGCGCGACCATCTTCCAGTCGATCGAGAACCCCTACGCGCTGCAGGAGGCACTCACCAAGCTCGAATCGGGCCTCGACGAGGTCATCTCGCTCTTCCAGGCCGAAAAGAACACGCTCGCGCGCGAAGGCGGATTCACAAAGGGCAAACAAGGGTAAGCCCCCTCTATCCCCCACCTTGCCTCACATCCCTCACTTCCATTGGCTGACTTTTCCGGGTGTGTGTTAGAATCGAGCTTTTCGAGTCGTGGAAGCAGCAACTGGAACGCATCAAAGCCGGTCAAGAATAGCGCTTCCCCCACGCATAGCACGAAAATAAATCCATTGCTAGTTTCACTGTGTTGCAGTGGCCGCCGGTGCTGCTGGGGCTGGTGCTGGGGCTGGTGCGGAGGGGGCATAGGCTGCAGGCTGCTGCATTTGAACCGCACTCGTGGTCATACCGTTGAGCGCCTCCATGTACGAGTTGGTAAAGTTGGCCCACGACAGTGCATCTTCCGACGCCAACGGCATCGCGCCCCAGTACGACGTGTCGTGCAGCTTGAGATACGCCGTTGGATCCACACTCACCGCTGCGCCCCCAGTCTGCGGCTCACCCATTGGGGCTGTGGATCCTGCGCCGAGAGTTGTATCGAACATCCCCACCGCCCCCGCCCCCGCACCTGCGCCTGGGCCGGGTTGCCCTGCGGAGGGATTGAGACTGGCTGGATTCGGGGTGGGCACGCGCGATGGCCACGTGTACATCAGGCCCTGACCCTGGTTCTGCGACTGGAACTGCGCCAACAGGTCGTCCTGAATCGCCGGTGGGATCTGGTAGCTCGCTCGCGAGCGCGAGAGCGACATGGGCGCCCCGATCGGGCCTGGCACCGACAGCCCGCCCAGCTCGTCGCCAAACCCGGCGTGCTGTATCGCCTCGCTCGCTCCCACCGCCGCCGCACCCTCGTGCAGGCCACCTTCGTGCTGGGCGCCATCGCCCTGCACCTGCGTCGCTTTGCTCTCGGCCATCACCTCGAGCGCGTCCTTGGGCAAGTGGAGCGACGCAACACCCACCTCTCCCACCGCATCCTTGGCACCCGCACCGGCACCCGCCCCTGTCGCGCCGGACGGGCTATCGGCCCTACTCACCACCATGCTCGCATTCGTGCTCGCCTCTCGATGGCTCGGCAGCCCCGTCCCATCCAGATCCGCATCGATCCCGTGTCCGAGCTGCTCGAGGATCTTGAGGTGGTGCGTGGCGCTCTGCCAAGTGCCACTCATCCTCGACAGCCACGTCATAAACTTCCGCAGCCTTCGCTTGGCCTCGACCGCAACGCTCGCATCGGTCGAAGTGGTGTTGGCGATCTCAATCGTCGACGCCGTAAAGATGCAGTAGGTGAACGTCGACGAGAGCTTGCGCATGCCAAAGTTATTGTCGTACGCCGTGAGGATGTCGCAGATTTTGCCGACGGCGTCGGTGCAGATGCGATGCGAAGGCGGCAGGTCCGCGCGCGACGACTGCTTGAGGATGTACGGCCGGTGGAGGATGAGCTTGCACACCTGGAACCACAGGTGCTGCGAGAGCGTGTTGGGCAGCCGATGAGCCGGCTCTTCAAAGCGCAGTCGATGAGGCAGGTCGCGCTCCCATGCTTCTAGCATGCCGTGCAGCCGAATCAGTCGTGTTTCCCACTCGGGCGCTCCACCCTGTGCACCAGCAGCACCGCCGCCGCTCTCCTTGCCTGGATCTTCAGCGACCGCATCGCCGCCCTCTGCGCCCGGATCGGCATCTGGCCTCCGCACCTGCGTGTAGATCGCGGTGACCTGTTCGCAGATCTGCCCGAGCCGCACGCCGAAGCGCAGATGCGTCATGGCAGCAATGGGCGTCTTGAGCAGCATGTTGCGCGCGCGATCCTTGATGAGCGAGCTGTTGTTGGTGGTCTCAGCCCACGTCTCCTTCTCGTCCACCTCGTCGCTGTTGGGGAGCGGACAGTCGATCTCGGCCCATCGCAGCGTCACGGGTCGACCAAGCGAAGCAGACGAGGTCTTGTCGAGCAAAAATAGGCACCAAAAGATGCGGCGCCTCGCCTGCTCCTCGGCATGCGAAAAGTGAAGCCCCAGCACCGACGAGAAGTCGCGCTGGCGGTGCAGGCCCAGGTCGATCGACATGCGGCAGGCGGTGGAGAGATACGCCGACGCCTGGCTCGCGCGGCCGTTGCCGCCTTCGCGTAGCGCCATAAAGAAGAGCGACTGGATCGTCTCGAGGCTCGGCTCGTTGTTGGTCTTGACCAAGTAGTACTTGGCGCGCGCGAGGAAGATGTCGCCGAGATCGGCGGCGCTGAGCCGGCGCAGGCTGGTGCCGTCGCCGAGCTGTCCGGGACCCTGGCTGAAGCTGAGGTCCGAGGCAGTGCGCTCGACCCAGTCGGACTGGGTCGCCTCGGTGTCCTGCTCCGACACGCCGCATTCGCCCGAGTCCCAGGCGACGGCGGCGAGGGCACAGGCGGCGTTGTGCAGCATGGGATGGCGTTCAGCGTCGATCACGTTGAAGCCGGTGAGGCAGAGGGCAGGCTTGTAGAGCGCGGGCCAGATGGTCTGTACGATGCCCCAGAAGATGGTGAAGAGGCGCTCCTGGATGAGTGGCGGGATCTCGGGCTTGGTGAGCGAGACGCCGGGGCGGTCGACGCCGCTGCGCCTATCCTCGCCCGGTTCGACCCAGAGGAGCGGCTCGAGGTTGACGTCATCCGTCACGCCGTTGGGTGCGGGTGCAGTGGAGGTGGGTGCGCCCGTAGAAGCGAGCGGAGGCTTGCGGTCGCTATCACGGTCGCGCTGAAGCTGCAAGAGGGTGCCTTCGACGAGGAGCTGATTGTTGTCGCTCGTGTGGGACTGTCGAATGCCTGTGGGTATATTGGAGGCCGGCGGGTCCGCTAATGCGTCCGACTGAGGTGGGAAGCGTGGCTGAGCCGACCATACGGGTGCGGCTTGAGGCTGGACATGCGAAGACGCAGCGGCATTGGCGGGCATGAGCCGGTGATCTGCACGAGACGAGTCCGCTGCAGGGGCCGCGTACGGTGCGTGTGCAGGGTAGTGGGAAGTAGAAGCCGAGGGGCGAGTGTGTGAAGTCTGCGACTTGATAACTGGACGCGATGCACCCGAGCGGCTGGAGAGGGTGGAGTCGAAGGTATCGGAGCCGATGGAGAGTCTTCCGTAGTTTCCTGGCGAAGAGGACGACCTGTTGGAAGAGCGTGTGCCGAGAAAGTCGAGCGGAGGCAGTTTGCGGTCCGAGGCGCCAGGCGGAGGGCGGATGAAGCCAAGGCCGCTGCTGCTTCCGCGGTAGAAGGTCTCTGCGCGTGGCTTGTGCGGATAAGAGGAGCCGGCGGGGTCGTATCGATAGTGGTTGGGGCTGGAAGCACGGGGCGCGTAGCTGGGGCTACCGATGCTGCCGTCGTGGATGGACCCGGCGCCGGTGCGGTGGCTCTCGGTGCGGTAGCTTCCTTCGGGGGAGGCATGACCCGATCCGGGATAAGGGTCGGCGTGCATGTCGGACGAGTAGGGGTCGGATGCTGTCATCGGGGCGGCTGCTGAGGACGAGGGATAGTAGGGCTGCTGGGGCGGCTGCGGCGGCGGTAATGATGCATACTGGATCGAGTGCGGATGTGTTTGTGCGGAAGAGGGAGGRGGAGGAAAGCGGGACGACGACGCGATGGCACTGTTTGAGACCGGGAGAGGAGGAAGGCCGGAGCGAGACCAGTCGGCGTTGTCTGGATAGGCCGGTGGTGGTGGGCGCGAGAGTGAGACGGGTGTGGCGTCGGCAGTAGTGGACGCAGCTGCCGAGGGAGCCGAAGCGACGTAGTCGCGGGTGGACTGGATGGGCTGGGCGGCGGCTGCATCGTGGGCGTTCTTGCGCGGGACGGACGGGGCGGCGTGTGGATGTGCGTTTGCGTTTCGCTTTGCAGCCTTGCTGGTGCCGCGTGTGGAACCCTTGGGTGGGCCGCGCTTCTTGGGCTGGCCGTACTCGCAGACCTCGCCGGAGCGAATGCAAGTGATGCAAGGATGAGATCCGTCGCATTTGACTCTCTTGATGCCGCACGGGCGGCAGGCCTGCTGGATGCGTCTCTTCTTGAGGCCGCTCCTTGGCTGGTCGTCCTTGGCGTCTGCGCCCGTGGCAGACGGCGACAGGGCCTGGTTCTGCGCCATGATGGTTGATTTCCTTTGGTGTTGGCGGTGTTCGCGTCTAGAGTGATGGTGTGGCTAGGACAGGCGTGGCTGCATGGCGCGGTGCGGCAGTGGCATCGACACCCAGACGGAGCGGATGGAGGGTGATGTGGATGCCAGCGATGGCCGCGTCCGAGTCAGCAGCACGAGCGAGTTGGAACGGAGAGGTGGATGATGGTGGATGGCTTCCAAGATTCGAGGTGGGCCAGCCGACGGAAGTGTTGTCCTACTGCAATGCAATCGGCGTCACACGGCTATTGTGATTCCTTCATCCCTTTTTCCGACGGACGGCTTTCAGATGGAGAGCCGATGCTGCAGCTCGAGCCGGCAGCAGCGCAGTGTTCGGTTCGGGGCGAAGACTGACGGAATATTGGATTGCAAAGCCGCCTCTTTTGGGGGGCGCGTCTGTGCACCCACGTTTCGAGGCTTCGAATCAAAGCTGCGGGCGCCGAGATGCTTTACGCAGATTGTGGAGAGCTGTGCAGCGAGGTGCCTATTCTGAGCCAGATCTCTCCAGATCAGACCCACACTTTGTCACTTGACTGCGCTGCCCTGAGAAAAAAAGAAAAAAAGAAAAAGGTGGGGCGCCGCTGCACGTCGGTCACTTGACAAATTGAAAAGACAAAAAACCAAAAAAGAAAAGGAAAAAGAAAATGCACGAATTGGAGTGGAAATCCTCGGAACGGCCACTTTTCCGCCTCCTCCGTGCCGATTTCTCTCGCTCTCCAAGCAGTGACGCGACCGCCTTCTCACTGCGTCCTCGCTTGGCTCTTCGGCTACACTTCTCACAATCGCACAGCGTGCTTACCGATCCGCCCGCTCGCATCGCCGTCGCTCTCTGTTGCGCTTGCCCTTTCCATCTCCGCTCGGTACGGTTCTTTGCGCGCGCGCTCATTCAGCAATCGCACACCGGTCATTGTTGCAAAGGTGCGGTGCGCATTTCACCGTAGCGCCGACACGTGCAATCCGCATCGCCGGCGAATTATCGCAGGCTTGGGCTCGTTCACTTTTTCTGTGAGGGCTGGGTCGGTCACTCGCGCTCCTTGCTCTTCCAGCTAGCTAAAGCGCTCGCCGCCATGCCCGCGGCTCTCTCGGCGCCCAGATTGGCGAGCAGGCCGCTGCCAAAGCTCGAGCCGTACGCCTGGGCTACGCGGCTCATCACCGTCGGCCCACCGGTCTCGGGAACCACGTCGTTGAGCCCTTCGCTCTTGACCTTGCGGCGCGCGCTCTCCATGATGCCGTTGACATCGTCCTTCTTGAGATCGTCGCGCGCCCGCATGAGAGCCTCCAGGAATCCCAAGTGAGACCCATGCGCCTTGGCGAAACTCCAGTACGGCAGAAAGACCATCGTCGGCGACGAAGTGAGCATGCCCAGAATCGCATCGGCCACCTCGAACTTCTCCTGCACCTCCTCTTCCTTTTTGAAAGCGAGGAAGAGGGTTTTGGCGTCTTCGACGTCTTTGCGCATCTGATCGCCGGCTGCAGGCATGCGCAGTTTGCCGCTACCCACCCGTCGCAGTGCACCGATGTACGACACGAGGAAGCGGTCCATCATGTCGTCGCACAGCACGTCGAACAGGTTCGGGTTGAGCCGCTCGCTGTAGTCCGAAGTGTAGTCGCGCATCGTCTCGACAATGGTCGTCATGGTGCCCTCCGAGCACCATGCCGGGAAGCCAAAGAGCTCCTTGATCGCAGGCTGCAGATCCGCAAAGACCAGATCGACAAGCACCTGCGTGCACCGCTTCGACACGTCCAGGAAGCCGTTGAGTGCATTGTCCACCGCCTCCCTGATGCCCGCTTGGTACTTTTTGCTCACCATCGGCTCCAGCCGCGCGATGAGGGCCTCGGCATAGTCGGCCGACTTGAGCTCGTCGTTGGCCAATGCAATCACGTACTCCACCAGTCCACCCACCACATCCTCGGGCGTCTTGGCCTCGCGCTGCTTCTTGAACTCGCTCTCCAGCACGCGCAGCCACGTCGCCTGCGTAGAGTGCATCGCCTTGGCAGCATGATCCACCACCTTGGCCAACACGCTCGCCTGGCCCGAATCCGCTGCCACGTCCACCTGCTGGTTGACCATCTGGAACAGGATCGCCGCTCCCTGCAAGCCATACAGCCCCTCGTTGTCCTCCTCGGGCGCATTCTGCCGCGCCACAAACTCGCGCACCTCGTCCGACATGAGATTCGCCGTCCACTCGTCGATCTTGTTCGTGATGAGCCCCAGATAGTCGTCGATGATCGTCTGCTCCTTGCCACCCAACAGCGACGGCTCCAGCCACGCCTTGTCCGCACCGAGCTCCCTGGTCATCGTCTTGGTGTACTCCTGCGTAAACTGGTACAGCTCCAGCAGCGCACTCGCCTCCGGATCCGTCGCCAGGATGCGTTCGCGCAGAATAGCGCCCAGATGCTTGTGGTAGCTCCTGACAAACGTGCGCACGATCTTGTAGTCCGCCGGAAAGAGCGGCACCACCTCGGCCTCGACAAAGCGCAGATCGTCGTAGATCCAGTCCAGGTGCGTCAGGAACTCGAGACTCGTGCCGTCCGAGCCAAAGCGCGACCAGCACTCGTCAAACAGCTCCGCCGCAGACCGGTCGATCGCCTCGACGAATTTGGGCCGGTACAGCTTGATGACGCGCGCGTTGGCCACCACCGACCGGAACCGCGCCGCGCCCTCGAGGTTGGCGCGCTTGGCCAGACGGATCGCCGCCGCACGCTCGTCTTCACGCGACTCCTTCTCGATGATCTTGACCAGCTTCACCACCACTGCCGGGCGACCCTCGCGCACCAGATCCATCGTGCGTTCGGCCAGCGTCATGATGTACTCGTCAAACGCCCGGATGAGCCCATCGAGCGGTGCAAAGAACTCGGCCACCGTGCTGCGCACATCCGCCGAGCACGTGCGTGCGATCTGGAACGTCTCGTTGCGAAACGCCTCGAGCTGCGAAAGATGGAAATGCAGCGGCAGCAGATCGGTCGCCGGTCCCATGATGTCGTCCTGACCGCGCTGCAGCATGTCCGCCAGCGTCTCGATCTGCTCCGGAAGCGCATCGAGCTTCTCGAGCGTGCTCGTCGTCTGCACAAAGTTGCGGTGGATCTGCGAGACCTGGCTGATCACTCGGAACGAGCGATTCGCGTCGGTCGACTGCGGTCCCGAGCCTCCGTCGACGTCGGTATTGTTGTAGAGTGCTTCGACCTGTGCAAAAGCCTCCCGGATCGCCGCTACGTCTTGGCGTGTCGCCTGCAGCTTCAACAGTCCTTCGCGCGTCGCTTCCAGCTGCTCCTTGGCACCCAGCTTGAGCTTGGCCGACAGACTCGCCTGTTCCTTGAGCAGCTTCTTGCGCAGTGCTGCGATCTTGGCCATGTCGTCTGGTGACTTGAGGAACTCGGCGACAAGATTCGATGGCCCCGATCCCGCTGTCCCTGGCTGCGTGGCTGCAGAGAGTGCCGCCGACATGGCGACCGACGCCGCCTTTGGCGCTGACGATGCGGCCCCATGGCCGTGCGACGATGGTGCTGGCGAGGATGATAGTCCTGTACCGTTTCGCTGCGGTGTGCCGTTCCCTCGCGGGGTGAGAGATGCCGCCGACATGGCGGCGAGATGGTGTGATGGAATGGCAAAGCTCATTGTCGCGAGGCGTTCGCTCGGCGCATAGCAGTGTTATGCGACTTGCATGGGCGGAAAGGCTCGCGTTTGCAAGAACAAGGGGCGAAGTGCTGGTGCGCTGGCCTTTGTGTTCCCACGCTATTGCGAGTTGTCGATGTGCCCGCGGCCTGCGTGGAAGAAGGAGATGGTTGGTGAATCGCGTGGAGAGAGAGCAACATGCACACCTGCAGTCCATATCGAGGTCCGAGCGCGGCGCGAAAAAAATCGCCAAAATGTTACATCGTCAATCCCAGAGGGACCCTATAAAACGGCGTCGCTATGGTGTCGGTCGGCTTTGCGCACCTCATCTTCCTCAGCAAGCACTGCAATAGCACACACGTTCGGCAAGGACTTGGGTCTAGACTGGAAATCAGGGCAAAGATGTAGATGTCTACTTGGTCTAAGGGGTCGGGCTACGCTTCTTCGTCCAAGGTGGTCTTGCCGTACCTCTCTGCGATGTCTCGCACAATCTTGTCGATCTCCTCCTCTGCCTGACTTTTGAGCGTCGGAACCTGGGCTTCGATCTTCGACACCTCGTCTTCGTCCGAGTCTTCGGCTGTTTCCATGTCACTCTCCGCTTCCTCGTCGGAGGTGCGCACAGCAGGGGAGAGCGACTCGGCCTCGTCCACCTGCGTCTTGATCACGCGGATCATGTTGAACAGCCGGTGAAGCACGCGGTCCGAGACGAAGAGCAGCGCGTCCTTCTCTTCGAGTCTCTGCTTGAGTGCGTCGATCTCGCGCTCCACGTCCTCGCGAGACGAGTTCGAGAGCTGCAGCTCCAGTGTGCGCGCTGTTTGCTCTTGTCTGTGTCGAAGGGACGGCGTTCGATATGGAAAGAATGATCAGCTTGGGTCCATGCGATGATGCCGTACCTCAAGAAGGAAGAGGAAAGGGTACCTACTCAGCCGTCTTGAGTTTGTCCTGAAGAATGGCGAGCTCCTCGTCATGACGCTGCTGGATCTACGATCGAAGCGGGGAAAAGGCAGGATGTTTAGCGATACAGCTCGATCTTTGTCACGGAAATAGGCTGAATTATACTCACGGCTCGAAGGCTGTCAAGCTCTCGACTCTGTCATCAAATGGCAGTAAAAGCAAGAGGGTCAGTGTGACCGTCACATGGTCGCTTGCCGATCGGGCCTACTCACCTTCTCATCGAAAGCGAGCGCAATGTGTCGGAGCGAATGGGCGATACCGGAGCAGCTGAGCCTGTCCTCCAGATCGGCCTCGCTGAAGCTGCTGTCCATGGTCTTGGTGGTGCGACTCTGTGTTTCGCCTTCGCTCTTGCTGGTCGAGGAGTCGGAGAGCGGCTCGGTGTCGCTCGCCACCGAGTCATTGCCAAGCAGCTCGTCGCGGATCATGGCGGCTCGCTGCGTCAGGGACCCAGAATCAGAACTCCCATCGCTCGTAGTAGATGTTTCCGTATTGGGCGTTTGTGTACCTCCGACGCGCTCCCCACACCAAAGGCCAGAGTTCTGCATCGCGGTCTAGGTAGAAGAGTTCTTCGTACCCGGGCGGTCCCGGTTCCACTTGATCGTATTCCGGCAGTGGCTCGACTTCAGTGTCGGAAGTCCGGGTGGGAGGAGATGGGCAGACCTGCGGTTCGGAAACTTGAAGCGGCGGCTGAGACACAAGAGATCGGAGCTCAAGATAGAAACTGCCAGCTAACTTTACGGTGAACGCCGCTAAGATGCTGGTTAACCATGGACTGTTGAAGACTAGGCTGAGCAAGGTAAAGAATAAGGCGACATAGACAGGAAGAAGAAGGTATGGATAGGATGCCACAGGATGCTGAAATGTCGTCCCTACTATGAAAGCGAAGCACCACTGGTCGAGGGATTCAGCGACAGATATGCAGCGCTGAATGGCTGCGTCGAGCATCGGTGGCAAAGCAAAAGCGAGAGCGCAAAGAGCTCGAGCTGAACGGGGTGCGGATGTCTATATGAGTAGATTCGAAGCAAGCTCTTATGGCGCAGACTTTTGGTTTACATGAGAGAGGTGGGCGTGTGCGCAAAGGACGTGAATGCGCAGAGTCAAAGCGTGCGGAAGTGTGTAGTGAAGCGATGCGCAAGTGCAGCGCAGTGCGGAAACAAGGTTGGAGTAAAGTTCGTCTTAGACTTCATCACGGCCGCGCAGCTTCTGGAGCTAAAATCGGCGCCGACATGGCACGGAAGCGAATCACTTGTCGTCCTTGTCGTGCTTTTGCGCGTCCTTGGCGTCAGAAACCTTGTCGTCGTTCTTGGCGTCCGTCTGTGCCGACTGCTGTGCAGCCTCGGCCTCGTCCTTGTCGAACTGGGCGTTGGCGGCCTCATCGTCCTCGATCTCGTCCTTGTACACGTCCGGGTGTTCGCGGAAGCAGTCCTGCATGGCCTTGAACTTTTCGACGCAGTCGATTCCCTTGGGCTCCGCCTCGGAGTAGACAAAGCACGAGAAGGCCGCCTTGAACTGTTCGCCGCAGGGGCCGTGTGCCATGCCGCCGAGGCACGGGCAGTCCCAGTTGATCTCGCCGGTTTCGGGGTCGTATGCGGACTGCTGACCCGTCTGCTCCTCGGACTCCTCGACGGCCACCTCGATGGCGACGGGCGTCTCCTCGGCAGGTTCGACGTGCTCGTCGTGGGCAGCAGCAGGCGCGTGTCGGGCGTGGGCGTCGTCGTGGAGTGCAGCATCACCCTTGGACTTCTTGGGCTTCATGCGGTCCGACCATGCCTTGCGAGGCTCGCACTGGATAGGCGACGGACGCAGCGTGTAGACAGCAGCACCGATGCTGATTGCCGCAGCCGCAGCACCGAGAGTGGGGCTCGACCATGCGGACGAGCGCGAGGGACCAGCCGAAGCCTCGGTGGCAACACCGCGCGCGGCGGGTCGGAGGTTGCGTGCAGAGCGCTGCAGGGTTCGACCTGCAGATCGGACAAGAGTGTGACCGGAAAGCATGTTGAGCGTAGAGGTGCGGTGGCGAGATGTAGGTGTCGTCGGATGGAGGGACGGATGGAATCGATCCAGGGTCAAACTCGCCTCGCTTGCTTTGAACACTTCTGGCAGCTTTGCGTCTTCTTCCTGGCTCGACGAGCACAGAGTGGAGGTCGACTGTCCGACTGCGCTCTGCTGTGGCACTTTGTGCAATCCGGATCGGCCCGGCTGAGTCGATTTTTCGTTTTCTCGCTCAGCAGTCGACTCGCCCGTTTTCCTTCTCGAGCGTTCGCCTCCCTCCTTTTTTTGCATTCCCGGCTTGAGATCGAATCGGGAGGTGAGAACGCCTTCTGGATCTGCGATGCGCTCTCTCTCCACCTGGGGGCGGCAGCGGCACGCAAAAGATGATCTTCGCGACGGGTGTTGGACTCGTCAGCGCCTCGGCTTCAGCCAGCACAAAGGGCTCACGTAACCGCGCTTAGCCTTGACGAGCATCGCTTCAGCATCCTCATCTTTACACCACACTCCGTACAGAAAGTGCCCGCCCAAGCACACCACCATGTCGAGCTCGAGTGGGTCTTCTCCGCCGCCATCATCCGGCGGACCCGCCAAAGCGTCCACACGACATGCAGCGAATGGGACCATGTTCTCGTCGCTGCAGAAGCGCTTCCCGCGCACAGCCTTTGTGGCGCACAAGATCGCTTCCTCCCGCACCGGTCGCACCACCGCCAAGGCATGGTCCTACCGTCGATCGCTCCTCTTTGGCTTCTTCGCAACCTACACCGCCATCGGCTACCTCAAGCTCAGGCGCGACGCCTACCTCCGAGACCTGATCCACGACGACACCTACCTGGTCTGGAAGATCTACGACGGCTCCATCGTCGAGTCAAAGGGGCCACCATCCGTCAGCGCGCTCATCAATGCGCCTGCAGCAGGCGAGGAGGCACCGCGCGTCATGGAGATGTTCGAGGTCATCCGTGCACTCAAGTGGGCGCAGGCGGATCAGCGCATCAAGGGCATCTTTGCCGACTTTAGCGGCCTCCACCTTCCCTCGTCCGTCACGCCGAATCGGCTCGGACTCGCGCAGATCGAAGAGCTCATGCAGGCGGTCCACGAGTTCAAGATCGCCAAGAAGGAGCAGTTCGGCGACAAGGCAAAGCCATCCATCGCCTGGGCGGATACCTTCAACAGCCAGGGTCAGTATCTCTTGGCGTCGGCATTTGACGAGCTCTGGATTCAGCCTACCGGCTCAGTCCCACTTACGGGTCTTGGTGCGCAGATCCCTTTCTTCAAGAAGGTGCTCGACTACTTTGGCATCAAGGTGCTTGCGGAAGCAAGACGCGAGTACAAGTCCATGGTCTCCACCTTCAGCCGCGAGGAGTCGCTTCCAGCGCCTCAGATCCAGAACGAAGCCGAGCTACTCGGTGAGCTCAACCGTGGTCTCGTCCATGCCGTCGCTGTCAACCGATTCCCCGACGAGGATCCGGATGCCATGTCCGGCAAGCTCGAGGCGTGGATGAAGGAAGGTCCCTTCTCGGCACGCGAGGCAAAGGAGCTCGGTCTGATCAACGGCACGGCCTTCAAGAGAGAGATCGTCAAGCGCCTCATCGATCCAAAGCACGGCGGCAACGAAGAGGTCAAGTTCAAGTCACTCCACCACTACAACAAGGTCAACGACCGAACGCTCGAGCGCCAGCTCAAGGACGACGAAATCGTCGAGGTGGGCGTGGTCTACCTGCTCGGAGGCATCAGCTCTGCACCTGGCGAGTTCTCGACATCGTCCGTGCTCAAGGGTCTCAAAGAGGCAGCCGAGCACGAGGACATCAAGTCAATCGTTCTGCGCATCGACTCGGGAGGTGGAGACGTTGTGGCGAGCGAGTCGATCTGGGATGCGGTCCGCCGCGTGCGCGAAGACTACGGCAAGCCCGTCGTGGCGTCGTTCGGTAACGCTGCTGCCTCGGGCGGCTACTATGCAGCCAGTGCCGCTGATGCCATTCTGGCGTGCGAGAACACGGTGACGGGCTCCATCGGCGTCGCATCGCTGCGTCCCACCATCACACGCGCCTTTTTCGATCGCTTCAACGTGGGCATCCAGTCGTTTTTCACCGGGTCCACGTCTATGTCGACGCTGCACGAACTCGACGACGCACAGCGCGCCAAGTCGGCCAAGCACATCGACGAGATGTACAACGACTTCCTGCAGAAGGTCTGCGATGGCCGCAGTATCTCGCGCGACGTCGTCGAGAGCCTTGCCGGCGGACGAGTCATGACGGGACTCAGCGCCTGGGCTCGCTGCAACCCAGATGCCGAGGTGGAACAGGTTCAGGTGAACTCAACCGCCGGGTCTCAAGCTGCGACGCCTACTGCCGAGTCGGTCGTCGAGCTCAGACAAGATGCCGAGGCGGTCAAGGCTGCTGCAGACACGGAGGGCGCTAGTGGCGAGGTGCAGGAGTCGGTCAAGTCGGCCATCCGAAGGATCAAGGCAGTCAGCCTCACCAGCCAGTGGAGGACGCAGGAGGTGAGCGCGAGCAGCGGCAACAATACGATCATGATCGAGCGAGTGGGTGCCACACCCGCCCCGACTCCAGTCGCGGAGGCGGCTGATGGCCAAGCCGGCAGTGGCGATGGGGACAGCAACGGTATCTTGTCCGACCTGGTCGCCAAGGCGGAAGAAGCGCTTCTCGGCCGTGCCAGCGACATGTCCGCGACTACATCCGATGCGGCTTCCAAGCCACTAACCGGTACGGAAAAGCTCAAGAAGCGCATGGAGGAGGAGGAATCGCGACTGGCGGTGGCGGCTCACTCGGCTGCCGAGCAATCGCGCAAATCGCAGTCCGAGGCTGACGACGAAATCAAGACTGCCGGCGTCGCAGCTTCTGAAGCCTCCGCGGCCGATACCGCGGCCAAGCCGTACGGTAAGGGGCTTGTCGACTCGATTGGCGGTATCTGGGATTCAGCATACTACGCCATGACACTCGCTCTCCAGGCCGAGATCGAAGCCATGGTGACCAAGGACAACCTCACGCTCGAGCAAGCCACCGCCAAGATCCGTCCGAGTGCCAGCCGCGAAGTGACCGAGGACGGGACGCTTGCGCTCGCCACCGACCTGCGTCTGGTGCGCTTCCCCGAAGACAAGCCGTTCTGGAAAAAGGTGCAGGAGGTCAATGCCAAGGGTGACCAGCCGCAGCTCTCGCTTCTGCCCCGAGCCGTGACCAACACGGTGGCACTTATGCTTGAGGAGGCGGGGCAAAAGGCGGCGCGTGCAGCGGTCAGGATGATGATCGCTACGGCTGCCGATCCGAGTGGCATCGCAGCCGCGTTTGACGACCCCCAGCTTGCGCAGAAGCTGCGCGCGAATAACGGTCTCGGTGGTGGAAACACGCGTGGCAGAGCGCGTGCAGAGTATCCCCTGGCATCGCTGTTCAGCTAGACTCGTAGACAGAACATATTTCACGCCTCAATCAAGAGATACAGCCGACAGTGGACCGCGCATGTGATGCTGAGAGCGAAGAAAGCAGCCAGGTATGAACACGCAACTTTGAGGAATTTGTTAGGCCGTCGAATGGTGTCGGCTCAGCGTCCAAAAAATCTAGGGCTCGGCCAAGTCCGAAGGTGTGGGTGGCGAGGACCCCGGTTTGGATGCAGGTCGAGATGCGCCTATCTCGACCACACACCGCCAAGTTTGCTCCCTCGCCTCCCCCCGTCATCCTCGCCCTTCTTCGCCCTCTTACCTTCCCTTTCGCCCCGAATGATCACACGGACATGTATCGGTCTTGCTATCATTCTTGAAGGAACCGTTACAGTACGGTCCTGCGCATCCGCTGCCGATTTCCTCAACGACCAACAGCACCGTTCGCCAACATGTCGGTGCATTCGACCTCCTCGGCGTCGGCAGCCTCGATTTCGACGACGATGAGCTCATCAACTGTCGCGATAGGAGCTGCGACGCTATGCATAGCCTTACCGTATCTTTCGTCGCTGCTGGGATCACTCACCGCAGCTCAGCGCATTGCACTAGCTGTGCTCGTCTACTTGGCACTGTCTGCACGTTCGCAACACCGCTCCTCGAAGCGATTCCAGGTCCAACCTCCTGCATCCGCGGACAGGCACTCTCATCACCACTCCGAGCCAGCAACTAATGTCAGCTTGCGAACGGTGCATCCGTCTCGGACGAGGTCTTCTTGGCCATCGACCTCAGCGACACAAGGATCCACTACCGCACAGCAAGCTCTGGTGCCTCGAAAAGACGGCACTGTCGCGGAGAAGGTCGAGTTCGTCCGTAGTGAGCAATGTCCACAACTGGCCGATGCATGCTATCTCGATGCAGCAGCAGCTCCTCCTTTCCCCACCGGCCTTGTGCAGGCGGTCGCCGAGGATGTCTCGTCGAAACTGCTGTCGAACCCGCATTCAAAGTCGCCCTCGGCGATTGCGACCGCGGACCACATCACAGCGACTCGCATGCGGGTGATGCACGAGCTGTTTGGCATTCGAGACACCCACAACTGGCACCTCGTCTTCACAGCCGGCACGACGGCCAGCCTCAAGCTCGTGGCCGAATCTATCGACTGGGCATCGCTGCAAAGCTCATCCGACCCACACGCTCGTTTTTCGTACCTGCGTCAGAGCCATACGAGCGTGGTGGGCATGCGAGACCTCGCCGCCCGCGCTGGCGTTTCGAGCTCGACGTTCAGCGAAGAGGATGCAGACGCCGTGGCTGGGCAGGCAGGACTCGTGGCTTTGCCGCTGCAGTGCAACGCTACGGGCCGACGATACTTTGACCTCATGAAGCGCATTTGCCGAACCAAGGCCGACGGATCGCTGGTGCTGTTGGACGCCGCATCGTACCTCTCCTCATCGACCCGACTATATTTGTCACAGCTGCACGCCGACGAGCTGCCGGACATGGTGGCCTTCTCGTTCTACAAGATCTTTGGCTATCCAACCGGCATTGGCGGGCTGCTCGTCAAGGCCTCAGCTGCACCCCACCTCGGCGGCAAGACGTACTTCGGTGGCGGTACCGTCGACGCGATCCTCGCCGAGAGTGCGTGGACCAAGCCACGGCGCGAGTTCGAAGCGCGCTTCGAGGACGGCACGGTGAACGTACACGGTATCCTCGCCGTGAACAGGGCGCTGGACTACTATGCGCAGAGCTTCGGCGCGTGGGATGCACGACGAGAGTACGTGGCCGGTCTGAGCGACAAGCTGGTCTCGGCACTGACGGGGTTGCGGCATGGCAACGGCAATGCTGTTGTGCGGATGTATCGGGATGCAGACGTGCGTGCAGAAGGGTTCGGACCGATCGTCAACTTTAACCTGCTTACGGCAACGGGTGCGATCGTTCCGCCGCAAGAGGTGGATCGTCTGGCGAGTATCAGCAATATCCACATGCGCATGGGGCGACACTGCAATCCGGGGTTCGTCACGACGCATCTGGGCATCCCTGCGTTGCGGCTCCAGCAAGAGTATGCGGAAGGTGCTGGATGCGACGATGCTGGCGACGCAGCACTGGAGGGGGGTTTGGTATCGGCGTCGGTGCGCGCGAGCCTGTGCCTGCTCAATACGGAGGAAGACGTGGAGCGTCTGGTGGGGTTCGTTGCGCGCTTCTTCCTCTCGCCGCATCCGGCTCCTACGCTCGCACCGAGCGTACAGGCTCAGAGAGGGCTGCAGAGGCGGTTCGAGCTGGCGAGCATCACGGTGTATCCGATCAAGTCGTGCGCGGGGCAGGAGCTTGCGCGTGGCGAGGCATGGCAGCTCACCCCGCACGGGCTCCAATTCGACCGCGAATGGATCGTCATGAATCTCGCCAATGGCAAGACGCTCAGCCAGAAACGCTTTCCCAAGATGGCGCTCATCCGGCCGCGCATCGACACGCATACCCGGCAGTTGGTCATCACCATTGCCGGCACGTCCTCGCGCTTTGCGGTGTCATTCGATGATGATGGGCAGTATAGCGACTCGAAGGGTCAGGCAACGCAAGTGTGTGGAGCGGAGATCTGGCCACGCGCACACACGAGTCCAGCGCTGCGGAGCATGCTTAGCGAGTTGCTGGGCGTATCGTGTACGCTGGCAAGACAAGCCAGTGGCATCAGCAGACACTCGAAGCTCCCCACCGCCACGAGCAAGGTGCCGTTGATCTTTAGCAACGAGTCGCCGTTCCTGCTGATCAACTCGGCCTCGGTAGCGCGTGTGGGCGAGTGGATGCATGCAGCCGCCCACCCGGGCACGGAAGATCTAGCTTCCGATTCGGGCTACTCGTCTGCATCCCACTCCACCGACCCGACGCCGACCAGCGCACAAGCAGCAAGTTTCCGTGCCAACTTCATGATCTCCTCGGCGGATGGTAAAGAGGGCAAGGACGCTTTTGTCGAAGATGGCTTGTCGAGGGTCGTGATCGGGGGTAAGCATGTTTTCGGCGTGCTGGGCGAGTGCAGACGATGCCAGATGGTGTGTGTGGATCAAAAGACGGGCCAAGTCAAGCCACAGACACTCAAGACCCTCGCAAGGTGGAGGAGAAACGCACGGGGTCGAATCATCTTTGGCTCGCACCTGGCTTGGCTCCCCGACTTGGCACCGTCGGCAGCCGCGCCGGACGAGGCCAACCAGGTCTGGGTCGGCATGGACGTGATCGCATCTTAGCTCCCAATTCAAGCCGACAGTCATCTGTGTATTGCTGTGTGATTGTGATGTCGAAGTGAGGTTGATAGTGTACAAGGCTCGATGGAGGTGGGTGTACGACGCTAGAAGGGCCAGTACCAGCGCTTCTTTGGCTGCCTTTGTCCTGGTTCCGACGCTGCTGTGGACGGGGCAAGCTTTTGGGTGGCGTGATCTACCTTTTCAGCCAAGCTTCTTGCGGTGCCTTCGAGCGAGCCTGCGTGTTGGTTCATGAGCTTGGTCTGCTCGTCGCGGTCGAGCACGTTCCAGAGGAGGTGGAGGCCAAAGTACGCCGTGCTGCCGTACGCCAGAATGCGCAGCAGCGCCGGGAAGAGCTGGCTGTAGAGCGAGGCGTGGCGAGCCGAAGCTCCGGTCGGATTTCGTGCACGTTCCGCCTTCCGCGCCGCTTTGTTGGCCAGGTACTGCTCGGCCTCGTTGAGTTCGTGTTGCGGAGGAGGAGGTGGTGGTTGGGCGTGTAGGCGGTGCTGTGTGGTGTATAGAGGACGCACAAGCGGGACAAGGCCCAGGTTGCGTCTTGGTGCAGCGAGTGCCAGCCGTGAAGTTATAAGCAGCATGACGGGTGGATGTTCGGCTCGCAAGATGGATGGCAGAGGGGAGGAAGTCAAGCCGTTCCAGGTGAGAGAAGGTGTTGGATGTCCGTGCAGCTGAGGGCGCGTAGTGGATCGAGTTTGATGGCGAATCGGCGTTCTTTGCGGTCCGAATCGGCGATGGTCGCGTGGGGCTTTGCTGTATGCGAAGCGAATCCGCCCAAACGCGACTCGGCAGCCATGAAATCACGCCGCCCTCCTCCCTCTTAGCCATTCACATCTCTCCCACCTGCTCGCGTTCGCAACGCCATATACCCACCCACACCATCATCGACCCCGCAATCGAACTTTGACTCGCGTTCTTCCTCAACTGGTCGCCGATCTGACCCGCGACATGCTACACGCGCACACAACAACCTTGGCGTGAATCAACACAAAAGCGACACGCATCCATCGAAAGAATGGCGCCAGCAGTCGAGGGCAGGATGATCGACCCAGCGCCAGCACCAACCAGACCGCGTGGCAGACCACGCAAGGTTCAGCCCGAGATCGACCCTAGCCAGCCCTTGCATCCGTGGGCGAGCGCATCCAAGCCAGCAACGTCACGGCAGCCTTTGGAAGCACAACAGCCGCGCATGCAGCGACCGATGCCGCAAGTCGTAGTGCCCGCCTATGCATCCCAACAGCCCGCTTCCTACGGTCCACAACAGCATGCAGCTGCTCTTTCGGCCCCTGCGTACTATGCGCGACCACCAGCTGTTGCGGCACACCTCAACTACGCAATGCCAGCACCACCGCCAGCACCCGTCCAAGCTCAGCCTTATCCTCAGCTGGACGCTGTGCCGAGAAAGAAATTGCCAACACGTGCGGATCTCGACTTTTTGCTCGGTGGACGATCGGGTTCAAGAGCTCGCTCCTCGACTCCGAATCCTGCAGCCGCAACGACACGCTTCACCCCTGCACCATCCGCCGCACCGACCATGAGGCAAGCGTCGGCGGCCCCACCGCACCACCCAAATGACGTGTATACACATGCACAGACTTCTCTCGCCGGCTCAAGTCGCGTGCCAGCTCCTTCTCATGGCGCATATGCGGCGCACTCGTACAGCGCAGTCTCAGCGCCATCAGCTCCACAGCCTCCACAGATCCATTCTGCAGCACAGGCCGGACCGTACACACACGCAGACGACCCGATGATGGGCGCACCGGAAGACGACGACGACGGACTTGCTCTCGGTGCAGAAGCAGTGATGGAGTCCGACCACAATGGCGACTCGTCGGACGCCGACGTCGAAGACGAGCTGCAGCCGCGAGACCTCGACGACCCCAACGACGCTGATTTCCGCCCCAACGCCGCTGGTCGACGTGTCATGACCAAGCGGCGCACTCGCGTCTCGCAGGCGGCGCGGCAGAGCCAGACGAGCGCGAGTAGCGTCGGCAAGGTGCCCGGCAGCGCCACCAAGCGCGCTCTCTCCAGCCAGGACTCGCCCGTCCAGAAGCGACGCGGGCGTCCGCCCAAGGAGGAGTACACGCCCGAGATGATGGAGCGCATCAAGGTGGCCAACGAGATCCTCGCCACCGCCACCACCACCAACGGCAAGATCCGGCTCAGCTCGATCATCGACAAGCGCACGCGGCGCGAGCTGTCGCCCGAGATGCGCGAGGTGATTCTGCGCGCGCGCAACACGCAGCTCCAGCGCGAGCGGCGCGATAAGCTGCGCGAACAGGGCCTGCTGGGTCCGGCGCGCCCGCCTCGCGAGAACCGCGGCGCCTCGGAGGCGGGCAAGCCCGAGAGCGCGGACGCAAGCAAGGCCAGGGTCAAGAGGAGGTACGTGCGGCGCAGCGATGCGCGCGGGGACGAGGAGGCGGATGCGGCTAGTGGATCTGCCATCGTGGCGCGCGCAAGGGGCAAGGTGTCCGAATGGATCAAGACCATCAGCAGCGATGCCGAGCCCAGTGGCGGATCCGTGACAGGCGTCGAGGTGCCGCCTGCGAGCAAGAGCGACGCAACTCTGCGCGGGGAAGCTGGACCGGTATCACAGCCCGCAGAGACGGCGCAGCCGGTTCAAGCTGAGGACGCGCAGCCAGAAGTCGAGACCCCAAAAGACGCCCAAGCAGAGGTCACACAGCCAGCAGACGCAGCAGCAGATCCCACACGGCCTGCAGACGAACAGCCAGACGATACGTTTGCGCGCTTCGCCACGGTCACGGGCCACGACGCTGCGATGCACGCCGAGCCTGCGGACGCCGCTGAGCCCGCACTCGACTCGGCAGCCGCTGATGCTGCACCGGCGACGGCGGTACCGGGCGACGAGTACTACTTTTCCACCTAATCCCGCGCACACACACACACACACACACACACACACACACACACACACACACACACACACACACACACACACACACACACACACACACACACACACACACACACACACACACACACACACACACACACACACACACACACTTACTTTTTAATCTCATTCTGCGCAATCCTTGCCTGGGGTCAGCTGTTTTCTATCATTGGCATGTTGGCGGTGTGGGGCTATGTTTCAGCGACGGCGAACCAGGCGTCGCGGGCGTCTACGGCCGCGGTGCGAACGGCACGCACTGGATCGTCGATCCCGGCGTTGGTGTGCGCGAGTTTCTTGAGCACGACGTTGCGGAGAGGGTGCAGGTGGTGGTGTTCCAACCCGCCCGTCTGGGTCGACACATCTTCTGCACTGTCAGTTCGGGCGGCTAGACTCGACAGAGTGCGCAGCGCCGCAATTCGCGTACTGGGTGGCGAGTGGGTGCCTGGCTCGATGTTCGCCAGAAGTTTGGCCGTGATGGCGGAAAGATGGCCGACAATAAGCTTTGTTGGGTTGAATCCATCTTGAGGTGCGGGGATCTTCTTGCCCACCTCGCTAGCGACCGTGAGTGCATTGGCAGCGGCAGAACGAGCTTTGGAATCGGGCAGTTCAAGAGCCTGGATGAGCAGCGGGAACAAACCCTCCAATCTTTCCACCAGCATGCTCGGTGGGAGTGAGGGCAACAACCCCGCGAGCGAAACAAGGTAGATCGTCTTGGCATCTACAGTGTCGGTGGCATGGTGGCAGTGATCCCCATGCACATGGTGTGAATGCTTCGACGCCGCCGCGTACGACTCGAGCAAGCGTGGCAGGACAAACGAAAACAGCTTCTGCTTCCACAACAGCCGCACCGTAAACCCGTTCTCCTTGGTCGAGATTCCGTCCTCGGCAACACCCACGATCGTCGACAAATCCCTCGCTGCTGCCCGAGCGAACTTCCAGTCCATCGAACGGCCCGCGCCGGATGACTGCACAAGCTGGCCCGACGAAACGACGGCGCCAGAGACATCGTCAAAGATCTCGATGAGCACGCGGTTGAGCATGGCTTCGGCGAGCTTGGACGACTTGACTACGAGTGCGCGCGTCAGCCACATCCAAACCTGCAGTGCCACTCGCCGCGTCCCCGTCTGCCCGGTGGTCTTGATGTTCTGCCCCCAAAAGTCGTCGAGCAGCGTCAGGAACGCAGGCTGCGTCTCGTCGATAAACTTGTTCACGAGTGCCGCGGCTGCCCAGTATGCGCTGTTGAGCTGCAGAGCCTGCGACGCCTTGTACACGGCATCGTCGCTACCGGCATTGCTGGCGACAGTGCGTAGCGTCCAATCGAGCAAGCATGCCAGGGAGGCCAACGCAGCCTCGTGCCGCGAGCCGACGCTCTCGGACGCGGATCCTAGCTGCACCGCTCCCGCTGCGGGCGCAGAGGCCACCACGGCAGCCGACAGAAGTGCAACTGCATTGCGACTCGCTACCGCAACCACGTTGCTCGCACCGTCCGTCGAGAACGGCGCAAACGACCGAGCCAGAGTCGACCCGGACGAAATCAGCGATTCTCCGGCCGAGCCCGAGGCAGCATCGACAAACGGCGCCTGACCGCGCACAAACGTCTTGTTGAGACTCGCCAGCAGCTCGAGCTGACGATTGGCATCGAGCAGCTTGACGAACGTGCCGAGCAGTGCGGCCGTATCCGCCACCACGGCCGGATGGGCCGCAATGCTGAGCTGTCCCGTCGCACTCGCCGCTTCGAGCCCCGAAAGCGTCAAGCTCACCAGACGCGATGGCAGCGTCTGCGCGTACTTGGCCAGGTCGCGGTGCGCGTTCTGCCGCTTGAGATCCACCATGGTCTGCAGCGTCAGGATCAGGCCGCGTGCATAGCCCAGATTGGCTTCCTGCAGAACACGCGCCTGCACCTGCACCGTCGTCGCATCCTTGCCCTCTTCGTTCTCGACACTCGTCGTCGGCCGGGCACTCGGACGACAGCATAGCTCGAGCTTGGTGAACAGCTTCACCACCACGGCCTCAAAGAGGAACGGCGCCACGCACAGGCGCGAGAGCGCGCTCAGGCTGCGACGAATGTTGGCCTTGGCCAGGTCGAGCTCGGCCTCGATCTCGTCGACTGCGCTTCCGGCACTGCGCTCCTCGGGGTTGCCGACGGGCTCGATGCGGTCCGGCAGCTTCTCGAGCAAGACGGGCAGGACGACCTGTTCGATGACGCGTGCGGTGGGATTGGCAGCCGCGAGCGTGTTGGCAGTGCGTTCGTTGGAGATCACCTCGATCGCACACAGCGCTTCCTCCCTCACATCGTCGCCGACGGACGAGACGAGCAGCGACGCCACTTCGCGCGTGAGGAAGCTCAGCTCGTCAAAGTCCAGCAGCGCCTTGTTCGACTTGGTGCCCACAGCTGCCGCAGTGCCGTCGGCCGGCGAGACGCTGTTGCTGCTGAGGATCGAGATGGACACGACCGACGAAAAGACGAGCATGGCCGAGCGACGGTACGACGTCGAACGAAGGCCGTTCGAAAGGCAGTTGAGCAGGTCAGAGATGAACGGATCCAGCGGTCGGTTGTCGCCCGCATACGAGCGCTCGATCGCACTGGCGGGCAGCAGCTGACCCGATCCGATCTCGCTCGCTGCGCCCTCGCCATGTCCCCGGACATGCGCCTTGGCGTCAACAGCAGCCTGGTTCTTGGCCAGCTCGGCGTGGCGGTACACCTTTGCCACCACCTCGAGAAGCTCGCCAATACCGGCGAGGATGGGTGTACGCTGCGCAAGGTCTTCGGGATCGGCAAACATCTTGATCATCTGGTCCATGAATCCATACACTGCGAGGTAGGCGGTGCTGGCCGAGGCACGAACCAGGCACGAGAGCACCTTGATGCCTGCCTTTGCGAGCGACTTGCCCGGCTCCTCGAGCTCGACGAGACAGTCATGAACCATTTTGGGCGCAACACCCTCGGGCGGGTCAACTCCGTGGTACAGGACATGGAGGAGCACAGTGAGCGTGTCGACGGCCAGGTCTCCCGTCTCGTCGTCGGTGGCATGGAAGATCTCGATCTTGAGGCCTTCCCAGAGCTTGGCGGCGTTGGCGAGTGCAGCGGCGCGGCCGTAGACAGGCATCGCAGCGATGAGGGTGCGCAGCGTGTCGAGCTTGGCGGGACCACCGGCCGCGCTGAGTTTCTCGAGGAGGAGTGGGTAGCCGAAAGGTGCCATGGCGGGCGAGGCAGAAATGGCAGCGCGCAGCGCGACTTTGAGGTCGTCCGAGGTGATGCCATACGGATCGTCGGGTGGCGGACGGAAGGTGATGGGGAAGTAGCAAAAGGTGATGTCGAAGAACTTTTCGGTCATCTCGCGATCCATGACCCACTCGGTGAGGAGCACCTTGTCGACGCCAAACAGTACCATGAGGTTGCGTGGATCCTTTTCACCCTGAACCATCTTGACGTAGCCCTGAAGAAAGTCCTTGCCCTCGCACGTTTCGGACTGGGAGGCAGCAATGCCAGACTGCCCCGCCTCGGGCTTCTCCGCAGACTCGTCGAGGTCCATCGCAGCGGGCGGAGAGGCTGCCGAGGCCTGCTGTGGTGGATCGGAGGATGCAGAGGCAGCAGAGGACGAGCGGAAGGTCTTGAGCGCGTCCCTGTGATGTGCGATCAGGCTGTCCAGGAGACGATAGATGATGAAACGAAGGCTTTGTGGGTGGTTTGTGGCGACAACGTGGGAGAAGAGAGCTTCGGCGACGGCGTGCGCCTGCTCCTGGCCGAAGCCCTTGACAGGTGCTGGCTCGGACGAGGCCGCGGGTGCCGCGGGTGCCTTGCACGCACTGAGCACGGATAGCGCCTTGAGAGAGCTGACAAGCATGGCGCTTCCTTGCAGCGTCTTTTGCTCTGCCTCGTTCCTGCGTGCGCGGGGCGCGGATTCAGGGAGCACCTCGGGCGCCTTTGCGGAGCGCACAAAGTTGTCGGAGATGATGACGCCGTCGGCGATCTTGTCGGCAAAGAAGGAGGAGAGGGTGCGCACGGCCTGGATTGTGAAGATGCCACTGAGCGGCTGGTGCGTTTCCGACTGGGGAGGTGGCGTGTCCGGGTCGAGGAAGTGGCATGTGAGATCGGACAGAAGTTGGACAGCTCTTGTCCTGGTCTCTTCGTCTTCGGAGGTAAGATATTCACCGAGCAGACGTACGACACCTAGAAGAGAGACTGCTCCCGTCGCCAGATCATCTACGAGCGATGGGGGCAGCTGTTGGAAGGAGCCGACCATGAAGGCCCGGACGGCCTGTGCCGGATCCGACATGGTGTGATGGAGTTTCCGTTTCGACGCCTTTCCTTTGTCCTTATGAGCGCTGCGCTGGAGTGGCGTAAAAGCGATCTGTGGACGGATCGAGTCGGCTGGATGTCGAGAGAGAAAAGATAGCGAAGGGAGAAGACGTGCTTAGTTGAGAAGGACGGCTCGCACTGACTCACACTCGAGCTCTCGGCGGCCTCTGACTGGCTGAAAACTCCACCTCGCCGGTCTTCAACCTTCGCCTCGAAATTTTGAGATGGGGTCGAGCAGCGGTCGGTCTAACAAACTCGGTTTTCGCGCCTCGGCGAATTTCCGGGGTTGCGGGTCGATGGCGAGATGAAACCGGCCGTCAAGTACGGCGCACTGTGCACCGAAGCCACCGACTTGGCCACTCTGCCACTCAGCCAGTTGGCAGGCGCGCCTCCACCTGCTGCGGTTGGAGTGCGTTTGCGGGGAGATACGATAGCGCTATGGCCACCCTCACGTTCGCATACAGCTCGTGGCTTCTTTCGTTCTCACCTTCGTCTTCGACAGTGGAAAGTTCGCATACGCACGACCAGAATGGCAGACACCGTGCGCGATGCCTCGATGGGCCCCGATCCGGACGTCGAGGGCGTGCAGTCCAACACCGTGCCGCTCGCCGAGCTTCCGCGGGTGCGCATCTGCATCTCTAGACCGTCGCTGCCGGCGTCCATCGCGGCAGGTATCGAAGAGCTCGCAAAGCACCACATCCGACCCGATGTCATCCTTCTTCATGATGACGAGCGTTCCATTTCTGCAAGTGGTCTGCCGAACAACAGTTCTGGCAGCTCCGCCAATCCGCCGGTCTGGAACTGGAACGTGCGCTTTTCCGAGCGTGCGGCAGCCTTCGACGATCCATCACAATCACCGCAAGGCCCGCTCACATGGCGCTGCTCGACCTCGTCTGCTACATTTGCACCTCTGCATGACAACGCACAAGCGTTGGGGACTGAGCCCGTCGACGAAGCTTTCGTGATCCAGGCCGACTTCCATTCCAGCGCCCCACACCTCGCCTTCCGTGCTCTGGGCCACGTACTTGGCGTGGCAAAAGACTGTCTGTCACCGCGCAACAGCGACACAGACGGAACTCGACTCCATCCAAATCTTTTCGCGCCCACGTCCGGGTCACAGTCTGGCCGCGGCTACTTTCTCTGCCCAGACGTTGCGAACGAGCGGCTCAATATCGTCCAGACCGCCGACTACGAAACGATCGGCACCATGATCGACTGTTCGCGCAACGGCGTACTCAATGTGCGATCTACCAAGTACCTGCTGCGCATCTTGGCTTTGCTCGGCTACAACATGCTCCAGCTCTACACCGAAGACACCTACGAGATCGAGGGCGAGCCCTTCTTTGGCTACATGCGCGGCGGCTACTCGCAAGCCGAGCTGAAGGCTATCGACGATTACGCGGCCAAGTTCGGCATCGAGGTGATTCCGTGCATTCAGACGCTGGGTCATCTCGGACAGATGCTCCAGTGGCCACGCTATCTTGGCATGCGCGATACGGCCGAGGTGCTGCTTCCCGAGTGGCCCGAGACCTACACCATGCTCGAAAAGATGATAAAAGCAGCAACTGCGCCTTTTCGAAGCAAGCGCATTCATCTCGGTATGGACGAGACGCACGGCCTGGGTCATGGCAGGTACTACTCGATCTATGGCCATCAGAACAACAAGCCGGGCAGCCAGATCTTTGTCGAGCATCTGCAAAAGGTCAACACCATATGCCAGTCGCTCGGGCTGGAGCCGATGATCTGGTCCGATATGCTCTTCTGCCTCTCGGCGCGTAACAACTCGCTGGTGGGCTATTACGATTCGGCACAGCCGCTCGATGTCAAGCAGCAGGGGATCCCACAGGATGTCGACCTCGTCTACTGGGACTACTATCACACCTCGTCGACCAGCTACGAGACGCGCATCAAGAACCACGAGGAGCTACGCGGTGCAAGCCCCTGGCTTGCTGCCGGATCGTGGACGTGGTCGCGCTTCTGGACTGCCCTTCCATTCACGTTCCAAACCATCGAAGCCAACCTGACTGCAGCCAAGAACTCGCCTGGCGTACGCCACGTCTTCCTCACAATCTGGGGTGATGAGGGGAATGAGGTGGACCTCTGGTCGTCTCTGCCAGCCTGGTGCTACTACGCAGACCACGCCTACTCGACAACATTCACAGCGCCAAATGCACAGGCGGCGCAGGGACTGGACGTGTCGCTGGTCAAGAGCAAGTTCGACGCCATCGTAGGCGGGTGTTGGGACGACTTTGTGCGTGCGTCTGCGATCGACGATACCACCAAGGATGGCGTGGCCGTGGCGGCGGACGACAAGATCCACTTTGCGCCCAACACGAGCAAGTGGATGCTGTGGGGCGATCCCGTGCACAGCTTTGCCGAGCCCACGCTCGTCGCATCCGGCTTTGATGCCGAACAGCATTTTGCCAGCCTAGCATCGACGTTGAGCGACCGCCTGGAGGGTGTGACGCTCGAAGAGCCGCTGCGCCATCGCGACACGCTCGTCGCTAGGCCGCAAAGTGAGAGTGGCGTCAAGTCGAGCGGTGCAGGTGGATTGTTGGGTGCAGCAGCATCCTTGTTGGGTGTTGGCGGCTTCGGCGCGGGCGGGCGATCGACGGAGACGGTGCGGGTTTTGTCGGATCATCCGATGAATGCGCGACTGGAATTGGCACGGCTGGTGGCACGTACGCTGTCGCTCAAGGCGAATCTGCGCCAGCGACTGCACCAGGCCTACGCCTCACGCAACTGGCCGCAGCTACAGCATCTTCACCGCCGAACGGGTCGGTGCTTGGAATCGGCCACGCGGCTGTGGCAGTATCACCGTCAGGTGTGGATGTCCATGTACAAGCCGCATGGATGGGAGACGCTCGAGCTGCGATACGGTGGCCTCGTCTCGCGTCTCGACACGCTCCATCGCCGTGTAGGCGCATTCCTCGATCACGTCCTCGACCGTTCACATCCTGATGAAGATGCGGCCGCCACGGGGGACTCGCTCCAGGCGTGTGCGGCTAGGGCAGATGTATTCCTTCCGTCACCCACGCGCTCGGGCGACTCGCAGGATACATCGCAGCGCTCGTCGCTCGACGACGAACAGACAGACCCAAGAGCAGGCAGTGCAGGCGATGACGAATCCATGCACTCGAACCGTGCCACCCCACGCACCAAATGGGGATGGCACGAACCCGTCACCTCGCTCCCCGAACTCGAGAAACCGCTTCACCTCGTCTACGGCAGCCCCGAGCAGCTGCTCGATTACCACCGCGTCTCACGCCCCACCTACTGCTGACCTCCCGTCACACCACACTCTGAGGAACACTTTTGGAAAAGCATTGCAATTCAACACGATACACTTGATGTACATCGCTGCAAGGGCAGGCCTTGGCGAATGGCAAACGACGTCCGACAGCTCAGGCGATGAAGGGGAACATGGCCTTGCGCTTGGGGTACTCCTTGCCGAACTCCTTCTTGTAGTTGCGGTGCTTCTTGATCGCCCACACGTACATCTGCGCCGTCGAGACCGCCGCGAACAGCGCGCTGGCCGGGTTGAGCGTGAGCACCGTAAACGCCGCCCAGGCGACAAACTCGAAAAAGTAGTTGGGGCACGAGACGAGCTCAAATGCAAATCCGCGCGGGATCTTGCGCACCTTGGTGCCTGCCGGGCGCAGATTCTTGAGGATAATGTGCGTGTAGGCGTTGGAGAGCTCGGCGAGCACCATGACCGCCGCGGTGCCAAAGATGAACTTGGGGTTGTCCTGGATCGTGCCTGCCACCGACGACGCCGAGAACCAGGGCGAGTAGACGAACGGCGCCAGCAGGAAGCCCGACAAGAACCAGTAGTGCGTCGAGTTCTTAAAGATGTTGAACAGCGGCATCGTGCCGTTGCTGAATCGGTGCACAAACAGCGTCTCGAGCTCGCGCTTGACGTAGTGCGCCACAGCGAGCGAGAGCGCCACCGTCTGCATCTTGGACGGCACAAACTCGCGCCGCCAGATCTGCGGGCCAAAGTAGTAGAAGAGCGGGTGGATGAAGATGGGGCCGGCATACTCGGTGAGGAAGACCGTCTTCCAGCCGATCTGCGGGCCCAGATCCTTGACATAGACCGTCTGGCCCGAGGCGACGCCGAGGTCAGCGAGCGACTTGTCATCGTCGAGCAGCGGCTTCTTGTCCTCGGTGGTGATGCGCTGGCGCTCGACCGTAAGCTTGCGCGAGGCCGAGGCCACCTTCGTCTTGAGCTCGCCCAGCGTCGACTTGGACGACGACAGCGAGACGGTGAGCGGGAAGCCCTTGGAGGCAGGCTTGCCAGGCGCACTGCGCTTCTCAACGGTTACAGTGAAGGCCATCTTTGCAACTGCTTCACTCTTTCTTCTGAGAATGGGGAAGGAAAGGTGGTCGTGGTTAGGGTTAGACTTGGATCGAGATCGAGGCTCGGTTTCTTGGTTGAGAAGCGCCGGAACGGAGAGCTGGCTGGCTCAACCGCACTCGCTCTCTGGCTGTCGATTCGCCCTCATCGCAGCGACATGACTGCTCAGCTGCGTCGGCCCGCCCGCAACATGACAAACGCGCGTGACGCGCCTCGCATCTTGGCCCCGGAGAGCCTTCTGAAAATCATCGACGGCCGCTTTTTTTGGGAAAATCGGTTAGCCGGTGGGCCGCCGTTGAGAAGAAAACGACCTTGGCAGCTTTGTCCCCGACTTCCGAGATCTTGCTCGAGAATTTGGGCTGCAAGGCGAAAAAAGTGAGAGCTGCTCATGGTGCCAGCCGCCTCCACACCATCCCAGCCTGTTGCTCTGAAGCGACATTCTTATTGGCACGGCCATGACGACGCAGTCAAGACAGACCACGTCCGAGGTGGAGGCCAGCTTCTTGCGCTGGTTCCGACAGTCTGGCGGCTCGCTCGATGCTCGCTGCCGCATCCAGCCCATCCCCGGCATGGGCAGAGGCATGGTGGCCAACGCCTCCATCGACGCTGGCGAAACCATCTTTGTTATCCCGCGTCATGCCTTGCTTAACCTCGCCACATCAACGCTTGCCAAGCGCTGCTCAGAGGCAGAAGCTTCATCCGCTAGTGGATCTACTTCCAATGCAGCCGAAGCACTTACATGGAAAGAGGTCAGCAAGATGGGGTGGCTTCCCCTCATCCTGGCCATGATGTACGAACGAAGAAGAGCGGCTCATCTCTCCGACAACACTATGCCCAGCAAGTCCACGGCTGACGACGGCGATGTATCCATGGAGAACGGTGAAGCAGCGTCTGCACCCTCGGAGCAGCTCGAGGGGTCGAACGAAGACCGCGAGGACCTGCGCCAGGCTCCCCGCACCTTCGGAGAGCAGACCTGGGGCGCCTACTTTGACATCATGCCGACGGACTTCAGTACTCCCATGTTCTGGAGTCCAGCAGATCTGCAGCATCTGGCGGGCACCTCGATCGCCGACAAGATCGCCAGGGACGAGGCCGAAGCCGACTACCACAACAAGGCGCTTCCATATATCCGCTCGCTACCGCAGGTGTTCCTAGACGGCACAGGCGCAGAGGATCACGAGGCGGAGCTGAACAGGTGGTACTCGCTCGACACCTACCACATTATGGGCTCTCGCATCCTCAGTCGCAGCTTCCACGTCAAGAGCCGCAAGAAGGGGCTCGAAGGCAAAACGGTCGACATGGACGACCTCGACAGTGACGAGGATGAAGACGAGGAGGACGACGAGTCTGAAGCTGAGCTGCTCGAAGACGAGGGCGAGGCGGACGAGACACCGGACGACGGCGCATCACAGGGCGAACCCAAAGAAGCACAAGAAGCGAACGATGATGACGAAGATGGCGATCAAGACGACGACGATGATGATGACGATGATGACGAGGATGAGGAAGAGCAAGAAAATGTGGTCGATATCTCGATGACCCCCATGGCCGACATGCTCAATGCGCGCTTCGAGTCGGACAACGCCAGGCTTTTTTACAAGTCGCACGTGCTCGAGATGCGCGCGACGAAGCCCATCTCTGCTGGCGAGCAGATCTTCAACACGTACGCCGACCCTCCCAACAGCGATCTGCTTCGTCGATACGGCCACGTGGACGAGCCCAACGGCAGCGACGTGGTTGAGCTGGACGCCAAGCTGGTGCTCCAGGCCGCCAAGGCCCACCTTGCACGCGTGCTCTCGGCCGATGCGGATGCGCTGCAGAAGGACCTCGAGGAGCGCTTGGAGTGGGCGTGTTCGTCACTTGGAATCGACGAGGTGTTCATCCTCAACTACCTCTTCACGCCGGGCAGCAAGCCGCCTCATCGCGCGCAGCCCGAAAAGCCAACCCCGAAGGAGCTCAAAGCAGCCGCAACGGGCGGGGGTATTTCCGAGGAGATGATCGCGCTCACGCGTGTGCTATGCATGTCGCGCGAGGCGTTCGACAAGGCGCGCACCAAAGGCAAAGGCCCCAGCGCCCGAGTCGAATCGCAGGAAGAGCACACCCTCCCCAACGACAAGGCGGTGCGAGTCTCGGCAAGCCAAATCATGATGGACGCCATCGATCTGCGGCTCCAGCAATACGCCGGCGGTGCGGGCGTGAGCGAGGAAGAGGCCAAGCTCTACGGCTCGCGCAAGGACGAAGTTGGCGGCGACAACGAGCGTCGCGCGCTGGTGGTGCGACTGGGCGAAAGGCGCGTGCTGCTCGACCAGAAGCGCGTCCTCAACTACGTCTTGGACCGCATCCGCGAGGCCGAGGCCGAGGCCGCCAAGGCCAAAAACGCCAAGGACGCCGCAAAGAGGAAAGGCAACTCGAACGGAAAGGCCAATGACGCCAGCAAGAAGAAGCAGCGCCGATAGATGCCAGCAATGCGGACATCCACACGATCCTGGTGCCCTTGCTGTCTTCTGGGAGCCTTCCCCTCGGTGAAGAGGCGTGAACCATGGCGACTGAGATCGGTTGTATCGGGCTCTGGCTGTGGTTGATTGCGCATTGTCCAGATCGGGCTTTGTGGCGTTGCGGCAGCTCCCGCAACCTCGGAGTCTCGGCTAGTTTTTAATCTATTTACCATTTTATTTAATGCTGAATTCTCTTGTCGGGAAGCCGTCCATGTCCTGACTCGAAGCCAGAGCTGCATTCCGAGCATTGCCGCTGGGATCTAGATCACGAAGGCCAGGACGGTCATGTCGCATCCCTGCCGCAGCATCCCTGCCGCTGCATTCATGCTGCCTGACGGAGCATAACGGGAATGCAAGGCCGTCGGAATGGTGTGCCGAGATGGGCGATTTCCCCGCAGCGGCTGCAGCGGACGACGCACGACCAAGCATGTCGATGCCACCGCGTGATGCCCGTCACTGACGCAGTGTAGCAGCATCTCTACAGCGTGGCAACTGACAACATTCGATAGACGATGAACAGAGTCACGAACCTGGACCCTTGCCGGCCTCCAAGTCTGACTCGCACTGGCTGGCGTCGCCTTGCTTGCACCCCGTGCTTTCCGAACGGGCTGGGCCTTGATCACCTCGTTGCTGCCGGCCTCGCTGCGACCTCCTGACATTCGATTGTGTTTTGCTCTCCGATGCCCCTTGAGCGCACGGATCTCTCAAAGCGCCACAGCTTCCCCGCAGACAACAACACCTTCGATCTCGGCTTGGCTGCCCATCTTGATGTCGGGTGAGCAGTTGTCGGTGGCTTCAGCCCAGGCCCTAGCATGTATTTTTATTTTCTCTTTACCCCGCAAAAATAGGGCGAGGCGAAGCGAGGCGAGGCTCGTTCTGCCGCTGTCTCTCCATGCCCTCGTAAACTTGGCCTCGCATCGTCGGAGCTTTGCTTGGTTCGCACGGTTCTGCCGTACCGCCGCCCTGCCTGCTGCTATGCCTGCCAACCCCGCTCTTTTCCACGATAGCGCTTCAACCGCCTGCGCGCTCTCGAGATCTAATCTCCCGTCCGTGCCGAAGTCGTAGCCGCCCCAGACCTTGCTGCGTCGACAACTCCTGTCCCTCCCGCGCATCTCGCCTCCCCCGCTTTCTGTCTTTCGTCGTTCACCACGTCTCAGGGCTTTGGGACTTGCCGTGGCCTGAAGTGCTACCCCGCATTTCTCCATCCGTCCATCGAGTCGCTCATATATACCACATGCTCTCCCGCCTCCGCCGCGTCTCCACCTGAAGGTGCCCGCTTGACGTTCCCCGTGCTGCATTCCGTCCATCGGTCTTGTGCCATCCATCGCTAATACCACTCACCAGCCACCGGCTTTCAGTGTAGCAGACCACGACTAAGCTGCTACTCGGCACGCCCTTGATCACACCGCCTGTGCTCATCCACCTGCTGTCTATCGCCCGGCTTTCCCTTGGCGCCGACATCCGGCACGGATCAGCCCTACCATTCACTGCCGCCATGTCCACCTCGACCCAAAACATCCAGACAGCCACAGTCCCGACCGCTGCTGCGCTCGATCCAGCCATGAACGCCGTGAACGACGACACCGCGGCTGGCGCCGCACGCTCGCGCAAAAAGATGTACAAGAACTGCGATCGCTGCCGCCAAGCCAAACGTGCCTGCTCCGCCCAGTACGTCAGCATCGCCGAGGCGCTTGCCAACAAAGTCGCCTGTAAGAACTGCAAGAAGAAAGGAGAGGTGTGCACATTCAACAGCCTCATCAACTCGTTCGGCGGCATCCCTCTTGCTGGTCTCACGGGAGCCGCTTTCGCCGAAAGCCTCCAAGAGACCACCAACGGCTTCCCTTCAGAAAACACCAACGCCGCTGCCTCCAATTCCATCAACATCGATGAGACCCTCGCTAGCGAGCCGGAGTCGAGCAAAGCTGCCGAACGACGTCGAGATAGCCAGTCTTCCATCGACAATGTCAACGCCGTCTTTGAGCTGCTCAACAGCTGTGACGACCTGGTTCAGCCGCCCGCCAAGCGACGAAAGGCTTCGGCACTCGACACGCAGCAGGACATTTCGTCGTACTCGGGCTTTGTGCAGCCAGCTTCCAATGCTGCCTCCAACTCGCTCGTCCTCAGCCGCGCACAATCGCCCTACGCGGAAGATGAGTCGGACACGTCCGTGTTCGACATCCTCGGCTTCCAGATCTGGGGATCAGCACCCAGCGTACGGCTCGCACAGACAGCAGACCGACAGCATCTCAACTCGGACCTTCTCAGCGTCTACGAGGGAGCTGCCGAATCCGCCTTCCGCGTGTGGGTCACCGATGCCACCACGCCCTATTTGCTCTGCGCCGACTCGTTAAGCTCGACTTCGGCCGCCATGTCCCTCAACAAAAAAGTGACGCTGCTGGATCACGCATCGAAGCGCATCTTCAAGGCGGACAATGCAAGTCGCAATGTCGAGAAGCGCGTCTCGGAGGCGTACCATGCCGTGCTGCTCGCGTATGCAGCCCAATGGCCACGACATCGCAACAACCAGACGGCCAGTCGCGCCGAATGGAAGCCCGACGAGGCACGCATCCGGCTCTCGCTCTGGAAGCAGGCGCGCGACAAGCTCATGGACGCCGCAGATGCGTGGTCGTTCCGCATCGTTTTTGCGCTCATCCTCTTTGCTTGGACCGAGAAGCCGCGCGAGGTGCCCGACGACGAGGCTTGGGGCTCGGACAGCGAGCCGCCCGCACAGCTGCATGAAGTGCCTTCGCTCGACGAAAACAGCGCGCTCGACTCCTCTTCCTGGCAGATCAACGCCGAGGCCAGCACCATGATGCTCGCCACCGCCATGCGCAAGCTCAAGGCATTCCGGCTCAAGATCCAGCAGCTCAGACGTAAGGGTATCGACCTCTGGTCCACCGAAGAGCCCGGGCTCGAAGCGTCGCAAGTCGCGCATCGCAGAGCGGAAGCAACGCTGCTCGAGAACACGTATCACAACCTGTACTGGTTCGGCTGCATGATGGACACCGAGCTCAGCGTGCTGCGCAAGTACGATGCTGTGATCGGCGATGAGGACTCGGATCTCACCGACCAGCTTCTTTCGCCGCAGCGCGCAACGAGTCTGCGCAACGAGACCGAGAGCTTTGCCACGGGCGCAAATGCGGCGCGCAAGCCGGTGCGCAAGATCTGGGACGAAGTCATCCCAGCCAACAGCCAAAAGTTCCGACACACCTTCGCCAAGAGCTGGCCATGCTCGGAAGAGGAGGCGAAGCGCACTCTGGCGTATGCCACGCCGATCAAGGTGCTCCTGTTCCGTCACGTCGGGCGGCTGCAGTCGAGCTACTGGCGCCAGGCTTCGAGCGAGCAGATTGAGCGACAGATCGCCCACGTCCTCTCAGTCGTGCGCCACTGGGACGAGACCTTTGCGCCGTTCTTTGCGAGCTGCATTGCGCACCACCACGAGCTGCCGCCGTCCATCCAGAGCTGGCACGTCATCACGGCGACCAAGTGGAACCTCGCCGCAATCCTGCTCGTAGAGCTGGTGCAGACCATCGACCGCTCCGCCGCCTCGTCGGATCCGTTCCAGAACACCGGCGAGATCTTTGCCTCCCTGCGCACCAAGGTGTGTCTCAACACGGCGGCGCTCATCGATGCCATTCAGCGCTCGAGCCTGGCACGCGTGCCGAGCGCCGAGTCGCCGTTCGAGTTCATCCATGCGACCGACAGCACGGTGCTGCACAGCGATCCGTGGCCCGAGATCTCGGTGCACGGATTCGCGTGCGTGGCCAAGTGCGAGATCAAGCAATTCGCACAGCTGGCGGCTCGCAGTGCGTGGGCGGAGCTCGAGGCGGCAGAACAGCGCGTGCACAAGTGCATTTGGGCGCTCGACCAGCTTAGCAACCGCTCGACCATGGCCGTGGATGCAAGCGCAGAGGTGGCCAAGCTGCTCGAGATTCACTCGCCCTTCAAGCAGCAGCAGCGCCAGCAGCAGCTGCAGATGCACATGGCGCGCGACGAGGACGCAAGGTCAAAGTCAATCGACGCGTCGGTGGCCGCACAGACGCCCGCTATTGAAGCGTTCCTGGCAGGTGGTGGCAACGTCGCTCCCCCCGCGCCCATGCCTTCTGCTTTCACCGACGAGGTTTGGGCGTCTTGCTTGCAGATTCTATCCGAATCAGAACCCAGAGAAGCCACGGGGAGTATGGACGAAACTCCGGACGCTGCAAGCTCGTCACTGCTGTGGCCGGACCTCGGCGTGCCGTCGACGTCGTCGATGCCCCTCGCGGATGATACAGATTCGGCTTCTTCCGATCACTCGCTCTCGCCCACGTACACCTCCTCTACAGTCACGTCGTCCACCGTAGCCCCGATTGATCCGCTCCCGCTTCCGGCTACCGCACCATACGCCGATTATTTTCCTGACATGAAGGACCACGACGCGATCCTCCCCACACTCGATAGCTTCCCCAATTCCTTCCAGTTCCGCGTCTAGTTCAGCTCAATATCACGGTTGTTTGGTCCATCTTCGGTGCAGTCGGTGTTTGAGCTTCATGCTTGTTGATGGGCAGATGAGATAACATGCTGCGCGGTGCACTGACGGTAGCCGATTGTGATCTCAAAGAGTTAATTTTTCTTTTTCGTCCGCGATTTTTGGTGCCGATTTTTTTGACGGAAATTCTTGGGCGCAGCAATATTTGTGCAAAGAACAAAGGCGCGCCAGTGTGAGTAAACGACCCCTTGCTGGTGCTTGGCACTTGGCACCGGTATTGCTCGGCTTGAGACGTCTTCAGACAAGAAGCGATCATGCAAGGGACAGCCGAACCACACTCGCATGACGAGGAATGGGGAAATCATTCACTGGAATTGAGATGTGATAAACGAGATAGCAGCGCGAAGCATTTGCCATGAAGGGGGAAGAAGGAGGAAACGAGAGTTCAGGGATGCCTCCGGGCTGCTGGCATTCGTGATTGAAGAGGTAAGTGCAATGGTCAGTATTGTACCTTCGACTGCCCACCGCTGTGTGGTTGAGATCGTATCATCCAAGCACACTCACGTGACAAGAGAACGGCGATCGGGGCCCCAACGGTGCACCTGCCGGACGCCGTGCTGATGAGCATCTTCAGAAGTCCAGCCGGGTGAGCCAGTGGATATGGCTCTCGTTTCCAATATTCTCGATACCGCTGAGGTCCACGCTGTTGCAATCTGAGTGGAACTTGCCCAGAGCATAAACTGATCCCTCGAAATTGAGATGGTTGTCATTCCCCCTTGTAGGCTGCTCAGAGTGGATGCTGAATATGCTGGTGATCTCGACCGAGTCGGTCAGCTCGACCTTGATTCGTTCAGCAATCTCGGACGGATTCACCCCGCGATCGAGCTTGCTGAGAACGAACAGGACCTGGTCGGGTTCTATCTGCGCCCATGCTTGCTCCTGTTCGAAAAACTGACCGTTGCAAGTCAAGTCGATGCGGTAGAAGTCGTCAAAAAAGGCAACATTGACGACCTCGACATCAATGTATGTCTCATTGTCGAGGCAGATTGCAGGGCGCACGATATAGTCCTCTTGCCTGATGTCTGGGATGAAAGCCTGTATGGCTCTGTCAAGCATGGTGTCGAGATCCTCGGGACAGACAGACGTCCAGTCGTAATCGTGACGGAAACGGTGCTTCAAAACGCCCGAGAAACCAGGGCCTTCAGAGTCGGAATCCTCGCTGTGCGGCCAGGAGTATACTGCCGGCGCAGGCCAGTGGTGGATCGCCTTGAACTTCAACGGAGGAGCATGACCAGACTCGCTGCCACTGTCCTTGGTGTTGGCGGTGCCTTTGGAATACGCAGCGTGAAGCTTGCGCAGATGGAATCAGAAGTCCATGTTCTTGAACGAGCCCTCCGAGATGCAGACACCCAAGGTTTTCTGGCCAGGTTCGACGGGTTCGTCTGCGCAGAAATACGGCCCGGGATGACTTTCGATATCCATATTGGGAAAGAGATGGCGAGGAAGGTCGATGCGAAAGATCGAGACTGACACTTTGGCAACGACGCAACTATATTCATGCTTCTCCCCTTGTCGACATGCTTTCGAGCAACTTAGCTCGTCTGGTTTGTCATTTCGCACCCGTGGCTGCCTCGACGTGCAAAAGCTCGCTCTTAGGAATCCTCAGAGGCTCGAACGACACACACAGGCACATTCGGCGGCTGAAGCTGCGAACATCACTTCCAGTCCGAGCGGCTGAAGCGACCGAAGTGTCTCCGGATTGCGTCTTCTCACGGCTCGGCCTGTCAAATGGACACCTGTCAATGCGCATATCGTATCGATAGGCAGTTGACGCGCTATCGTGGGATCAGAAAGCTAAAGAATCTTCATAAGCGGGCGGAAGATCGCGAAGCTCGACACACATGAAATCGGCATGAGAGCAGCAAGGACAGAGACGAGAATAAGAATTTCATAGCCTGTTTCCGTTCTCTCTTCTGTCTGTGGCGTCAGCATGGCTGCCACACTCCAGAAGAATCAGGTCCCGCTTCAATGAAGGAAAGGCTCACATGCAGGGGCACACATGTGCGCGGAAGTTCTTTTGCGCCAAAATGCAGTCGTTCATCTGGTGAAACCGCTAAAGTACGGGGCACACGGCAGGAAGCGAGACAGAGTGTGACGAGAAGCGGACATTGGACGTTGCCGATGCAAGTGCATCTACAGGATGACGAGTATTCGAGACGCGAGATGGAAGCGCAAAGCCTCTGTTGGACGAGACGCGAAAAGGGAAGGAACGATAGCTGCCTCGTGGCCACCTGGTGATGCAGATACGCAGTTGATGACAAGAGGACGCAATCAGCACAAGGCATCGCCGGCGTCCACAACAGCACAGTGGCGTTGTTTCAAGTGACTTACTTCTGACCAGAGGAAGGATCGATCTTCGATACATCAATCGGCAAAGCACCCCGACCGAGGTCAGAAGAAGGGCTTGGCAAGACAGCGAACCTTGTACACTTCCTCGCCGTCCGAACCTTCTACGTCTATCTCAAACGAGATGAAATAGTCGCGGGACTTGCGGAATGTGCCGAGAAAATAGATGAAGCCTTGGAAATTGAGGCGGGCAGGCTCTCCCTCAGGGACTTGATCCGAGTAGAGGCCCCAGATGTTGGTGATCTCCACAATCTCGTCGACCTTCTTCTTGACTTGCTCTGCCACCTCCAGTGGCTTGACTCCACTGCCCAGTCTCTCTGTTAAGAGCAATACTTGGTCTGATCGTATTTGGGCACAGGAATGAGAGTAAGAAAAGTCAGAGTGGAGCCGGACGGACCTGACCTGTTCAAAAAGGGCCATATTGAGGAGCGTTACATCAATGCATTTTGTTCCATTCTTTCCCATGAAAGGATCGCCAACAAAGTAGTCGTCTTGATCGATTCCGCTGATGGAAGATCGTAATTCGGCACTGAACTTCTTAGAAGAGCATCGTGACCCGAAACCGCTCCTCTATTCGTAGCGCAGCTTCACGAGCCCCAAGCAACCGAACGGGAACTTGCTGGAAGGCTCCTTGTTCGAGCTCGACGATCGCGGCCAATAGTGCACCGCTTTGAACTTTGTCGTTGGCAATGCGTCAGATTTCTCCATTAGATTGGCAAAGTCGTCGTAGTCGATGCCGGCCAGCTCGCGCATCTGGTCAGCGTGGCTGGTGTCAGCGGCTTTCTCGCACATGGTGCGGATGGATGAGTGTGATGCAAGTATGGAATAGATACAACAGGAAAAGAGAGCAGACGTGGCGAGGCTCTTTAAGTATCCGCTCTCCGTCCTTGACTGAACTGCACTGCCCGCATTCTCTCTCCCAGGCGCTGCTCCTCCGCGTTCTTCGTCTGAAGTGCGAGGAACCCGAATCTTTCCGCCCGTTCATCTGATCATGAGATGCCTGAGACAAAGCACTTCACTTGCAAGATCACAGCCACATTATGATATTGCGCATGCGCAGCGTGAAGCGCACGGCATCCCACGCTCTGAAATGAAGTGCAACTTTAAGATCACAGCCGGTGGAGTTAAAGTGCCCTTTGCGCGGTCACCTTCACACGCGAGGACTTGGGCTGTGATCACCTGCCGACAAGCCGTTGATTAACGGCGTGACACACAGACGCTCACGACAAGTGTGACCGAAATTCGCAGCATACGCATGGCGAGAGAACTGGATTTTATTGGTGAACATTCAGACACAGGAGAGAAGCAGGAAGACTTAGTCGCATGCGCAGCTGGCTGTAGGCGGAACCTCTAATGAGCTCCTGGACAGGGCGCTGTGCAGCATTGAAGAGAGCACGCCGAAAACACTTTTGAGTAGATCGTAAGGGCTGACGATGTCGAGCGAGACGGAGAGGCTGCGTGCAGCCAACCTTTGTTTGGAAGTCTAGTCGTCACGTGTAGGTTCGTAGACATAATCCCATCCATTGGCGTGCCCACTCCATAAGGGCTGGGTGATGCAGCGTACGCTGTGATTGTTGCCAGCGTGCTCGATGCCCTTGAGGTCCACAAAGGGAGGATCTTTGATGGGACGCCAGCCTGATTCGGTGTCGCTGATATACGGACGAGCCTTGCCAACAAGATAAAGAGAGCCCTCGAATTGAAGGCGGGAAGCCTCTTCGGGAGGACTCTGGGCTGAGTGCACGCCCCAGACGACACTGAAATCGACTCTCTTGCGGAACTTTTTCTTGATACGGTCGGCGACCGCCACGGGATCCACCCTCTTGTCGAGACCTTTGACGAGAAGAACAACAGCATCGTAAAGAAAGTCTGCTCCGACAGAATGGTGTGCGAAGTAGACACCGCCGCGAGTGGTGAAGTTGATCTTGAAGAATTCGTCATGGTAGGCAGGATTGATAAGAAGGATGTCGATGTAGCACATCACTTCGCCGATCCAAAAAGGCCCAGACACTACGTAATCCTCTTCTTTGATGTCTGGTACGAAGGTTGCAACTCTCTGATGGAGCTCTGCGCACCTTATCTTGGTTTCTCGGGGTCCGCAAAGACCACCGCCTCTGATCTGGAAGCGGTGCACCACGATACCGGAGAAGCCGGAAGAGGAGAGTCTGGGAGCGCGGAAGCCTGGCAGCCGACGATGGTGGAGCACTTTCGCGGGAAAGATGAGCCCAGGCTCAAGGTAGTGGACTGCTCTGTACTTGTGTGCAGGCATCGAAAGCCAAAACTTTAGTCCTGCAAGATAATCGTCTTCTTTATATCGGAAACCAGCGACTTCGCACAGGTTCCGGAAGTACTGCACAGCACTAGCACTGACATCAGGGGTGCTTGCGATCGTCGCCTCGGCTTCATTTGCGCCCTCGGCATCCTTTGCCTCTGATCCACCACTGTAGTCTTTTCCGGAATCCTTGACCGGAGACTGCGCGGGAGACGGAGGGATCTCTTGGTAAGGACTCTGAGCATCGTTTCTGGCCCCATCAGGAGCGTCCTTGGCTACGTCGACCATGTTTGCAAGCAATCAAAGATGGGTTTGGTGCAGAAAAGTGGAAGAAAGGAAAATAGAAAGAGCGGGCACCGGATAGAAGCGACGCATATTTATGATTGTTGACGATCCCCCCATCAAAGCTCTGATCCTGCCGACTTTCTGCCAAGCCGGAGCGCAGACTCAAAATCACGAGCCATTCTCTCCTCCTGCGAGATGCCGAAAGCAAACCTTCTTCAAATGAAGCACACGAAAAGCTTTTGCGCACCGAGAAAAACGGTGGGGACAGCGGAACTTTATCACATGCGCATGAATGGGTTGAGGGTAAAAACGTTACTTATGACGTGCATGTCAGATATGATTTCGGGACGAGACACTGGAAGCCATGGATCTACACACAACACATCGGAGACATAGTCTGACCGATGGTGACGAGCACGGTCCGTCGCGACGAGCAACTGGGCGATGTGCTCGGCTTTGCTGCCTGCAAGCACCTTCTACTTGTTCTTGTTCTTGTACGTCTCGCCTCGTTCGGCCTTTTCGTCCTGATCCGTGCGCCTTCCGCCGTTCGCCTTCCTGTCATCCGCGAGCGACTGAGCGAACTTGGAACGCTCTCGGATCTGGGGACCCTTGACGTAGAAGACGTAGACGGGAATGGCGACGATGATGGCGAGGAAGGCAAGCAGCGTGCTTGCCCACTCCAGTCCGAGGCGGTTGTAAAGCGGGGTTGCGTACATCGCCGAGATACCGGCGAGGAAGTCACGCGCAAGCGCATTGCCTCCCGTCGCCGACGCCGAATAAGGGCCGTATGCTGCAATCATGTAGTCGATCGTGCTCATGTAGATCGAGTAGTTGGCGATGGCGATCATGGTCGAAAAGATCATGGGGGCGATCCAGTGGACGCGAGGAGGGCCGAGCGAAGTCCATGCGAAGCCAAAGAGTCCAAGCGTCTCGAGTGGAACGAGGTAGAGCAGCAGCCAGAGACGTGCTTCGGGAGCGAGCGCGTCCGGATTGCGCACGCGGCGTTTGCGCTCCCAAATGAAGCGGGGAATGAAGATCAAGTAGCCAAGCAGGTAGCCGAGGTTGATCGGGATGAATGCAAGACCGACCTGGACGGTGCTGAAGCCCCACTGCTTGTACACGAGCTGGAATGACTCGAGGAAGATGAAGATGAGCATGTCCGAGAAACCGGAAAGCAGCGAGAGGAAGAGCACGATCGGCTCGCGGACGAACATCTCGAAAGGTCGCAGCCAGTACTTTCCGATCTCGCGCATGCTGAATCGGTCCGTGCGGACCTCGTTGGGGCCGTAAATGTTGTTCTCGCCATTCTTGCGGCGACGCTTCGCCTCGCGGTCCAGGAGAATCGTCGACCTGGTCTCGGGAACGAGCACGAAGTGAACGATCTGAACAACACCACCAAAGATGAGCTGGACCCAAAAGTTCCACTCCACCTTGAGATAAGCCTGGATGAAGCCTCCAATGAAAGGGCCGACCGAGGTACCGCCGACGGAGGACAGCACGACGAAAGCCACGGCAAACTGCTGCTCATCGGGCTCCCACATGTCTGCCACCATGCCGAGCGTCACCGAGCCTCCGGCGGTGAAGAGACCGCCAAGGAAACGAGCGACGATCAGCGAGCCGTAGTTGGGCGCCAGGGCAGCGAGCACCTGCCAGATGTTAACGAGGAAGAGCGATATCTGGAGGACGGGCCATCGACCGATCTCCTCTGACCAGGGTGCCCAAAACTCGCACCCGAACGCATAGGCGACGAGGAAGATCATCTGACCCACACGAGCAGCTGGCTCGCTGACACCGTACTTCTCCGAGACACCAGTGACGGCGTTGGGGTAGACCGAGGTGTTGAAGTTCATCGAGACCTGTACGGCGAAGATGACGCAGAGAATGGCCCACTTGCGCCAAGTGGGATACGAGTAGCCCGTGGCCAGGTAGCCAGCGCGCTCAGAGAGCACGATCTTGCCATCCTCGCGAGGCTCGAGGTCATGCTCACCCTCGCGCTGCTTTTCCGAGTTGGTCTTGACCAGGTCGTTCTTCTCTCGGATCGCCTGGACGTCGGCAGGTGCATCGTCCTGCGACGGCTCGCTCGACTGCGAGGTGGCGTCCTTGGTCTTGTCCGGGTTCTGGTGGGGTGTTGCGATGGCCGTGCCGGCTTCCGAGGAAGAGGCGCGTGATGGCGCCGCGTTGTCGGCCATGATGAAGGCCAGTCGAATGTAGGAGGACGGCGAAGGGAGAAGGGTATCCAGGGGGAAGGGGGATGCGTGGGGTGGGAAAGGAAGAGTCCGGCAAGACGAAAGACCGATAGTATCTGCAGCCCGAGTAGCGTGGCCAAAGGGGGGCAGCTCTATTGCAATGCCGAACAGGCCAGCCAGGTCGGCTCGAACGACAAGGCTGAAAAAAAGATGGGGAAGGCTAGCAGCCCATGGAATCCTGCTGACCGGAGAGACTAGGACGGGCGCCAGGGTCCTTGGATCCTCTTCGCAACACTGGCGCGCGCTCTTGTGACGACAAGAAAAGAAACATGTCCACTTGGTACGATTGCAGAAACTACATCATCGCTGTGCCGCGAACAATGGGCGGTGCTGCACTGACGCGATCAGGGTTGGGCGAAGGGCCTAGGACGGTGGACCCTAAAGTCATCTGGTTGGCTGCAGGCGAAGCGAGGCTTTGCGGTACGGGACAGGGAAGGCGAATGGATGCGGAATCGCGAAGCGAGGACCGTCGTACCTAAGCCTTGGTGGAGGGTGAGCGAGCCGAAAATGACGTTGGGAAGCTGCGGATGCATCGATCGGAGGAATTTGGCAGTTTGCGAGCTGCTGCGGCTGTCGTGACGGCTTGGCGCCCTTCTGCCGCCCGCCCGCTTGCCCCGTCGGAGAATACTTTGCGAACCGTTCGCTGCACATGCAGAACAATAAGCATCGAACCCCGTCTCGCAGAGAAGCCTGCGCTTTGGCAGTCCAGCCGCCGTCATTCAACCGCACCAACCGCCCGCCTGCCTGGGCCGCCGTCTGTTTTTTCTGCCCTGGGCCGCTCCTCACCTTCTGCCATGCCATGCCCTCACAGGACGTTTGCCCGGAATCACAGCGGCAGAGAGGAGCAAATCGTGGTGGCCTTCGATTCTACGCATCGCATTGCGAGACACGCTCGCCAAAGCTTCCAGCACGGTCTTGACGATGTCGATGAGACTGGGCACCCATCGGCAGTCACTCAGAGAACGGTGGAAGGCAGATGCCGCAACCGAAGCCGGATGGTGCTGGCGATCTGGAAAGCGCTGAGTGGCTTGCGCTCATGCCGGGTTGCATCATCGCATCATCGCTGCCGCTAGTCAGCCGAGACGCGCTCGACTCGGGCGATTTTTTTAAATCGCCGATCCGGGACGCGATTCGTGACGGTGACGAGCCAACACCGTCGGCGCTCACTCAGCATTTCCAGCTCAGGGTCTCGAGACCTGAAGCTGCCCCGACACCATCGCAGTTCCGCTAGGCTTTCCCCACAGCACGTGGCGTGTGCAAGATTCCTCCTCGCCCCCACGGAGCTTGGGTGTCTTAGCCAACCTCTGTAATCAATTGTTCATCACTCCACTGTCAGCCTCGCTTACGGCCCCCCACACGGCTCGGACGAGGTTCAGCCGTGAGGTATACGCGAGTTGCTTTGCGTCTGCGGCACATGTGTGAGCGCACTTTCAACATCAGGGTTCGAGGACCGGTCTGCGGAGACTGGGGTCCATGGCTTCGTCCCACATGCTTGCCTCGAGGCGACAGGCAGCGTTCCAGATCCGCTGGAGCTTGCGCATCCTGCCGGGCGATAGCTCGTCTCGTGCGGCTCGGGCTTCAATCAGCTGCATGGCTTTTTGGGCCGCCTGTTGAAAGTCGTCGCTAGCGTATGCCTCGATCCATTCCGCATAGTCCTTGTTGAGTGTTGCGGAGCGATGGTGTGCGAGCCAACGTCCAACTTGTGCGTAGCCCACCATGCAAGGGCTCACTGCCACAAGAAAGTCGAGCACGTCGCTCGATCGGCCTGTATCCAGCACAAAGCGCGTATACGCCAGCGTGGCTGCGCTTTCCGTTGTGGCGCACTCAAGCTCGGCTTCGGAAACGCCCAGGCTTTCGCGACACAGACGCTTGTGCAGCTCGGCCTCCTGTGCAATGGATCGAGACATGTCGACGAGAGTCGTGATCTCGTCAAAGGTGGTGTCTGGAGATGCAGCCGCCTGCGCCCAGATGCGCGCATAGTGGCGCAGGAAGAGGTAGTCCTGCTTCATGAACCACACAAACCCATCTCGTGGCAAGCTGCCATCCGCCAATCCGAGCACAAAGGGGTGCTGCACGAACCCGGTCCATGCATCGAGCGAGTTCGCGATCAAGCTTCGGTGCAGGGGCAGCTCAGACTTGCCCATGTCCGATGGCGAAGCTATCAGCCCACGAGGGTGGAAGGGATACGAGTGGTCGAGCGGGCCAGGACCGCTGCCGAGATCTTGAATCCCACAGGCGATCGCGTTCTGGACGTACTTGATGGCGATCGAAGTCGCACGTACAGCCGAGTAGCCTTGCGCCAGCGATGCCGCCAGAGCCGACGAGAGTGTGCATCCCGTCCCATGGGTCGCACTGGATGCGAGCAACGGCTTGACGAACAATACGAAAGTGCCATCTGTTCCGTCGTCGCCTTGCTGATACAACACGTCACAGACGACCTTGTCATCGGCACCAGGTGAACCAGGGCGCTGGTGTAAGACGTCGCTGAATGGGTTCTGGTCCGTCCGGATGGCGGTGACATTGCCTTTGCGTGTGATGATGGCGCCGTCCACGCCGGCGAGTTGGCGTAGTTCGTCGTCATTGTCGATTCTGCCCTGGTGCGCATCCGCTGGGCGAGACTTGGTACGCTGCGGATAGCGACTGCCAGAAGATCGTGATGTCGATGGCTTAGACGTCGGCGCAATCCTTACTTCGTTTGCAGATGCCGTTTCAGCTCGATAGCTCAAGTACTCGTCGATCTGGGATCTGGACAGCTTGGCATGTCCTCCTTTGACCAGCACCGCGCGCGGACCAAGCTGAGCGATGTTCCTTGCTGCCGCCATCATCTGAGGAAGCTCTGTCTCTTCGTTCTCCTTTGCTAGGTCCAGCTCGCGCGTCCCTGACTGGTGCGAGGTGAACTTGGCGGCGTAGTTGAGCAGCTGACGTGCCTCGGGCAGGTTCGGCGTCAGAAGGGTGCATAGCGGCAGCAGGTCTCGGATGAGCGTCGCAATGGCGCCCTCCGACAGTAAGAGTGAGCCGGATGTGGACACCATGACCGGATCAAGTACGATCGGAACATTGTGGCCTCCGTGTGCGCCTGTGGACTGCTTCCATTCGCCGAGACGCTTGGCGAGAGCACCGACGATGCCTTCGTTGCACAGCATGCCCATCTTGACTGCATCGATCTGGATGTCAGATGCGACCGAGTCGAATTGTTGCAACACGAACTCGGGCGGACACGCATGGATCGCCGAAACGCCGGTGGTGTTCTGCGCCGTGAGTGCGGTCAGCACCGAGAGGCCATAGGTGCCAAGTGACAGGAAGGTCTTGAGGTCCGCCTGGATTCCGGCTCCTCCGCCCGAGTCGGAGCCGGCAATCGTCAGCACTCTTGGTGGAGACATTTTCGATCTGTCGCTCTCGTCACCTTGACTATCTCCAGATACGGGTTCAGGTGTGCTTGGTGATGGTGTTGGAGGACGACGTTGATCTGTGCATGAGTTCCCAATCTTCTGGCTTTGGTGGAGGTTCGCCCACGTGACGCGACTTTTGACTCCGAATTCCGAGATAGTTTTGCACCCTTTTTCGCGAAGAAGAACGGATGAACGCTTTGTGGAGCGGCAAAAATTTCAAAGGCGACCAACAACAGACCAATTTTTGCCTTTTTGGCCGCCAAGCTTTTGAGTTGGGTTGGGGTTCACGAGCAGCTTCGACTCTGCTCCTCTCTTGACCTGCTTCTTCCTCCATCACAGCACCCCATCGATCCCATCCGACAGGCATCGCCAGCATGGCGGACAAGCGAAAACGTCGTGGCTCTGATGCAGCTGCGTCGGGTCATTCCGCCTCAGAGGTGTCTGAGGATGAGCGCACGACCAAGGAGACGTCGGCACCCGAGGAGGCGGTCACCAACAAGGCCATGGTCCCCTTTGCCGACGGCGCAGAGCTCCATCAGGCGCTTCAGACACCCTCAGCAGACATGCTTCGCCTGCTTCTCACACGTTTGCGCAATCAGACCAACCTCTCCTTCGCAGAAAACACCCAGCGCTCCACCATCCCCGCCAGCGACAAGCGAATCCAGCTCGTCAAGGACTACTGCCAGCTGTGCGAAACGCAGGCATCCAACTCCGGCGCACCTACAGCCGCTGCAGCCTCCATCTTCTCCACCTGGGAGCTTGCCGATCGCCAAGACCTGCCTACCCTGCTGCACCTCCCAATCTTCTGCTTGGCTCAGTCTCTGGCGCTTCTCTCCATCCATTACCCGACTCACACCCTTGGATCCAACATCATCGAGCGTATCTTGTCACCCAACGAGCCTTGGCTTGCTATGCTTCACAACTACATCTCCAATCTTGGAGGCGCCAAGTTTGCATCTTCCAAGCAACGCGACTCTCGATCCTCCAAGGGCTCGGATGTCGCCGCACTCGCATCCCTCATCCTCCTTCGCGAGGTCTCGTCGTTCGCCAAAGGCCGTTACGCCGTCAAGCTTTTCGACTCGTTCAACTGGTCCATGAAGGTACTCCCGCACATCTTCAACATGCGCAGGCGAACCAACCGCAAGTCCAAGGCCGCCAAGAAGACGAGCGTCGCACTCGACGTTTCGCTCCGCCGCCCCGACATCCGCACGCTCTACATTCTCTTCCTCCTCTCCTTCCTGCAGCAGAGCTACTCGAACACACTCAAGCTTCGCCTTCTCGACCTTGGACGTGACTTCTTGCCTGCCATGCTCAAAGGCTTGCCTCAGGATCCGCCAGACGTGGTCCAGACCATCCTTCTTCATCTACACGAGGACCTCGTCAAGGACCAGCGCATCCCCCGCTCCAAGAAGGTCGAATTCTGGAACGAGTGGGCCTGCGGCTGTGTCGTTCAGCTCTATCCGCGCGAGGAGGAGCATGTGCTCATCCATGCCGACACGGATGCCGTCGAGAACCCGTCCGTGGCGGAACTCGCGCACCACTTCTTGCTCAGCATTTGCACCAACCCAGGCTTCGGAATTTGCTACCCGGATCGAGGCTGGTACCCAAGAAAAGCATCAGTCCGCGGCGATACCGACGAGTCTGTTGGCACAAGCAAGGCGGACGGCGCTGTAAACGGTCTCGACAAGGACAGCTTCTCGTTTGAGATGGGCTCGACACAGAAGGCCAAGTCGACTTCGATCAACACCGGTGGCTCCATCTACAACAAGGTGCTCTCGGGCGTGCTGCGCCAACTCGCGGTGGCTGAGGATCTCCGACAGCAGGAGCTTGCCCTCAGCATCCTCACAGCTTGCCCCGAGCTGGTTGGTCCCTATCTGGAGAGCTCCTGCGCCGGCCTGAGCGTCGACCCCAGACCCAGCTCCAGATGGCTCTGCAATGTGGCGTTCTTTGGCAGGGTAGCTGGTCTCGAGCTCCCATCCTTCCGCAACGCCAAGGTCGAGCATCTCGAATCCGAAGACACTACGACCTCCAGCGCGCTTATCCCGCTCTCGCATCGCCTCGTCGCCTCGGAACCACCGCCGATCAACACGGTGCTGGCCAACCTCTTGCCTGGACCGCTCCATCGCTTCCTGTTCAGCCAGGGCCTCACTAGCACGGACAAGCTTGTGCGTCACTCGACATGCGCCCTTTTGTGCCGCTGCCTGGACCGCATGGTCCGATATCGCGACATCTGCCTCGGCGCCACCGACGAGCTTGACGAGGACGAACATGGACCCTGGCGTCGCCATTTGGAACTTCTCGAGACGGAGGCCCGTCGACGCATCCCCGACATCTCGATCGTCATCCAGATCCTGCAGGTGGCCACCTCTAGACCGCAAACATCGGCTGCGGCAGATTCGTCCACGGTCGCCAACGAGTCCAGCGACGGCGCAGAGGGCACCAACGAGAACACGAACATGCTATCGACGGAAGTCGCACTTCGTCTGCTCTCCCTCTACTATCAAGCAGTGCCAAGCTCGGCCTTCGACGTCCGCTTCAACGCAGGCAAGCTGCTCACCAACTCCTTCATCCAAGCTTCGGCAGCGTCGCCCGAAAAGGCGGCAGACGACATGGACACAGGAGACGTCGCAAATGAGGTCGAGAACGCAGAGGCAAGCGATAGTGATGCGGAGGACGACGAAGAGGACACCAACGAGATCAATCTCGGCGCGCTCTGTCAGGTGCACACGCTTCGCATCCTTTCGCATGCTGCGCGCGCCGCATCCTTCGACTGGACAGCCAAGCCGACCGGCACAACAGGCACTGGCAACCTGAGCTACCTCGGCATGCTGTTGACGCTGTACATTTCCACCCCACTGGAGCAGGTCAAGACTGCATGCGAGCAGCTGCTCAAGTCGCTTCTGGCACCCTCATCGTTCTTCGAGCACGACTTGGCTGAGATCGATGCATGGCTTTCGGGCCTGCCGCAAGCCGACACGTGTGTCGCGTCCCAGGCGGACGACGAGTCTGGTTCCAAGCCGAGCGCTGTGCCTGCGCAGCAGCACATCTCGTCGGAACAGCAGACCGTGATCGCTTTCCTGGACGAATGCATGCTTCGCTGTGCCAAGACACCATATCGCTACATCGAAGCATCGCGCCAATTCCTCCGTGACAATGGACGCCAGGACGAGCAAGATGACGAATCCGAGGTGACCAGTGGAGCCGATTTGCTCGCCTCGCCTTGGCTCATGGCGCTTCTCGAGCAATTCTGCATCCGCATCGACAAGGGTCTCTTCGACGATGCAGAGTCGGTCGAGGGTCTTACGGCGTTCTTTGCGCGTCTGCTGCCCACTCTCTGCGCATACGCGCGTCACACCTCCGCGTTCGAGGCGATGGCGTTCAAGATCAACAGCCACGTTTCAAGCAACGAGAAGTACGCATCATCGCAGTTCACTGCTGCCGTGGGCGTGAGCAATGTTCGCGCCATTCGAGTCGCTCCCGAACCCGCATTCGAGCCTGGCAGCAAGTCAAAAGGTTCTGTCGTGATCGCATCGACTACATTTGCTGGTATGTTCATGTACTGCTTGCAGAGTGCAAGTGCATCCGTGTCGATTGGGATGATTAGAATTTCCCATACATCAGAACCGCTACACCAAAGTACATCTTGCGGCTTGATTGCTGCAGGCATGGCTTGCCGATAACTCTGAAGTCGTCGCCACCACCTACGTGGCTGTGCGGCGTCATGACCTTTCGACACGGGCTCTTGCTCTTGCTCTCCGACCTTCGCGCGAGTATCTCGTTGCTAACGCTGTTCATATTGACATTTGTCTACATTCAACAGACTGCACCGATCCGAGGGACCTCAAAACGCGGCTTCGAAGCGTCAAGCGGCCACTGACTCAGTCGCAGATCTCATCGCTGTACGCAGCTGTCCAGGGCCTCCAAGCCAGCGGTTACGCGCTCGCGTCCCAGATCCTGGGCGAGTTGGATCCGGTCGCAGAGAACCTCGCGACTGCGCTCTTCGGGCCCGAAGTCGTTTTCGGGGCAATTCCGGTCCTTCACCTGCCTTTGAACGCCCGCTTCGTGCAGCCGGCACACGATGACTTCATGGCTACGACCAGCGAAGAGGAAGTCCTGGACCAGACCACGCTGGTGCCATGGCGGGCGAAGGGTAATGCTCGCCTGGCCTTGTGGACTGCCGTGAGCCGCGGCCAGGGCATGCAGGACGAAAGGCACCTTCTTCCGCACGCCTCTTCGCTCATCGCTGCAGCCGATGCTTCAGAGTATCTCACCCACGAAGAAGCCAGGCAGTTCCTCTTCGTCGACTCTGTCGCGCTGCTGAACCGCGCTGCCTCGCCGCACGTCTCAAAGTCGCTGCTGCGCCGCATCAGCGAGCTGGCGATCAAGTACCTCGACCCTCGCCACAAAGACCAAGCGCAGATCGTCAGGGCTACCCTCAATAAGGTCGACGGCGGCAGCAAGGCTGTAGACGTCGACTATTTGCGCTGCATGGCAAACCTCACGCCTTTCATGGATGAGGCAGACGCCGTCGAGCTGCTGTCCAAGGCGCTGGAGGTGCTACGCGAGGCGATGCGCACGCAGGACTCCGCAACGGGACCAGCAGAGGCTGAAGTGTGGATCGCAGCTGCGGAATCGCTCGCAGCTATTGCGTCATCTGCCGGCCCCATCTCCCGAGTATGGACAGCACTTGCCATGAAGCTGCAGCTGATTGTCGACGCTGTCTGTTCCACCGAAGGGCTCCACGCCGAATGCAGGACCCTGCTTCTGGGCATCATCCAGGCGACCCTTCAATCTGATCTGATTCTCGCCGACTCAGCGGTCGAGAAACAGCTGGCCATGTTGCAGCTGGGCGGACTGATCAACGGCGCAGCGCACTCAAGAGCGACAGACGGTGCTCTGGTTGCCGCCCTTCACGTGCACCCGAAAACGACACTGCCGATACTGGATTCGGTGCTGAGCGTCTTGTCGTCTGGCGTTAGTGCCGATGCTAGGAGCACGGTTCAAGCGCTCCCGTGCACGCTGCTTGCCATTCTCACAGCGCTTTCCGAGGCCGAATCCGTGACAAATGATGGCGGAGCGATGCTTGGCGATGTGACCTGGGAGCACAAGCACATTGGCGTTATCGTCGACGTCTGCATTGACTTCGTCCTGTCCGATCCCGAACTCATCGAAGAGGCGGAGGTCGAGACAGTGGAGAGGCATGCAGCATGTCTTGTGGCAGCACTCAGGTGCGCGGCGCGGTATGACTGGAACGAGCCGCAGTCTGCGGCAAGCGGCCGTCTAGCCAAGTTTGCCAAGGATGCAGTCGAGAACAAGCCCTATGTGGCGTTCAGAGCGCCACTCATCCAGGTGCTGCTTGGTCTGGTCGAAGACGTGCCTGAGCTGCCTTCACTTTCCGAGGTGGTGCAGGCTTCGATCAACGCCGCGCTGCTCTGGCTTGTTCGACGCTTCGCCGAAGACAGCAACGACTCTGCGCGTCTTGTGCACACCATTTCGCTCTTCACCGATCTCGTGGAGCGCGCGAGCGCGAGCGAGAGCGTACGCATCCACCTTCGAGCCTCGCTCGTCGACCCTGTGGTGCAAGCGGCCTTCAAGAACAGGATGCGGGCGCTCGACCAGATGCGTCTTGTGCGCGCACTCTGCGTGCACGCCGAGCTCGACAACAGCCACCTCTCGCGCTACCTTGGCGCGCTTTCTGCGCATTCGGACTTTGCCAGCGTCATGCGTGGCTCATCCAACCTTCTCGCACCTCTTCGGGACGACACCGACGAGCAAGAGAACGGCCAAGCCGAGGCTGACAACGAGGAAGCTGCGGAAGACGAAAAGGTGCAGCGTGCGCAGGAGCTCAAGCTTGTCGTTGTGGAGCTCGTGCATCTCATCGCAGGGCGGGATGCTAAAGGCCTCATTCGTGCGCCGTTGCTCACGAGGCTCCTGCCGTTCTATGGCGCAAGCCTGTCGCGGGCGGACCGGATGCTGCTGAGCCTCTTCAGGAAATTCGAAGAGGTGTCCGAGCAGTCGTTCGCGACGCTCATGCAGGAGTGGACGCTGCCGGCGTCACAGCAAGGTGGAGGCGGCGGACACGCACACAGCGCACCGGAGGCTTTGCAGTCGCTCGATGCGAACGTGGTGTTCGCGACGTGCACCGAGTTCCCACGCTTGCTCTCGCTGGCGAACACCGTCGCGTCAGGATACAAGACGGACGGTTCGGCAGAGGCTGACGTTGTCTTGCCCGGTCAGGTGTATGGGCGGCACACGGATGCGGTGCAGCGCTACGATCCGGTCTTCCTCGCGTCGCTGTTGGCGCGCGTCACGGCGCCCGACGAGAAGCTCACGGGGCTGCAGTGGCTGGCAGTGTTTGCGACCAACGTGCCTGGGCTCGCCGTGTGCGGGCTATCGTCTTGCTGTCCCGACATGCGTCGCGCGAGCCTCACTCTGATCTCGAGCCTGTACCTCGCGGTGCGCGAGGCCGACTTCCAGGAGAAAGACCATCTCATCATGGTGCTCGACCTGCTCCGAGACGCGCTCGACTCGACGCAGGCGGTTCAAGAGTCCTCGACCGACGCGCCGTTCCTTCCCACGACAACGACGCTCTTCATCGCGCACAGCCTGCGCTCGGTGACGACGCCGGCGTCGTTCGTCTATCCGGTGATCTCGCACTTTTTGTTGCAGCGATCCGAATTGGACGTGGGCGATGTGCCGCTGCTGTACAATCTGCTGTATACGGCGTCGGACCGGGTGAAGCAGGAGCGCATGTGGATGCTGCGGCTGCTGCGCGATGTGGCGCGCTCGGGCGGTCGGAGCGACTGGAAGATCCTCAAGCGCCGACGCACGTGGGAGCTGCTGGCGTCGCTCTACGATGCGTGCGATGCGCGCGGTGCGGGTGCGAGCGCCGAGCGCGCCGTCGAGGAGGCGGCTATGCGCGCGCTCGTCGAGGATACCACATTCTGGCTGGTGGCCAATGCGGACGTGGCCATCGAACTCGTCACGCGCCGCGGACTGCTCGCGTGGATGTGGCAGCAGATCGTGCGCGAAGGCGTCGTCGCACTTGCCGATCCAGCCCTGAGCGAAGGTGCAGAGACGGTGGGAGTCGACAGTCTGCCGCCGACATCCGCGCCTCGTAGTGTGTGGATGCTGCTTCTGGCGCAGCTGATGCGCAGTGTGGATGTGGACCGTCTGGATAGAGCCACACAGGGCGCTTGGATCGCACCTGTCCTCAGTCTCGTACACACCACAACCGTCGCTCTGTACAATTGTGCCACAGAACCGGCTGGCGGCCATCTGCCAAACGCGTCAGACGAACTTGTGCGCACAATCACATGTGCTGCAGCGGAGGTCATTGACCGACTCGTCCCGCACGCAGAGGAGCACGCCCGGCTACACGCAACGGCCTTGCTGGCCACGCTCGAGACTCTGGTTAAGCTCGGAGCTAAAGCTCTGCACAGTGCCGGAACAGAGCGCACGCACGTCGAGCGAGCTTGTGTGCGCGTCAACTCGGCACTGCTCACCATCGCGCCCGCACTCACGGATGCAGCTTCGACCCGTCGCTTGGCAGTCATTCTTCGTCAGTCGACCGCACTGTGCATGCGCTTCGATGCGCAGATCCACGCGCTTGTGACATCCAACCTCTTCCCCCCCGCTTCTGTCTCCTAGCACATCATCACATGCATACGTCGCAATCACAATGTGAATCATTCTAGCTCGAGTAGGGAAGTACAAAGTCGTCAAAGCGCTGTGATGAAGATGCGGGGTCGCTAGATGCGATGCGGTGGTAGGTGCAGATGTCCTTGCCCCACTCCCTGAACTCGATGACACGTGCACGGCGCTGGATGTCTGCCTTACCGTACGCGGCGTACGAAGCACCGCCTCCAAAGCAGATCCACACGTTGTTGACGCGGCGACAGTCGGAGTTGAGGTGCATATGTCCGTGCACCAGCAACCGCACACCAGGCGGGGCGCGATTGAGCGAGGTGACGAGGTCAAAGATGCCCGGCTGTGCCTGTGCCCCCTCGAATGTCGCTGTCTCATTCCGACTGCCCACAACCATCTCCTGCCTGCCCACACTCGCTCCCGTCGCGCCCGTGGGGTTCTGCACCTGCGGTAGCGCTCCGTGATCCACGGGGTTGAATGCTTCCGGCACGGGAATGTGCATGAACAGCACCGAAGGTGGCCGACCCAGCGCCTGGTTCTGATCCGCTCCCGCATCCCACTCTTTGTCCGCGCGCTTGGGTGAAGAGCGACGTCGCCACTGCGGCCCCAAGTCCTGCGCGCCATCAGGCCGGTACGGCTGAAGAGTCTGCTTGATCGCGGTGTACTTGGCCTCGAACCAGTCGAGCTGGTCCTTGCGGATGTAGCCGTAGCCCGGCTTGGTCCAGGGCTTCCACTTGTCCTTGTCGGCGTGTGTGCCCGAGTCCATGAACCACAGCGTCGCCACGTGCGTCCGGTCATTCCCTGGGCTGTGCAGCTTGAGATAGTAGTTGCCAGCGCCTGTGACGAGCGCTGGTCCAACGAGGCTATACGAGTAAGGCATGTTCTGAATGAGCTGCATCTGTTCTTCGCGCGTAAGTGAGCCAGCCTCACTATCGTGATTCCCCAGAATGACGGCGTAGGGAATCTGGCGCTTGATCAGCGGTGCCGTATAGAGGGAGAGGACGCTGCGCGGATCCCACGAGGTGCCCTGGCCATTCAGTTGGTCGCCGGTGAGCACGACCATGTCGGGCTTCTCCGAGTCGAGCCACGCATCGACAAGCGCAAGCGTGTCGTTCTTGGACAGACACCCGCGCGCTGCCCAGCGCGGATCCTTCTCGTTGGTGTCGCGACACGGCTCGGGGTTGACGGAAAAGTGCAGGTCGGCGAGCTGGAGGATCTTGAACGTGCCGTCGGGGCGGAACTTGAGCGGCTCGAGCGGAGGCTTGCGCATGGGCTTGCGGCGGAATGACAGTGAGATCTGTGACGACCCGATGGCAGAGTGCGGATGCGACACCACGCCTGCGCTCTCAAAACCGGGCCAGGGCGGGTTGTCGCCGTAGACGAGATCGAGCTCGGTGATCGGGTCAAAGGGCCCAGAGGTCAATGGAGCACGCTTCTCCTTCCAGAATCCGAGCTTTTCCTGCTCGTACTGGGCAGGAGACTTGGTGCGGTAGTAGAGGTGCAAACTCTTTTCGCCTGCCATCATCTTGACCACTTTGGAGCGCAGGCCGGTCTTGACCCTGTGCCAGCCGTCATCACCCGAGGGGTGCGGCTCGCCCTCCTCGACGAGACGGATTTCGACGACATTCTGGACGTCGCGCCGCCTGGATTTGCGGTAGAAGAGGAAGCGCTGCTCGATGCTGCCAAAAATGTTGGTGAGCATGCCTCCAGCGGAAGCGCTCATCTGACCTGCGGGGCTGAGGCTGCGGTCCACCTGAACCCATTTGCCGAGCAAAGCATCTTCGGCCGGCGTGGTCTTGGGCTGGCATCTGGTGAGCGGTAGACAAGACTTGACGGTGATCTCTGTGATGGGCGCGGGGTTCGGAAGTAGTGGCGCGTAGAAGTCGAGGGGGTAGATGTCGTCGTACTGAGCGGAGGAGCCGGACGACGATGCGACGGACGGGTGGGTGCTGTTGTCGGTGTCAGCGGTCACAGCATCCGACACAGCGGAGGAGCCTTTGGACTTGAGTGGTCGCAGATCGATGGCGGTGTATGCTTGCCAGCCGATGATCCTCGAGTTATGCAGGACGCCATCGTGTGCCAAGTAGAAGACGCAGGTGAGCAGGAGCGAGAAGCCTGCAGTGAGCAGGACTCCCTTTCCGACCTTGCGACGCATGGTGGGCGTAGGTAGTTTGACTAATGCATGGAGCTGCCGTTAGAGCACAGCGAGGATGGTGGTGATGAACGAACCCAAATGACGTGGGCTTTGCCAAGGTTGAGAAGCGTCAGAGGACTTATGAAAGTGATCCGTTCGCAGGCTGTAGGTGACCTGCATGAGAAGGCGTCTCTGCGAAAATGCACAAAATGTGAGAGCGTCGAATCGTGACAGTGGAAGAAGTTCCAATCGGGTTCTCGATGGTGTTCGAAAGGCCCCCTACATCGGCGATGCGATGCAAGCGTGGCGCCGCACTTCGGCAGCCTGTGGCCGAAGCTGCATGGCCGGCCAACAGGCGAGTTGCTTGGCAGTCGACGATCCAGGAACGCGGAATGCGAAGCAAGAGGGCGATTTCGTTCTGGCGTGGCTGACTTGCATGGCCGAGTGAAGCCGAGCACGCTGGCTGTGCAGATTGCTCGCCCGTTCATCCGCATCGCCAAGAAGGAAACATGCTGCAAGAGGACGATCCATACCACAGGACCGAGCACCATCATGACTTGCCGCAGCTCGGTTGCGCACTTCGGATCTGGAGGTCCGTGTGGTCTGCGGTGCGGATGCCGTGACCGCGCGGTCGGTGCGCGACGCTGATCGACCGCATTGCGACTCTAAGTTATGAAAAGAAACGAGCCAAGGATCGACGTTGCATTCCCAGCAAAGCTTGGCCCCCTCTCTCTCTGGAAGCTTTCGCTGGCTGCAGCGACTGTTTGCGATGATCGCCCGGTTGTCGGCTCAGCATGACAACGGTTGTCAGAGTCCGGATGAGGTTGCGCAGCGGAGTCGACGGTCGTCTGCTCTAACAAGCGCAGAGGCAGCGTCGCAGAGGCGGTCGGCAGCCCAGACGCAGCGGGCAGGATGGGCGTGCGTGAGGGCTGAAGCAAGCGAAGTGCAGCTCCGAGCGAAAAGAAAGCAGAGGAAAAGGGCAAGCGAGCTCACCGGCGCTTTGTGTGGGTCAGCCGAGGGTGCAGACAAAGGGTCGCCATCCAAGCATGCGCCGTTGCGTCGCAGATGCAGCTTGGCCTGCCGAATCGACTCCACAGCTGCCGACTAAACACAGACTGCTGCATCGCGAGATCTCGGTTCCGTCGAGGCTTGGCCAGAGGAGCGATGATTGCAGCCCCTTCGCTAAGTTATTCGGGCTCGTCGCTGCACTCTCTAAGATTGAGAAGCGGAAGAGGCTCTTGCGCAGCGTTGAAAGTTGCACTCAACGTTGGGAGAACACGTCGCGCCGCGCGCCGACTTCGTTTGCCAGCGAGGCGCGTCGGCATGCACCAGAGCAGAGCAAAACGCGCAGCTGAAACACGCACTGAACCAAACCAGATTCCGACGCGAGCTGTCGAAAAAAGGGGGAGAGCGCGACCAGCTGTCAAAGGGCCGAAAATCTCGAGGCAGAACGGCAGGTGCGCCAGCAAGAGCAGCAGGGCCCGGATTTCAAAGTCCGCCGTACCTTCCCAGCTCGGCTGGCAGCGATGCAGTCGGGAAAGGTGCCAAGCCTGAGCGCGGTTTGCCACTCGTCCATCGCGTTGAGCACCAGCGGCTTCCCCGACGCAGAGGCACTGACTGGGCAGGGATGAAGGGATCGATGAAGGACTGTTCAGCGGCGGCAAATCCGACGAGGGAGCGAGCGCGCCAAGTTGCGTGCGGTGGTGTTCCTTGGCGCCTCCCGCCAGAGGGGGTCTTGCATTCCTGGCTCCTTGCCGGTCGCGCTTGGCCATGTGCCTAGATCGGCTTCGGCAATGCCGCTCCAACGCAGCAATCCGGCAGACCGTCGTTCTGTCACCAATCCACTGTGCATTTGGATTCTTTGCTTCTGCGCAAGCACGCTCAAGCTTTGGCTTTGCACCGCGCTGCATTGCATTGCAATCCGGTCGGCGCGTCCGCTCTTCTTGGCACTGCGCCGGAGCGGTTGTTCCCCTCTCATCCGATGCCGTCTGGCCAAGATGTGCCCAGAGTCGCTGAGGAATGTCGGTGTGGACTGGTCATTGCTCCCCTCCCTTGATGCGCTTGGTCGCGATGCTTGCGGTGTGGTTTCGGCTCAGCTAGGCTTGGGACTATGCTAAAGCGCAGTGCGGGCTGAGAACACTTCGGACGCTGAGGCTCCTCGGTCAGCGGCATGGATTCGCTATATGACAGGAGGGCTTCGCTCCCAGACGCTGGCCAAGCCCGGCCCCTCCCCCCTTTTCAACCTCCGCTGCTCTCTCCCCCCGTCAGATTCGACTACCCGCCTTTGCCTTCCCGATATCGTCAGCCCGTCGCGTTGCCATTGCTCGCCCGACCGACCCAACCAACGCTCCTTTGTCTCCGCAGCCAGCAGGCGCCGCAAGCTCACCACAGCAAACCACTCTCCTTTGTCGTTGCCGGCCCTTGCCTTCACCACCCATCGCCATCGCCATCCGCCCTCTCCCCTCCTCTCCACCTTCTCCCCTCCATATACTTTCTCCACCACCTTCCTCCCTCCACTCCTCTTCTAACGAGGGCCTCCATCTGGCTGGTACAGATAGTCTGGCCTCTGCTAGCATCACCACCCCGTCTCCAATCCGCTCGACCCTCTACACAAGTCGAGCTGCCCCAACCATACCCACCGCCTCCTCTTTCTTCAGCATCCGCATACCTAATCTCGATCCAAAGGCCTCTGGTAGACCTTCGTTATCCCTGACCAATCCACCATCCGGAGCCTTCTCCCGACCTCTCCACTCAGCTTCGACACCACCCCCTAGCGACTAGTTCTTGCCAACATGAGGACCACCTTCTTTTCGCTCCTGCTTGTCTCGCTCCCTCTTTTCACCTCGGCATCGCTCGAGTCCCGCCCCAATGCGAGACACCACCGCCGCTCGCGTCACCTTCACTCCGACCCTTCGTCTCCCTCGCAACCCGCTCTCTACTCCAGAGATGCCTTCGGAGATCAGCCCCGTCTTCAGCCTCGATCCGAGCCCGGCGCCGCCATCGCCAAATCGTACAAAAAGGTAGCCGACGACGTGTTTGACTACGTCATTGCTGGAGGCGGCACGGCTGGTCTCGCCCTTGCCGGTCGCCTGTCAGAAGACCCTGATGTCACCGTCGCCGTCATTGAGGCCGGTCACTCGGGCTACAGCAACGACGAACAGCTCCTCGTACCAGCCAACGCCTACTTCAAATCGTCCGTCGGCTCTGACCTCGACTGGCAGTACGTCACCGCCCTTCAGACTAAGCTGCAGGATGCCGACGGCAAACCACGCGCCGCGAGCTGGCCTCGCGGTAAGGTGCTCGGTGGCTCCTCGGCAATCAACGGCCTCTACTATGTCGCTGCTAGCAAGCGTGAACACCAGGTCTGGGGCCGCCTCTCTGGCGACGCCGCCACCTGGGGCTGGCACAACCTGCGCGACGCCATGAAGAAGTCCACCAACTTCTCGCCCAACCAGATCAAGGAGCTCGACTCGAGCATCCACAACCAGACCGAGTACGTCGGCCGCAACGGCCCCGTCTCCATCAGCTACCCGGGCGTGAGTTACCAGCCTGTGGCCGATTGGGTGCCTACTCTCGCCGCCATCGGCCTCGAGCAGGCCAAGAGCCCCTACGACGGCGAGAACCAGGGCGCCTTCATTGCTACCTCGACCATCAACTCGCACAACTGGGAGCGCTCCTTCTCCCGCAACGCCTACCTCGACCCCATCGCCAACAAGCGCAAGAATCTCGTCGTGCTTCCCAACCAGACCGTCACCAGGATCATCTGGGACACCGAAGCGGATGAGGATGGGAACCGCCGTGCCCTCGGCGTCGAATTTGCTGCCGACGCTTCTGCGCCGCGCGTTCACGTCACTGCACGCCGCGAGGTCATCCTCAGTGCCGGCGCTATCGGCTCGCCCCAGATCCTCCAGCTCTCCGGCTTCGGCTGCAAGGAGCTGCTGGCAAAGAACAACGTCACGCTCGTCAAGGAGCTTCCCGGTGTGGGTCAGAACCTGCAGGACCACCTCTCTGGCTCGATCTCGTACTCGCCTGCCGAGGGCCTGGTGATGCCGTCCGAGACCAACCTCACCAAGAAGGCTTCGTTTGTCGACTCGAGCGTCGCCTATGTCACGCTCGAGAAGATGTACGGTGCCAACGAGACCGCCAACTTCCTCGAGCGCGCCAAGAAGTTCTCGGCTGATTACATCAAGTCGGCCACCAACGTGCCCGAGGCTGTGCGTCGTGGCTGGGCCAAGCAGTACAAGCTGCTGCTCGAGGATCTGCTCGTGCCCAAGAGCAAGCACGGCTTCACTGGTGGCGCCAAGGGAGCTGTCGAGATGCTGCTGGGTATCAGCACGGGCTCGGCGATCCAGGTGGAGACTGCGCTTCAGGCGCCGTTCTCGCGAGGATGGGTGGAGATCGCATCGAACAATCCGTTTGACAAGCCGATCATCAACCCCAACTACCTGCAGCACCAGTCGGACGTCGAGCTCATGCGTTCGGGCTTCCAGCTCGCGCGCAAGATCGGTCAGACGGCGCCCTTGAACACGGTCGTGGGCGCAGAGACCACGCCCGGTGCGGCGGTGAGCAGCGACGCGGACCTGGACAAGTTTATTGCCACCACGGCGGGCACCGAGTACCACCCGAGCTCGACGTGCAGCATGCTGGACGAGGATGACGGCGGCGTGGTTGATAATGAGTTGCGCGTGTACGGCACGTCGAATGTGCGCGTGGTGGATGCGAGCATCATCCCGATCTCGCTGTCGTCGCATCTCATGTCGGCGACGTATGCGGTGGCGGAGGTGGCGGCGGACCTGATCAAGGCGTGTCCCTTTGAGGTGGTTGACGAGTGCGCTTATGACGGCGAGGGCGATGATGAGGCGGATGCCGAGGATGTCGATGCCCAGGCAGAGGAAGATGACGAGGACTGCGAGGACGACGAGTAACTGACTCGAGGTTCGCGTACCTAGATACCACGCGCTCTGCTTCGCCTTTGCTTTCTTCTCCCGATGCCACTTGTTGGAGCGCCGACGTGCGGCGTCGCAGGACGTCGCCGTGCGGTCTGTTGCGCTTGGTTCGATTTCTCATGTGCGTCACTTTGCGTCGTTGTAATTTCACCTTTTCACTTCTTTGTTAGTGTATGACATGATGCTGCTGTGAGGGCGAAGGAATGCGGGTTGCAGGATTGCTGTGTGTGCAAGTGTGTGTACAGGGCCAGCCTGGGAAGCGGAAGTCTTTGAGTCTAGAGGCGGTGATGCGAGGGAAAAGGGAAAAAAAAAATGGTCCGTGGAAGCTGGCGAGGGGTGAATCTAGGCCAGGAGGGAGATGAAAGCGAAGAGGGCAGCAGCTGCGAGAGCTGCGCTAGCGGGCAGTTGGATCTTGGATGCGGGTGAGGTGGATGTCTGTGTAGAGGCTGTTGTAGCTTGACTTGTGGGAGCTTGAACCGAGCCAGAGACTGAGGCTGAGGAGGAGACGACGGGCGTTCCGGCCTTGTTCCAGCCCTTAGGTCTCCAGCCACGCTGAACGTTTGTCTGAGATTTTTCAAACAGCACGGTCCTGCCCTGCTTGCTGCCGAAGACCTCGTCGGCATTGTGGGTTGCACCCTCGATGACGGTGAGAGTATGCGCAAGTTGTCCGCCGGACAAACTGCTCCAATCGGGCAACTCCTGCGCAGTCAAATTACCGGGGAATCCAGAAACATCCTCGCCCGTCCGCGCGAGCAGGTTAATGTACTTCCACCAGGCCAAGTTTCGATCTCTCCGGGCAACTCCGCCTTGGAGGATGGCCATGCAGTACTGGTCGCCCGATTCGGCCGTGTCGTCGTATCCGACAATGTATCGCACATCGCGTCGCACGTTTTGCGCAAAGTACTCCTGCGGCGTCTTGAGCCCGTCGAGCGTACCGGTAAAGTTGTCGAATCCATATCGCCACGTGTTGTACAGCGGACAGCTGGCTTTATCCGCAATCGCCGGGTTGGTCGTGGGGCGGTGCTCGGTAAAGTATGCAGACGAAGAGGGGTCGCCTGCGATGAAGCGCACCTGCACGCGCGAGGTCGACATCTCCTTGGCCACCACACCGTAGCGATTGATGAGCTGACCGCCTCCACCGTGTCCGACAAACACGAGCTCTTCCAGCGCTGGATACTTGGTGGTGTTGGTAAACTCGTCTGCGAATGCGTCGAGTGCGTCGAACGAGGTCTCCTTTGACCCCGTGGGGTGGATGGCTGCCTCGCCAGCTTGCCATGCATTGATGTCGTCCCACGCAAGCTCGTGTTTCTTATACTGGCCCGAGTTGAGCTTCTGCGAGTAGAACTGCGGCGCAACGACGATCGCGTTCGGATCGGCAGCGGGGTAGGAAGCGTTGACGGCCGAGGTGAGGATGTTGTTCATGGTTGTCCAGTAGTCGCCTCCGTTACGATTGCGGCCATGGATCATGACAAAGGCCTGCTTGGCCTTTTCGTTGGCGGGGTTGCGCGTCCAGTACACGGCGAGCTTGTTGTTATCCGAGCCGACAGAGAGCGATGTGAGACGCGAGCCAGAGGGCGCCTTTGGCTTGGAGTGTTCCTGGTGGCCCAGATTGGTGCCCTTCTCTTTGGCGGTGAGTGTCGATGCATCGCGCCGCGCGAGATGGTGCGGTCGCTCGTGACCAAACGGCACATAGTCGGCTGCAATGCCCGTGGCAGCAGCCAGTAGCAACGCTGCTGCAGACGACAGTGTTGTGCAGCGCATGATACTCGCGTTTGTGGCCAGCACAGGTCGTTGGATATGATGGAGGGAGCAGTGGTGAAGAGGTACGAAGCGGAAGCAAGCATGACGGCTGACTCGTGACAGCTAGCGAGCGGGGGTTGGATCACCACTCGGAACGGCCACGCTCGGCGTCTGGCAAGAGCGACTTGCCAAGGGCGGACAATGGCGATCAGCGCATACTCCGCCCCAGGGGAAGAGCGCGAGCTGTTCATGCAAATCATTCTAGCGCCTGTTGACGGCCCGGCGATCCTGGACTGGCCGGGCCTGAGCGGAGGGCCAAGGCGCCTCGGAAGGCAACATCTGCCGAGAGCCAGGAGAGGCAACCGGACCAGAGCGCAAGACGCCGGGTGCATTCAAGGCGCATCTGCAGCTCGGTGAGCGTGAGGACGATTTTGAGGGGGGCTTCATGCACTGACCGTGTGGACAGCTGGCAGGCAGAGTGTCAACCATGCGGTCCGATTGGAGCCAGGCATGCCTTGCATTTTGATTAAAACAGCGAAAAACGCCGGACGTCAATTTAGGTGCCCACTTTGGCGCTGCTCGACAAGCAAACAATTTGTCGGAATTTCCAATTTACCAAAAAAAAGGCTTGGCAACTCCGCTGCATCCCACACGCCAAACCAACTTTGGCGAGCATTTTTTTTTCTTCTTCCTGCCATGGGATGGCAAAGCTCATGCCTGCACGCTCGCTCCGGCTTGGCAACCTCGCCGAGCATTCATGCAGCTCCAACCCACCAACGCGTCGTCTGAATTTGGAATTTCGCACTGGACCACACACACACACACAACCCTCGCCTAGCATCCGCACATAGCCGCATGTTCTCGAAAGATTTGCTTCGCCGAGACAACCGACGATCGGCGCTCTGCGTTGAGACACTTGAGCAGACTGTGTGAGTGTTACTGCTGCAGAAACGCGGGTGGCAGCTCGAGCATGCTCCAGAACTCGCCGATGTTGTGAGCGGTCGGATTGAATGCGAACGGCGATGTCGGCATGCCTGCGCCACCTGCTGCATTCGCTCCGCTGGCATCTCCGCCCGGCTGCCCAACAACACCCGCACCACCCTCCGTGCCCCCCGAGACCCCCGAGACCCCCGCTGCAGTCGCCCCTCCGCCATACATCCCCGCTGTTGCTGCTGCTGCTGCTGCTGCTGCAGGCTGACGCGACTGGCCCGGCGCGGCAGGCGGCGCCATCGACTGCGCACCACCACGCCCAGCCTGGCTGTACTGCATGTTGGGATAGGCCATGCTCGCACCCGCTGAACCCTGCATCGCGGTCGTCGGCCCAAAGCTCGCCATCATCCCACCACTGTACTCGCCGTAGCCCATGCCTTGCGACGGCGCGGGAGCCACGTTCACGTTCAATCCGTGCGAAGAGCCCGTCGGTGTGTTGCCAGGCAGAGGCGTAAAGTTCATGCCCATCAGACCCGTCGCGGTGGCGTTTTCGTTCCAGAAGAACGACTCGACATCAAAGATGCCCGGTGCAAAGTCGAGCGAGCTGGGCGCATTCAGCTGACGCGCATTCTCGCTCACCAGTCCGCCGCCATTACCAAATGCGCCGCTGCCTTTGCTCCAGATGTCGTCAAAGATCGGCATCCCCGAGCCACCCGATCCCATCGCACCGTTCGCATTCGCCATCGCCGATGCATCCTGGCTCGAGGTCGTGGCGCGCTCGTCTTTCGCCGCGCCGTCTTGAGCGCGCCGCGCCGAAGACGAGCCTTGCAGTGCGCCTTCGGTCTCGGCAATCCAGCTCGACACCTTGCTCGTCGCTGCCATGCCCGAGCCTGCATTGGCCGCTTGCAACGCTGCGATGCTCGCTCGACGCTGCGGTGCATCGCCGCCCTGCTTGGACGCATCTTCGCCCACCACCGCAAAGCCGTCCAAGAGCAGCCGGTGCGCAGACGCCGCCGGCCACGTGTCCGCCAGCTTCTTGAGCCACTGCACGCACAGCCCGTACCGCCTGCGTGCGTCCGACGCAATCCTAGCATCCGGCAACCGCGCGTTGAACACAAACATCACCGCGGCAGTGAAGAGGCAGTAGCCCAGATCGGTCGACAGCCGATCCACAATGTCGCGCGCCGACGCCTCGAGCAGATCGCAGATCGTGTTGGCCGCCAATGTGCTCTGCCGATGGCTGTCGTTGTCCAGCACGGTCGACATGGGCAGTCCCTCCTCCTGCGGGATAAACGGTCGATGCAGAAGCAGCCGTCCGGTGTAGTACCACAGATTGAGCGCGAAGAAGCTCGGAAACGGTCCTTCGTTCGGGCTGTCGTCCAGATGGAGGTGTGCAGGCAGCTTCTCCTTCCACTCGGTCAGCTGGCGGTCCAGCTCGGCCAACACTTGCTCCTTGCCCTGCCGACGCAGCAGCGCCTTGCGTCGCAGCGAGTGCACCTCGTCCAAGATGCGCTCCACGATCTTGAACAGATGCACGCCCCAGTTCAGACACGACGGCGCATGCAAGCGTCGGCCTGCGTTGGCAGTCGCCACGCCACGCTGGCTGCTCGACGCGCCCGCAGGCTGCATTTCGAGCTGATCCGACCACAGCTCAAACTCGTCCTCCTCCGTTTCGGACAGCAGCGGAACGTCGATGTCCTTAGCCCGCAGTCCTACGGGTCGGCCCATCTCGGCACACAGCAACTTGTCCAGGATGTAGCAGTGCCAGATGATGCGGATGCGCGTCTCGCGCTGCACCCGATCCTGCACGATCTCCGCACGGTAGATCGGCCACCGGTGCAGACCCATGTCGACGGCCATCGAGCTCGCCAGGTTCTGGAAGTTCCATGCGCGCGACAGATCGCCCGTGCCATGCGAGTACAGGCTGAGCAGCCAGCACGTCTGGATCGATGCAATGTCCGGACGCAGCCCTTTGGCCAGCACGTGCCGTTCGGCTGCCTGGCAGAACGACTGCGCGCGCTCGTGGTTCAGCGCGTCTGCAGCCGGTCCACCCTGATCCGACTTTGTCGCTGCATTCGCCGGGACAACGCACGCGGCGATCGAGTAGATGGCGTACAGCAGGCTAGGTTCCAGGCTCGCGCGCAGCTCTTCGCCGGAAAAGCCCATGAACCACGGCTTGTACAGGATCGGGTAGAAAGGATGGAAGCCCTGCCAGTAGTACCGGAACAGCCGGTCGTTCTCTTCCACGGACACCACTGGATCTTGCACCGAAGCGGTCGAGCCCGACATCTGCCCATCCCGGCTCGTGTCAGGGTAGAGGCTGTGCAGGTTAGATGAGTCCTTGCGTTGGCTGGGGCCCGACCGTACCGGAGACCGATCTTGAGAGCTCGTAGTGTCGGCATCCCCCGCGATATGTGGTGACGAGATGGGCAGAAATACGGGCGGTTTCGGATGAGACGCCGAGTCTGCTGTGGCACGATCGTCACGAGAGCGCCCGCCAAAGGGCGCCGAAGAGCTCGAGCCGACGGACCGAGAAGCAGCAATGGCAGCAGATGGAGACTCGGCGCGGTGCTGACGCTGCAGGATGCCGATACCGGAGCTGGAGCCACGGTAGACAATCTCGCCCTGGCGCGTCTCGCCGATCACATCTTCCTCGGCTTCAGCCGCCGGGTCGACGTCGTCAGCGCCGACGTCATTGGAGCCCTCGAACGTGCCGGATGCGTGGCGTCTCGAGTGGAGACCTTCCTCTGTTTTGATTTGTGGTGCCGTAGCACCTTTCCCCTTTGCTGCGGAAGCCGATGGCTTCGAGGCACGTGCGGCGCCGAGGTCTGATCCGGCTGCCAGCGCTTGGCCGTTGCTGATGGGAAGTTCACGCTCGCCAGAGACTCGAAGAATCTCTGCGCCTGCATCATCCTTGCCGAGGTGGTTGACGAGATCGCGAATGGTCGTTTCCAGCGTGCGGATCAGCTTGGCTCTGGCCGATTCCTTTGGGCCGGAGCGAAAGCCCTTGGGTGGGCCGCGCTTGAGACCGGTGTGATTGTACGTGCATGGCGTGCCCAGGACCTGGCATACAGAGCACTGCGGCTGACGTCCATCGCATCGACGCTTTTTGGTGCTGCACGGTTGACACGCTTTGGCGACCCGAGTGGATGGTTTGGAGTCGGCTGCGCCATCCGATCCCGCGCTTTCTCCCGGTGGCGTCTTGGCGGTGTTGGACGACGACGACGCATGCAGCTCAGCGCCATCGCTGGACTGTTTGCGACGCTTGGATGGAGAAGGTCGCTGCTGCTGCGACGGATCGACGGAAGCGTTGTACGGACGAGACGCTGAGACATGCGCGGAAGGCAGAGCCGAACGGTCCATGTCGCTGAACACTTCGGGACTGGATGCGCCCGGCGAGTTGCGGTAGGCGGCGTGAGATTTGCGGCTTGCCGATGTGTACAGCGGCGAAGACCGAGATGAAGGCGAGAAGGACGCATGTTCCGGATGTTGAAGCTGGTGTGCCGCTGAGCGGTACGGATGAGGTGAAGAAGGCATGGCTGAAGTTACTGTGCTTGTCGACAGACGATGGGACTAGGTCGAGAGTTGCATGTGCTTGGTAGCAGAAGACCTGGTTGATCGTTCGGCGAGATAAGAGAGAGCAGGTATGTTCTAGGTTCTAGGGTTTCCCGAATAGGTACAAGAAAGACTCTACGTGCGCATGGCGGGTCGTGTTGGATGCTGCTGACCAAGAGGCTTGTCGAATTGGTCGGATTGGCCAGCGTTGCACTGATGATAGAGTAGGAATGCACTGAGCGGAGCGCCTAGACGATAGGAGCTTCTTTGACGTCGGGCGAATTCTTGATGGATCGCAAGGTGTGGTTGCGAATATGACATAGGGTTTGGTGAAGGATGGAGTCGGACACTCAGGATGGGTGGAGGGAGGGTTGCACCGTGCGATTGTTGAATCCGCGAATCTGCGGATCGGAGATTCTCTGATTTGCTGCACAGGCGCGACGCCGCTATCAGGGCCGGGAACAGCGCCAACCAACGAGTGTGGACCCTTCCCATCATTTCACGCCGCTCGCCATCGCTGTCTGCAGCCGCTATCATCCCGTGTCGCGCATGCCTCCTTCCCCGCCTCGCCGGCTCTGCAAGGGTCCTCATCACCTCTTTTTCTCCCAGGCCCTCTTTTTTGGACCCACCTTTTCCTCTCACTCTTTTGCCCCCAATTATTATTTAAGCTAGCCGGTGGCTTCTATGCACACAGCATACACTGAGCGTCGTGCCGCCCAAAACAGTGGACTCACCAAAGACGGTAGCTGGACACTCGATCTCTTTCACTTTCTGGCGTAGGAGGTATGGATGGGATTTCGGATCATGTGCGAGCGGCGTGATGAACGGAGAAGAACGAGATGGAACAGGTTGGGTGTGTCAAGACACGGAACAAAGCCAGGGGCGGTTTCGACGTACGTGTCGCACTGTGAAGCGGTTGATCACGGATTGGTCCACTTGTCTGCTAGATGGAATGCGGGCGAGTCTGGGCACGAGGTTGAGGCAATGCTCACGCCCTTGTAGCCTGGACCCTTCTGACGTTCAACGTTGAGCCTTAGGCAATGTGCCTGCTTTGAAGGAGTCACGGTGACTTTGTCTACATCGGTGGCAAATGACTGCGTAGCGCCATTGTCGATCAACACAAAGGCTGCACCGTCGGAGAGACCCAGCAACTTGTCGTCAGCACATCTCAGCCTCCTCGTCGGATCATCACAGAAAGTTTCGCACTTACCTTCTCCGGCCAAGGTCATGAAGCCGTTCAGGTTTTCGTGCTCAAACATACGGGCTCGGATGTTACCGAGGAGCGAAAAACAGGCGTATCCCTTGGGCGAATCCTTCTGCCCGAGGATGCAGTAACGACCGACTTCATCGTTGTTGATCGTGACTCCTGGAATCGGGGTATCAGGCCTGTTGAATTCACGTTGTTCCGCCGACGACCCGTCAGCTTTAGCTCCGACGAGCGCAAGAAGGCCAAAGACGGCCACGGTGGTCGCTTTATTGAAGATCATGGTAGTGTGCGTTTGCTTGCGTGGTTTGTGGTCGAGTCGGGAGCTGGACCTGTTCTGACTATATAGGTTTGTGTATCCAACATGTTCGTCCCCGCCAGGAGCGAAAGGGGGAACTGTGCGGACTCGACCCACGTACCCACACGTGGGCCTGCAACGTCCCACGATAATGAGGCCCGCTTCTTGAAGCCACCTGCGGGGCGAAAGCATCTCACGGCTTGATCCCCACAACCACCTTCATTTGCCACTCGTCTCCCACAACGCCCCACACAAAAGGGGTCCTGAGCAACAGTTATTCATGAGGCAACACCAAACAGACATCACAGACTCCCAATTCGAGCAACCGAACTTATGTGATGTCCCCCCCGCATGGCGCTAGCGCCTCGTGTGGGTATACAGCTTTTAGTTTGTTATGGAGCACATGTTCGAGCGCTTTGCCATGTCCACCACATGCGCCGAGACGCCAGGCGGTAGTGAAAGCTGTACGGCTAACAAGAAGTAGCGCCGCAGACGTGTGGATTCCGGTCGAGAAAGCATTGCGCGCAAGTTCTATCCACGACGTTAAGCCTCTCAAGTTCTGGACGTGTCAGCAGCTCTATTAAGTAGTGCGCCAGATGCAGGAGAGAACGACGGCATCGGACGAAAGCGACAGAGAAACGGTGGCATTGGACGAAAGCGGTGGAAAGACGGCTAATGCTATGTATGCGCATGCAAGATATTTGCAACGAGCGCAAGACCAAACACCTCCGCCTACAAGTAGCAAGACAAGGGCGATGCTTGAAGTGCACTCGCTTCAGGCTTCACGTTGCCATGGTTTCCTGATTAGGGGCCTCCAGCTCCAGGGTCTCCATCCCCAGGACCTCCAGCCCCAGGACCTCCAGCCCCAGGAGGAACATCGCTGAGGTGGTCTGAGAGGTCGAATGGAACGTTACCCGGGCACTTTTGCGCAGTGGCCGTGTATCCCTGGTTCTCGCCTGCGCTCGACGCTTCGACTTTGCGACAGTACGGCGTGTCGACGGGGTGAAGAATAACATGCATGCCGGCGATCGAGAAGGACTGAGCTCCGCTCTGGCCCAGCACGACAAAGGCTGCACATCACAAGCATCCAAGTCAGTAAAAGCTCCGTTACGATCAGACACAATTTGCACGACGATGTCGACCCACCATTGCCTGCCTTGTTGACGAAACCCTTGAGTCGGTTCGGGTTGGTCATCGCCTTCTGGATGTCGCCCTTGTACGTAAAGCAAACGAACTCGACCTCCTTGTACTCCGGTTTGACCGGGACGCCACAGTAGCTGGCTACCTGCTTGTCGTCGACCACAAGACCAGCAGTCGAGATTTCGTCGTCAGCCTTGGCCCCGGCCAGCGACAGGAGCGCGAACACGGCGACGGAAACAGCGTTGAAGTACATTGTTGAGGTTTGAGAAGATGGTTTGGGTAGCAGCGAAGAGATAGAGAGCGCGGTCGAGTCTTCGAACTCGGCTTTTATGGAATGTCATGACCCTCGAAAGAGGTTGTCGACCCGATGGCGTCCATTCCAAATACTGTATGCGCCCCGCGTGTGGGTCTGGGGCGTTCCGGTGGGGAGCTTCATAGCTTTCGCCGCGCCTCAGCCACACGGCCCCAGCCACACGGCCCCAGCCACACGGCCCAGCGACATCCTCGAGGTCGATGGCACATCTTCGTGGGCGGTTTCTGGCGGTCCCTTTACCTTCTTATGCCATCCGAGAAAAGATCATGACGCGAGAGTCTTCGCTTGAGTCGTCAGGAGTCCTTGTCCTTACCCACCTATGCAGTTGTAGACACCCGCCCAGCCCGATACAGTCTGACACGTGCGGGCCTGACAACGGATCCCACTTAGCTTCTCAGCATGTTGCCGAGTAGCGCCTCCCCGAGTAGTCGCATTGATATCATTATCGTCCGTCGTCGGTTACGTTTGTGACAACGCCACTGGCCCTTGCTCTGAGCATTTCGAGGCTCGCCTGACCGCTGTACCAACGTACAGCTGGATTCACATCAAGATCGGGTTCCGTAGGTCGCTCTGAAACTCAGTCGGATCGGCATGATGCTCTTTCGGCGGTGTGCATAACTGCAATCACCGATCACGAGTCGCCAGGCGTCGTGACAGATTCACTACGTCTCGCCTTTTCACCTTCTCAGATCGAATCGGATACCACAGCAACCACCTTCTGATTGCTCTACAAAGTATACCTGAACTGGGGGCTTCGATCGCCAATGGGTGCCCTTGTCTTTCCCTCATCGACAAGTTTCTGGTACTTTGCCCAGTTACCTTCTCGCCTGCCCTGGTCCCTGGCCCTGTTCTCGCTCCAGCACCACCACACGTTGATCGCCATGAAGATCCACGCGCCGACCAAGCTAGCCAGCACGACCGAGTGGCCCTGCACATACCGCGGGGCCCACTTGGCCTGGTAGATGAACGTCGCAACGAATCCGGCGAGGTTGGCGATCATAAGCTGCAGAGCGTTGACGGTGCCACGCTTGTACAGACCCGACGTGTTGTTGATCGGGATGGACAGAATGCACGGTGCGGTGGGATAGATTCCCAGGGCGATGAGGAATGTCGCACCGTAGCTGACCTTTGCGTTGTCTGTGGCGAGCAGCATGATGTAGCCGATCATGGAGAGCGGGAGGAGTGCGAGGATGAAGGGTCCACGCATGCGGGTTTTGTCGGCGAGGTACGCGATGATGATCACGAGCACCGTTGCAGGGACATAGGGCGGTACGGTCAGCAGCTGAAGCCGCGTCGTGGTGATGGTTGGATAGATACCACGCAGGATGGTGGGTAGGAAGAGGCTGAATGAGTACAGGCAGTTGCAGATAAGCAGGTACGCAATGCCAGTAAACCAGGCCTGCGGCTCCGTTAGGCCGCGGCGAATCTCGCGCCACTCGAACTGCTCTTCCTCGAACACCATTGCTTGTTGGACCGCAGTATCACCTACGGCAACGACTGCGTTGGGCGCAGTGACAGGAGGTAGGTGCTTTTCCGTATCGCCGTTGATCTTGGCAATGGGTGCGACGCTAGCAGCCGCAGCGCGGTTGTTCTGCTGGTCGCGCCCAAGCACCGCAAGCATGAGCTCGCGCTCGTCGTCCTTGAGGAACTTGGACTTCTTGACAGATGAAGGCAGCATGTACCACGCGATGCATGCAAATACGATCGTGATCAAGCCCTCCATGATAAAAATCCAGCGCCATCCTGCGACTCCCCTGGCCGTAGCAGGCTTCAAACTAGCAAACAACCTGTTCTGAACACCCAGACCATCCATCTGGATCAATCCCGTCGCGAGCAAGCCGCCAAAAGCGCCGGAAAGACTTGCGCCCGCATAGAAATACGCAATGCGTACCTGAACCATGTATCTTGGGTAGAGCTGCGAAAGATATAGCGGCATGCCTGGTAGCAAGCCTCCCTCCATTGCGCCAAGCAATAGACGAATGACGCAGAGACCGGCGAAGTTCTGCACCAATCCGAAGAAGACGGTGATGATGCCCCAGCAGAACACGATGAAGGGGAGCCAGAACTTGGCTCCGAGCCTGCGCAGTGCCATGTTGCTTGGGATCTCGGAGGCGATGTAGGTGATGTAGAAGATGGCGAGGGCGATGTTGAACTTGTTGCCGTCGAGCTTGAGATCCGTGGTGAGGCCGGCGACTTTTGCATTGCCGACGTTGCTGCGGTCTACAAAGTTGGCAAGCCACAGCAGGCCGAGGGGTGGAACGGCACGCCAGTCGAGCTTGCGGATGCCCCTGCGCCAGGTGGCGTACTGCTCCGGGTCGGAGGGCAAACCCTTTGCATCGAACTGGATGCTGCCATCGTGCGGGTGGGAGACTATCGAGTCGGTGCGTTCGGCGGCGTAGTTGTGGTCGGTTGTCTCGTACAGCACCTGGTCCACCTTCTCTTTTGAGTCGGACGACATGGTGAGCTCTTCGGCAGGCGATGGGGAGCAGAAGAAAGGGTCGAGGTGTCGAAATGAAGTGTGCTGGTCCAAAGGGAACTGGTGGTCGTGGAAGGGATGTTGCACAAGTCTATCGAGCGAGTCGTAATGGGTTGAGGGCGTCGAAGGGGGAGGGAAGAAGCAGCAGCAAACACAACACATTATTATATATCACCTGCTTGAGCAAGTACGGCGAGGAGGTCGTGAGGTGGAGCCACCACCTGGGCGAAACATGCCTGGGTGGGCGGATGCGAGCTTCTTGGCAGTGTGGGGAAAGCTGGCCACAGGACCACACGAGCAGGCTCGGTTGGGTCTATGCGAGAGGAACGCTTGTCCTCAGCCTCGTGCACGAAGGCACCTTCCGTGGCAAAGGGCCACGATGAGGGGCTACGAAGGGGGACAAGTGCGGGGATAACCCCACAAACCCCACACTCGCGCCACGCACATCCGCTTGGTTGCATCGCCTTTCGCGAGAGTGTGTGCGGGATGCCCCGCATCCGCGCAGTGCGACACCGTGCGGTGTACGGCCAACTGTCAGAGGAAGCCGAGGGGCGGCGGTAATGCAGTGTCGGCCGCGGTGCGGCAGGGCGGCAGGGCGGCGAATTGTGCATAAGCGGTGACGGCGGGTGCGGAGGTGGGCGAACAAGCCGGCGAATACCCCGCACTTTTTTGACGCGCAGAACCCGGGGGCTTTTCGCCACCACAAGCCGCGCCCAACATGACGCTGCATGCTCGCTTGCGCCTCGCGTCCTCGCCTCCAAGCCACGCGCCCCCACTTCCCCCCCACTCTTTACAGTACAACTCACCCCGAGGAGGCCGGCTAAAGCTTTGCGCTCCCAGCAGATGTGGCTGCTCACGGAGCACAACAATTCGCCCTGCAATTCACCGTCGCCCCGGATATCTCGGTCACCACCCGATATCGCGCCCACATCGGGACACATCGGCGTTCTCCGATCGGAAGCAGGGTGGTGTCGATCCAGCCATGGCCGACCTGGTCAGATACCGAAGCGAGGCATGGCAGCGGACCCAGAGTCAAGTTTCGGTCACGCTCGATCGAAACAGCGGCTTTCCTCCCGCATTCAAGCGCGCCTCGAGGCAGCGAAGTATGTCCCTCGGCCAGACCCATCCATGTTAACCTCGCCGCGTCCCTCTCCCACGCTCTCACTGCGGCTAGTTGTCACGCTGCACCTCGTATGCACACTGCTGAACGACTTTGCGGGACTGCGAAAAGACGAGAATGAGATTCGTTATCGGATGTGCATCTATGCGACTTGTCTATTTGCGTTTGGACCTCTTCCGTGTTGAGGATGCGGACGTGGCCACCTTTGCCTTTTCGCGTGTCGCAGAAGCATGGTCGTCCTCCTCCTCGTCCTCGTAGCTGCTTTCCGCATCGGACCTCGAGTCGACTGCTCCTGCCTTGGTGACGACGCGGTAGGCGACTCTGCAGATCATGTAGAACCACATGAGGAGGATGACCTGCAGAGCACACAGCAAGCCGATGAGCGTAAAGTACGCGGTGCGTGTGAAAAAGTCGCCGGTGAGATAGTTGGTGGGTCGGAACGACATGACTTTGAGCGTGTCGTGGATGCACGACCACACGACGCGCATGTAGAGCACATGCCTCGTGACGAGCCACGAGACCATGAACAGTCCAAACGCGATATCGCACGTGGTCTGCCACCCGGCGTACTTGAGCATCTTGGCAATGTTGAGTGCAATGTCGCTGGGATCCATGAGGCAGAGGATGGCGTTACCGACGCGGTGGTAGCTGCACACGTACGAGCCCGCAATCAGCGCAATCGTGATGACGTGGTGCGAAAACATCTGCCAGTGGTCGGATCGGCGCGCCTCGACGTGCAGCACAAAGAGCTGCTGGATGTAGAACGCGCACGAGCCAAGGTAGTAGAGCTTGAAGAGTGGCTCGAGACGAAATTGCGGATAGTTGGTCCAGTACTCGATGGTGTTGAGCGGCCAGTACGACTCGCGCGAGGCAATGTACAGACCCAGACTCCACGAGCAGGTGTAGTAGACCAGGCTGAAGCCCTGCTCGGCAAAGCGGAGCACCTCCTTCTCGCGAATGCGCAGTGACTTTGCATGCTCCGCAACTGCCTCGGCCGACTGGCTTGCCGACTTGCGCAGCTTCTTCGGATGCGGCACCGCCACTTCACCGAGCGGCAGAAGGAGGTACTTCATGAGAAGCGCGCGTGCGAGCGTGAAGAGGAGCACGAGCGTGGCGACAAAGAGGGCGTCGTTGGAGCCACGTTCGTACAGGTAGCCGGGAACGCCGTAGAGCAGCGCCCACGGGGCCGAGCGTGCAGAGGCGTTGCCGCTGATGCGGTGTGCCTGATGCTTGAGTGCGGCGATGGGCGAAGAGGCCGCGTCGGGCACGGGATACGAGAGGCCGAGGCAGGCACGCGTAAAGTTGTGAAGCGCGGTGAGAGGGTGTCCAAAGCCGCGCGCATCGCTGCGGAAGGGACCGAGACTCGCCTCGCCACCGACGATGTTGGAGGCGAGGTCGGACCAGAGGTGGTGACCGCCCTTTTCGGAAGCGTTGGGCAGATCTGTGGCAAACTGGGCGAGCGAAGGCAGCCTGAGCCACGATGGGATGATGGAGTTGAGCGAGTGTGGCAGATGGAGATGCGAAGAGAGGTGGGCGAGCGAGAGCGACGATGGGGATGAGAGGGTGTGCATGACGAGCAGCGCCACGACGCCGGTCATGGTGTAGTGGATCTGTGTCGAGAGCGACTCTTCGGCTGCTCTGCGTGTGGCGGACCATTCTCTGGAGCGAGATGATCTGGATTTGAGGTCTTTTGAGGGCTTGTAGGAGGCTGCTGGCGCAGAAGGGCGCGAGCGCGCTGATGATTTGGGCATGTTGGAGCCTGACCTCGAGCAAGAGCTAGAGAGCGTGTATGAGTGAATGCGTGAGAGGGTACGAGTGTGAGCGTGATGGTGGTTGTGTCCAAGCAAGGCTGCCAAAGTGAAAATTGCGCTGAGCGAGTGTTGGATATGAAGTCGAGCGCGCTGCTTTGCAACGAGGGTGGGCTTGGCCTGAGACGCCTGGACTGGCTCGATCGAGGGTATGAAATGGAGACGAGCAGGCACGGGTGGCTTGGGTCGAGCTAGCGTATCGCGAGTTGACCAGGCGGGGCAGATTGCCGCTCGTTGAGGGCCAAGGAGTGCGCGGTGGCAGCAGGCGATCGAGACCGCGCGCGATAGAGACAAGGGCGGTGACGGCAGTGATGGTGATGGTGACTAAAGTGACGACGGTGGCGACCGAGGCATGAGCTTGCCAGCCGAGGACGGAGCACAGACGCAGGGGGAATCCGAGAGCATAAGAACGTGGGCCTCCTGTCAGCGTACAACACGAACGAAGCTAGCGCTGCCTTCTCACTGCTGGCGGATCTTCTGAAATCTGAGCCTTTTGGTTCGAGAAGACTTGGACTTGGCCGCTGCAGTTGGAGCTTTGCCGTCACGCCAACGCGTCTCTTCTGCTGCCGCTCACCCGCTCGGGCTGAGAAAAAGGTGACAAAAAAGGAGTTGTACCGCACGAGCCGGCTCAGGGAAAATTCGCGATTTTAGAGCTGCGTGTCCAAACTCAGATTTCAGATGGGTTGGCCGAGCCAGCGAGCAAGCCAGCGAGCGAGCGGGTCAGCCGCAACGCACGTCCCCGCCTCCTAGCTTGCCTAGCCTACTTTTGCCTGCAGCGCTCGCTGGTCGTGTGCCGCCGAGCCCCAACAATTTTCGGTGAGCGAGCGTGCGTGCATGCAGCTGCCACCCCGCGCGTGCAGCTCATATTTGCACACGCATGGCTGCCGGATAAGTTGGGCGATTCGCGCTGCGTTGCTCTGCCACCGGCCACACGCGTGACGCCGTCGCGGGCTGGGATCAAATCTTCCGATCCGTCTCGGTGGAGATCGACGTTGATCGCCGATCCGTTCCTGAACGGAGTCTGGTTCGGTTCGGCCTTTTGCTCTCCGCCTCGACTCCTCGCAATCACGAGCAACAGAGAGACAGGCACTCGACAGTCGGGCCGCCTCTCCTTGCACGCTCTCTCTCTCCTTGCTGCACGTCGTGCTGCAGCTTACAATTCAAACACACTCTCCGGCACCCGGAAGCTTGAACTCGTCCTTGGTTCCGACCATCGTCAACGTCAAACCTTCAACCTCCATCCTCCCTTGCTGCAAGTACAGACAGCATCGACATGCTGTAGGCTCCTCCACCTACCTTCGTCTGTCCCCACTCACACCATCAGCCAACATGCCGCATTCCTCTTCCACTCTGCAGCAACGGCGTGCGCCCGCCGTGCGCGAGGCCTCCACCTCGAGCATCGACGAGGATCGCAAGATTTCCGGCAGCTGGATCAACGGCTCTAGCTCCACTGCACCCTCGCGTCCGGACCTCACTGTCAACACCAACACCGCCAATGCCGGGCAAGTCGCCGCCGACCCGGACAAGAAGGGCAAGCGCGGCCACGTACAGAAGCACGAGAAGATCGAACGCATCGGTCTGCTGCGCGGCTCGTCGTACGTCAAGTCCACAGACAAGGACTCGGTAGCCCAGCACGAGCTCACCACCTCCATCGGACTCCAGGACGAGGCCGTGTACGACGCCTACCTCCCGCGCCCGATCGCCTTTCTGCGCCGCATCATCGTCGCCGTGCTTCGCAAGGAGGCGCCGCTGCACGAGCGCCACCAGCGCTGGATTCGTCGGCCCTGGCTCGACCGCTACTTTGTCAACACCTCGCTGCTCGGCACCCACTCCTTCTTCCTCGTGTTCCTGCCCATGATCTTCTGGCTCGGCAGTCCGCGCTTCGGACGCGGCCTCATCAACGTGCTGGCGTTTGGCGTCTACCTTTCGTCGGCCATCAAGGACCTCTTCTGCGTGCCGCGCCCCTACTCGCCGCCCGTCACGCGCCTCACCGTGGGCACCCACCATCTCGAGTACGGCTTTCCCTCGACCCACTCCACCAACAGCGTCAGCATCGCGCTCTACATCTATCTATGGGTGCGACGCATGCGTGAACATGCCGTCGGCAACGTCGATGCGTCGGGGATCTTCGACTCGTGGCTGTGGGAGGCAGGGCTGCTCTTCTACGCCACAAGCGTCGTGTATGGCAGGATCTATGCCGGCATGCACTCGGTGATCGACTGTGTCGCCGGCTCGGCCCTCGGCGCAGCCATCACCGCTGTGCAGTGGCGCTTCTTCGACCCCATTGAAGACTTTATCCGCACGGGAAACTGGTGGGTTCCCGCGGTGATCGTGCCCGCAGGCCTGCTCATGGTGTCGGTGCATCCGCAGCCCGTCGACGACTGCCCGTGCTTCGAAGATGCGATTGCGTTCGTCTCGGTCGCCATGGGTGTGGCGTTGGCGAGATGGTCCGGCATCCGCTATGGGATTGTGCTTGCTACCGACCCACTCGTGCATGCCTTTTCGAGCGCGGCGGCGTCGTTTGCCGAGGCAGGCACGGACGCGGTGCAGGCAGCAGCCGAAGTGGTGCCGCTCATCCAGTTCCCTGCAGCCGGTGCGGCGGAGAAGTGGATCAAGAGCGCACTCGTCATGGTGTTTGGGCTGGTCAACGTGCTGCTGCTGCGCGTCATTGTCAAGACGGCATGCAAGGTGATCTTGCCCCCGACATTCCGTCTTGTCGATCAGCTGGTGGGCTTCAGTCTGCCTAGGAGACACTACACGCCTGCGAGCGACTACAATAAGATCCCTCTGGCGGACCTGAGTGCGGTGCCGTCGGTGATCGATTTGCCGTCGCAGATCATCGTCACGGACGAGAGCGGCAAGCAGCAGACGATTCAGTCGCCTCTGGGATCGCCCGTGCCCAGTCGACGCGGCAGTGCCGACGTGCGTGGATCGATAGGCAGTGCACTTACGCCTTTGGCGGCTGCATCGCCCGTGTTGGCCCGCTCGCCTGTGGTGTCGCCCGTACCGTCGAGAACGCCGAGTCCGAACCCGATCGAGATGCGAAGGACACTGCAGAAACGCAAGATCCAGTTCAGCATCGGCGGCCCCAGCGACGACCACGACGACAGGCAGGAAACACTTTCACCGCCGGTCGACAAATCTGCCAAATCGCCGGTTGCGGCCACACCTGCTCCAACCGCTGCCAAGGATGCCGAAGTCAAGCACTACGATGCCGATGGTAAGCCCCCGCTCGCTGAGCCCTTCCTTACTTCTATCGCAACACCCACTGACACCTCTTGCTTTTCTCGACAGTGCTGACCAAGGTGATTGTGTACACCAACATTGGGCTCTTTTCAGCCGGGCTCATACCTGCGTTCTTCGAAAGGCTTGGTCTCAACCCCTGAGCCCTCTTGCACATGCTGTACGCTAATTGGACTCATGTCGAAACAGTTGGGCTATTCTGTGGACTCTATTCGCGCGCAGTGTGGTGGAATCAATGGCGCCAAATCTTGACCACCTTGTCGCGGCCGCCACTGGCGACTTTATCGGCGACAAAGTCGACGCAGTACACCTCGTCGGTATGGCCCGGCAGGTCCTTTCGGATCTTGAACGTTTTGATCGGATCCCAGAGTTTGAGCGTCGAGTCTTTGGAAGCCGAAACGAGCAGACGCGAATCGGACGACCAGGCCAGGCGATACACCGACGCCACATGTCCTCGCAGTGTCGCAATGAACTTTCCCGTGGCGGCGTCCCAAAGCTTGACGCTATTGTCGAACGAGGCCGAGGCGATTTTCTTTCCGTCGGGCGAAAAGGCGACGTGGTTGACCGTCTTTTGGTGGCCCGTCAGACGCGCCACTGGCTTCTTGGGTGTTGCTGCCGACCCACCGATCTGTGCAGGCCAAAGGAAGAGCGTATGGTCATCCGAACCAGTGATGATCGTCTCGGCATTGCTGCCACCCCCCGTGGCCTCTTTGAACCGCTTGAGCGCCGAAGCTTTCGCGTCTTCGTCCGACGGCTGCACATACGATGGCGTCGTCGACCCAGCACCGGTGGCTCGACCCGTGTGGTCGAACGGCCCCGTGCGCAGCACAAAGTCGGTGGAGAGCGCAATGGTGTTGACCCAGTGCGCATGCTCACTCAGGCTGCGAATGAGTTTCCCCCCATCCGCCGACCAAACCTTGACGGTGCGGTCGGAAGAAGCGGTGTAGAGCGCACCTTCGCCACCCCAGCGCACGCAGTTGACCGACGCAGTGTGGCCGCCCAGCACGTACTCGCATCGATGCAGCGTCGGGTTCCACACGCGCACCGTGCCGTCCTTGGACGAAGACGCCAGACGCGGGTTGGTCGGGTTCACGTGGATCGGCTCCCACGAGAGCGAGGTGACCCACTTTGTGTGGCCGCGCAACGGCTTTCCCTGCGGCGCGGCGTTCTTGGCTGCGCGACGCTGCTTGACACCCATCTTGGCCGGCTTTGCCTCGTCGGCGTCATCGACCTGCTCCTGCTGCTGTTGAGCCTCCCATTCTGCATCGACCTGCTGGGTGGAGCGCGAAAGCCAGCCCTTGCGGCCGGTGAAGGAGGCATCGAGCGCCTCCCAAATCCACACCTCGCCATCCATGCCTCCAGTGGCGAGCTTGCGTTCGCGGCCCTCCCACTCGGCACAGAGCACCCAGTTGGAGTGTCCGACGAGCGTGTGCATGGGCGTCTCGGTGTCCAGATCCCACAGCCGCGCGGTCTTGTCGCCGGCGCCCGTGGCGAGCAGCGAGCCGGTGGGCGAGAAGGTGCTGCAGAGGATGGGCGACGCATGACCGCTCATGGTGCTCGAGCACCGACTCACCGGTCGCACCTTGAACACCGCCTGCGGCTCGAACACGACGGTGAGCGTGTCTTCCTGGCTCAGGCCGAGCTTCTTGGCCGCCTGTGCGCCAAGCACGTCGTCGGTGATGGAGGTGTTGATGGGGATGCGTGCGTTGCTCTTGACCAGCTCTGGCTTCTCATCTGCCTGTACGGTGGCGTTGGCAGCAAGCTGCTCGAGGTCCACGTGGAAGGCGTAGGGGAGGTCGTCATCGTCGTCGTCGTCGTCGTCCGAGCTGGCGTCCGGGTCGTCGACGGAGCGCTTCTTGGGTCCCTGTGCCTGCTTGAGCTGGCGTCGCAGCTGGTTGATGATGGCCTGGAGTTCCTTCTGGCCAGTCGAGGCGGGAAGGTTGATGGTGGGGCCGAGGAGGCTGCCGTCCTGGCCGGACTGGAACTGGATGACGAGCGTCTCTGTGGACGGGCCGAGCTGGCCCTGCGCCTGGAGGAGGGCAGCCTCGCGTGCGGCCTTCTCGCCGGCGAGACGCTGCCTCTTGGCCGATCTCTGCGGGATCTGTGTGGCCATGTTAGAGGTGAGAGCTCGGTGAGGATGGTGGGGGAAAAAGGCAAAGCGAGCAGCGTAGAGAGCTGTGCAACTGTGCGGCACTTTTTTCCAACTTTTTCGGGCGCAGCAGCAGCGGTGTGGAGAAAGAGCGGAAGAAGCTGTGAAACTTTCTTCGCACCGAAGTGCCCTTCAGGGTCCAGATCGGCAAAAGTCGCCCTCCCGATCCATTCGCTTGGCTGCTGCTGCAGGTTCCAGATTTTTTTTTTTCTTCTGCGGCTGCAGCCCTGGCTTGGAGAGAGGGAGAAGACGAAATTTTTGGAAAATTGCTCGGTCGACCCTTTTTCTCGCGCTTCGCTCCTTCAGTCAGCCGGGCCAAAGAGCTGCTGCTGCTGCCGCCATCGTTGGGCCTTGTCGCAGAGCCACTCTGCTTTCCATCACCTCCCTTCTAGCTGCGGCATCACAAAGGACCACTACGGAAGCATCTAGTACCACCAAAATAGCTCTTGGATTCACCATGTCGCCGGCCAAAGTGTCGACCGCCACGGCGACACCCTCCAAGCTCGTCAACGGCACACCCAAGTCCGCCAAGAAGGCCAGCGCCAAGGCGTCTCCATCCAAGTCCGCCGCCTCGTCTTCCTCGGCCGCTGCCACCGTCAATGGCAGCTCGGCATCGGCATCGACCTCCTCGGCAGCGGCGTCCACATCGACAGCGGCGCAAGAGAAGCCGACGGGCAAGTACTACGACTCGCTCAGCAAGCACAACACCGCCTTCACCTCGCTGCTCCACCTCATCCCGCCCCAATTCTACCTCACGCGCGACGACGACGATCTGGCGGAGGATGTGTCGTCAAAGTACATGAAGAACAAGCGCAAGAAGGCCAAGTCCGAGATCGAGGCCAAGGAGCGCAAGGACAAGCTGCGCGAGGCAAAGAAGCAGCGTCTCGACCCGGACAACTTTGCCACCGTCACCGACATCCAGGCAGAGCGAGCGGCTGCTAAGGCTGCTCGTCAGGCGGCTGAGGCCGACTCGGACCTCGAAGTGGATGCCGAGGGCATGGTCTCGGACGACGACGAGGAAGACGATGATGATGATGATGATGACGACACAAGAGGCGGAGGTGCTGCTGGCGATACGGACGACGAGATGCAAGATTCGGATGTCGAGGATCTACCTTCGAAGCCAGCCGCTGCTGCTGCTGCTGCCGACCCAACCGCTGCGGCGGCATCCAAGCCCATCCAGACCGAGGGCGAGCGCAAGGCGTCGATCGATGCGCTGCGCGCCAAGTTGCATGCCAAGATTGCTGGCCTGCAGCGCAAGCGCGGCGGCCTGCTTGCCGACGCCGAAGAGGGATCCGAGGACGGCAGCAGCGTGATCAGCTCCAAGGACGAGCTGCTCGAGGAGCGTCGCAGGCAACGCTTCGACGCACGCGAGCGCAAGAAGCAGGAGAAGAAGGAGGCCAAGGCGGCAGCCAAGCAGGCGGCCAAGGCCAAGAAGGCTGCCAACGCCAACGGCGCCGCTGCCAACGGCACCAAGTCGGGCAGCACGTTCAACGTGGCCACCAAGGCGCCAGCGCTGCTTGTGGCCGAGCCAGGCTACGGCGACAAGAACAAGCGCGCTGCTGGCTCGGGTGCCGCCGACATTGACGTCAACGGCAACTCGCTCAACTTTTCCTCGCTCAACTTCAAGCCGGTGGGAGCGGCGGGTGCGGCGCTTCCGGACGAGGCTGGTGCGGGCGGCAAGAAGAACAAGCTTGCGCTGCCGTCGGATCCCAAGGCGGCGCTGCAGATGCTCGAGCACCGCAAGAAGCAGGACGAGGCGCGCCGGGCGAAGCTGGCGGAGAAGCTGGGCGATGCGCCCGAGGCGCTGTCAGCCAAGGTTTCGGAGCTGGACGAGCAGAAGCAGTGGGACAAGGTGCTGGCGTCGGCGACGGGCGTCAAGATCCGCGACGACGAGAAGCTGCTCAAGAAGGCGGCCAAGCGCAAGGACAAGCAGAAGGAAAAGTCGAGCAAGGCGTGGAACGAGCGTGCGCAGGCCGAGCAGAAGCAGCAGGCGGACCGCCAGAAGAAGCGCCAGGACAACATCGCCGCACGCAAGGCCGCCAAGGGCGGCAAGGGCGGCAGCAAGAAGGGCTCCTCCTCGACGCTCTCGGCCAGCAAGACGCCCAAGGGCAAGCGTCCGTCGTTTGGCAAGGCGCGTCCGGGCTTCGAGGGCAAGAAGATCGGCAGGTCGAGCAAGTAGATGAAGGCCACATGTACACCGCATCTCCGCATATTGCAATGCAGCGATTCATCATCGGTCCATTCATCATCGGTCCATTCATCATCGGTTGAGCTCGCAGCGTGTGCATTTTCTCGCGCGATAAGAAGATGCCAGCCGTGGTTGCAATTTTTTGGGTGGGGCCTTCGCCCTGCATGAAATTGAGGGCAGATGCAGCTCTCACACAGCCAGCCGATATTTCGAGTCACTTTTTTCCCAGCCGCAACTGCACCAGCCAATGCGGCTTGGGCAATTGCACTGGCGAGCCTCGTGTAGCCTCAACCGCTTCGCTTCGATCGACTTTCGAGCATGACAGTTGTGTGCCGTTGATCAAAGCATAACGTCGGTACCTGGGCTTGGCAAATCTTATCCTCACTTTGTCCAGGTCGAGAGAGGTGAGAGCAAGGCGATTTTTCATGGCCAAATTGGCTACAGCCCATGGTGATGCGAAATAGGCACAGTGCGGCTGCAGTGGGTGCAATGCAGATGCAGTGGCTCCACCGTGGCTGCCGCCTGGCTTCATTTGGGCACGAGTCAGGCAGAGCAGGCAGAGCGGGAGTCAAGTGAAATGGCGCGTGACTGACTTTTGAATCTTCTTGGCCGGTGCTCGCCTAGTCGGTCTCGCACTCTCTTTTGTCCTCCCTCCCTCTCCACCACATCCATCGTCGCTGCCGCGGCCTACGAAGCCATCTGCTTTGCATTCAACACTCCTACCGCTTCGTAGATCCAGCTTGCATCCTCACCACATCCGCAAAGGCACTCCAAAAAGCACACCTCGAGCCGAACTCGTCCAAACTTGGCCTTTCACCTCCTCGTTTCGCCAGCTCTTTGCTGCGTCCTTCCTCACAATGGCTTCGGCTCAGTCGGCTGCCTCGCAGCCAGCGCAGCCAGCGCAGCCAGCGCAGCCCGTGCTCAGGACAAAAACGCCCTCCTACCACGCCCCGCCATCCACCGACAAACTCTCGGGCGCCACCATCCACACCCTCCGCTGCCTCGACACCCCCATCCATCTCGGCTACCACCTCATCCCGCACATCGCAAAGACCCTCCTCGCCACCCTCCCCTCCTCCACCTACGTCCTCATCACCGACCAAAACCTCGAGTCCAGATGCAGCGTCACCACCGCCTTCCGCAGAGAGTTCGAAAAGGCCGCCGACGCCCTCAACTCCGCCCACACCTGGAGGCTCCTCACCAAGGTCATCCCTCCCGGAGAGGGCTCCAAATCGCGTCAAGGTAAGAACGAAATCGAGGACTGGATGCTCGAGAACCGCGTCACCCGCGACGCCGTCGTCCTCGCCCTCGGCGGCGGTGTGATTGGCGACCTCGTCGGCTTCGTCGCAGCCACCTTCATGCGCGGCCTCAAGTTCGTTCAGATCCCCACCACCCTCCTCGCCATGGTCGACTCGGCCGTCGGCGGCAAGACCGCCATCGACCATCCGCTCGGAAAGAACCTCATCGGCAGCTTCCACCAGCCCAACTACGTCTTCATCGACGCAGCCTGGCTCAAGACCCTCCCACCCCGCGAGTTCAGCAACGGCATGGCCGAAGTGGTCAAGACTGCCGCCATCTGGGACCCCATCGACTTTGCCAAGCTCGAGTCCAGCGCTCCCGCCATCCGCTCCGCCGTCCTTGGACCCTTCGCCGCCGACGCCCCGCTCGACCAGGGCAGGACCCTCGACACGCGCACCGAATCCCAGTCGCTCTTGCTCGACGTCATCCGCGGCTCCGTCGGCGTCAAGGCGCACATCGTCACCATCGACGAAAAGGAGACCGGCCTCCGCAACCTCGTCAACTTTGGCCACACCATCGGTCACGCCATCGAGGCCGTCCTCACCCCCGAGATGCTCCACGGCGAGTGCGTCTCCATCGGCATGATCCTCGAGGCAGAGGTTGCGCGCTACATGCACGGCCTCAGCCAGGTCGCCATCGGTCGCCTCACCCGCTGCCTCAAGGAGTACGACCTGCCTGTCTCGCTCTCCGACTCCCGCGTCACCCGCCTCCCCAAGTCGCTCAACGTCACTGTCGACCGCCTCCTCGACATCATGAAGGTCGACAAGAAGAACTCGGGCTCCAACAAGAAGATCGTCCTCCTCAGCTCCATCGGCGACACTGTCGAGGACATGGCATCCACCGTCAGCGACGACATCATTCGCCGCGTCCTCTCCCTCGGTGCCACCGTCACGCCCATCCTCGAGCAGCCCAACAACGCCAAGGTCACCCTCTCCACTCCAGGCTCCAAATCCATCTCCAACCGTGCGCTCGTCCTCGCTGCTCTTGCCGGTAACACCTGCAGACTCCGCAACATGCTCCACTCGGACGACACCCAGGTCATGATGGCCGGTCTCACGGACCTGCACGCCGCGCGCTTCGAGTTCGAGGACGGAGGAGAGACCATCGTCGTACACGGCAACAACGGCGATCTCCGTCGCCCCGCCAACAACAAGCATATCTACCTCCAGAACGCAGGTACCGCTGCGCGCTTCATGGCCACCGTCGTCACCCTCGTCGGAAACGACGGCACCCAGGATCCCGTCGTCATCACCGGCAACAAGCGCATGAAGGAGCGCCCCATCGGTGCCCTCGTCGACGCCCTTCGATCCAACGGCACCTCGATCGACTACCTCGAGGGTCAAGGCTGTCTGCCTCTCGCCGTCAAGGGAACCGCCAGCGGCTTCAAGGGCGGCAAGATCCAGCTCTCGGCCACCATCTCGTCCCAGTACGTCTCCTCCATCCTCCTCTGCGCGCCTTACGCTGCCGAAGAGGTCCTGCTCGAGCTCGTCGGCGGTCAGGTCATCTCGCAGCTCTACATCGACATGACCATCGCCATGATGGCCACTTTCGGCATCAAGGTCGAGCGCCTCGCAGATCCTGCCACCGGCCGCCTCTCCAACACCTACCGCATCCCCAAGGGTCGCTACGTCTCGCCCGCCGTCTACGACATCGAAAGTGACGCCAGCAGTGCCACCTACCCGCTTGCCATCGCCGCCATCACGGGTACCGAGTGCACCGTCCCAAACATCGGTTCCGCCTCCCTTCAGGGTGACGCCCGCTTCGCCAAGGACGTGCTCGAGCCCATGGGCTGCACCGTCGTCCAGACCGCCACGTCGACCACTGTCGTTGGCCCCAAGCTCGGCAACCTGCGTCAGATCGGCCTGGTCGACATGGAGCCTATGACCGACGCCTTCCTCACCGCCTCGGTCCTCCTCGCCGTCGCTGCCCAGCCGCCGGCGAACGGCTCCACCTCGACTGCTCGCCCGTCCACGCGCATCACCGGCATCGCAAACCAGCGCGTCAAGGAGTGCAACCGTATCCGTGCCATGATGGACGAGCTCGCCAAATTCGGCGTCGACACCACGGAGCACGAGGATGGCCTCGAGATCTTTGGCATCGACTATCGTCAGCTCCACCCCGACGTTCGTGTCCACTGCTACGACGACCATCGCGTCGCCATGGCCTTCTCCGTGCTCGCCAGCTTGGCCCCAGGTGCCATTCTCGAAGAGAAGCGCTGTGTCGAGAAGACCTGGCCCAACTGGTGGGACGACCTCGAGCGCAAGCTTGGCATCCGTGCCCATGGCGTCGATCCCGAGTGCTCGCCCAGCCTCTGCATCTCGCCTTCGCATTTCAGCAAGGCGAGTGTGGCCAAGCCAAGCGCCAACGGCAAGCAGCCTGCCTCGCTCGCCGAGCTTGCCGGCGGCCGCACGCTCCTCCCGCGCAAATACAGCAAAGATGCTACGATCATTTGCATCGGCATGCGCGCTTCAGGCAAGACTTTCCTCGGCGCAATCGGCGCTGCTGCGCTTGGACGAACCTTCCTCGACGCCGATGTCGTCTTCAACGAGAAGCTAGGTGTCAAGGATGGCCTCGGCGACTATGTCAAGCAGCACGGCTGGCCCGCCTTCCGTCAGAAAGAGCTCGAGGTGCTCGAGGAGTTGATGCACCGCCATCCTACCGGCGCGCTTATTTCGCTCGGTGGTGGCGTCGTCGAGACCGAGGCGTGCCGCAACATCTTGGCCGACTACGCCAAGAGCCGAGGCCCCGTGGTGTACATTGTGCGAGACACGGATGCCATCGTCAACTTCCTCTCCACCAGCGATCGCCCTGCTTACGGCGAGCCCATCATGGACGTCTTCCGTCGTCGCGACCCCTGGTTCCGCGAGTGCTCGTCCTTTGAGCTCGTCTCGTACTCGGAAGGCGAGTTGCTGGCCGTCCAGCCGTCCGCCATCAACGTGCCCGACCCGTCCTTCACGATCCAGAAGCGTTTCGGCCTCGAGTCCGAGGTGGCGCGCTTCTTCAAGTTCGTCACTGGACAGGACACGAACCAGGTTAACGATCTGGTCGTTGACAGCCGCAACGCCGGCCGTCGCACCTACTTCCTCAGCCTCACCTTCCCCGATGTCGTGCCCAAGCTCGAATTGATCAGGAGTATGGAGTCGGGTGCTGATGCGCTCGAGTTCCGCGCCGACCTGCTCAATGCCTCTGGCGAGCCTGTCACCTCGCCTCAGCTGCCTGATGTCGAGTACGTCAAGAGCCAGCTTGCAGCCCTGCGACACCGCACATCGCTGCCGATCGTCTTCACCGTGCGCACGCACTCGCAGGGCGGTATGTTCCCCGACGGCTACCAGAAGGAGTACTTTGAGCTCATCAGCGTTGCCCTTCGCCACTGCTGCGAGTATGTCGACCTCGAGCTCGGCTGGGACGATGATGCGCTGGCGGCTGTCGTGGCCGCCAAGGGCTCCAGCCAGATCATCGGCTCGTTCCACGACTGGAGCGGCAAGCTCGACTGGGAGAGCGACGCCACGGCCAAGATCTACGAGCGTGCCTGCCGCTTCGGCGACATTGCCAAGATCATCGGCAAGGCCAACACGATGGACGACAACTACAGCCTTGAGCGCTTCCGCACCAAGGTATCGGCGTCAGCCACCAAGCCGCTGCTTGCGGTCAACATGGGTGCGGCGGGCCAGTTCAGCAGGATCGTCAACCCAGTCTTCACGCCCATCACGCACGAGGCCATGCCTTTCAAGGCGGCTCCGGGCCAGCTCTCGTTCCGTGAAGTGCAGAACGCTCTGACGCTGATCGGCAAGACCGAGCCGCAGCAGTTTGCGCTCTTCGGCAACCCCATCGGCCACAGTCTGAGCCCGCTGCTGCACAACACCGGGTTTGCAGCGCTCGGCCTGCCGCACCACTACCAGCTGCTTCAGACGCGCGAGGTCGGAGAGACGCTGGACGCCTTCGTGCACGCTCCCAACTTTGGCGGCGCCAGCGTTACCATCCCGCACAAGATCGCCATCATTCGGCTGCTCGACCGCGTGACGGACGAGGCCAAGGCGATCGGCGCGGTCAACACGGTGATCCCCGTGCGCGACGCCATGGGCAACGTCACGTCGCTGGTGGGTGACAACACGGACTGGATCGCGATCGAGACGCTTGCGAGGCGCTCGCTGCGCACCGTGCACCTGGCCAACCCCAAGCTGACGGGCCTGGTGATTGGTGCCGGTGGCTCTGCGCGTGCTGCGATCTTTGCGCTGTACCGCCTTGGTGTCAAGCGCATCCTGCTCTACAACCGCACGTATGCCAACGCCGAGTCGCTGGTTAGGGTCCTGCCCGTCGAATGGAACGTCGAGGTGCTGTCGTCGCTCGACGAGATTGCAGCCCTGGCGCCCGAGGAGGCGCCTAGCGTCGTCGTGTCCAACATCCCTGCCGAGGGTACGACGCTCGACAGCTCTGCCAAGGGGCTGATCTACCTGCCGCCGTCCATCCTGCGCAATCCGGCGGGCGGCGTGGCGATCGACATGAGCTACAAGCCGTACTCGACGAGCCTGCTTCAGCTTGCGCAGCAGGTCAACACGCAGACCGAGCTTGCGATCGGCACGAATACGACCAAGGCGCCCAGCAGGAAGCTCTGGTCCACGTGCCCCGGTATCACGATCCTGCTCGAGCAGGGATGCCACCAGTTCAAGCGCTGGACCGGCCGCGAGGCGCCCAGGGCGCAGATTGAGCATGCCGCCTGGGAGGAGTACCTCCAGCGCTAGGGCGTGTCGTACAGCGCGTGTGCGAGCCAAAAGCCGGTAGTACTCGCAGATGCAATTGAATGTGTTGTCCAGCATCGAAGCTGTTCAGCGTGTGGGTACCGAGCGTCGGAAGAAGTACAAATCTGTGTGACTCCCTGAGTCGTCGAGCGAGCTAGTTTGGGGGTGCGTAGCGAGTCCATCGGCGGACCCATGGACCAGTGCTGCTCCGACTCGACCGCTCGAATGGTCCTCACTACGCACGTTGAGTTCATTCGGTGACCCGAGCCTGTCGCAGCGTGTGGGTAGCAAGCGTCGGGAAAGTTGAAATCTGTGTGACTTTTTGAGGTGTCGATTCGCCCCGAGCGAGCTAGTCTATGGGTGCGTATCGAATCCATCGGCGGGTGCTCTGAGTCGACCGCTCGAATCGTCCTCACTGCGCATGTTGAATTCATTCGGTGAGCCGAGCCTTTCGCATCGTGTGGGTAGCAAGCGTCGGAAGAAGTGAAATCTGTGTGGATGGATGAGGTTCTCCGTGAGGACCCAGCAGCAACAATGGAGGCGCGCAACGAGGACCGGGCCATGGCGTCTCAAAACGACCGACTACCCTTCGCAATGCTACGGCCGTGGGGAAACCGGCCATATCCGGGCCATCTGCGGGAAGATCAAGTGCTGCGGATGTGACTGATTCGAACAGACGTGTGATGTCGCATCGCCAGACAGCGCACCGACGAACGAAAGTCGCACGACTGCCAATCCTCACAGAGCCTGTCTGGGGGGGTGGGGGGGGGGGACGGTTAGAGTGTCACACCGAGGCTGTGCGGGACCTTCGGTAGACTCAAGAAGAGGGTCGCTGAGGTGCTGCGTGTACGGCCTGTCGAGAGTGAGACTCTGCATCACCCTCTGTAACAAGAACACAGCATACAATCTTCCCCCTTGTGGACCTTCGCCAATGTTGGTCTCTGAGAAACTCCGCCGTGGAAGGCACAGGTTCCCACCTCTGTCACTCGCTGCCAGTCATGTTTCATTATCGCTTGCTGTAGTCGTTGACTCCGAGCATTGCTCGCACCAGCGCGCCTCGCTGATGATAGCCAGGCCTTGATCCGCTTGCGTGATGCGATGGCTCAGCGAGCATCGTAGAGACTGGCAACACCGCACCTCCACGATGCTCGTCTACGCAGCTGTATATTACGCGACTTTAAAAGGCCTTTCTCGCCGCCTTGGCAGCGCCATATCAGGCGAAAAACGAGCTGACCCTGCTGGTAGAGCTGAGCGATGTTGAGCCTGCTGATGTTTGAGTGACCCCGAGTGTGCGAGAGCAGATCTGGTGCCCACGCTCATACGTGCAAATAAGGTTCTGCATTTGCGCAACTAGGTAGATGTAACGGAAGTTGTTGCCGTTGACGAAGACCATTCGCGTCTGGCAACCAGGGCTGACCTTGGGCTCCCACAGGTGAGGATCGTCGTTGAAAGTAATCGAGAGCAAGTTCTTGGTGTTGCATCGTGTCTGGATGCCCGAGATTTGAGTTCTTCGCTTGGGCATCCATGCCGAGCTTCCGATTTCGCGCTCGTAGATCCTCTAGGCTTCCGCAGGCAGAGCTGCAAGATGCCTCTGTTCTTTCCAATGTGCACAGCAAGGGTGGGATTGTGCGTCACAGCATTGGCGAAGGATACGAGACGTTCGGGCTGCGGATTGTACCGCGTCGCCCGTCGTTCCGCACCTCGGTACGGCGACCGTGTCGGTTCGGCCCGACAAGGGACTATTTCTGCTCGGCGTGGGCGTGCGGCTCGCTTTGTCATGGGCGACACGACTGCAGAGCGTCACTCCGACTCACAACAGCGCACACAAACGCACTGCGTTCACAAGTGGCACGCCCGCCCCTCGATCTTGCAAGACGCGCAGATGTCCGACCTTGGAAAGCTCGACTGGGCAACCGCAACGCTCGATTTGGGAAGCCCCACCGCAACACGATGAGATCAAAGCACTAGATGCGACTTTGCGAGCGCGTGTTCTGTGCGCATGGCTGTCGCCACGCAACTCAAATCCAGCCAGCGATAGGTCCTGCTTAGCGTCTCGGAAAGCACTGGATTAAACCGAAGCAGCACTGGTCCATGAGCCCGTCGATGGATTCGATACACACCACGCAAACTAGCTGGCTCGGCGCGGATCGAGGACTCTACTCTATTGGACAGCGGCAAAGAAGGGAAGAGACAGTGATCTATGGAAAAGAGTGCAACTAGATGGTCGAGCGGTGATTGAACGGTGCGGGTGAAGACACTTCGGTGCTGCGCTCGGTGACGATCATGACTGGCAGCGGTGCGCTTGCCCTCGAATGCGCTGGGACAGGGTTGCGCGAGTGGACAAAATGCCTTGGATGGACCGACTGGATCGTCGTTGCCGTCTGGGGCCGCTCGAGGTCCCCTGCTGCACTTGCGTCCTTCACGCTGCTGGTGCTCGACTCTGGATCCGGCCGCACCGAAGCATGGAAGGTGTTGACGTGGCTAAGATGGTACTCCTGCGTGCGCATGGAGGGCTGCATCCGCGAATTGCTCATCGCGTTGCTGACCGCGCTCCTGTAGATGAGGTTAGCAAGCAGCACAAGGGTGTACAGACCACCACTCGTGAGGTACAGTGGCGAGTACCATCCGGTAGCCGAGTGCTGGAAGAGGTAGACCGAGGTAAACGAGCACGTGGTGAGCAGAACTTGACCCTGGAGCGAGTAGACGGCGAGGTTGAACAGCACGCGGCGTGCGCCATCCATGCTTGTCTGACGACGCAGTATGGCGAGCCTTGCCATCGTCGTGAGGGTCATGGCGACCTCGAGTAGGATGAACATCACCGCCCATGCCGAGATGATGCCATGTATCCAGTGTCGCTTGTTCGGGTTGAGTAGATGCGACTTGTACTTGACAGTCCAGAACGCCATGCCGAACCAGATCATCAGCACAAATTGTGCAATCACTCCGACCATCGCCGCCCCCACACTGGCGCGGATCGACGTGCGCCGTGTGTCGAAAAGCTTGGCGATGCGCAGGATAAAGTACACCTGTCCGATAGCCACGGGTACGGCCTGGAGGGTGTGGAAGAGGGGTACGAACCACTCGATCGTGTTGATGTCGAACCCGGGCTGCGTGAACAGCTCGATAAGCGTGCGCCGATATGCGGCCACCGAGGCAATCGCGGCAAGTACGACGCTGCATGACACCGATACGAAAGCGGCGGCTTGGATCACGAGCGAGTCGCGCTTAATTCCGCAGAACAGGTACAGATATATGGCGTACAGCGCGGCGTTGAAGCCACACAGCAGCACGAGCAGCAGCATGAGGATAAACGTCGTCCCCTGCGCATCCTCCATGCTCACGGGCAGCAACAAGGGCGTCGGCGCGTACACGTACACCGGCGCGCTCCATAGCGGGATCAGCGAGGCATCCATGTTGGCACCACGTCGCGTTTGCAGTCCACCGAGTCACGGGTCGTAATGAGGTCGCAGTAGGGTCAGATGGTGGGAGCGAGTGAAGGAGGCGGTGATCTTTGCGGCAAAGCAAGGTCGCGGACGCTTCCTCTCCATCCCACTACAGCGAGTGTGGCTTGGAGCCAGGCTTCACCAACAATACGGCTCGAGTGGCTCCGCATAGCGGCGTTCGCATCGTCGATGGACCACTGTTCTGCGCTGGTGCCCACACGGGTTTGGGCCCACCCTGCTGCTGGTCGCCGGACGACAACCGCAGATGAACACAGTAGCCACTTTCCGCCATATTCTGCATCGTTGCCAGCGATTGGACCGCTCTTCGATGGTGGTAAGGTGGGTTGCGCCCACGCTTCTGGTGCGGCGCTACATCTCGCTTGGGCCTTCCAGCGCCATGGGAGCCTAAGTCTTGATCCGGGCTGGCGGTCGAGCCCACTTCCATTCCCGTGGTTTGCAAAAAGCCGCGAACGCTGCGCACACTCCGCTCCGAATTACGCCCGCTGTGTGGCGACGAGCGGTCTGTGCACGATCTCATCTGGGTGGTCGAGAAACTTCATTTGGAGGGACGCTCTGGGACTGGAACCTGTGTGGCAACAGCGCCGGCTTAGCGGCTCGAAAAGTACAAAGGACGGGCCCTCTTGCCAGCTTTCAGGCGATCCAGCATCGTTCCAACGACTTCCATCAGCACGAGCCTCCTCCCCCAAGAATCTCCACTTGCACCACTTGAAACCTCTTTCTAACTTAACGATGAAGACCTTCGCCTCTGTCATGCTCGTGGCAACAGCCTTTGCCGGACTTGTCAACGCTGGCTGGAACCCCGAGCAGCCGCCTAACTACACCGTGTCGGCCTACTGTGCCAACACCAACGCCGAACGGGCTTGCTTCACCACCGACATCGGAGACCTTACTCCCGGTGCTGGCTCGCACTTCAGCGGGTTCGTATCCGGTGACAAGAAGAGCTTTGTCGTGTACAAAGATACGGACAGCACGGCTTCGCTTGTGGTGGGCAAGTACATCATCAACATCAACTGGGCGACTTCCGGTAATGATGGCCAGACTTGCTGTGCGGTCGACGTCCAGACTCAGGACGGCCAGGACGTGAGCAACTACCTCTCCTGCGCCCAGGCCAAGTGGTTCAACCTCTCGGCCTGAGAGATCTTGTCGCTTCGCGGCGGAAGCTCGGCCATCTCGGGCCAGAATCGACCGCCTCGGAAGCAGTAGCGCGAGTCTTCAGCTCACCCTTCCGCACTGATGCTCTTTGATGAAATGCAATTATGTTGTTCAGCGAGATGGTGTATCTGCCGCAGGTCTTTGGCGATCATTGACACATCACAGTCGAACGACGCGCCCGCAGAATCAGAGTTCGCTTATGGGAAGATTCGGGGTCCGCGACGCCTTGGGCCCGCCGGGATTCTATTAGTAACAGAGTCCACTGAGGCAGACCTCACGGGCCCTGCTGGTCCCACACTTCAATACGAGTCGTGAAAGCCGTGGTTTTCGAGGCAGAAGCAATCATCCTTCAAGGAGATGTGCCCAAGAGCCGACCCGAAGCGGATGTCGCTTTTGCAACCTCTTTTTTTGAAGGCGATTTAAAGGTCGACTTTCCTCCATTTTTACGCTGGTAGGGGGTTTGTCGCATGACCATTGTACTGCAACCTTGCCCGACGTCTTCGTCCAGCCATTCTCCTTTTGCTTCCGTCCCCATCAGCGAAGGGTGTTTCGAGCTTCGAAACTCAGGCTCACGCCCCACGAGTGGAACAAGGAGGACAATCTGGCGCATCTGCGAAGAAAGGTAATGCTGACAAGCCCTTCGCGTGCGCGGTCGAGGTGGAGGCCGTAGCTGACACACCGGACTCGATCTTTGACGTGAGCCCCGCCGACAGCGCGTGCAGCTCGGCTAGGCCACCGCCACACCGACAACCGCCCGAAATGCAGCGCCTCTCACTCAGCATCACTCATTGCTGAGGCAGGGCTGCTTTCGTGATGGCAGTGTGCATAGCGTAGCTGACTGTGTGGAAGAGCAAGCCACAGGGAGGATTCGATGATCGCCGCGGAGATGGAGTGTGTTAGGAAGATGAGGGAAGGGCGAGTTCAGGGTCCAGACATGCCTCCACAGGGCGTAAGTCTGAAGGCTGAGAAAGCGTTGCGTCACTCGTTCTTCCACATCTTGTTGAAGTGACTGTGCTTGACCTGCCAAACATTCGCCCTTCCATCTGTATATAAGCCCTAGCATCTAAGCTATTGTCCTGTCTACACTTTCTCATAGTTTCTTTCCCGTTACCCTCCCTCTCACTGTACTCGACTATACACATCATGGCAGGCGGAGGCGTTGTACGCGGACCACACACTGGCTCTGGCACTGAAGCCGCACTTGCGGATCTTGACTCGAATCAGCGTGCATCGCTGCTCTCCAGCCTTGATTTTGCGCAGCTGGCGCAACTTCAGCTTCCTCCCGCATCGGGTATTGAGGACTATGCGATCTTTGACCGCGACGACTGCCGGGCAGTTCACGGCTCGCTGCCCACATTTACCAAGTCGTTCCCTTCGGAATCGATCCGATCGATCTTGGACATCTTCATCCAGGCCTCTGCACCCAGTGTGAGCGAGGAGGAGCTCAAGGCTAGCACGCGCAGCATCGAGATCGACGGCAAGGAGTACACCATCAGCGGCCCCAGGGGCGGTCAGTACCCACAGGAGATCATCACACTCCACGAAAAGAAGGACGACGGAGAGGTGCTGTTCGTTGCACCCACCGCAACGCTGGTGCTCGTGTTCAAGGCTGCTCCGGGAGCAGATGTGCAGTACATGAGCAACGAAAAGCAGGGCGTCTGGACCGCGGTTCGTTCGTTCGCTTTCGCCCTCACCGAAAAGGGACTGTAAATGGCACTCCCTCCTGACACAGTAGCACGCAATTCATAGACTACGAAATCCAGACGTCGAAACTGTGTAACGGTAACAGTGTTGACATTGCAGATAGACGGCCGAGCACCCGGGATGACAAAAATAGCAAGTGATGAGAACAAATTTTGCAGATGGAGCCGAAAGTGTATGATGGAGTAGGTAGGATCTAGGCGATAAGAGCCTTGCTGAGGCCTTGCCAGACATTGACTGGAGCCAGATCGGCCTGCTGTGCGTCTGAGGTCTGGAGGATGGACAGGCCGACGTCGGTGGGATCGGGATAGACGCGCGTGGAGAGGGCAATAACATCGTCGACAAACACCTCGAGCACCGAGTTGTCGAGGAAGAGACGCAGCGAATGAGTGCCGTCGGCTGTCGGGGCGAGCGGTGCACGCAGCGTCGACGTGTTGACCTTGAGGCCCTTTGCGATGACCGCATCCTTGCCTGCAGACAGCGATCGATCGACGACAAGCTCCGAGTCGGTAATGTAGACGACCGTGCGCGTGGTCATGTCGTTGCTGTGCGCCACCACCACACCGGGCTGCCCCGCCGAGAGCTTCGTCTCGACCTCGTAAGAGCGGCTCGCCACCTCGTCCACCAAGATCGCCCCGAGACTGTCGACCTCGGCAAGCTCAACCACCGCCGTCGCGGCTCGGTCGCTCGGTGTGATGCAGATGTGCTGCGCGCCGTTTCGGAGACGCTGCACTTCTTGTGCGGGACGGATGCCAAGCTGTGTCGAGGTGGGGTGGTGGAAGAGCTCGCGCGGGAGCGAGATGAGACCTGCCCATCCCTGGGTGTTGTAGTAGTCTTCGGGGAGGTCGTCTTCGGTGATCCAGCCCCACATGATCCTGCGATCGTGCTGCTCGTCGTGGAAGCTGCTGGCGGCATACAGACATCCGTGATCCAAAAGCCCCACGTGGTCGGGTTGCAGCCGGATCTCGCCGTCCGAACCGCGCTGCACGTCGGGCAGCGTCTCCATGTACACAGCCGCGCGCGCGGGCCCGGGCTCGGTGCACCCCTCGACATTGATGAGAAGGTACTCTGCCGACGCGGGCCCAGCCGTGTCGCGGATGGTAAAGAAGTTGGCCACCTCCCAGTTCTTGCCGAGGTCCACGCCGTAGGGGGCGGCTTTGTGATTTCGGCCAACGTCGGCGAGCGTGCCGACGAAGGTCCACTGGCTGAGGTCGGTGGGGTTGATCGAGTAGGCGAAAATGGTGGGCGTAGTATCCTTGATGCCTCCGGCAATGAGCGCGTACAGGCCAGGCTGCTGGTCGGTGCGACCAAGGGCAGCATCGAGCAACGGCCACGGGGCAATGTAAGGGTCGCGCCACGAAATGACGTCGAGATGCTCAGGCGGCCCGTCGAGCACCAGGCCATGGGGCACCCACGTCTCTCCACCGTCCTTGGAAGTGGAGAGGACGACCTTTTCACTGCCGTGGTTGTAGGGCAGCGTGTGGTGGATGGGCAGCTTGGAGACGGCGGTGTAGATGGCGGTCATCTCGCCTGTCTCTGCTGCCTCGGCGGCGGAGCCGAGTGGCGAGCGGTGGAGCACGCAGCCGGTGAAGACGCCTTCAGAGTCGTGGTTGCTGCCGGGTTCGATGACCGGATACGGGCGAGAGGTCCAGTGGATCATGTCGTGGCTGTAAGCATGGCCCCAGCAGATGGACCCCCAGGTGGAGGCGTTTGGATTCCACTGGTACCAGAGATGGTAGAGGCGAGTGCGCGGGTCGTACGAGGGGCCACAGGGGTCGTTCATCCAGCCATGCGGGCCGAGGAAGTGCGAGGTGGGCCTCCACTGCTCGAAGAGGGCTTTTGTGGATCTTGTGGCGTTTTCAAGCGCGGCGTGCGGTGTGAGCATGTCGGCCTGCTTTACTTCATCGGTGGGCGAAGGCACTCCGGAGGAGGCAGGGGTGGTGACGGGAAAGAGCGTGGGGGAAGAAGAGCTGGAATCCTCGGACGAAGCGGACGGGTGGCTGTCCTGAAGCAGTTGTCCATTCTGCTGCGGCAGAGGAAGCTGTGCTGGGCGCATGGTGCGCTTCTGGAAAGATTGCGAAGATTCGGCGTCGGCGACCGACGTGCGAGCCTCGACGGCTGCTTGCGGCGGCAGGACCGAGGTGCTTGTGGGAACGGGCGACATTGTTGTGGATGGAGGGAAGGGATGAGCTGCAGGAAAGGCGCAGGAAGCGCTCCGTTGCTTTTGGGGCGTGGATCGAGCCAATATAGACGCTGAGCGCTGAAAGCTCGGGCCGATGGCAGCTGAGTGTCGGCGTTACCGATCAGCAACGGTTACCAGCACAAAGCTTGACCGTGAAACGCCGGAAGCACTGAAGCGGGCCGATGACGCAGCCAAGCCGAGATTGAGCTTAATTGTAAGCAACGTCGACGTGTGCTTGACTGCCAAGACCGCAATGCGATGAAATGCAACGGCAAATCCGCAGCGAGCGTCGTGGCTGTCGGGCGGATATCCAATCAGAGGGCGATCACGTTGCTGGCCTCGGTGGTGTGCGAGATGATTGGACGATGGTTGTGTGAGGGCGATGCAAGAGAGAGTGAACCAGCGAGAAGAACGGCGCAGATGATGGTCAAGATGAAGGGATGAAGGACGGCGCTTTGAGAGGGGTGGTGTCGAGTGTGTGGTGAGCAGCTGGAACAGGGCCGAAGGCTCGAGGGAGAAAGGCGTCCATATGAGGGCCGTGGCCAAAAAAGAGGAGAGCGGCGAGGTGAGCCTGGACGGGAGCGGCTCGGCAAATGCGTGAGAGGACCAAATTGTGGACACTCGTCCGGAGCCCGTTTTGCCCAGCGAAGTCGAAGCGCGCGGCGGGGACTTTTGGATGGGGCTGGACTGGGCCGAGCAGATCTGAGTGACCTCAGTCGAGATGCCAAGGCGGAGCGACCGACCGAGCAGCGAGAGGCGACCCGAAGCCAAGCCCAAGCCACGGCGCAGCTGCCGTGCCTTATCTCGGCTGGTCCGTGGACGTGGCCGTGAGTGGGAAAAAGGAGCTGCGTCGGCGCACGCCCGGAGCTCCAACCTATCCACGGCGCGTTTGCCGTTCGCCCGCTGAAGCTGCCAAGTTTGCAGGCACACTTCAGCCAACTGCGTCACATTGATCTTTTTCGCCGAGCACGCCCACGGCTCAACCGAAAGCCACACTCGGAATTCGCCGTTCCTCCTCGCTGGTGGTCGAGCTGGAAGGGGGCAAGGTGAGCTCGGCGTCAGTTGTGTCGAGAAGGGCGGCTCCCCACCCAACGTGCATGGCAATCTCATGTGACCTTGGCAGGCACGGGTGGTTGAGTGTGCATCGCCACCACGTGCGCCAAGTCCGTCACATTCTCACAGACGTGCTGGACACAGACCATCAAAATGACTTGCTTCCCGTGACTGGGCGGAGCTGCTCGCTGTTCGTCGTCTGGCGGTAACGCACCGGTATTCGTCGGTACTGCCAAATCCGTACCGCTCGGCGTGAGTCTGCTACGATACGGTAGCATGGATCTCGGTGTGGAGTGCTCACCGGCGAATTCGATCGGAAGAACCTCGGACGGGGCTAATCAGAGCTCCTTGTCGGCAAGTCTGCGGGGTGCTGACGGATGCCATCGCTGTGCTGTCGGTCAAAAGGTCGCCTCGGTCCTCACCGCCTCGCCGCCTCGTTGCGCACGCGTCCGTCTACCATCGGTTCGCTTCCTTGCCGAGCTTTTCGTGCATGAAGCTGACAGAACCACCGAGCGCCGTGTGTCCAGCTTTGAATGGCGGCTCCTCATACTGTGGGGCTCGAAACAGTGACGATAGTCGACCACGTTTGGGACCACGCTGTGTCGGTGGGTGTTTCGACCAGCCAATTTCGACTTTCCCCCGCCGTTGGATTTTGCGACCGAGGCAGCGCCGAGCATCTCCCCATTGTCTCCGGCGCAGTCTCGGTGCCCTGTCGGGCTCGCGCTTTGTCGCCCGCCTGGCACTGCATCTCGCCGACGATCTCGACGCTGGGCACTGTTCATGCTGGAAGTGCGGGGTAAGTAGCGCATGCTCACACGGTCCCGAATGCTTTGCCGCCACTCATCTTGCGTGCCACGCTTCGGTACCCGTTCTTCCGGGTTTGCGCGTTCGGAGAACACGCGGTGGCCTCAGGCCAAAAAGATCGAGATCTGCTTGCCCGATCAGGGCCGATCGCACACTACCCGTCCTGCGTCCCGAACTCGTCCGTGGCACCACGTCTCGCTGCACTTTCTTTCTTCCTTCTTTCGTCAGCCTCACGAGACGATGGCTAGGTCATTGCCTTGAAGTATGCTGCAAGTCTGTCGAGCCCGCGCGTGGACAGGGACATAGTCTTCACGAGCGGCTGAAGGCTCCCTGCTACCAAGTCGCTCCGGAGACCCTCGTGATGATTTCGCACGAGAAAGGCAAGCGCAGTTCGGCAGCTCTAGGCTTGATGCAGTGCTTGCGCGAGGGTGATCAACGTCGCATGAGACTTGCGCCTGCGCCCGGAGCGATGCATCCCATTGATGGGGTTCTGTGCCCTTTACCAAGGCTCCGCGAGGCGGCTGGTGGAAGTGCTTTTTTTAGACGCGGCGCCGCGCTTGGACGACGCAGCGACCCTGGAATTTCGCCTGCGCCCCGTGCGGGTCCAAAGCGCCGACGATCCTCGCAGCTCCAACAGCTGCACGTTCGTCGTCATCTTGCCGTCGCCAACTGCCAGGCTCGTGTCGGCTCAACTTCCGCTCACCCTGTCCACTGCCGGCAAACAGCGCTACTTGGCTATTTATAAACAGCCGTGCAGACGAGCTTTCCAAGCCGCTGAGATGATACATACTTTTGCTTTGACATACAGTTTTGGGGAAGGATGCATAATGTGCATGGATGCTTGTACGATTGCAAGTTGGGTGTGGTGTGGGTGTGGGTGTGGGTGTGTGGATGGATGGATGGACGAGAGGGTGAGGAGGGAGCTAAGAACGCGGCGAGCATCTTCCGAATTTGGTCGAGGCCAAGTGAAACACGCGTTGAGCAGGCAGCGGGCAGGCAGAGGGCAGGCAGAGGGCAGGCAGGGGCGCAGCGGCGATTGCTGACGAGCCCTCTCGCTCGCCCGCCCTCGCTCCTCCACCTCTGTCGCAGCGCATCGAGCCGTCATCGGCCTTCTCTCCGACTGGGCGTGCAGCATGCCCCGCTAGCTCACCTCTGGCTGTTTGCCCTTCCATCTCCTTCATACTTCTCCACCACCGTAAGCACCTCAAGCGATCACCCCGCTGCTTGCATCCGTCTCTCCCATCCGTGCATCCGCTTGCACGCGCGAGACTCCATCCATCCATCCATCCATCCGCGCGTTCATCCATTCGCTCACCCAGAGCATCCATACCCGCCTGGAGGCAATCGCGATCCCTCGCCAGCCGTAATCCACACGAGCTGCGTATACCTTGTAGTCGCATCACCCGGACAAGAGCTTTGAACCGACACAGTGAACATTGCCCAATATGTCGATGGCACCGCAGGCAATCCACTCGAACCTCTCGCGGCCGCATCCCACCGACTCGCGCCTGCTTCAGAACCTTATCAAGGGCGAAAAGAGCTACATTGACAACCTCGCTGCTGCCTCTCACTCGGGCTATGCAGCCGCGAGCGCTCTCGCCGCCTGGGGTACCTCCGAGGCTCCTGACATCTCCAAAGCCTCCCAGACGCTCGCAGAGATCCTCGCCTCGGTCGCCGACGCCCAACGCACCCACGTCCAGGCTCTCGAAGGCTACCGCAGCGCCCTCAAGGATGTGCTCGACCGCGAACACAGCATCCGCTCCGTGGTGCGCGACCGCGACATCCTCGTCGGCCGTCTCATCAAGGCGAGCAAGAAAAAGGTCTCCAAGAAGGACTCGGGTCTCAGCCAGGACGAAAAGATGGAAAAGGTCAATGCAGCCCAGCGCGAGTTGCACGCCTGCGAGCAGGTCCTGGCCAGCGAAGAAGCCGCGCTGGTTGGCGTCAAGCGTCGCACCTTCAAGGAGGCGCTCACCATGAGGATGAAGACCATGGGCGACGCAGGATCCGCCATGGTCGATGCCGCCAAGGAAGCCATCCTGTTGCTCGACGAGTTCGACACCCACGGTCCCCTCCTCCAGGCAACCGGCGGCGGACAGTACGAGAGCATGTACGCCGACGACGGCGTCGAGACCGGCGCCTACGATCAACAGGCTCTCGATTCGGGCTACTACGCCGGCCAGCAACCCCACTCGGCCGGCGTCGCTTCGCCCATTCACGCCGACAACTACGCTGCCCAGGGCTCTCCCGGCCCTGCCAACGGCGCCAACCTCATCCGCGACGAGCAGGGCCGCTTCCACAAGGATCTTCACGGTAAGTTGCGCCATCCCAAAACCGGCTTTTCTTTAGAATCCGATCCACTGACTCTCTCCTCTTTGACCTCCCTTTTCGCTTCGAAACCTCGCACGGACGCGCTAATTTCCGCGTCTCCGCTCGCATCGCCTCTTTGGCCATCGCGTGATTTCCCCACCTCTCTTTCTGCCCCTTCCTCCACAATCGCCGTGCACACGCCGTGCTCTCCCACCTCGACCACCTAACACACGCCCGTCACATCTCTGCTCCACAGGCCGCAACATCCAGCACTTTGACGGCGCCTCGGTGACTCCCTCGCAGTCGGCTAGCCAGGTCATCGACCACGACCGCCAGCAGGTGCCGCTCGGCCAGCGCTACACTTCCCACTTTGAAGACGTCGAGGAGCAGGAGGGCATCCCCTCGGACACGGACAGCGAGGAGGACTACCGACGCGCCTTCATCGAGCCGCGCATGCGCATGCCTGCTCCGCACGAGCTCGGCGTAGCTGCAGACACCCGCGACTCTTTCATCCCCGAGGGCGCTTCCGCTGCCGCACCGCCACCTCCGCCCCGCAAGGACGACGGAGCAAACCAGGTGCCCATGCCCCCCGTCCCGAGCGCACCGGTCTTCAACGTCAACCAGGCTCGTGGGTACGATCCCAATATCAACGCCGACCAAGCTTCATACCAACACCAGCAGGCCGCCTACAGCCCGCCCCGCTACTCCATGTCGCGTCGCAGCGGCGACTCCGAGGGTGGCTACGGCCACCAGCGCAAGTCGAGCAACTCGCTCATCGGCAAGATGAGCCGCCTCTTCAAGACCGACATTCGCAACGGCGCGGCTGGGGGCAACGAGCGCCCAGGTTGGGACACGCGCACCTCGGGCAACGTCGATGAGGGCGAGCGTCGTCGCAGCGGCCTACTCCGTCGCAGCGAGCCTGACAGCTCCGACGACGAACCCGACACGCGAGAAGTCTTCCGCAACGTCAACCAGCCACGCCCCGGTCTTGCCACCGGCGGAGGCAGCGATGTGGGCGGCAAGAGCAAGCTCATGCGCTCCTCGAGTGCCGCGCGCATCCTGCCTGGTCCCAAGAGCAACCGCGCACACGACGCAGAGCAGGCCGAAATCGACCGTATCCGCGCCTCGGTGGTCGGTGGCGGCATCGGCTCTGCCCCGCCCAAGCAGTCGCTCGCCAGCGGCGCCGACAGCATCCGCTCCAACACCACGGGCACCAAGAAGAAGAAGAAGAAGCGCCCCGTCGCAGGCAGCGAGATCGGCACCGCGCCCACGCGTCCTTCCGCCAGCTACACCATCTCGGGCGACCTCTCGTCGCTGCACGGTAGCACCGTCGCTGATGCCGCACGACCCGGCCTTTCCCGCAGCTCCACCATGAAGTCCACCAGCTCCAAGAAGAAGAACCGTGCCAGCATCGCGAGCACCGGTCTCGTCGGCGGTAACATCTTCAACCCCAATGCGGGCAAGTTCGGCGCCGACTCGTGGATCAAGAAACCAGCCAGCCAGATGACCGCATACGAGGCCGTCGCCATGGCCGGAGTCGTGCCCAAAGAGTCCAAGCCCAAGGAGGCAAAGCCCGCCTCCACGACGAGTGCAGCGCCGACCGCTCTGGCTGCTCCCCCGGCAGCTCCAGCAGCCTCTTCGCGCCCTGCATCGATCATATCTTCGGCGAGCAAGAACCCGCCGCTCAAGTCGGCGCTCAAGACGCCCACGCTGAGCCGAGCCAACAGCTCCTCGAGCAACAAGGCGCTCACAACCTCGCCCACCAAGAAGTCGGCGGCTGCGCCCGCGTCGCCTGCGCCGGTCAAGTCGGCGCTGCGGAATGACATTACGCAGAGCATCCGTGCCGAGCCACTCCCCCAGCCCAAGATGGAGCCCATTCCCAAGGCTCCTGCGCCTGTCACGTCGGCGCCTTTGCCAGAGACAGTCGCTCCGCAGGCTCCCGCCGCGGCTCCTGCTCCGGTAGCAGCCCCACAGGCTGCTGCTGCTGCTGCTCCGCAGGAGAAGGCACCGGAAGCTGTTGCAGCTCCGGCTGCTGCTGCGCCAGCTCCAGCTGCTCCAGCCCAGGAGCAGGCGTCCCCCGAAGCCCCCCAGTCGGTGCTCAGCATCGAGGAGGACAAGGGCTTCGATGGCACGGGTCGTCTTGACCTATCTGGCGACAATGCTGGCGCCTCGGCAGCGGCAGCCTCGGCGCCCAACGCGGCGCAGCAGAACAAGGCGCAGATGCCCAAGCTCGACATGCCTAGCTCGGAGCCGTTTTCGATCTCGTTTGACGGCGTTGCCAAGGCGGGCGGTCCACGACGCGGCTCGGCCGTGACGACGGGCAGCGCGGCCGAGGACGGTGTAGTGACGCCCGGTGCCGAGCAGACGTACCGTGCGTTCATCCAGGAGCACGGCCAGTCGCCATCGGTGGAGCGATCGGGCGAGGCCACGCCGATCGGCACGCCCGCGCAGGATGGCGTCACGCGTCTCACGGACCGCAAGGTCAAGCTCGAGCCCAGCCGCGTTTACGGTGCGGGCGCACCCGAGGTGAGCGACACCTCGTCCGAGGAGGGCTCAGCGGTTCAAGCGGCGGCTGATGGCAGGCACGGAGAGGGCGGCGCCAAGAAGGCGGCGCAGGTGCAGGAGTCGGCGGCGCTGGCCGATCCCGAGCACAAGCCGGACCCGAGTCTGCAGAGCCTTACGGTGCCCGAGTCCAAGGCACCCATCAAGCCGCTGGATACGTCGGCGCTGACGGTGCCGACTGAGGGTCAGGGTGAGACGGACAGCACGGTGAGCCGTCGAAAGAGCGTGCGTATGGCGCCGGATGTGAAGCTGCCGCCCGACACGCCGACCGAGGACTCGCATGCGACGCCGCGCGGCAACGAGCACGGAGGTCAGGATCCCATGGCTGCACGCGGATCGCAGCTGAGCAGCCGCATTGCTCCGCCCCCTGCCGCAGCCGCTAAACCTGCCAAGGAGGCCGGGCCGGTGGATCTGGCTGGTGGCCGACAGCATTCGGCCTGGACGAGCCGTGTGCGCGATACCGTCGACAGCAGCGACGAGGAAGATGCCGATGGCGATGGATACTCGAGCGCCAGGAAGGCGTTTGGCTCCGCCACGCGCGGATGGGGCGAGGCAATAGGCACGTCCAAGCCCAAGAAGAAGGCTGGCGATGCGGCGTCGGTTCGATCCAAGGCGAGTGTCACTTCCAAGAAGAAGGTGGCAACGGCCGAGGCGAGTGCGCCTTCGACGCAGGCTTCGATCGGATACGTTCCGACAGCGCCTGGGTCGATCTCGTCGACTCTGTATACTGCCAAGGCGCCTGGTTCATCCGTAGGTGCCAGTCCTGCAGCTGCACCGTCGTCGTCGACTCTGTATACTGCCAAAGCGCCTGGCTCGTCGGTTGGTGCCAGTCCCGCAGCTGTGCCGTCGGCGTCGATGTACTCGGTCACTGCGCCTGCGTCGGTAGTGAGCGCAAGCGCAAGCCAGCCAGCAGCCACAGCGTCTGCCCCGGCTCAAGCGCCCGCACCGCTCACCGCATCGAACCTGAGTGCACTCGACACCAAGGACCGACCCGTCATGCCCCCCGTACCGCAAGCTCCGCCCGTGGCCGGCCAGAGCAACATGACCGTCCCCACCGCCCCGCCCCCCGCGATCGCTGGCAATGCAAGCTCCACCGGAAGCAAAGGATTCTTCCGCCGATTCAAGCGAAACAAGTAAAACCCTCTCTTTTCCCTTTTCTCTCACGCACAAAAAGCCTACTTCACACTCCTTTTTGACTCTTGGATCCCATCGGTACCTGTTAATACGAGTTCGCGTCCCTACTGCCCCTCAGTCTGTGTCACAAGCAAAAGGTGTGGGGCAAAAAGAGTAAGGATGCTGATTGAGGTATAAATTACGACTGGTGCCGAAATGCTAAAGCGGGAATAATTAGAAAAGCCGCAAAAGGGGGATGCGGGGGTGACGGGGCTTGCGTGCTGAGGAGGAGATGTATGTTGAACTGAGAGAGATGGCAGCTAGCAGTTGCACGAGTCTCTTGCGACGCCGAGGCCGTAGCCGACGTATCCGCCTGGATCTGTCAACGAGATGTTGCCTCTGCTGCTATCTGCGGCGTGTGCTGCCGGTGCGCCGCCGGGCATGCGGTCGCCTGGCCTCCTGTCTCCCGGCGCCGTCTTCTGCCACAACGAAGGCGTCGAGATGATGCGGTTGACCAGCTCGTCAAACGCGCCGTTGACACCCACCCCCTTCTTGGCGCTGCACTCGACAAACAGGCATCCCATCTTTTCCGCAAACGCCTGACCTTCCTCCGTCGTGACTACACGCGAGAACTCCTTGTCGACCTTGTTGCCGACGATGATCTTGACCACGTCTTCGCTGGTTGTGAACGTTTCCAGCTCGTTGAACCACGTGGGCAGCGCATCAAATGTGTCGCGCTGTGTGACGTCGTACGCAATGATGACGCCCTGAGCGCCACGGTAGTAGCTCGATGTGAGTGTGCGGAAACGTTCTTGCCCAGCCGTGTCCCAGATGGACAGCTTGAAACGCTTCCCGCCAACTTCGATTCCCTTGATGCGGTAGTCAACGCCGATCGTCGCCGTCGTCTCCTCGGGCGAGAGGAACTCGTCGTCGGTAAAGCGTAGTAGCAGCGACGACTTGCCCACGGACGAGGCGCCGATCAGAAGGATCTTGAGCGTGGGCACATCCCCGGAAGACGACATCGCGGAGCAAGTGCAGTTGGCCACCGTCCAACAGACAGGCTGGAAGGAGCTAGCTTTGGTGAGAGCTCGGGACGACGGATTACGACTGCACTGGATACGGTGCGAAATTCACAGTCGGACAGTGCTTGCGCGGTTGTGGATGAGCGTGTCCGGGACGTTCTGCCTAGTGTAGAGATGGTGGTTGGAAGGGAAAGCGGAGGACGGAGGCTCCGAGGTAACAGAGGCGGAGGGCGCAGTCGACCAGAAAGCCGGGCGTCGCATGCATGTGAGTCCACTGAGCTTTTTTGGGATCGGCGGCTGCCGTCGAGCGGCGGAGCCCGCCTGCGTGAGGTCACCCTGACAACCACTCTAAATGTGGAGGATAATTTGAGGGCATGTGCATTGACAGAGCTGTAACATTTCTTTTATCCGAGCTGTTCGTTGTCGTGCGAGTGAATTGCCCTCTCACGTGATCAAGCCATCTTTTTTGGAAGGCTTGAAAAATTGGAAAGCCAATCCGCAGTTACGACGGAAGACCCCAGCGAAGGATTTCTTCAAGCTGAGGCGGCCCATAAATCCAACCGCAGTGCTGCGCTTCGTTCTTTGCCAGCCACCTACCAGTCAACCCCCCTTCATACCAGTATACCCGGCCTTGGTCACAAGCTCTCCACTCGCCATATCGTTGATCGCACATCTCGATCGACGTGCGCTGTTCGGGAGCTGAGCTCCTCTCGCCCTTTCGCATAAGCTTCTTCCACGAGCACCGCTAGGTGCGCAGGTGACGACCTCATACGTGCCCAGCATACAACATGCCAGTCTCTTTCTACGACGAGATTGAGCTGGAGGACATGGTGTACGACGAAGAGAAGGACCTCTTCCACTACCCATGTCCCTGCGGCGACCGCTTCGAGATCACGCGCCAGCAGCTCAAGGACGCCGAGGACGTCGCCAGGTGTCCGAGCTGCTCGCTCATCATCCGCGTCGTCTTTGACCCCATCGACTTTGAGGACGACGACGAGGACGAGGCGCCGGTCAGCAAGATCGAGACCGCCAACACCACCGTCGCGGCGGCAGCCTAATCGTCGTCGTCCACTCGACGTCAGGTAAGCATCATGCAGCGGACTGACGAGACACCCTTTGGAGCGAGTTGGAACAAAGCAGCAGACACGCATGGACAGCAGGAGTTGAGCGCAACCACCCGACCAAGCCTTTGAAGGATTAGACTTAACTATTCAGTTCTGCTTCCGAAAAGAGACTTCGCAATCTCTTGTGGACAACTTATACCAATACCAAAATCTTAGATGACTCTGGTGTCCGGTCGGCCTACTTTCAGTGGGCCTTCCGGAGGTCGGTGGTTGTTGCGTCGTCAAGCGATTCTCCTGCCCATCTGCTTTTTGGATCCGACCCGCCCTCGATGGTGCTCTCAGGTGGAAGACGCTGAACATCACAGCTGACCTCACCCTTGTTGCTCCTGATTAGCTTCTAACAGCCCTGCGTCGTTGGCCGAGTGTCGCGCACTTCTTACACTCTGGAGGCTCCGACACTACCAAGGTTAGTGGCAGATCTTCGCCTCTCCCTCTCCTGTCCATGTCAAGGCGCCAGCTCGAACTCGGTCACCTCGACTTGCAAGCGACGGCTGGTGCTTTACATGATTAAAACTAGTTTATCCATTCTCTGAGGGGGTGGGGGTATGCCGAAGTCTCGACCCCGCGAGAGCGTGGGTGTACCAGGACCTTTGCAAAGAGGACCGGTGCAGTACTGCCTCGTGTTGGACTCCACCTTTGCAGACCTGGCCTGCAAGCTCCTTCGGACCACGGAGGACGTATAGGCGCGTTTAGGCCGCTGCGCTCGATCCGACTCGGTGTCGATTAACTCGCTTCGGCGGCATGCGAAAGACTGCGAGACGTCGACGCGGTGTGAAGCCTTCGCGCCGTCCCTTTGGTCGGTTGCTGCAGCGTGTTGGGCAAGGCTGTCGAGGTGCGCCGCTACCCCGACCGTCCGTAGATGCATTAATCTTCTCTATGATCCGCACGGACACACTCGCAGATGCAACACCAACAATCTCGAGTCCAGCGATGCTGACGTTGGCACTGTCGTCCTCTGCAGTTGGATCGCACATCACCAGTCCAAGAGACTATGTAGACTTCAGTCTATACACCCTCCGCCAACTCGTAAGTGTTTCAACATCCGAGCTCCCCCAACCTGCACACACCGATGTCCGGTACTGTCCCTCCCCTTACAGATCGGGGATTGGCATGCCGGACGGGCGTTGATGAACGTATTTCCCATACTTTTTACACCGAGCTGTGAGCCTTCGCAGTGGCGGGGCTAAGATCGCTTTGCTCAAAACATGCATCACCAACTGAGCCCATCCGCACCAAGCTCGCTTCCTCTCAATTGTCGCCATGTCGTTGATCGAGAGCAAGTTTCGCTGACTCTGCTTTACTTGGTTGCTCCACGCACAGTCACTCGTCATTGCTCACCAAAGCACGCTACGCAAGCGCCTTTCGTGTCGCCATTCTTCTGTTCTGCATTGCATTCTGTACATCACCGTCGCATCCCCAGCATGTTTCTGGAACCGTCCTGTATCATTGTCCACAGCTGCGACGTCGCCAGCTTTGTAAACTTATTTGTACAGCTTCTCTTGACAGGCTCGAGTGTGTGCGGCGTGCGGCGCTGTTGGTGAGCGTCGGGCCCAAGCGAGTGTGGAAGCGAGAAAGGCTGCAAAGCCCAATTGAAATGCAGCTCAACTTTGGCAGCCTGCGAGCGGCTCTCAGGTTGAAAGCGAGAGGCTGCTCTGAAATGAGAAATACAAAATTGACGGGCGAGCCGAAAAGCGAGGGTGCGCTGCGCTCTGGCACTGCGCTTCTGGCGCTGAACGCGTGTGTGTTCGTTGGGTGCGACGCTCTGAAACACGCACGGACGGAAGGCGAGCGTCGGTGGGTGCGTCCGCGTCTGCGTCTGCGTGCGTGCGTGCGTGTGTGCGGGCAGAGGCGCTAAGGCAAAGGCAAAGTGACAGCAAAGCTCACGCAGGAAGGATTGGCGTCTCGTCGTCGAATGCAGCCACTGCACCCTCTCTCACACCAAATCGCATCGACCCGCAACCGCTTCATCTCTTCCACCTACACCACTCGCTCGTCGTCGATCGCTCGTTCGATCCATACCAGGCGACATTGAGAGCTGCGCATTCATCCGTCCTCGCACTTGACGACCCCTTCACGCCACTCTTCAGCTTCGAGCCACCCCTAGAACCAGCACGGCGACCGCTCGAGGTCCCATCATACCAGTCAACATGGCTTCCAACGGTATCGGCATTGCCAACTTGCCCAACCAGCGCCACAAGATCGTGGCCAAGGCAGGCGGCCACTTTACGCTCATGGTGGTGGGTGAGAGTGGCGTGGGCAAGACGACGCTCATCAACACGCTCTTCAGCACCGAGCTCGCCACGGGCAAGGACCACTCGCGCCGTCACACCAAGCAGCTGGACAAGACGGTGGAGATCGACATCATCAAGGCCGAACTCGAGGAGAAGCAGTTCAAGGTGAAGCTCACCGTCATCGACACGCCCGGCTTTGGCGACTACGTCAACAACCGCGACTCGTGGACGCCCATTGTCGACTTTATCGACGACCAGCACGAGCTGTACATGCGCCAGGAGCAGCAGCCCGAGCGACGTGAAAAGACCGACCTGCGCGTCCACGCATGCCTCTACTTTATCCGCCCCACCGGCCACACGCTCAAGCCGCTCGACATTGAGACGATGAAGCGTCTGGGCACGCGCGTCAACCTCATCCCCGTGGTGGCCAAGGCGGACACGCTGACGCAGGCGGATCTGGCGACGTTCAAGCAGCGCATCCGCGAGGTGATTGCGACGCAGAACATCCGCACCTACTCGCCGCCGCTCGAGGTGGACGATGCGGCGAGCGCCGAGCACGCCAAGCAGCTTATGAGCGCCATGCCCTTCTCGATCATCGGCAGCACCGAGGACGTGCGCGCGCCCGACGGCCGCGTGGTCAAGGGTCGCGAGTACCTGTGGGGTGTGGCCGAGGTGGAGAACGAGGAGCACTGCGATTTCAAGAAGCTGCGCTCGCTGCTCATCCGCACGCACATGCTCGACCTCATCCACACCACCGAGGAGCAGCACTACGAGCACTACCGCCAGGCGCAGATGGAGACGCGCAAGTTTGGCGAGCCCAAGGTGAAGAAGCTCGACAACCCCAAGTTCAAGGAGGAGGAGGAGATGCTGCGCAAGCGCTTCACCGAACAGGTCAAGCTCGAGGAGGCGCGCTTCCGACAGTGGGAGCAGCACCTCATCGCCGAGCGCGACCGCCTCAACAAGGACCTCGAAACCGCACACAGCACCGTCAAGGCGCTCGAAGCCGAGCTGTAAGTTGCCGAAATTCCGCCATTCGAGATCCGCCGATGAGACCACCTACTGACGCCTTTCTCTTCTTCTACGCCTGCAGCGACGCTTTGCAAAACGGGTACGGCCGCGGCTCCCAGAGGCGCTAGAAGTGCCAATGCACTCACATCGAGACGCTGCTTGACGCTCTGTCTGTGGCCACCAATCCGGGCTAGCACTCCTGTATCGTATCGCCATCTCGCCGCGCTCAGGAGCGCTTTGTAATTCGATCCGATCCGACCGTCTACCCTGCTGTTGGCTCCCGTGCAAAGGCGATGCAGGCTGCATCTGAGCATCCTCACTCGCACAGGATCTGAAACTGAGCTTCTGAACGCCGAATTGCTGGGAAAGAGCAACATCACCGGTCAAGTCTCTAGCTATGAGCGGCACGACATGTGGGGATCGGGTGGAGGTGGGTTGGGTGGCTATGTTCTGGCTCTGAGATGCACCGCCCCTTTGACTGGGCATGGCGACGCGATTTTTGGAAATTCCACGGTCAGCAATCGTAAATCCAGGGCCAGCAGGCTGACGGCGGTTGCAAAACGCTCGTGGCTGGGCCGTGCGATTTGGGCGACGGGCGCGTGTGGGCTGATTGGATTGGATTGGGTGCGTAATGCACCGCACGCATCGCACGCACGGCCGGCCGCTCGGCACTCCGACTCCGCGCTCAGCAGTCGGTCACAGAGTCGCCTCCACGCCCAGGCGCGCCTCGCCTTGCCTCGCCTTGCCTTGCCTCACTTCGCATCGCATCCACCCGAACCAACGCCGCTTCGCATCCGATCCACCTTGCTCGCTATCAGCCTCCTTCGCGCACGTCCACATCCAGCGCTGATCACGCATCCATCACCCAACTCGCCCAATCGGAGATCTCTCCCCGCCGTCAATCAGCGATACCCACCACTCGTGCATCACGCCGAAAGCGTTGTGTGTATCCATACCCTAAGCATCAGCTGCATCTTCGCGCCGCTTGAAGTTCGGCACGATCCGACAGAGCTTATAGCACCTCAGCTATCGATCACTTGACGATCCCACCCCTGGCGACGGCAGAATTACATCCGAGCACCTTCACCGAGCCGCCACCTGAACTATCTCGCTAGAACTCGGCACATCCGACTTCACCGAAGTTCATCCGATTGCCTTGAGCCCTGCTACTGCTCTCAGCCATGTCGCTCCAGAACATCTCCAAATCTGCCGTGCGCGTCGGCAAAAACTACATCAAGGGCTACTCGGACGTCCAGGTCAAGGTGCGCGATGCCACCTCCAACGACCCGTGGGGCCCGAGCGGTACGCAGATGAACGAGCTGGCGCAGCTCAGCTACAACCAGAACGAGTTCATCGAGATGATGGAGATCCTCGACAAGCGTCTCAACGACAAGGGCAAGAACTGGAGGCACGTCTTCAAGTCGCTCACCCTGCTCGACTATCTGCTCCACGCCGGCTCCGAAAACGTCGTCATCTACTTCCGCGACAACATCTACATCGTCAAGACGCTCAAAGAGTTCCAGTACATCGACGAGACCGGCAAGGATCAGGGCGCCAACGTGCGTCAGAAGGCAAAGGACATCACCAATCTGCTTCAGGATGAGGCGCGCCTGCGCGACGAGCGTCGCTCGCGTTCGCACATGCGCGACCGCATGTCCAACGGCGCGGGCGATGACGATGACGAAGCGAGGAGGAGGCGTGCCGAGCAGGAGCGTCGCCGTCGGCCCAACAACAACAACGAGGACGACGAGCTGCGCCGGGCGATCGAGGAGTCGAAGCGCATGGCGCAGCAGGAGCAGGACCGCATCCGCGCCGAGGCCAAGGACGAGGAGGAGCTGCAGCGTGCGCTGGCGCTCTCCAAAAAGGAGGAGGAGGAGCGCATCAAGGCGCTCGAAGACGCCAACAAGAACGCGCTGTTTGACGACTCGATCAACCTCGACGGCGCCAACGCTTATACCCAGAACCAGCAGGTCGACTTTTTCGGCAACCCGCTCGTCGATACCTCGGGCTCCCAGAACTACGGCGTGCAGCCCCAGTACACGTCGTTCAACCCGTACATGCAGATGCAGCCTACGGGCTACAACCCTTTTATGCAGAACCAGCTGCAGCAGCAGGAGCTTATGCAGCAGCAGTACATGCAGCAGCAGCAGGCCGAGTACCAGCGTCAGCTCGAGCTGCAGCAGGCGGCGGTGCAGTACCAGAACCTCATGACGCAGCAGCAGCAGCCGCTCGTGCCTCAGCAGACGTCGTTCGGATCCAACAATCCCTGGCTCCAGTCCGGTGGCCAGCAGCAGCAGCAGCATAACGTTCCGGTGGGTGACTTGTTCTCGTCTGCACCTACGCCTCCGCCTGTGCAGCCGACTCCGCAGCCGCAGCCTGCCTCGCCTGCACCGGCACCGCAGCAGCAGCAGCAGCAGAACCGACCTATCCGCGCCAAGGTGAACGACGACGCCAAGTTCGGCGAGCTCAACAGGCTGTTGGCGCTCGGCGATGGCGTGGACACGTTTGGCAATACGGGCGATATGCGCATGGGTCCCAACATTGCCCACTACAATCAGATGCGCACGCAGAAGACGGGCATGAACTTTAACGCCAACACCAGTGCGCAGGGTCAGGGCCAGGGCCAGGGTCAGGGCGCAAGTGGAGGCGCGTCCGACAGCAACCCCTTCTTCAAGGTGTAGAACCGCACTTGTGGCGATGTCGGGCTCAGTATGTAGTTGTGCAATGGTTTCGTGCGTGGCGTTTGGGGTGTGCGGTGTGTGCGGCGAGTCAAGGTGCGGAGCGAGACAGAAACGTGTGGGCGGGCACAACGGCGGTGAGTACGCCGAGCGATTCAAGCCAAGGCTGGACGATTTGCATTGCGATTGCGCAGGGGCACGACTCGGAGCAGGACAGGGTGAAAGCTAGTGCGTCGGATGCAAGGCGCGCAGGGTGTTTGTGTTGTACGAGAGGGCGACGGGTTTGATGGGGTACCTTCTGTGTTCGCTTTCCTGGTCCGGGAGGGGCAGATCTCCATCGACAAATGGCTTGCCCTTGCCATCGGTAGTGGTCGTATCGGGGAAGGTGAGGAGGAAAGCGGCGTGGACGGTCTTGATTTCGAGCTTGGCGAATCGCATGCCCAGACACACATGCCTGCCGCTTCCCCAGGGTACGAACTCGCCCTCCTTCTTGCCCTCGCCACGCTCGAAGCGCGTCGGGTCAAACTTGAGCGGCTCGCTGTAGATGGTGCTGTTACGATGCGCCGCTCCGAGCCAGAACGACACGAATTCGCGGTCCTGCACCTCTGAACCGGCGATCGTGGTGGTGGTCTGCGTCACCTTGGATGCCGTTCGCAACTTGCGTCGGAAGATCAGACTGATCATCAGGATTCGCAGCGTCTCGTCGAGCACCTTGTCGTAGATCGGGAATTCGCCTTCCCAGACAGACAGCGGCGTGCGCTCAAGCTTCTCCTGCAGCGTGAGCGTGTCGTAGTCGTCACCGCGCTCTTCCGCGGCCTTGCGGAAGATGGCTTCGAACTCCGCGCGAACCTCATCGCGAAGCTTGGCATCGGTACAGAGAAAAGCGAGCAGATACGATGTGACGCCCGTGGTGTTGATAATCGCGGCAAACAGTCCGCCCATGATAAAGTCTTCGATCGACTTGATCGATGCGTCCCGGTCGATCATCTCCTGGATGTAGTCGTTCTCGCGACGACCCTCGGCCTTGCGCTTCTCGACGGTGGTGCGGATGGCCGTCGACATCTTTACAGCGCCAATCCACTTTTTGACGGTGGAGGGGATGGGCAGCAGCGGGAAGTGCGTGGCCATGAAGCCGGTATTGTCTGCAAACGACCAGAAGGGCGCCTCCATGGCTTTGACGGCGTTGATGTCGCGTGCGTGCTCGGCGAGGCCGACGAACAGGATGCTGATCTGGAAGACGAGCGGATAGATGGTGGCGTGCATGTTGATGTCGCCGCTATCGGGCAGGGTTTTGAACAAATCCACGGAGCAGCGCACCATTTCGGACAGATTGTCCTGGAGCCTGGTGGTGCTGAGGCTGCCACGCAGGTTCTGCACGAATCCGTCCGAGCCGGCATCGTCGGCGGGCGGCGTCTTCTGGAGCCACGAGGGCAGCTGTGGGATGCCGGCAAACATGACCTCGTAGCCATTGTTGAAGTTGAGGCCGCGGTCGTGGAAGAAGGTCTTGCCGTCCTTGGTGGGATTGTTGATGATTGTCATGATGTGGCCGCGCGAGTTGACGCGGACCGAATCTTGCGTCGGCGGTGTGCGGTCCCATGTCTCTGGGTCGCCAAACACGGAGCGCAGGAAGCTGTTGCGCTCCGAGTAGAGCTGGAAGGGGCCGAGGCCGGGCAGGAGCGACTTGGTGTATGCTTTGACGGGGCCGTGGCGCTTGAGGCCCGCTGGGACGCGGAGCAGGTTCCATGCGAAGAGCGCCAGCACGATCGCCGCAGCGGACCAAAAGGTGGGCGACGAGACGAGCGAGCTCTGCGTCGACACGGCGAAGAGTTGCGACGGCATGATGGCGAAGCAGATGCGACACCGGCGGAGAAGGGGTTGGTGGTGGTGGTGGTGGTGTGGGGCCAAACGGCAATGTTGGCCGGGGCGGTGTGGTTTGATGCTAAGTTAGCTGGCGCGCAGCCGAGCTTGAATGCCGTCCAGCGGCGTGGTTAGCACGGCAATCACAGCATGGTGATTGGGCGCGTGCTATAAACGGTACCGAGCGGCTGAGCAGATTCCGACGGTTGAGGTGCTGCTGCTGCTGCGTGGTGCGCGCCGTTGGCCCTTGCGTGGCGCTGCGTTGCGCTGCGCTGCGCTGCTCTACGCCTGACAAATGGCGCCGTCGAGTTTTGGCGCAGAGATGCCGAAGCGGCTGGGCGCATGACATCGGATTTCTGAGCCAAAACCGCAGGAATCGAAGATTGGCCGAAAATTCCACTCTGCGGAGGCCCATGACACGCATTTGTCCGTCCTTGCGCAGATGGCCTGATAGCCGCGCCGGGCACCAGAGAAGCACGCACCACTCACGGCTGTAGCTCAGCATCGGAATGCCTTCCGCACGGTGCATCACACTGTCGTTGGCAGCGCCGGTCATTGGAGAGCTCACGCCTCCCGCTCGGGCCGAACGGTGAGCGTTCCCACGGCGCACTTTCCCATCGGCGCCAATTTCGACAGACGCTGGCACCGGCATTCGAGCGGACAGATGAAGTCATTTCCGCACCCGTTGCCCATTTTTCCGCGGACCGGCGACGGGATTCGTGTCGGTCGGCATTCAGGAGATCAAGCGGTGCTGTACTGCATATTCTGCTGTTCCTGCACTACTCTGGTCGAATGCCCGAGTGGTTATGGGGCTGGCTTCAAGAACTCTGACTTCTTGGCCACGTTATGGCAACACCTCCAGTATTTCCTGGGTTCGAATCCCAGTTCGACCAAACCTTTTTGCCGAATTTACCTACAAAATCGGCGCACAAATTCACGGAATCCACGACGGCATCGGCTAACCGGCGCGCTCGACGGCCAGCTTACCCGGAAGATCGCAAGGGCCACCATCTCGTTCCAGCACAAGCACAAGCCAACTCAACTTTGCGTCTCCACACACCCACCATCACCGCACCCCACAACTCTCGCATCATCGGCGACGGTCTCAATCGCTCGCCATGAACCCGCCCACACCGCCACTGGCGCGCGTGCGCACACCAGGATACGCGGGCTACTCGATCGCATGGTCGCCCTTTTTTGAACAACGACTCGCGGTGGCCTCATCAGCCAATTACGGCTTGGTGGGAAACGGACGGCTGCACATTCTCTCGCTCGCACGCAACGCATCTGCGCCTCACCCGAGTCTGGTGGTGGACAAGGTGTTCGATACGCAGGACGGGCTGTATGACGTTGCGTTCAGCGAGGCACACGAGAACCAGCTCGTCACCGCGTCCGGCGACGGATCCATCAAGCTGTGGGACTGTGCGTTGCAGGATCATCCGATCCGCAACTGGCAGGAGCACAACAGAGAGGTCTTCTGCGTCGACTGGAACAACATCAACAAGAACGTCTTTGCGAGCTCCAGCTGGGACGCCAGCGTCAGGTTGTGGCATCCAGAACGGCCCAACAGCATCATGGCCATCACCGCGCATACCGGCTGCGTCTATGCATGTGCCTTCTCACCACACTCGCCCGACCTGCTCGCAACAGCGTGTGGAGACGGCCATCTCCGACTGTTTGACCTGCGCCAACCAGCCGCGCAACCCACGGCAACCGTGCCCGTCGGAGGCGAGGTGCTGTGTCTCGACTGGAACAAGTATCGCCCGATGACCATAGCTACCGGCAGCACCGACCGCGTCATCAAGACCTGGGATCTGCGCAATGCCGTCTCCAAGCCACCGGGTGCCATGGCGTCACCGCTCGATGTCGCAACGCCGCTGGCGGCGATTCTGGGCCACGAATACGCCGTGCGAAAGGTGGCCTACTCGCCGCATGCACCCCAGCTGCTCGCAAGTGCGAGCTACGATATGACCGCACGCATATGGGATACCGACGCAGCAGCGCTCAGTGGACCACCCGGCGTAGTGCAACCACCACCGCAACCGGGGCAGGGCCCCAACGCGGCCGCGGCCGGCGCCATGCGCAAGATCCACGACACACACACCGAGTTCGTCGTAGGCGTGGCATGGAGTCTCTTTCAAGACGGCCTGGTGGCCAGCACCGCATGGGACTCGGAAACGCATCTGTGGGGGGTTCACTAGCTGGCATTCGCAATCCAATGTCGTAACAGGATCAGGCCTGGCGATCGTGTCGAGTGTGTCGAGTGTGTCGAGTGTGTTTCGAGTGTGGGGCGATTCGGTTGTCGGTGAAACATTCAATTTGGCACGGCCGGGGCCACGTTTTTGGTGCGATTTCGCGTCACAGTTGCAGTCGGCGAGTCATCTTTGCATCATGAGGGTGGGTCGTGCTTCTCTGCGTACCACCACGAACAGGCAAGCTAGTCTCGAGATGACTACCTCTGCCATCTCGCCCGGCGGGGCCGTGGAGAGTACGCCGCTGCTGTCAGTGGCTCGGCAGCGGTATGCGATCCACTCGCCTTCGGAAGCCTCCACCACCTCCGAGTATACACCGCAGGCCGACCTGGTCGACATCACCAAGGATCGCTATGACCTCTCGACGTTCAAGGGACGACTGCTCCACTTTGCCTCGGTCACCTCGCCGCTTACGCTGCTTGCCTCGAATGCTGAGCTCAAAGCCGCACAGGAGACCGTGGCGAGCTACGAGGCGAAGTTCCCCGCCAACCGCACCACGGGCACGTACTTGGTGCCGCGCTCCGAGGCGGAGCGATACTGGAAGGCCAAGCAGCTGGTCGACTCGTCCGTGCACCCAGATACGGGCGAGGTGATTCTGCTGCCGTTCAGGATGGCCGCGTTTGTGCCCACCAACCTGCTCGTGGTGGGTGGAATGTTGATGCCCAACCCGAGTCTGGCGGGCATCGTCTTCTGGCAATGGGTCAACCAGAGTCTCAACGTAGCGGTCAACTACTCGAACGCCAACAAGAGCGTACCCATGAACATGAAGGAGGTCGGGCTGGCGTATGCTGCGGCCACGACGAGCGCCGTGGGCATCGCCGTGGGCATGAGCCGAGGCGTACCCAAGCTGCGCGTCAGCCCGGGCGTCAAGGGCGTGCTTACGAGCCTGGTACCCTTTGTCAGCGTCGCTAGTGCGGGTATCGTCAACATCAGCTGCATGCGCTGGAAGGAGATCAAGGACGGCGTCGGCGTGTACATCCGCGATGCAGAGGGCAACCGCCATCATGTCGGAGACAGCTCCAAGGCGGGCCAGCGGGCCGTGGCCATGACCGCTGCCTCGCGCGTCCTCACCAACAGTAAGTTCACCCGCATCTCTGCCGCACGTTGCGTCCCACAGTACCAAGCTGACTTTTCTGCGGTGTGGCTTTGCAGTTCCGACGTTGATCCTGCCGCCACTGGCACTCAAGTTCCTGCAGCGCGCACGTGTGATTCCCGCCAGCGGCGCCCTCACGCGCGCCGTCGACCTCACCCTCATCGGCACCAGTCTGCTCGTCTTCCTTCCGCCCGCCATCGCCACCTTCCCGCAGGTGGCCAAGACGTCGCCACAGACGCTCGAGCCCAAGTTCCACCACCTCACCGACCCCCAGGGCAACCCCATCACCCAGGTCGAATTCAACAAGGGCCTCTAGAATCGCGCATACAACTCATACGATTCATACACGCAATGACACACATCTAGACGCCACGCGCGCCAGGTGGATTGGTGGGAATGCTGGTTTTTCTGATTGAAGTGGATCCAAATGAGAGAGAAAGAGGATTGCGGCGCCCACACATGCCAGCCGCAGCAAGGTATATGGCATTGGGTGGGCGGAGTCGAGTCCATTATTGCGAGAGAGCGCGAAACTACTTGTTCTTCTTGATCACGACGCCCTCATCGCCGCTGGACGAGGCATCGGACTGGTCGTCCGAGAGACCTTGGGCGGCGGCTTCGGCCTTTGCGACGGCCTTCTTCTGTGCGAGAGCCGCCTTTTCGCTCGCGGCAGTGACGGCGAGCATCGGGTCGTCCTCCTGCCTCGGTGCGCGGTACGAGCCGCCCATGCGATCGCAAACCGTAAAGTACTGGCCGTAGTTGCACGTAAAGAAGAGGTGGTGGAGCGTGTGGTGCGAGGGTCCGTTGATGATCTTCTCGAGCGGCGAGTTGCAGATCATGTCCGAGTCGTGGATAAGGATCGACCACAGGTTGACAAACACAAACAGCCAGATCGACACCACGCGGTGCAGCGGAAAGACGAAGGGGAAGATGTGGTAGGGCAGCGACTGCGCATAGCCGTCGAGCGGGTGGAAGGCGTGGCTGGCAAACGGCGTGGGCACGAGCCACTTGTGGTGCGGCTTGTGCACGTGCTTGTACAGCCGCGGGTGGTGCTCGATCCTGTGGACCCAGTAGATCAGGAAGTCGGTGAACACAAGGAAGAGCGGCACCGAAAGCACCGCGTACGCCCAGCCGTAGTCCGAAATGCTGTTATACAGCTTGCTGTGCCCTCGCACCTCGAGGACGAACCAGGGGACGGTCAGAAAGTCGAGCGGCAGAAACGCGCGCATCGACGCCTGGATCTCGAGCTTGACCTGATTCTTGAGGAAGCGCGGATGCTTCTCCATCTCCTTGTTGAAGATGTACTTGTACGAAAGGCCGGCAAAGGTAAAGTAGAGCACCAGGATGCCGATGTAGGTCAGGACGAGCAGCGATACGGTCTGACGCACCACATTGTCGCGTGGCAGCGCCGAGACGCTCTGGAGCGCCGACCAGTTGACCGCCTCGCCGCCGAGTGCCGACGCGACGGCGTTCTTGAGCACCGTGTTCTCAAACCAGCTCGAGGGCGACAACGCCGATGTGCTTGCGGATGCTGCCCACGATGCGGCGTCCTTGAGCCCAAGAAGGTGCGAAAAGTTGGATGCGGATGACGCCGACGCGAGCGAGGCTAGCGCCGTGGGGTCCTTGGCAAACGCGCGAGGCAGCGCAGGCAGGGCAGTGGCCCACACCTTGTCGAGCGCATAGGTGTCTGCAAGTTCGAGCACGAGATCCATGATGGCAAGTGCCTAAGACGCGGTGGGGATGGTATCGGTCTTGGAGTGGGGCGGCGATGCGCTGCGCGGTCGATCGCGGGGGTGGCGCGTTCGGCAGATGTGCGGATATGAAGCAGCCGAAACCGACGGTGGCAAACGCGTAATGACCAAGCTGCGCGTCGAGTCGAGCTAGATGCGGAGATGTTCTGGGATGTGCCGTTCGGTTGAGGCGAGAAGAGCGAAAGGCCGGTTGATCTCTGTGGCGAATCGAGCTTGTCGCGCTGGTGGCAGAGGCGATGCGGCTGATTCCAGAAGCGCAGTGGCTTTTGTAGGCCAGGGGGAAGATGCAAGCAAGACCGCGACGAGCGTGTCTGTAGGGGGCGAAGACTAGGAGAAAGGGACGGGAAGCGCCTCTGTGCCGGATGAATGGACGAGTGTGGGAAGGAAAAAGGATAGAGTTGTGAGCATATGATTGAGCGTCTCGAGCAAGAGTGGTCGGTCAAAATGTCGGGCACAGACGAAGAATGTGAATCGCACGCTCACGGCACTGCGCTGCGCTGCTCTCCGCTCAAAGCAGGAAAGTTCGGTGGCGGATGAGCCGACACACACACACTCTCTCTCACACACACCGACCGGCACATGCACACGATCTGGCACTGCATCGAGGGTTCGGGTCTGCCACTGCCCAGAGCGCGATGAGCTACGCATCGCGGCGGAGGATGCAGACCTTGCTGCAACGCGCTGCAGTCGAAAGAACGGAGCGACAGCACGCGGGCTCAGGCCATCCTGCCGGAAAACAGGAAAGCAAAAAAAAAAAAAGATTTGCGCGTGCTCGAACCCTGTTTGGAGTTCTTGCGCAGCAGTGGTGAGGTGGGGGGTGAGAGAGCGTGGCGTGTTTCCTGTCTGATTCGACGAGGCGGCGAACCCGAAGACAAAAAGGATCTTCCTTGCTTCCGACGTGCTGCAGCGAGGCGTGTTGGAAAAAGAAGAGTCGCCTCCTTCCGACTGAGGCGCCGCGCCACCGTCCACCGCCACGCTGGGCCCTCGCTGCGACACGCGCTCAGGCGCCTCACCAGAGGAAAGACAGGCGACGCGTGCGTGTTGCCAAAATCTGATGATTCTGGTCGTTTGACTCGTCGGGCGTGCCGGGCGGAGACAAAAAAAAAAGGCCAAAGCCAAGGCGCGAGAGGTGCACCGGCAGCCAACTTCCGGCTCGCCATCTCGCTTTTCCTCTCTGATTTGGCTCTCGCCCGAGCCAAAAAATTTAAGATTTTCCATCTGGTTTCAAAACACCTCGCGTCTTGGCCTCTGCGCAAATCGCCTCGCTTTGCCTCTGCTGCTCACGCGCTGAATTGCCCGGCGAAATTCCGCTCGAGCCAAGTTTTTTTGGCTCTCTGCGCCTTGGAAGCGCAGTGAATGCCGGTTGGGAGCCGGTTGACTGGGGTCTGCTGCTTCTTCATCTTTCGGCTCCAAATCCCACTCGGGGCCCGGAGCAAGTCTGGCAACCTTTGGTTGTCGCCTGTCGCCATTCCATCGCGTGACTCTGTGGCCCCGCATGGCGGTATTAGCCCATACCGCCAGACCGTGTCAACTGCCAAGACGACAGCCACCACTATCATCGTCGGAGCTCTGACAGCGCCCCAGAGAGGCTGGTGGGGACTGCAGAGCGGCTATGCACAGGCTCCTGAAGCCTCGACACAGGCTCGGAGCGGCATGTACGGGGCAGCGCCATGGTGGAAAGCCGGTCCGCAAACGAACGGCGTTCGCCTCACGGTAAGCGCGCATTGCGTGGGTGGCCGGCATATTGAATGCTCGCCACCCACCCTCCGCGCCGAGCAAAGCTCTTCATCTGATAAGCTGCTGGCTTGCCGCCGGCAACGCTTTTAGAAATTCAAACCCGATTCAAGTCTGGCATCGGAATCAATCGGGTCGATACGTAGGCTGTGACTCCGACTTCCGAGGCTAGGTCCGCACTTCTTCTCCACTTTCTCAAGGTCAGCTGGACCACAAGCTCCTCTTCCAAATCGCCTGACTATAGTGGACAGAGATGCCGCACTCGCACCACTCGCACAGCGGTCAGTTCTGCTCGCATGCCAAGGACTCGCTCGAGCACGTCCTGGAGCGCGCACAAGCGCTCGGCTTCACGCACTTCCACCTCAGCGAGCACGTCCCACGTCAGAACCCATCGGAGCTCTATCCGGAAGAGCTCGAGGCTGCGATCACGCCCGACCACCTACGCGACACCTTCCACAGCTATCTTTCCGAGGCACGTAGGCTACAGGGCGCATACAGCTCTCGCGGCTTGAACGTGCTCGTCGGCTGCGAGACCGAAAACATCACCAGTCCAGGCACGCTCGACTACCTCACCCACACCCTCGGTAGCGATGCGAACACTCCGCCCGAGAAAGTTGGTAAAGGAACCGTCGACTACATCGTAGGATCGCTGCATCACAGCCACGCCATCCCCATCGACTTTGACCGCGAAACATTCGACCGCTCGGTCGAGAGCTTTGCCTCGACCGCCGCGCACGGCGACAAGAAGCAGGCGCATCTCGAGCTCGTACACACATATCTGGACGATCAGCTCGAGGTGCTGAAGCGACTCCGGCCCGAGGTTGTAGGCCACTTTGACCTCTTCCGCCTCTTTGAGCCGCTACTCAAGCTCGAAGAGCCGCAGTTGTGGGCCAAGGTAGAACGCAATGTGCGCTTCGCCGTGGCATACGGCGCACTGTTCGAATGCAACGCAGCAGCCTTCCGCAAGGGTTGGTCCTCAGCCTACCCAGCCCCAGACGTTCTGCGGCTCATCATCAAGCTAGGCGGTAGGCTGTGTCTCTCGGACGATTCGCATGGCGTGCATGCTGTCGGACTCAACTACACCCGCCTCAGACACTATCTCGTCGACCAAGGCGTAGACACATTATGGTACCTCGAAAAGGACTCCGAAGAAACAGCACCAACGCAGAACGGTCCACCGACACGCTTCGCCCGTGGCACCGTCGCGAAATCTATGGGGCCCGAATGGCAATCCCACCCGTTCTGGTCGCACTTCACCGCCACGCTCGAGCGCGAATCTCAGCCATAGAACACAGCATCTCACTCCTGAATCAAAGAAAGACTATTGCTGATGGAAAAGAGAGAAATGCAATGTGGATGAATGTACACGAGTGGGTGAGTGGATAGCAGCCCTCACTTTCGGCCGCCCGCCTTGCCCTTTCGGGGCTGTGGCAGCGTAAAGGGCGTCTTGAGCACCATGCGCTTTTCGCCGCCCGTCGTGGCGGCGGTGCAGCCGAGTGTGCGGAAGAGCTCACGCAGCGTCGACGGCGCAATGTTGCAGTTGCGAGCCAGCTTGTCGTAGTCGACCGAAAAGTTGTCCAGATGCAGCGCCAGCGCACACATGTACGCCAGCAGCTTGGTCTGGTGGAACGCCGACATCTGCGCCCGATCCGAGTTCGCCGGCGTCTCGCTGAATGTGTTCAGCAGCGCACGCACGATGCGCTTGTTCGCATCCTCGCCATCCAGTTTGAGCGAAGTAATCAGGCGGCTGCGCTGCGAAACCGACTTGGGTCGCGAGTGCAGGTACCACAGCATCGACATGTAGTACGCCAGGCGCACCTTGTTCGTCGCATCCTCCTTGTCCTCGGTCGCACCCAGCGCCGGCATCATCATCACATCGTCGTCGTCGCCGTTCGCCGGCTTGTCGGCATCCTCATCGTCGTCGTCAAAAGTGGTGTGCTTCTGGCTCTTGCTGCCGCCGCCAAGGTGCGAGCTGCGCTGCAGGTTGTCGACGAGTCGCGACCAGATCCAATCGGGGAACTCGCGCGAGTAGGGGATGAGCTTCTGCAGCTCGTCGGCATCGTGCACGTTGTCGATGAGCTTCTGTATCGGCAGCGCCTGGAAGACGTCCGTAGGGATGAGGTCCGAGATGCGGTACGCCTCGGCGGGGTGCTTGGCGTCCAGGTTGGCGGGCGGCATGGGTCGCGAAGCCGTCGACGACGCCAGCACCTCGTCCAGCGACGGCAGCGACGCAACGCTGTCCTGGATGCCACCGGTAAAGTCGTCCAGAATGACCTCCATGTTGGCCGTGTCGACCTTCATGCGGTCCTGGTTGCGCGCGTTGGCCTTCTGCTTGCGATTACCGAAGGCGTCGCCGAGTGCGCGGCGTGCGGCGGTCATTTCGCCATAGTCGGCGAACGTGCGGCTGCTCGAGATGGATGCGAGCGAGCTGTTGGCCTTGATCGAGCGCGCCACCTGGAACGTGGGTAGCGCACGCAGCGTGATCGAGCTGCTCGAGGGGTCGTAGATGCCCACCATGTATTCGCCCGTGTAGCCTCGCACCTCGGCGGTGCTGCCGAACTCGAAGTTGTTGCCAACGTAGGCCATGGTGTCGGTCTCGCCAGCAAGCAGCAAGCGCTCGTCAGATGCGTCGTCTCGTGCGCCCGTCTCGTCTGGCAGACCCTCAGCGCGGTACAGGCTGAACTTGGTGGAGGGCGCCGGATTGTAGTCGGCAAACGAGGCGAAGGCGGCTCCGGCTTTGCTCAGCTGCTGCGACGCAGACTTGGAGCCTTGCACCTTGAGCGTGGCCTGGCCATCCTTTGCTTTGGACTTGCCCTTGGACGAAGTCGATTCCACATTCGAAGAAGAAGACGCGGTTGCCGATGCGGTCTTCTTGGACTTCTTGGGCGACTCTGCGGCGTCCGAGGATTTGGACTTCCTCTTGGACTCCTTGGTCGGGCTCTTTGCGTCTTTCGACATGGTGTAGGGAGCCTTTGTGTTGCGCCGTGATGGTGTTTGTGGAAGCAATGCTTGAAGGCGGGCAGAGCGCAGAGGAGAGCTCTCTTTCGTTCAGCCGAAAATGTTGCAGCTCAACAGCCAAATTCCACTTTTTTGCTCACAGCTGCACGTCGCTCTGCAGAGGGGAGAAAGAAAAAAATCGGCGCTGCAGCCAGAACCCAAATCCACATCTTACGCGTGCTGACATAATACTTATATGTGGCTGCAACAAAGGAAACGACCTAACATTCCAAAAGTCACGCGCCTGCTCCTGGATGCAGTTGACACTGTCGCTGTGCTGCTCGAACGTTTTGGCGACGCCTCTACCTGGTTGCGACGATCCATCGAAGTCGCTTGTAGTTGGCCTTTCGCGCGCATCAATGCGAATGCACAGCACGCGCCGGAGAAGCGGACATGACCGGCTCGGAGGAATCGGGCAGCGGCAGGCATGATTCCACCCGACTTCTTGGTGACACCGGCGCAGCCACTTCTGGAAGAACCCTTGCAGCAGTCAGCTTTGGTCTTCTCAGGCTTCAGCAACGCTGAGACACGGCTACTGCAGCATCGCTATGAGGGGCCGCTGGGAATCGGGCATTTTTGTTGGGATCGCGCGTCAGGGACGAGGTGAGACAACGCGGGCCCATTGCTCCAAACTCAGCGCGCAAAAAGCGACACCCACGCGAGCGCGACGGGCAAAGGTGCACCACCTTCATCGCGGCCGACGATGTCCAGTGGCGTCAGTCTTTGTGATTCTCAGCGTCTGCCGACGAGGCCAAAACGCGTAGGCTGGCGATCGCAGCCAGCCGCTCTGAAGACGTGACGTGTAAAGAGGACCATGCGCTGGGCTGCAGCGCAATGAAAAGGGCCAAGGGTTGAGCCGCAATGGGCTCTGGTTCAAAGACACCTGGTGATGATTTGCTATGTTCAAACGATGAGAGCCGTGCCGTGCAAACAGGCTCGAGTGCTTCCCGGTGCCCGTGCTGAAACATCCGATCGCATCGCGGTCAACAGAGATTGCGCCGGCTCGAACCGTGCATATCAGACGGCATCCATGAGAGCAAAGCAGGCTAGGACCACCCATCTTGAGCTCGACGTGCATCGAGCAGGTGCTTGCCTGGCCTCATCGCGCGAGCACGCCATCCAGCAGCAGCGCGGCCCAGCGAAGGAGACTGTACAGTACAGTAGTTGTAGATCAACATGATGCGTCGATCCTGCGATTGCTACTGTATATTGATCTCTTGCACTCAATTGCGAGCTCGGGACCCTGAGCTCGGATGCAGAAACCGAGCTCGCTTAGGGACTCAATTCCGCCCCATGCTTCAGGAGTGCGAGAGGCATGGCTCTAGTCCCATCTTTCTACGTTGCGTTATCGTCTAGCTCATTCATCATCACCAGCTTCCGGCTCAGAGCGGAGACATCGTAGAGAGCAGCGTAGATGCGAAGAAATGTTGAACGTCTTGCGCGCAGCCGGGACCAGGTTTCAAGCTCCGACACAGGCGAGCCTCTGCTGGTGACCATCGTTGCATTGTTGTCGGCGACTTTTTCCTCGGCGTTCGCCTGTAGCGGACGCAAAGCGGCCCTCGACGACGACGACGTTCCTAGAAGAGAAGTTGGACCGCTGCCGTATCCATCGCAGCTCGCTAGCGTCGCAAGATAGGAGTCGTCAAGCGGCATCGGTTTGAGGGTCCCTGCCAAGTGGAACGCGCTTGTCTTGTCGCGTTGGCACCCATCGCAGCGGCACGACAACGGTATTTGCGCAGATTGCAACTCCGCCCTGTCCAACAGCCCGTCCGCGGCCATCTTGGACTCCGCTTGTCACCATCCACTGCGTCTTCATGGGAACTGAGAAATTCGTGGGTCAAACAAAACTGAACTGCGTCTTTCTGCCGTCTTCATGCGCATTGAAAAGCGGGGTCGGGTCGGGAGCAAGGGATGGATACCCCACACGAGCCGCTTGTGCTTCGTGCCGAGCAGCTAGTGCCGGCCTCGGCACCAGTATTTCCCCTCAACACTGCCCTTCGTCGCGTGCCCGCTTTAGCCAGCGTCCCGTCGCGAGTATCCGCGGGAAGCGTGTGAGCACGAGCCTTGACTCCACTTGGCCTTCGCACCTCGTCGGGCCGGAGACGCTTGGCTCGCTCAAAGGGCCCCTTTCGGCCCCTTGCTTTCTCGCTACGCTATTCGCCTGCTCGGGCCCTCTGTCGAGTAGGACCTGCCCACGTTGTCCTGGCTGGGACCTCCTACTATCATGTCTGGTGGATCGGACCTGCAATGGGCGTTCCCGCGTCCGAAGCTACTCGTAACGCTCTGTACGAGACTCCCGCCAGACCATTTTAACCAAGGATACCGCGCATGACAAAACGCATCTCAGCTGAACAGCGAGCATGGATCTTCAAATTGGATCGATGCTACGCCAAGGAGCTCAGTGCATAGCCTAAGGCTCGCCTCGTCGGGGTCCGCACGCCTCATGCGAAAGTGATGTGTCGTCTTGTTCAAGATCTCGTAGAGACGTGACAGCCGATGGAAGTTCGCGCCTTGCAGCAGACTACGCCGGTCATTGAGAGGGCTTCGTTGCAATCAAGAGATGTATATAAACGTCCTCGAAGGACACCTTGCTATTCTGTCCCTTCCTCATTCAGGTCACCGCACATATACACATCAAGGAGAACAAACAAGATGCGTGCAAGTCTGACCGCGTCCTTCGCCCTCTTGGCGGGAGCCATGCTCGCCACTGCCAGCCCTCTCGCATGGAGCCGCTCCACGTTCGTCCCACCCGCCTACGATACGTGGATCTGGAGCGATCAGGGAGGCAACGTCTGCGCCGACGGCAGTCAGACTGGCTTCGCCTACAACATGCACGCCAACGCCAACGAGCTGCTCATCTACTTTGATGGCGGAGGAGCGTGCTGGGATACCCAGTCGTGTTTTGTCACCCCAATGGCCATGAACCTCCAGGGATACAACAACGCCACCTTCCAAGCGAACACCCGGCAATCGCTCGAGAACCAGCTGCTGCTCACCTCGCGCGATCCCGCACGCAACAACCCCTGGTCGGCGGCGCACTATGTCTTCGTCCCCTACTGCACTGCCGACGTGCATGCAGGCAACAACGTCGTCACCTACCCTGGCGCGCCTGCGCCTATCAACCACCACGGCAGCGTCAACTTCCAGAACATCCTCTCGGTCGTCGCCGGCGCCGTGCCCAGCGTGAGCAACGTGTGGGTCACCGGGACCAGTGCAGGCTGCTACGGAGCGACTCTCAACTACAACCTCGCCAAGAAGGCCTGGCCGTGGGCCAAGACGCATCTGATCGCCGATTCGTGTGCTACCACGCCGGGCTACCTCAACACCAGGCCTAGCTGGAAGATCAACCAGCCCTCGGGCAGGGACTGCCCCAAGTGCCAGGTCGGCGAGTTCAACACGTTCCTCCCCGGCCTTTCGCAGGCCAACCCGGGGAGCAGGTTCGGATCGCTGTCGTTTGCATCCGACACCGTGCTGCCGACCTTCATGGGCGTGACTGGCGACGAGTTCTCCACCATCATCACAAAGTACTTTGCCAACATCACCAGTACGCCTACCAACCAGGCCAAGGACTTCATGACTCCCGGCTCGGGCCACGGGGTTCTGTATGTGCCCAACCCCGCCTCTGGTCCCGGCACGACAATGCAGAGCTGGCTGGCATCGATGAAGAACCTGCGTTCGGCCTTCAAGTCTTATTAAGATCCCTTGCCCACCAAGCCTCGCATCGTTCGCGATGCATGTATGGCTGGTAGCCCAAATATACCCGGATCGGTTTAAAGCTGTAGTCTCTGCGAAATAAAAGCTCTGTCCATAGCATGTGCGGATTGGTATTCATGAATGTCGGCGCCAAACGAGACAACAAAAGGTGACCAGCTGTAGACGTACTGCGAGTTGGGCACCTTCTTCTGGGTGACAACATCCTTCAAGGAATGAATCTTCTGCTACAACATCTCGAGACCATAGTGAGTCATGACAGCAATTGTCCTTGCCGAGAAGTGAGCCTGACAAGTAGAGCGGCAGAACCTCAGAGAGGGTCACCTATACAGTAGAAGGGCATTGCCGCAGCGTAAGCTCGAATTGCAAGTGAGGATGATGATATTCACGTACTCATGAACTCGCCTCAGTGAGTTGGAGACAAGTGTCGCAGCCGTGGGAGATGGCAACGCTTCCGACAAGTCGGTTCTCTTCTCGCTGATGAAAGTGACACACCTCAAGTTCCAAGCTTTCTGACTCCTCGACGCTCTCTACATGAATGAAGGTCGTGACTAAGCATAGGCCGTAGATCTCGTCGCACCGAGGATAGCACGTCCATCGCACCCGATCCTCCTCCTCATCAAAACTGTCATCTCCAACAGTCGCTGCTTGCCGCAGCATCTGGTCCGCCCGCCGCGTCCATGCCCCATTTTCCACACTCCGTTACCTCGCGTTTCTTCTCTTCTCCTTCTCGCGCGTATGGACGAGAGGCGTGCCCTGCGGTGTGCACATGGCTGCATTTGTTCGATGTCATCACTTCCGTTGTGGATTGTGCATCGTGCGACTGATGGCGATCCGATCGATTTCCGATTGGTCGAAGGAAAGCCCGATTAAATGCGACCAAGGGAAGTGCAGCAGCTTTGAATCGGGTGGGGGACCTTGAATGAAGCTCAGACGTCGAACGGCCGAGAGGTGCTCATGAGTGTCACTGCCCGGGAGGGCGAGCGAAAGACATGCCGAAAGTTCGGTGGACTTCAGGTGCCTGAGCCTTGTGCATACGCCGTGTTCCTGAAACCCACCTCGGTAATGCGAGGTCGACGTGCGGTGCATGTGCCGAGCGAGCTGCAGCAAAAAAAGAGGGAGTGCATTTCCAGCCTGGACGGAGTGGTGACCATCGCAGAGTTCATCGGCCATTTCAACTGCCGGCTGAGTCTCGGTGCTCAATGCTCCGATTCGGGACCGCTTGATTGAGCTCAGCGTCACTCGGCTAAGTAGAAGATCCGTCTCCGCCTCTCAGCAGATGCAACAGGCTCGAATGAGCGTAGAGAGTGTGTGGTTCTCGGGCACAGAGAGCAGCTACGGCTCCAGATAAAGCTCGGTGCCACGTCGGTAGTCGTGAGCCGACGAAGCTGCAAACTGTGCCTGAGTCGACGGCCGCGGGTCGTTTCGTGGAAGGTGCGGAGCCTCGAATCGAGAGCTGCAGTACCGCCTCACGAGCAAGTGCACATGTCCAGGCTCGCAAAGCACCATGCATGTTCGGAGCGCGAAATTCCGTGGCTTGAGAGAACTGTGCTGCATGGCTCTAAGCGAGCTAGGAACCACCTTGCAGGCTCTTTGGAGGATGCAGTACACTGACCGATGTTCCGGGCCATGCAAAGAGCAGTGAAGCTGGACTGAAGCGTGGGTGATAGGGCACGGCCGAGCCAGGTTCCATCAACGGGCGTCTCCCCTTTGCATTTCAGTGCGTCCTCAGCACGAGCGGTTCGGCAAGCAGCCCGAAGCTGCAATCAGGGCTAGAAACAGACTTGCAGGGTTGCAGGATCTTCGAGCGGTCAAAGAAGCCCAACCTTGTCCAAGCATGGCAGCGCTATGGACCAGCGACGCACAGAAAGGCCTTTTGCCCCCCTCACTATGGTCGCCCTGAACTTGACAGCCCCCACACGACCTGAACAGTCTCGCACGTGTCCTATGCAGAGCAAGACACTCAGGCACAGCTTCCAGATACTGTGACACAGACCTGCCAAGCGAAAGTCTGACGGGTTTCACGCTGAAGACACAGCGTGAGCGGGTTTCTGCGGGCTGTGTGTCGCCCCTGGTGTCTCGGATATTGGGTTTCGCGTCAAAGACCATGGCTCCCGTCGCCCTGTCGAGCAGTCAAGCTATGCGTTCGCAGGTTTCGGGCTATGCTTGTCCAGCTGACATTCAACGTTATTGCAAGCGCTCGCATGTCTCAATGCGCGTGGCGGCTGAAGAGTTCCATCAGATCTTGTTCGATTCGTTCCGGGTCTTGCTGAACTCACCCACCACCCTTTGGCAGAAGCAGACTTGGCAGCTGAAAGCCAAGGTATTTCCGATGAGGCCAAACCTGTCCAAAGCCTACTTTGTATGTTCTTGGCCTAGCCCTTGCCAGCGTTCCTCAGTCGGGACTCGGTCAAAACGAAAGGCGTGGTTTGTGGCTTGATAGGCTGCGAGTTTGCAATCATGCGCGAGGTTCGAACGGGTTCAGACGGCGGCTGAGGATCTTAGTGCCGCGAGGCGATCGCCCAAAGTATATTATAACTAGCTTTGCTTCATGCTGTTCGAGCCTGAAAGCGAGGCTGGGGCGGGGCGTAACTTGGCAAAGAGGCTGGGCTCGTCGGGGCTTGGAATCGAGGTTCGCTTTTTGACGGCCGAGGATGGGCGATTGACGGCACAAGCGCCCATCTGTTTGTTTTTCCCACCCGCGGCAGTCTCGAGCGATCCCGCCGCACAAATTTACAGCCTGGTTGCAGCAATTTAGGCCGATCTCCAGCTGGGCCTCGGCCTGCACAGCCCGGACGGCCTAATGTAGTGGGGAAAGCCTCCTCAAAATCGCCAGCAGCGCTGCGCAACGTTCGGCATGAAATCGGGCTAAGCGCCAGCCGAGGCCGACGAAAGAGCGTTTAGAGCGCCGGTCGAGAGTGTTGCTATTCATGGTCCTTGCCATGTTGGTTGAGAGCAGACTGCCACTTTACGAGTTGTCAGGGCTGCAGAGCCAAGATTTGGGCGGAGCATAGCCGAAGTGGATTCGCGCTAGCGGATAGTTGAAATTGGCTCGCTTTCGCTGTGGCAGTCAGGGTCTTGGGGTCGCAAACTGCACTGGCAGGGGCACTGCCGAAGAAACCATGCACTGCTAGACATTTGTGTAAGCACCCCGCTGCGACGGGCATCAAGCATGCAAAGCAGTGCCGCCAGAAGCTCGCAACAGACGGCAACGAAACCGTTTGGTGCTTGGACAGGTGCAATATCACCCCACTTTTTTCCATGGCTTCGCTTCGCATGTATTGTAGCATAGGTCGCTGATCGATGTGGCAGCGAGCCCGCGGCGCAATTCAAATTCGTTCACAGTCAATTGTGCATGGCGGCAGCGGCGGCGCAAGGCGACTCAGGCAAGGAGCGCAGGAGGAGCTGTGGAGGGCGCGCTTAGGGACAGCGCAGTTGGCCTGCTGTATGCAGCTTGTGAGACAGCATACCAGCAGATGTCTCACATCGCCGGCTGAGATTTCGTGCTAAGAATTGGCGGCTCAGGCGCGCGAAGAGCCGCTCCGATCGCCCTCGTCCCTACCCCGTCCTACTATATCTCGATCATCGCTGCTGCTCAACTTTGTGGGCGTTACTGGCCTGTGGACGCGCTCCTGCCGCCCGATCTCTCGTCTGGTCTCCTCTCCTCGCCGGGCTAGAGTCGCAAAACAATGTCAAACGACCCCGTCTTGGCCTTTCCGGTCTGATTGCCAAATCTTGCATTCGAAGCGCAAGAAGCAAGAGCCTCTGCAAGCCACGACACGGGAAAAAAAAAAAACACGGAAGCAGCGCCCGCTTTGTCGATCGAGCCATTCCCACTGTCTGTCGTGCTCGACGCTGCAGCTTTGGAGGATGTGGATGCCGTGTGCGGCTGTCAAGATTGAGCAGAGCCCGTTCCGCGAGTGCAGCTGGTGTCTCAGCCTCCCTAAGTCTCCTCTAAGCGGGCTGCGTGGGCGGCCCCAACGTCCTGACTTGCTGCGCTGCATCTCTGGTGAGAGCCCATCTAGCAGGCTTTGAGTCGTCGAAAAAGCAGCTTCTGAGCATCGCAAGACTGTGACCGCGGATGCAATCGGGCCTGTCGTCCCCCTGCTGTCAAATGTCTCGCCTGTGAGCCTACCCCGACCGCCCTTGCACCTCCGCTGGCTGCTGTGCCTCCGCCTCTGTGCGCCTCCGAATTGCACCCCAGCCGTTGGATGAAACCTTGCGAATGCCAGACAGTGTGCTAGCCGCCTCCTCCCGATAGCTGGGGCGGTACGTTCGTACCTTAGCGAGCGCCTCCCGCTCGGTCCTGCCACCATGCAGAGTGTCCGCTTTGCCGCCCCGCCCCGCCCCGCCCTGCCTCGCCTCGCCTCGCCTCGCTTGCCTGGCCATCTCACACCTTTCCTCGACTGACCAGCCCGGGGGCGTGCTGTCGGCCGTGTCTCACATTTGAGCCGGAGCTGCCCGCAAGTCTGAAGGTGCCGCTGCCCCGTTCACAGCTCGGATGGTTCTCTTCTTGCTGAGCCTGTGTCGCTCTGTCGATCGTACTGTACGCCTCCGACATGCCGTTCGGTGCAATTTGTCGCTCAGCGCGAATTCGGCTTGTGTGGCTATTCAGCGGCCATGGGGTGCCTGCCTGCCTTCCTGCCTTCCCTGCTCCATGGAAGCGTGTCGAGACTGCCGAAAATCACCCGATGCGGACGGTATGCATTGGGGGGCGAAAGGAAAAATGCCGGAAAAGGATTTCTTGACGCCAGACGAGGGCAGACAGGAGCGACTGCATGAAGCGGCGCGAGTGGGACTTTTCTGAAGAAATTCGTCTTTTTTTTTCATTCCCTAAACCCGAAGCAGATCCCAAAGTAGGCTGTCGCTCTCTGCAGCCGTGGCTGTGGGTCCGGATCGAATTTCTCCAAAAAAAAAATCACCCTCATTCCCTGACTGTCGCCGCTTCCGCCCTTGGATGGATTGGCATTTTGAAAAAGAAAAAAAAATCAGTCAGCTGCATTCGGCATCGTCGAATCGAGCTCCAGAGCCCAGGCTCGCAGCGCCTCTTTACTGCACGGCACAGAGGCGGTCGTCAAGCCAGAGCGCGAAGAGCAGCGCGCGCCTGTCGTCACAAGTAGGCTGCTCTTCTGGTACCTACGCCGCCGCCGCTGTATGCTGCCTGTCATGCTCAGATGCGGTCGTGTCTCACATCCGCTTCTCGTCTCTTGGCTTCCACGCCTGACTGTGGCATGCCATACTGCCTTCCGCTCCATGATGCCGTCTACAGCCTGTGTCTTCCCTGCCACCAGCAGCTGAGGCTGCCGCTTCTCTTCGTCGCCTGCACCCTTCCCCTCGCCATCCTCCTGCATCCGCTCCTTCGTCCATAAGCAGCGCAGCACTCGTCTGCATCCGCCGTTCCGTGCTGCGTATTCGCTGCTCCCTTCGCCCGGTCTGCCATTCCAGCCGCCCGCGACGCCGCCGCCGCATGTGGCTGGCCGCTTTAGCTTTCCTGCATCGTCGCCGTTCGCTCGAGGCGGCTTCATCACCCCCTCCTTCCCTTTCCGTGTCCATATCCGTCACAGACTTGGGGCAGCCGCTGCCGCCTGCTTGTGCCCCTGCCTCTCGACGCTCGACCTCTCTCCTCGTCTTGCCGCTGCCAGCCGCTCTCCACCTCTGCACCTCCATCATCTCCGCCCCCGCTGCATTTCCCAATCCGTCGACTCGATCCGCTCTCTCAGACGCGGAGCTCTCGAGCGCTCGGCGTAAGTTGCCTCTTCCGGTAGACACAGGCACTGCTGTCTCGCCTGCGCCTGCCAGCGCCGTCTCGCCCAGTCGACAGCTCCGGCCGCCCGCATCGGGTCTCACCTTTGGAGCCGTACCCGAGAGACCTGGCATGCTGACCACCGCACGTCGCTTCTTCACCCCGCACTGTTTCTCCTCGCTCGACGCCTCGCGCACTCGTCATCCGCCCGTCCGACATCAGCCAAGGAGCCTCTGTTTGGACAGCTGCTTCTGATTCACCTTTGCTTCCGTCTCACGGTGTCTTATCTATCCTTGTCTCTCCTGCGGTTTCTCCCCCCCTCTTTTGACTCATCTTGCGTCTCTCTCCTTGCTTCTCCCCCTTCCACTACCACCATACTTGTCTCACCTCACTGTCACTGCCCATCATCTGCACCGTCTCTGCGACATTCTTCTTCCCTGGCCACTACGAGACAAGTAGCTAGCCTTCGCTGCCATCCTTGACAGCTTCCAGCTCCCATCACTGTTCAAGCTCGACCGTCACAGATCAACCTTCGCCATGTCTGGGGCTGCATCCACCAACCCTGCCCTCAGCTTCGGCCCTACGGGCCCCTCGTCGATGGCCTCGTCCACCTTCCAGTCTCCCGACCCCTCCTCGAGCTCCGCAGCAGGCTACAACGCCGCTGGCAGCTTTCCTGCTGGATTCGGACGTGTCAAGGCCGACCCTTCGAGCTACAGCTACGACGAACAGGCTCCGCGATCGCAGCAGCATGGAAACTACACACATCACGACCTCGGCGGCGCGGGCACCTTGGCACAAACACAGGCTCTCGGAGGATTCAACCCATCCACCAACCAGCATTACGCCGATCCCATCCGCTCGGCAGCCGCCGGTCCGGCCAACTATGTCCCAGGTCATACGCGCCACCAATCGCTCAACTCGGGCGTGAGCCAGCTTGGTCTTGGAGGCGGAAGCAGCGCGTACTCGTTTGGCGACGTCAATGCAAGCCAGTACAACAACTACAACCTCGTCCCTGCGCAAAGGTCGCCATCGGGTCGCTCGTCGGGTCTCCCCGCCGAGACTTCGCCGACGCGAACTCGCTTGCCATCGGTGGGCTACAGCGACCCGCGCACCATCAATCGCCCTCCTTCTCGGCCCATCGGTCTTGGCGTGTCGGTGACGCCAGGCGCCAGTAGCGACGAGTCGGCAAAGGTCGAGAGCGGCTCGCCCCGATCGCTCAAGCGATCGGCGGATCCGTTGGAAGACCTTCGCAGCTCCTCGGAGCACGCCCAGCTTCGCCGCCCTGCTTCATTCCCCGTGCTGGGTGCGGGCGGCAGCGGCATGTATGGCCGTCCGATCGGCCAGGATGCTCGCAACGCTCAATCCATCGGTCGCAAGACGGGACGAGGCGGTATGGGCGTGCCCGGGCAGCTGACGCCTGGTCGCTCCCATGCCATGCTTCCCGGTCTTGGCGGTGGATTCTACGACTCGGATGCTCGTCGTGAATCTCTGGGATCCAACACCACGATGCAATCTCCCGGCGCCTACCACGGTGGCTCCGGCTCGTCGGATGAGCTCGGACTCGGTGGCGGCGGCATCCCGCAGCTCATGCGCGCCACGCAGATCCTAGGCTCCATCCCACCTGCTCCGGCCATGGCGTCGCACGATCCCATGTACAGCCCTCCGGGCGGTGCGGGCGGAGGTGCTCCACGTGCCAGGCTCGAGCTGCACGGCAACCTCAACGACATGGCCGTGGGCTGGTCGCACGACGAGTGGAGGAGCGGGCGTCGTCTGGTGCAGTTCTGGAGGCGACAGGAGGGCACCACGATCCACGCCACCTTCCGACCTATTCTGCCGTCGCAGTACGTGCCCAACAGCATCGTCATCTCGTGCATCTTCCGCGAGGACAAGAACGAGTGCTTTGTCACTTCGGTCGACACGATCTACCTGCTCGAGGCGCTGGTGGCGAGTCGCTTCACCGTCGAGGAGAAGAACCGCATCCGCCGCAACCTCGAGGGCTTCCGACCCATCACGGTGAGCAAGAACAAGCGCGAATGCGAGCGCTTCTTCAAGCTCATTATGAGCTTCCCCAACCCGAAGCCGCGCAACATCGAGAAGGACGTCAAGGTGTTCCCGTGGAAGGTGCTTGCCTCGGCGCTGTGCAAGATCATCGGCAAGTACAGCGCATCTTACGAAGGCGGTCCGCCGGTGCTGTCCGACCTGGGTCCGGATGCATCGTTCGGCGGAGCGATGGGTGGCTCTCTGTCGTCGGTCGATCTCTCGGGCGGCCACTACCGAGATGTCAGCTATCCAAGCTCGTCGCCCTCGATCAAGGACACGCGTCTGCCCGGGTCGTTTGACTACGATCGTCAGGGAGGCGCTGCGGGCGCCTATGCAGTCTCGAACCCAGGCGCACATCATTCGGCGGGATATGGTGGCAACGCGTGGAACATGGGCAGCCAAGACATGGCGTTCAACGCTCCCGGTGCGGCGACGGGTTATGCGCAGGGCCCAGGCGTTTCCTTCTCCACGGGCGGCGGCGGATCCCACAGCCACACTCACAGCGCCAGCAGCTACGACAGCTTTGGCGGAGGCAATCTCGTTCAGAACCCCGCCGCGTCGGATGCCAGCCACATGTACGCGCAACAGCCGCAGGAGGCATACTCGGCTACCGCTCCTCCGCACCACAGCCAGGCACCGAGCTCGAGCACGCTCGCGGCTGCCACGGGCGACTACTATGCGGACCGCCGGTGATGGCTTGCGCTCTTTTCTTTCAACTCGTGCTCTTTCTTCTCACTTTTCGGTTCGGGCTCAAGGTTCCTGTAATTGCACGTCACCGTCCCACACTCTCCACGTATCCTTGCTGTGCCCTTCACTGCGGATGCATAGCTCCCGGTCTCTTGTAATCTTATCGCAATACTAGCATAGAAGTATCCTAAAGACGATATGGATGTGTAGCTGTCCAGGCTGGTCGAAGTGCGGTGCGAGGAGTCTCACGGACTCGCGCGCGGGTGAATTGCGACACGGACCCAAGCGCATGAGAAGCAGAGGAAGAACCGCTTTTGCCCGCAGAGCAGATGTCACCTCGGGACGAGAAAATGTTGCGAGCTTTCTCGGGCTTGAATCCGGCGAAAGGCCACACCGGGAAGTGGCGATTGCGCACGAGCCCGCTTTTCACCTTCTTTCTTGCCACGGAGCTCTTTCCGATGATGCTCGTGGCTGTAACTGAGGTCTGTGTCGCCGGGGAGCTCTCACGCCGCTGTGGTGATTGCGCACTTCGTCAAGTATTTCGGAAGTGAAATGCATAAGCGGAGCGGCGTCGGGAGGATGTGCACGGATCACACGGCCGGTCAAAATCTCGGCTTCCCCGCATGCTCGGCTTGCCGGAACTCGAACCGGCTATGGTAGGGCGACTTGGTTTGTGACCACCAACCCATCCACAGGCATCGAGCATGGCGTCATTCACCAACCCATTCGACGAGGCTGGCTTCAGCTCCCAAGTGGCGCGCATCCCGCCCCCTGAAACTGACCCTGATGTGGATGTGAGCATCTTTTACCGCCGATCGCCATCCTCGGACAAGCCCAAGCGCGGCATCTTGCTGCTGCACGGCCATCCGCAGACACACGTGATCTGGGCGAACATCGCACCGGCGCTTGCTGCCGAGGGAAGCTGGGATGTGGTGGTGCCGGACAACCGCGGCAACGGCAACAACGACGGCCCGGCACCCAAGAGCGGGCCGGGATACTCGAGGTACTCGAAGCGCGAAATGGCACGCGACATGGTCGAGCTCATGCGCCAGTTGGGCCACGACGAGTTCTTTGTTGTCGCGCACGACCGCGGCGCGAGGATCGCACATCGTATGGCACTCGATGCACCCGATAAGATCAAGAAGCTCATCCTGCTCGACATTGCTCCCACGGTAAGTACTCCGTTCTCCTCCTTTCAGATGGCGATGTTTGCTGACGCGGCTTGGCATTGTAGTTGGACATGTATGAGAAGACGGACAAACGATTTGCGTCTCTCTACTGGCACTGGTTCTTCCTGTTGCAGCCCTCGCTTCCGGAACGCTTCATCCTTGCCGATCCGCACGCGTACTACAATGCGCTTGTCGCGCGCTTCCCTCGCAGCACGCCGAGCTCAGGTTCTGCCCAGACTGCCGTCGACGAGTGGCGGGCGGAAGTGCATCTAGCGAATCTGTCGCGCGAGAGCTCGGTGGCTGCCATGTGCGAAGACTACCGTGCTTCGGCACCCATCAATGCGCCCGACCTGGCCCTGGATCGACGCGACCGCGAGCGCGGCCACAAGATCGCCTGCCCGCTGCGCGTCATCTGGGGCAAGGAGGGCGTGATCCAAGCGCTGTACGACGCGCTCGATCTGTGGCAAAAGTGCGCACACCAAAAGGTGGAAGGTCGAGCACTCGATTGCGGTCACTACATCCCCGAAGAGGCGCCACACGAGGTGCTGGCCGAGATCAAGTCGTTCTTTGGCTGAGCCTGGGCTGCACAGCACAGAAGCAGCAGTTGCGGGTATCAATTGAATTGCATCAGCATGTACGTCGCCGATACGGCAGTGATGTGACTGGACTCGGGCGAGCGCGGAATTGATCGCGATGCGAGGGCGTGTGGCGCTGGTGCTGCGATCACTGAGGTGCGTGGCTGATTGCGCCATAAGAGCACAGCTCGGCGAGCCCATGCGTGTATCTGTTGCGTTCGAGCGGAGGCTTCGCTTTCGGCGGATATGAAAGCCTGGTTGGCTGTGCGCGACAAGCTGAATCTCCGTCTTGCGAATGCGAATGCCTGCTGGATAGGCGTGGATGTCGAGGCTTGGTGAGATACTGAGGCGTCAAGGCAGAGCCACTGCCAGCGGTTTTAAATGGAGAGGTACAGAGTCTGGCATGCAATCGGCTCAGTAGTACTCTGGCTGGCGCATGACGACGGTGTCGTCCCCGTCTGCCGACTCTTCGGGCGCTGCGCCGGCGTTGTAATAGTAGGGATTGGCGCCGTCGCCATTGTAGGCGTCGGGGTGCATGTCGAGGCCGTACGCGTCTGCGCCTGCGGCGGCCATGGCCTCTGCCTCTGCCATCTCTGCCTGTTCCTGCACGGTCGCCCAGACGGATGCCTTGTAAAGCGTAAGGACGAGCCCCATCTTGCGCTCAAGCACGCGCATCTGCGTGAGCAGGTCGGCGTGAGCAGCGGAGGACGAGAGAATGGTCGAAAGCGCTGCGACCTGTTTGGCGGAGAGTGAGGAGAAGGAGTCAGCCGGAGTAAGAGGTGGACCATAGTGGATGCGGGAGGCGTACTCACACGTCGGATGGTGTCTGCAAGACGAGCGTATTCGCCGAGGAGTTCCTGCTCGTGCTCGGCGAGGGCGCGGTGGCCTGCATAGGGGTTGACGTAGGGCTTGGGCGCGGTGGGCAGCGCAGCGACCTGGTCGAGCACTTCCTGGATCGTTGCCATGATTGCGGAGAGGGTGTGTTTGTGAGTCCTTAGCGTGCTGGGGGTGATGGTGGTAGTGAGGGATGCTGATGGCATCGAGAGGAGGTGCCGCGCGCGCGACTTTTGGCAGCAAAAGCAACACCTCGAGAACAACAACACTGGTCCAGTGCCTCTGCCCACCTCACGCGTCTCGCTCAGCTCGTCAATTTTACGCGCGTCGACGAGACAGATGCTCTTCGGCCTAACACGATTTGTTGACGCGCCCGATTTCGACGGCAGATGCATTCGAGATCTGCAGGTGTTGGTCTCTGCAGCGGCACAGTGGAGGCAGCAAAGAGGGCCAAACACTCGACACCACCCGTTGCACCATTCCACCAACAACGCACTACCGCGCAACCGTGCAGCGACAAGACGACATGCATCCACAACACACGAGAGCGCCCTAGAGACTCACATCGGCCCGCAGTGGCATCCTAACACAATGGCTTCCGACGTCTTCTACAACCGACTGCCCTACACACAGCGCCGTGCCGTCGCGAACCAGCAGCGCGACTCGGCCTCGGGCTCGGGCTCTTCTTCGTCCGTATACCCGCGCAGATCCGTCGGCACCACGCGCTCCGGCGGCGCGCTCACCTTTCCGCCGCTCTATCTCGATCCCATCGACCCGCTTGCCGCACACGACCCGTCCGCCAACCCACAGGCAGCAAGCCATGCACAGCAGCCGGGCAACTTTGTGCTCGGCTCCACCTTCTACCATCATCCAGAGCTCAATGCGCTCGTATCCAACCATCTCGTCGACGCCTCCGCCAATGCACCCGATGGCGCCTCTGGCACCGGCCACGCCTTTCTCAGCACCATCTTCGCCACTCGTGACGGCGCACACGATGACGACTCGGATGGTGAGGACGCTGCGCTCAATGCGGCGGATGCAGCGCTAGCCGTGCCTAGACCCAAGATCACCGCGGAATTCGTCTCGCTCAACGAGGACCTTGTGCCGGCCTCTCTCGACATGCATGGCGACATGCTGCCGGCAGATCAGCATCCGTCCTATCCATTTGGCAATCTCTTTGGACCGCTCGGAGGCGCGATTGCTGCAGACAGTGCCATCGTCGGCGGGGCACACGGCACATCAGCCTCTTCGACCTCAGCCGCAGCCTCGCTTGCTGCAGGACTGGGCGATGCAGCCGACACGCTCGGTTTCAACTTTGGCGGCGGACTCGAGGGACTGATGACCCTCGGCCACGCGAGCCACGGGCGGCGAGGTGCAGTGGCCAACGGCTGGAACCCGTTCATCAACAAGGCGTCGCGCACCAAGCTCGTCGGCTCCGCAGGAGCTCAGGCGCGCTGGAACGACGATGCCGAGCAAGAAGCCGAGCCAGGGCGACCCGCTCGAGTGCCCGACGCCGACGCCACCGAGCCTTCGCAGGCAGACACTTTGCGAGCGGCCAAGAAGCTCGACTTGTCGCCCAACTTGCTCTTCCGCACAGGCACTGCCACCGTGCTTTCCGCGCCAACGTGGCCCTTCCGACGCCACGGGCCGGGCGCGACCAACTTTGCAGCTCTACTGCGCCCAAGCTCCAACATCTTTGGCACGAGCCCGGCGAGCCAAGCTGTGGCGGCGACGCTGGGCGGGCTGCCTGCGAGTGCGAACATCATCGGCGAAGTGTGGTCCGACCTTGCGCTCGAAGAGCTGCTGCCGCGTAATGTAGGCGATACCGCGGCGATACGCCATCTCGGTGGCGGAGTGGAAGAGGACGCGGAGGATGAGGCGGCAGGAGCCGAGGCGAGAGGCAAGAAGCGCAGGCGGTCCGAGCCGGAAGCGGATGCGGTATTCGCGCGACGGGCAGCGGCGATGGAGGCGGATCCGCTGGATCTACTTGGGCCCGTATCGCGCGAGATCCGCGGGCAGGCAGCTGTACCCTGGGGCACCGCCAGCGCCCACGCAACGCAAGGCCGGCACGATGGCCGACCACGACGTCGACGCAGGCGGGACGCATACTCGGACCAGTCGGAAGACGAAGCGGCCGAAGCGGAACACGACGATCCCGAGCAGGGGTACGCACACCGCGACCGCGTGCGGTACAGCTTTGCGCTCCCACCGGCCACGTTTACCTGGACCGAAGCGGACGATTCGGAGCTGGACGACGATGCCGAGGGCTCGCGTGAGCTGCGTGCCGAGCCGGATGGTATTGGGTTTTCGACTGCCAAGCGCATCTTTGTCAACGAGGAGCGCGATCGATTGTTGCCACCCGTGTATTCGCGGGCAGCGGCAGCAGCGGGCGCCATCGAGCCGTACCGCGTGCGCGGCGTGCGTGCGAATCAAGGACTGCTCCCACGCCCGCCATGGACGTGGAGGGACGGTACGGCAGATGCAGACGCGGCGGACCTCAGCGTGCAGACTGAGCTGTCGGCATCCACGTCCCATCCGACAGAGTTGCACAGCACAGCTCCTGAGGAGCAGCAAGACGAGTGGCAGCAACATCAGGACGTCGACGACATCGATGACGAAGACGACGAAGACGACGAAGAAGCGCAGATTCAGCGTGCGCTGCTCATGCAGTACGAGGACGCGGCAGCTCAGCGCGCCGACAGCGAGGAGGCGGCTCAATCTCACGGCGATCAGCAGTACGACGACGAAGATGAAGACGACGACGACGAAGTTGCTTCGTTTGACTAGACCCGCCGTCCTCGCTAGCAACTCATCACGTGTACAACAGCAGCGATTTGTGACGAAAGTGTGTCCATTCCAAAGGTGTGTGTTGAGGTGAGCTCACTTGCCGCCGCGGAAGGCGTGGTAGGGGCTGGCCTGGTTGACGGGGAAGACGAGGCTTTCTGCGATGTTGACGTGCGCCGGGCGGTTGGCGGCCCAGACGATCTCCTCGGCGATGTCCTCGGGCGTAAGCGGCTGCAGGCCCTGGTACACCTTGTCCGCCGCGTTCTTGTCGCCCCTGAAGCGCGTCACGCTAAAGTCGGTCTCGACCATGCCGGGCTGGATCTCGGTGACGCGGATCGGGGTGTCGACAAGCTCCTTGAGCAGCGCACTCGTGAAGGCGTTCACCGCGAATTTGGTGGCGCAGTAGATCGAGCCACCCGGATATCCCTCGCGACCGGCGATGGAGCCGAGGTTGATGATGTGGCCTGCGTTGCGCTTCTTGAACTCGCGCACAAAGATCTGCGTGAGGTGGATGAGCCCACGCACGTTGGTGTCGAGCATGACGTCGATCTCGTCGGGCGAGATGTCGCCCACCTTGTCCGTGCCGAGCACGAGGCCGGCGTTGTTGACGAGAATGTCGACATTCTTGGCCCAGTCCGGAAGACTGGCGAGCAGACCGTCAAGCTGCGTGCGGTCGCGCATGTCGAGCGTAATGGCGGCAAAGTTGCCTCCGGCGCCCGTCTGGCCCTGCTGGTTGGCGAGCGAGCACTCGGTAGCTGCTTGCGAGAGCGCCTCAGCCCGACGTGCGGTAAGCACGACGTTGCATCCAGCTCGCGCAAAGAGCACAGCGGCAGCCTTGCCGATTCCGCCCGAGGCACCCGTGACAAGCACGGTCTTGTTGTGCAGTCGCTGTGTAGGGAACACGGTCGTCATGCTAGGAAAGATCTGAGCGGGTTTGGCTGGAGATTGGTTCGGAGATGTGATGGCGCAGGAAGCGGTAAAAGTGCGAGCGAGGTGAAGAGCAGAGGTACGTCGTACAAGCGGTCGGATGGAGGAGTAAGCACTTCGGACAGCGCAGCTTCGTGTGGCAGCCGCGAACAACATGCGTTTGTGGAGAAGAAGCAACAAATGGGCTGCAGCGGATGGATGCTGGAAGTGTTGCTCGACTCGTAATCCCCGGCCGGGCCGAATGTAAGCCCAGAGAGGTCGCAATTCGACGGTCTGTGCACCACAACCGAATCGGCGCTGTCTGACTTCATTCTGCAGGATCGCCGGTCTCACCGATTCAGCCTGGCTTCAAGGCCACACAACCGCGAATAATTTCGGGCAAACCGTCGTCCTGCCGCCGCTCACTCCCGTTTTTCGGCCGCGCTTGTCCGCACATTCGTTCAAACCAGACTCTCGAAAACCATCTGTGCTGGCGATTTTGTATGCGGTGACATTTTGGTATGAAGCTGCTATGGCATGAGTTATTGCGCTGGAGCCGATCGGAGCTCCTTGGCCATCTGCGCCTCGCGTCCACTGAGCAAGCCTTGCGCGTCGTGCGACTCTTGCGGCTCACCCACGACATCGCCCAGATCCTCCACCTCGCCGCCGGCCTCGACGGCGTCGTCGCCCTCGCCGTCGTCTTCGCCCACCTCGTCGATCACAAAGGCCGGGCGTTCCTGCAATAGCGCCTCTTGCGCCGCCCTGAGCGCTTCCGCCGCTGCTTTGGGCCCCTCGGTCGATAGATCCGTTCCGCGCAGACTCACCCTCTTGTCCGCTTTCGACGTAGGTGGCTGCTTCTGAAGTGTTCTCCCGCGATCCGCTGCACTCGCCGACGTCGTCGCGGATGCCGATGCCTCCTGCTCCGCTGCTGCTCCCTTGAGGTCCTGCGTCGAGGGTGTCCGCGCCGGTGCGCGCAACGCGTTGAACAGCCGGTTGCCGAGCGTCGATTTGCGCTCCTCCGCTGCTCTCTTCCTCTCGAGCGCCTCCTTCTCTCTGAGCTCCTGCGTGTCCATCTTGCCTCCGTCGAGCGTCGAGTTGCGTCCGAACGACGCTCGCGGCCCTGTCACCGTGTGTGTCTGGAGTCGCTGTCCCACCTGATCCGCAAGCTGGTTCATCTTGGCCTTGCCCTCTTCGCCAAGCAGGTTGCCCAGGAAGCCCACCACCTTGCCGCGCGTACCCGTCGTCACGTCGCGGCTATAGGTTGCTTCGCCTGTGCTGCTCTCCTTGGTGGCGCCCGGCACGGCGCGCGGCGCGCCGGGCAGGCTCGGAGCGGTATGCCACGCGTAGGCGCCGCCGCTCTGGGATCGTTCGACGGATTCGAGGTAAAAGGATTCGGCGAGGTCGGATTTGAAGAACGATTCGAGCACGGGAGAAGAGAGCACGAGCATGCGGAACGAAGCGAGTGATAAGAAGGGCACATCCTGTCCAATCGTCGCGTCGGACGCCTTGTCGCCCGCCGCGGATGTCGGCAAGGAGGAGCCAGCGTCCGGCTTGGAGTCCTCACCATCTTCATTGCTGCTCGAGCCTGGCTTGCCACCAGTCGAGCTCTCGGCGTTGAGCTTGCCCGCGCGGTCGACGGCGATCTCCCACAGCGCCTCGGAGGCACGTTCGAGTTCCGATTGCCATTCTTCCGAGTCTTGGCTGCGCACCTCGTCCTTGGGCAGGTCCGGCGCCTTTTCGAGGCTGGCCACCTTGTCTCCGAGCAGCTTGGCCAGCTCATCAGCGACAGCAGCTCTGGACCGGCCGGCGACGTAGGTGACGAAGCGGAGGCCCGGATACTTGGCCTCATAAATGGCATTCAGCCTCGCGAGCTCTGTGTATGCCAAGAGAGGAAACAGGGTCAGTCTTGGAGCGGCATGCACGCATCCGTGAGGTGCGGCGGCTCGACTTACTCTCAAGTGTAGCGGGATCGACCTGGCCTCCCTTCATCTGTTCCTTGCGGCTCTCTTCGCTGAGTTCGGAGGTGGGTGCATTGAGAGGTGCGCCGATGCGCGGATGGCCGCCGATGAACTTGGCTCGGCGTTCGGCGGCCCAGCCAGGGTCCTCCTCGACGCAGAAGCGTGCGACATCGAGCAGACCTTCATATGATTCTGGACGCGAGTCTTCGGGCAGATCAGCGATAGCAGCCGCCGACTGCGAGGCGAGATCTGGCAAGAGCTCCTTGGGACATTCGAGCAACCGCAGCAGGATGGGCGAGAGCTGTTCGGAAGTGGCCGACGGGATCTGACCCGCCTGGATAATTGGCGTGCTCATCGGGTTCGCTGCGATGACGTGGCCGGAGCAGAGCGTAGGAAGCTTGACAGAGACCACGGCTGGACCGATGCGAGCGAGGAGTGCGGTTGCTTCCGTGATGATGATGGCTGTAAGTTAGATGTGATGTGATAGTGACAGTATGGGTTCAGCAGCGGGAGCGTTCCGAAAGAGCAACACACACTGCCCTGCTGCTTAGGGTTGGCGGCGTGGGCTCGGATGCACGGACGCCTTCCGATAGCACTTTGGACGTGGATTTCGGCTTTGGCCGTGGCCAGCTTGTCTCGCGCGAAAAAAAAAGACGCCGCCACGCGTAGGAAGGAAGACTGGAGCGGAGGCCAGGCTATGCAGAAGCTGTCGAGACCAACACATCTCCACTTGCTCTTCACCACCACGCTTTACCACGATCGGTCATCATAACAGCAGACGTCATGTCGTCCGCATCCCCTGCCATCGCTGGGCCTTCCCAGTCCAAAGTTGAAACCAACTCGCGCGGAATCCCACATGCACCTTTCATCGTAAGTCCGCCTTTGACACGCTTTCACTCATCCCTCCAGCGTAGCGCTGACCTTGGTGGCTTGGTATCCTGCAGTCCAATGTGCAAGAATATCTGGGCGGTCCCGATGAGGAAGTAGAGCCTACGCTCAAAAAGTTTCAGGAGACCATGTCCAAGTACAAGTTTATGGAGCTCAACACGGCGCAGCGCCGCCGCGGCCTCGAAGAAAAGATCCCCGACATCCGCAAGACGCTCCAGATGGTCAACTTCCTCCAGCAGAAGAAGGACGACCCAGAAGCGATACAAACCACATTTGAGCTCAACGATACGCTCTACGCAAAAGCTCAGCTCGACCCTGTCGACACCGTCCATCTCTGGCTCGGCGTAAGTCAGGCTCTGCAACCACATCGCAAGGATCCGTCACGCTGACCAACCTTCTTTGCCCTGTTGATATCGCAATTTAGGCCAATGTGATGCTCGAGTACCCGCTGGAAGAGGCCATCTCGCTGCTGAGCGCCAAGCTAGCTGGTGCCGAAAAGTCGCTCGCAGCATCCAAGGAGGACCTCGACTTTCTGCGCGAGCAGATCACCATCATGGAGGTCAACACGGCACGTGTGCACAACTGGGACGTCAAGCGCCGCCGCGAGCGCAGAGAAGAGCTCGAACGCAACGGCATCACCACAGACGCTTCCGCCTCCAAAGCGTCCCAGGCGTCGTGAGTGTTGGCCCCGCCATTCCCCTTTTCACGTTTCGGCTGCATTGTACCATACCACAACGCCAGGGTGTTTCCAATCGACATATTGGCCTTGTAAACGCTGTCATTAGGGCAAACCTTGATTCGACGGAGCCTTGACTGAAGCTTTTGTGCGGTCTTTTCCCTTTGGCTTGCTTCTGCGTAGCACGTGGCTCTCAAGCGATCGCGATGCGCCGTCCGCAAGCTCGGTCGCACGGCCAGCGACGGCGCTGGCGCCGGAGAGCGGCATTGAGAATGATGGCAAGGCTGAGGGGAGCGAGAACACAAACTCGACAGCGCCAGAGGGAACGCAACCTGATGCGGCGAAGTCAGAGCACGGGGCAGATGGGGGGGCGGTCGTCGAACAGCCGTCAATAGAAGACAAGAAGGCAAAAGAAGCGACGGCATCCGATGGTGATGGCGCCAAGCCTCTGCCTGCAAGCAATGCTGACACGGAGAGCGTTCGTCGAGCGGACGGCTCGAGCGGCGCAGTCCACGCCAGCACTGGGGTTGCTGGGGTTGCTGGGGTTGCTGGGGTTGCTGGGGTCGCCTCTTCCGCCGTGGTTGATCGATCGTCACTGCCTTCGTCGCTAGGAGTACCGCTGAGCGACGCGGCGTCGTCGACGGCGCTCGTGGTTCCGCCGCTCAACTTTTCGATGGTTTCGCGCGGCATCTATCGATCGGGCCATCCGAACGAGCGCAACTTTGAATTCCTGCGCCGCCTCAACCTCAAGAGCGTCATGTATCTGGGCACGGAAGACTACCGATCCAACATGACCTCGTGGACCGCCTCGCAGGGGATTCAGACCTTCCACCTGCGCCTCGCGATCAACAAGGAACCTACGGCCGAGATGGACGAGGCGGACGTAGTGCGTGCACTACAACTCATCCTCCAACCCGCCAATTGGCCGATGCTCATCCATTGCAACAAGGGAAAGTACCGCGTCGGATGCATTGTTGGCCTCCTGCGCAGGCTGCAGGGCTGGAGCCACACGAGCATCTTTGAAGAGTACACCAGATTTGCAGGGACCAAAATCAGCGATCTCGAGTTCATCGAGGTCTTTGATCTGGCTAAAGTCTCGCTGCAATGAATCGCATTCAGGAGGTCATCAGGATCAATTGGCTGTGCATGTGCGATGGCGAGTTCATTAGAACCAGACGTCGACCCAGTTTCGATGGCGGGCGTTGGGAGAGGTTCGCCCGTGGACGGCGTCCAGGACACGCGCGCGTTGCCACTGCCACATTTCGATGCGCTCCTTCGAGTGCGGACAAGATACACACTGCACCACCTCGCCAATCGCGCCCTGCTGGCGTGCCGCAGCTGGCGGTGGCACGATGTACGTCGCGATGCTAGGCTTGGCCGTGTTGCTCGTGAGCTGGCTGAATGTGGCCAATCGCGGTGGGATCCTTGGCGGCGTGGGAGCGTCGTCGAAGAGGTCGGCACGAGCAGCGGATGCTTGTCGCGTTGGGTTCTCGCGCATGTCTCTCTGCGAGTGTGTTGCATGCCAGGCGCCAACGTAGCTCTCGGAGGGCTTTTGTGGCATGGTTGCGTTGGCAATGTCGTCGAGCGATTCGACAAACGACTCGCAGCCCAGGAGCAGCAGATGTTCGAGGCGTGGCCAGGCGACGGCGTCGGACGTCGCCCACGACACACCCTGCACCGCATCCGCACACACCCAAGCGCAAAAGCTCAAATCAAGCACACGCAGCTTGGTGAGGCTGCGGCTGAGCCGACGCAGAAATACGGCGGTGCGCTGCGTGTCCACCTTGCCCGTCCTCTCGGGCGCATGGCCAAAGAACCGGCTGCCCGCTACACTCAACACCTCGAGGTTGGGCAGCTGCGACAGAACCGACAGCAGCCCTGGCGAGTCGAGCGGCACAGGTGCCGAGTGAGCGTGGCTGTTCCACCCGGCCAGGCTGAGCATGCGCAGAGAAACGCCTGCTTGGCCGCCGCCCAGCGAGAGCAGCCGGCTCAGCGTCCGAGTCGAGATGCTCGAGAACGACAGATCGAGCGCAGTGAAGCTGGCGTCGAGGTCAGGTGCGAGTGCTGCAGAGAAGTCGATGGGCGGCGAATGGCCGACCTCGTCCCAGTCACCCTCGGCCGGATGATCTTCGACCTGCATCTGGCTGGTCAGCGCCTGTGCCGTCCAGTCCGCGAGCGGCCACTCGGTGGCGGCGACACTACCGTATAGCGCGAGCATGCGCTGATGCATGCGCCGGGGCAAGTACGACAGCACCTCACGCATGTGCTCGATGTCCATCTCGGGGCGTGCTTGGCGCTGCTTGCCTTTGTCGTGCGCATGACCGGATGCCGGCCGATTGATCGCATCCGCAATGACACAAAGCGTCATGTCAAACAGGGTCGATACGCCTGCCGCTGTTGGCTGGGGCCTGGACTTGTCGTACATCGAGCGGAGCACGGTGCCGATGGCTTTGCGCTGCGCTTTGGTCGCAAACGCTCCGAGGCTGCTGGCCGAGGCTGTTGTGGAAATGTCGTTTGAGCCTGGGATAAAGAGGCCGCGATTGATTGTGAGGCGGTCAAAGTCTCTGCGCCACGACTCGGGCGGGATGGGTCCTGCGACCTGGCGCTTGAGTTGCGTCTCCCTGGAACGTTGATCCCTTTCGCGCTGCGCCTGTTCGGTGGAGGAGAGATACATGAGTCCAGCCCTGGACGAGGATGATGCCGCACCAGAAGCCACATTTTGCACGGGCACATCAGGCTCTGCGACTGTATCCGGATCAGTGCCGTCATGAGTGCGACGCAGCTTGGCCTGGAGGTTGCGGGCTCTTCGCAGATCCTGCTCGCGCGCGCGCGCGAGCTTCTCGTTGACGCTCGACATGGGCATCGTGTCTTCCTACGTCATACTGTGAAGAACCTTCCGCACCGTGGCATACGCATGTATGCAGATATGCTGGTTGGCCATGTGAGAATGGGACGGGAAGAAGAAAGCAGGAAGGATGGTGGTGGGAAAGTTGACGAGCTTCTTGAAGCATGAATTGCTGCGCAGCTGTGGAGGTCCGTTCGCAGTCCCACCAAAAAAGAAAAATAAAGTCGAGATTAAATCGCGGATCAAAAAGAAAGCCCAAGAAAGACGGGCTGGAAATGCTCACTACTCGACGCCGATACGAATGACACAAACACACACGACGATGGAGCGATACAGATACAGCATTTGCATTGCTTTGAGGGTATCAGACAGGAAGCTGGGAATCGAGGAATCGAGACGAAGCAAGTCGTGGAAAAGGGTCGAATCACGAGCCGATCATGGCGCTGAGCATGCGCTTGTAGTCGCCGCTGGTCTCGCCCTCTACGCGGTTCTTGAGGCCCTTTTTGTGGAAGAGCTGGGCGTAGGCGGGCTTGATCTGGCCCTCGAAGCGGTGCTTGTTCCAGTGGAGGCGTGCGACGCGGTAGACGAGACGTTCGTCCTTGGTGCCCATGCCCTTCATGCTGTCCTCGAGCAGACGAGCGTCGCGGGTGACTCCCTGGCCGTCGTTTTCGACGCCGTCGACAATGTAGCGGAGTGCGTCGCGCATGTGTCCGGAGAACTCGGAGTCGATCATGCTAGAGAGGTGCTTGCGGTAGAGGCGGTGGTAGGCCTGTGCGACGGCGGCGAGGTGGGGCGTGCTGCGCTGGATGAGGATGCCGCAGATGGCGATCTCGTCGGTGCCCGCGCCCTTTGCAGCGTTGTGGAGGGCGGCAGCGTCTGCATCGACCGCCTGCGGGTTGATGGGGACGTTGTCCTCCTGACGGACGCCCTGCATGGCCATGGTGAACATGCGTTTTGTCTTGAACGAGAGCTCGTCCTCGACGACGCGCTCGAGGTCCTTGCCGTAGGTGGCGCGGTAGGCCTGTTTGAGGATGTGTATCTCCGAGTTGGACCTGCCGAGGATGACTTCGTTGAGCAGGTCCTCGTGCGTGCCGGCACCCTGGCAGGCGCGCTTGATGAGCCAGCAGTCGTAGAGGACGGGGCCGAGCACCTTTGCGCGGAGGGCGGCCTCGAACCAGCCGGAAGTCTCTTTTTCGAGCACCTGGAGCAGGTCCTTGCCGACGGTGGCCTTGAACGTGTGACGGAGCGCGTCGATCTGGAAGGCGTCCAGTGGAGCGAGGGTGGCGATGAGGCTGCCTTCGTCGGTGCCGAAGCCCTTGGTGGCCTTGCGGATCCTCTCTACGTCTTGTGCGGCGTTGTAGCCGGGCGGAGGTGGTGCAGGCTGGTGAGGAGGCGGCGGTGGGATGGGCACGCCGAGGTAAAAGGCACCAGCTGCGGCAGGAGGAGGAGGAGCGTGGGCAGGAGCGCCATAGCCGTAGCCAGGCTGGGGAGGAGGCGGATGCGCGTGATGGCCGTGATGCCCATGGTGCTGCTGCGGGTAGCCGTGCTGAGGAGGTGGTGGACCAGGAGGAGCGCCGTAGCCGCCTGCGTAGGGAGCAGGAGGAGCGCCGTAGCCACCAGCGTGGGGAGGAGGGGGTCCACCCGGAGGAGGGTAAGCGCCGTATCCGCCACCCTGGGGCATGGGGGGAGGAGCGCCGTAGCCCTGAGGGGGCGGGTATTGATTTTGCTGCCAGGACATGTTGTGTGTTGTGTGTTGCGAGTGTTGCAGTGAGAAGAGGTTGCGATGTGGGTGTCGGAAGGTAGGTGCGAGTGATGACATCCTTATATGTCGGAGCGGGCGAGGGTGCGAGGCTGGCTCAAGCAAGCGGAGTCGGCTCGCAATAATGAGACACGGACTCAGTGCAGTGCGGTGTGTTGAAGCCTCCACACTGGTTCCAGGCACGGAAGCGGCAGAGTCTTGGCAGTCAGTTGACGGCGCCTCGGATAGCGGGAGTGGATTTCAATGCGCACAGCCTCTGCTCGAAAAAGGCGGTGTAAGAAAGCGCGTTTCGGCAGTGGCGCTGCGAGTCGCGTAGATTCAGTCGCTCGAAAGGCGGTGCGGCGCAGTCGGACGTCATTTTTCGAATCCGGCAATCAATTTCAGCCAGTCGATCTCACATCCACCAAAAAAATCCTCCGCGCCCATGCCAGCTGCGATCCAAACGAGAGGCGCGTGCACCGTCCCGGCTCTGGCTGTCAGGGTCTGCCGGCGCCCGCCCCTATCGACTGCTCGCTCAGACACACCACCATCTCACCACGCATTGTAGCCACGTCCGGAGGCTACACTCGTGCACCTGCACTTGCGTCATGTCAGACGCAAAGCTTCCTCAGCCCGTCAGCGCGCGCCACGCTCACCATGGCCACGCCCACTCCTCGACACGCTGCGGCCGTTACACAAAGCGCCAAATGCTCCTCGACGTGCTCAAGGGCGTCCTCATCGGCATCCTGCTCTTCTTTCCGAGCTCCACCATCTCGTATGCCTCGGACCTTTCGAACGGCGTTTGGCGCTGGCCCTGGACGCCAAGACACGTCAGGACCAACGTCATCCTCATGATCAGCGACGGCTACGGTCCCGCCTCGGTCGCCTTCACCCGCCACTTTGCACAGGCACTCAACGGCGACAACGACTACGACAGCCGCTTCCAGCTGCCTCTCGACACCATCCTCGTCGGCACACACCGCTCACGATCCTCCTCGTCCCTCATCACCGACTCGGCCGCAGGTGCCACCGCATTCTCCTGCGCAAAGAAGTCGTACAACGGCGCCATTGGCGTCACTCCCGATGGCAAGCCGTGCGGAACGGTCTTCGAGGCCGCAAAGCGCAAGGGTCTTTTGACGGGAGTCGTCGTCACCTCGCGCCTCACAGACGCTACTCCCGCCGCCTTCATCTCGCACGCCGCCTCGCGTGCGGAAGAGGCGCTCATCGCCTCCCAGCTCGTCGGCGGACCCAAGAACCCGCTCGGCGAACGCACGCTCGACCTCGCCATCGGAGGCGGCGGTTGCGCCTTCCTCCCCAACACCACCGCCAGCTCGTGCAGGCAGGACGACGAAGACACCGTACAGCTCGCCACCGAGCTCGGCTGGGACGTGCGCGTCGGCTTCCCCACCAACACCTCCTACAGCCCCGACGGCGGCGATGTGTTTGGCACCAAGCATGGCCGCGAACCCACGCTGCCGTTCATGGCGCTTCTGTCCGCAGGCAACACGCCCTACGAGATCGACCGGCTCAACGCGCCGCAGCCGCTGCCGCTCAAGCCGCTCAAGCACTATGCGTCCAAGGCGCTCGAGCTGCTGAGCAAGTCGGAGCAGAACACGGACGGATTCGTGCTCATGATCGAGGGCTCCCAGATCGACCTGTGTGCGCACAACAACGATCCGGCCTGCCACGCGCGCGAGGCCATCGCCTACCACGACACCATCGGCCTCGTCAAGCAGTGGGTCCAGCAGCACTCGTCGCGCACCGAACGCACCATCCTCATCTCCACCTCGGACCACGAGACCGGCGGCGTGACGTTGGGCAGGCAGCTCACGCCCGACTACCCCAACTACGCCTACTACCCGCAGAGGCTGTTGAACGCCAAGCACTCGACGCCCATCCTCACTGCTGTGCTCATCGACTTTGTGCGCACCGAAGTGGCCAAGGCGCACGGTGGCGTGCATGCGAGCGAGAAGCGCGTGCGCGACTTTATCCGACACTCCATCCTGGGCGCCTCGGGTCTCGGGCTCGAATCGGATACCCAAGGAGGTCCGCCTACGGACGACGAGGTGGAAGCCGTCTTTGCTGTAGTCAAGGAGGAGATTCTCTCGCGCGGCCATGAGGAGCTGGACGACGTTGCGGCTGCTGCCGACTTAATCCGCTTGGTTGGATCCACTGCGCATGCAAACGCAGCGCTGCACGCACTAGGCCCCGTCCCAGGTGTCAACCTCGACGGCATCCGTCGCGCCATCTCGGACGTCGCCGCACGCAGGGCCGAGATCGGCTTCTCCACCTCCGGCCACACGGGTATCGACATCAACGTCTACGCCCACGGCGACGCCACCACCCTCCACAAACTCGTCGGCAACCAGGACAACACCAACATCGGCACCGTCATCCAAGAGTTCCTAGGCCTAGACTTGGACGCCGTCACTCGCGACCTCAACAAGTAGATCCGATTCTCAAAGCCCAAATAGATCACATCGCACTGCATTTCAATCACACCAGCCAAGCTAGGAAAAGACCGGTTCAAGGATTGCTGGATTGAGACGTATTTTTTGGGTGTGGTGGGGGGATGTGAAGAATGACATGGGGGGGTGTGGGTTCGTCGTCTGCCACATGGATGGTTCCCGACCTAGGAGTGGTCGGGAGTTGAGGCTGCCACTGCATGCCATGCGCGATGCAGAGAGAAGCAATGAAAGGGAAGAGCGTTGTACAAGATAGATGCACACGCACAGCAACGCAGAGCGCAACCCCAACGCCGTATACAAACACGACGAAACAGAGAGGATTGGACAGTACGCACGACCGACCAGACTGGGCAGAGAAAAGGCTGTGTCAGACCAGCAAATCCCATAAAACAACTGCAAGCAGTCCCTCTGCCCGCCAGCCCGACGTGCGACCCGATAGAACGTCCGACCCTGTTCAATGGCAATCCCACCTCGGAGCGAGATGCGATGCGCCAAGGGAATAGAGGGAGGGAACAAAAAATGCAAGTAGGAATGCGTACACGACAACGGAACCGAACACACGACACAACCAGAGCCAAGCTCCAACTCGACAATCACATCGGCGACATTACTCGCAGATGCTTACGCCAAGCACAGAGCCAGCCCCGAGCTGATACGTGCGCTTAGTTCATGCGGCGGACGATGGCGTTGATGGCCTCGCCACGGTCGCCAGTGTTGCCGCCCTCGGTGTAGTGGGTGAGCTTCTTGCCCTTGAAGCCGCCGTTGGGGTTCGACAGCTTGAAGGCCCACAGGAAGTTGGTGACGGCCTTGAAGTTGGGGCCGCAGGTGGCGATCTCGTGAACAATGTCCTCGATCGAGAGGATGCCGTACTTGCCGAGGTTCTCCTCGATCACCTTGTTGTCGTTGATGGGGAGGCGCTGGCGGTTGACCTTGGCGTAACCACGCTTGTAGACGAGGTCGCGGATGGTCTTGAGGTTGGGCGCACCGTAGGTGACGTAGGGCTGCACGAGCTGGAGCATTTGCGAGGTGGCCTTGGTCAAGCGGACGAAGACACCGTTGTTGATCTGGAGGAGACGCAGGAGCTGCAGGATCTTGCGGGGCTTGGGGGCAATGTTGTTGATACCACGCAGACGCACGACGAAGACCACCTTGGGCTGGCCGGCGACGTAGAAGTCACCCTTGGCCTTGGCGGCACGGCGGAGACGGATCTCCTCGCGCTCAGCCGCACGGTACTCCTTGGTGTACTGCTCGGCGCGCTTGAAGATGACCTTGCGCTTGGCGAGGTTGGCCTGCAGAGACATTAGATAGCGGGAAGATGGAGTGGCGCAAGAGTCAGAAAGAAGCTCGAAAGAGGCCTGTGCAATCCGACCACACAATAGTCGACACGCTCGCATCCGCAAGTATCTGACGCTGCGTCGCCGTCGAGCGACAATCCTTGGCGATGAGCTGCAAGTGGCAGCTGATCGCGTGGCAACCCTCAGCCCCGAAAGATGGTATAATTCGGCAACATTGTCCTTAGACTAGCCCGAACGGTGGTTGTTTATGCATCACTGAGTTGACTCGTTTTGGCCCCTGGATCCTCCGTGCCAAATCCTGATCCTCCCTGTCGTTGCTGTTGGAACCTGCGAGCGTGCGTGCATTGCGTGGCGTTAGGATGAGATGCTTACCTTCTTGGTCTCGGCGGCCTTGGCGGCCTTCTCCTCACGGGCCTTGGCGTCCGACTTCCTCTTCTTGAGGAGAGTCTCGGGGACGAGGACGTCGTGAGCCGAGGGGACGGTGCTGTAGAGATGCGATCGAGTGCAACGGGAGCGCGAAGGAAAGGTCAGTTGGATGGTCCGGAGGTGTCGGTTGGTGAGTCTGATGCGAAACAGCATGACAGCACGAAGAAGGTCGAGTGGCAGAAGAGCACGTTAGCAGCAGCAGCAATGTCGATGTCGTGGTGCAGCTGGAAGGAAATTAGTGTAGAAGTTGTGCCATGTCCCAGGCAAGATATCGTAAATCGAGCGAGAGCGGATGGACTTGCTCGCGCCGATATGGAGAAGGCGATTGACAGGGTTGCCTCGCCGCGCAAGAGCTGTGCTCTGGAGGGCGATATCATCGGAGTGGGTCGCCGATGCCTTCGGTCCGCAGGTGTAGCAAGTGCCGAGGCCGACGCTAGAATGCATCTGAACAGTCCAACATGATGCGAAGGAGGACGTGTGCTATCCAGCCATCATCTGCAATGCGTCTGTCCATCCTCCCAGCAATGCATGCCGGCTATGCGATCTGCACTTGTGCAACTTTTACGTTCTGGGTGGCCACTACGAGCGGCGATGTCGGTGCGGAAGTCGATAGCTCTGTTGGCGTGCTGAATGGATGTATATGCATCGTGTCGATGATAGAAGGTAGCTCGATGGTCTGCTGTCGGTATATGCTGTCGATGATAGTTCGAATGCTGCTGCTGCCGGTCGTGGTGCTGCTGCCAATGCTGTGCTGGAACTTGTGCGTGCTTCGATGTGCCATGCCGTTGATCGCACCTGCGGTGGATACGTACGTGCGAATCTGAGCCGACATTGTTCTTGACGGAGAGGGGATGGGTGGAGATGGTGATGGTGACGAGAAGATTGGAGCGGCGTATTGGCGGACGTCGAGACTCTCGGCGCTCCGAAGGCTCCCTGGCTTGGCCCACAGGGTCAGTCGGCCAGACCTCGAAATGGGCTCAAAAGGGTGAGGCCCTTCCGGTGGCTCTGCCTGTCTGCAGGCGCTAAATTTTGGCAGGCTTGCACACCGCTCTTTGGACAAAGTTTCGAGCTCAAAGGTGCGTGTCGAATTTGCGTCGCCACGCCAGTCGATCCAGCCGGGCGGCACTGCAGACCGGCACTCCTCAGCAGGCGACCAGCTCGCCATCCAATGCGGCACCGCACTGCCAAATTCCAGCTTGTCGCGGCTCAGTGGCAGTCGAAAATTAGTCACGTGTACAGTTTTGACCTCGGCCGAGGTCCGACCACGTCGAATTAATTTTCGTTCTGACTTAGGCAGCCTTATGTAATCTCCCGACCCTCGGCCCCGCCAACGACGCTCAGATCAACACTCGCACGCAGCCATGCATGTCGTGTCGATTGGACCCTGAACGGGCGCAGCCGTGAAAGTGTCACTCGATCCCCTCGACACCATCTCAGTCGATCTCATAGCTTCAGAAGATCCAGCCAGCGAGGAACCGGTGACCATGGCTGCGACAGGCTCCCAGACGCCGAGCCAAGGTACGTTGCCCTCGCACCAGCCTCTCGCACATGCTACTCAGTATACTGACATGCTTGGCCATCGACTCGCTTTGGACGACGCAGAGCACGACAGACAGCTTGGCTCGGCTGCCACAATATCGTATTCAGCAGCAAGTCCATCCGCCGCCGCACTGCAGGCGCTCGAGCAGTACAAGAAGAAGGACTCGTCCAAAGTCGTCGTGCGCTTCAAGGCGATCGGCAACGCTCCCATCATGAAGGTACGTCCATCATTCCTATCTCGGCCCTGCGTCGAATCGGCCACTCATCGTGTTTTCGACCCTTTTGCATGGCAGACCAACTACTTTCGCATCACCGCATTCAACCGCTTCCAAGCAGTCATCCAGTTCCTGCGCAAGGAGCTCAACTTTAAGCCCACCGACTCTCTCGTATGTCGCCGACTCTGCCCAGCCTCCTCGCTGCCTTGCTCCTCGCTGATTATTGCTTTTCTCGACCTTGGTTGTCGACGCGCAGTTCTTGTACATCAACGCCTCGTTTAGCCCTGCACCCGACGACACTGTGGGCAATCTATACAGAGTAAGCACGAGCGTAATCAGCACCGTCGATTCAGTCTGTGGCTGACATTTCCACTCGCATTGCTTTTCGTCAGTGCTTCGGCACGGAAAACCACCTTATAGTCAATTACAGCACCACCGCCGCCTGGGGTTAGCCTGTCCAATGCGGCGTCTCCACCACAGCTTTCTTCTCAGCCCATCGATACCCAAGCAATTCAATCGTGCACTCAGAGTCAGAAGCATGGACATGATCATTCCGAGTCATCGTAAGACAGACGGAGAAATGGTGGACACGCGACTAGTACACCTCGAGAACGTATCGCTCGTCCTCCTTGAGCGCCTCCATCTTCTTCTCGGCCTGGTCCTTGGTGAGACCCTTCTTGACAAACGCGCCCACCAGAGCCTCGTGGATGTCGGGCACGGGCCAAGTAGGGCCACACACGAAGAAGTAGCCCTTCTTGCCATCCTCGATGTCCTCGTCGTTGATCAGGCCGTCCTGCAGCACCACCTCGGCCTTGCCACCCGCCGCCTCGAGCTTCTCGATCTCGGGACCCAGGTACTGCGTGAGCAGGTCGCCGTCCTCGAGGATCTTGTGCTGGATGTACACCTTCTTGGACGTGTCACGCGAAAAGGCGAGTCCCATGTGCTGAATGACGCCGTCCTGGGTGTACGCCTCGAGCTCCTCGCCGTACAGGTACTCGGCCGAACGGTAACGCGAGCCAAAGTAGTACACCAGCGGTCCCACCTCGATGCCCTGCGCCTTCTTGTGCGCACGAGCCTGGATAAAGGCGCGGAAGGGAGCCGCACCCGTACCCAGACCCGCCATGATGATGGGCTGCGTGTCAATGGGCGGCAGCTTCATCACCGACGGCTTGAGCGACACGGTCACCTTGGCACCGGGCTTGAGCTCGCTCAGGTAGCGCGTGCACTGGCCGAAGCGAGGGCTGCCGCTGGGCGTCTTCCAGTCCACCGTGACGATGAGCAGGTGGATCGACTCGCCCACGGCCGACTGGGCCGAAGCAATCGAGTAGTGACGCGGCTTGATGGGCTCCACCAGCGTGAGCAGCTGGTCGATGGGCAGGCGCGCAGAGGGGAACATGCGCAGCACATCGGCGTACGTCAGCGTCTCGATCTCCGAGAGCTTCTTGAACGTGAACGAGCCCTCGGCCGAGCTGATGAAGCGCAGCCAGCGAGCCTCGTCGCGGTTGGTGGCCAGCTTGGCCAGCTCCTCGTAGAAGCGCTTGGGCGGCTTGCCAAAGATGTCGAGGTTCTGCTGCAGCGTCTGGAAGACGGTGCGAGCCTCGTGCTTGCCCACCTGCGTAAGGCTGGGGGCGTTGACAATCTCGTCGGCGTCAAAGCCGGCCCAACGGATGAACTCGGCGACCTCCTCGGCGTCGTTCCAGCCATGCACACCGAGCGCCTCGCCGACCTCGTACTTGAGGTCGGTGCCCTTGGTGCTGAGCTCCATGTGGAAGACGTTTCGGTCGTAGTCGACGGGGGTGAGGCGGCGGTTCTCGGTGACCTCGACGACCCAGGTCTGCTCGGGCAGGTCGGGGCGGAGGGCATCGGCGGCCGTGTCGTAGGCCTCAGAGAAGAGGTGCTGCCAGGCCGACTGGGCCCAGGTGGTGCGCACAGGGGCGAGCTCAGTGCCCACGGTGGCAGCCTCGGGGTTGGGGCCGAAGCCGTTGTAGCGGATCTGGGTGGGACGCAGAGGCGCGTTCTCCTCGGCCTCGGAGATGGGCTGGGCCTTGGACCACTCGTCATCGCTGAAGGCATGCAGCTGGATGGCGCTCTCGGCAGCCGACACAAGGCCCTCGACGCCGTCGATGCCGACGGGAGCGGTTCCAAGAACGCGCTTGAGGAAAGCGGCGAGGGCGGCACCCGAGGTGTTGAGCTGCACACGCAGCACGGCGACCAGGAGGACGGCCGCGGCGATCTCGGCGGGGACGACGTTGTCGCCGACCTTGGCCTTGCCACCGCTGGCGTTGGCGGTCTTTACGTTGAGCTTCTCGACGACGGCGGCAGCGTCGACGAGGAGGAGTCGGGCGCTCTTCTGGGCGAGCACGCGCTTGTCCTCGGCGCGCAGCTTCGAGTCGAGCTCGGCCACCTCCCAACCGGGCGTGTTGAAGATGACGGTTCCGCCGCGAACCAGAGACTGGAAGGGGGCGTAGCTCTTGAGCGTGGTGGCCGGGTCGCTGACGACGAGCACCTTGGCGGCGTTCTCCTCGGCGGCGAGGACGATGGGGGCGTCGGCAGCCGACTCGGGACGGCTCGAGAGGATGATGTCGGAGCGGACGATGCCCGAGGCCTCGAAGTTGTCGAAGCGCGACAGCAGACGGGCGTTGAGCTGGGTGTCGGCGCCGCGGTCGCGGATGGCGCGCGCGGTGAGCTGGGCGAGGGGAGCGGTGGGGCTCGTCTCGGTGTCGAAGAAGGTGACGACCGAGGCGCCCGAGAGGGCGAGGAGGTCGGCGTGGCTCTCGTCGGCCTCGTCGAGCACGTCCTGCACCTTGAGCGCAGCCTTGTGGGCATCGCCAAGCGTCTCGAGCAGCTTGTGCAGCTCGGCGGCGGTGAGGTCCTGGCCAGCAGCGAGGGCGACGGGGAAGACGTGGGAAGGCACGTCGGAACCGCTGAACTCGGTGCCGAAGACGGACGAGACGATGTCGTCGTAGAGCTGGCCGGAGGAGGCGCCGCCAAGGACCTGCTCGAGGACGTGGAGGCTCTCGACGGACTTGGGCAGGGCCTTGCGCAGGTCGGTCTCGTCCCAGGAAGCGAGGGTACGGACGGAGAGGAGGGCGACGTTGTGGCGCACCGCGGGAGGCAGGGTGACGAGGACGGCACGGGCGGCCTGGCTGTGCGAGCCGTTGGGGACGACGAGGACGGTCTTGGCCTTGGGCGAGCCGGTGAAGAGGAAGGGCTCGGGGACGTCGACCTTCTGGCCCTTGGTGGGGATGGCCAGGGTGCCGACCTCGCGACCGGCAAAGGCACCGTCGAAGACGTGGACGACGTTCTTGTTCGACTGGTAGGCGTACTGGGCAAAGTCGACGGCCTCCTGGCGGGTGGCGGAGAGGACGACCTCGTAGGCGTCGCCGAGCGTGGCGGCGGCGGCGAGGACGGAGGCGTAGTCATTGGTGATCGAGAGCTCGTCGGCGCCGTCGGTGGAGTGGCTGGCGGCGGAGACCTGGAGGACGAGCTTGGCGTTGTCCGAGCCATTGTACGAGGCGAGGGTGGGAGCCATGGCGGCGAAGCCGGCGGCGTTGGTGAGGGCGGTGACGACCTTGGCGGGCTCGGTGGACGAGGAGCCGCCCTTGGCGTTGAGGTAGCCGACGATGGCGTTGCCGGCGCCTGAGCGGGTCTGCATCTTGAAGACCGAGGCGCGGCCCTTGAACCAGCCCTTTTCGGCGGCCAGCTTGGCCTCGTTCTCGCTGAAGGAGCCGAAGCCACCGTTGGTCTCGCTCTCGTAGCTGAAGACAGCGGTGCTGTTGGCGTAGGCGATGGAGTCGATGGCGCCGGTGCTGGTGAGCGTGGCGCTGGGGATACCGAGCAGCCAAGACTGGGCGGCGAGCTTGGCGGCGATCTCTGCCTCGGTGGGGCCCTGGACGAGGCCGAGGTCCATGCGAGCATCGAGGTGCTGGGCGCGGTTGGCGGGAGCGGGCTCGGGAACGGCAGCGTTGACGGGCTGGGCGTTGACGAGGCCGGCGAGCTTCTGGCCACCGGCGGTGGCGTCGACGCCGTTGGGAGCAACGTGGCCGGGGAGCTGCTCCTTGGCGGGAGCGGCGGGGCCAGCGCCCTTGGCGTCGACCTGGTCGAGCTGCTTCGAGGCCGGAGGGTCGACACGACCGTTACCCGTGGATGAGGTGGTGTCAGCCTTGGCCTCGGTGGGAGGAGCAGCCGTAGCCGCGGGCGCGGACGGGGCGGAACGCAGCTTGGCGTCCGAGACCTTGCGCTTGATGGACTTGTTGGGCTTGTGAGCGGGTGCGAAGGCGGCACGCGAGAGCGCGAGGGTGCCTGCGCCGATGGCGAGACCACCGGCGAAGATGGCAGCGCTCTGATAGAGCGACTGCGACGAAGTGGCAGCCATCTTGGGTGTGAACACGCAAGAAGGGAGGAGGAGATGGATGGTGAAGGAAGAGAAGATGCTGGGAGACTTGCTGCCGATCTTTCTTCTCGCCCCGGAAGGTACTGCCGTATGCCCGAGAGACTTGCCTGAGGGAAAGGCAGCAGAGCACAGTCCTGCTGGATCGGAAGAAGTCGCGCTACGCTCAGCTCAGGGTCCGGTCCGCGCCTCGCACGACGAGTTGAGAAGATTGGGCCTCCTCCTCCCGCCTTGTGAGTCAGAGGCGAGCTGCCCAACTTCGGTGGGGCCAAAGCTGACAGCTCGCGGGGATGCGAATTTGGCCGAAAATCCAACGATTGCGCCATCGCATGGCCAAATGGGCTCACCGCCATTCATGCGCGTCGATCGACAGCCATCTGGAGGTCCAACGCACCCGATATGTCGATCTTAGAGCTGCATTTTCGCCATTGTTCGGACCGCGATCTTACACAATCTACTTTTCCCGATCATTTTTTAGATGGCTGGATTTTGTCGTTCTTTTTCTTCGTCTTTTTTGGCTCTTTCTTTTTTTTTTCTTTTTTTTCTTTTTTTTCTTTTTTTTTTTTGTCTCGAGCACTGCACCAGCCAAAGCGCACCAAGACGCCAATGACCAACGAGCAGATGCCTTCGCTCCCTTGTAGCACGACCAATCTGGCCTACCTGAAGTTGCTCGACGACGCGACGCCAACGTCAAGATGGTCGGGCCGCTTTTGCCAGCTGGAACGAGGTGCATAAGGTCGCATGCGTTCGATGATGCGTAGCTGCCGTTCCTGCGCATAGCCGGGTTCCAATTTTAGGAATGCATGAGCCGCGCGCTCTGCTGGCCACCACCACCCCGCCAAGAAAGCCGCAAAAACTGAAAACCAAAAATGCTGGGGAAGGGACTCTTTTAATCGCCGTTGCCTTTGAGGGTGCGGCTCACAAAGCACCGCAAGGAGGCAGGTCTCTACGGCGGCTTGGCCAGGGTTCTGCGCTGACGCCAAGCTGGGCACGGCGCAAAGGGATTGGCGTGACGGCGTCCAGCGGCGTGGATCTGTCTCGGTCGCTCTTTCCGCCGCTTCGTCGGACTTGCGGCGATTTTGCCTCGCTAGACGTCGCGCTGCGGCTGCTTTCCCGTCACACGATGCCGCCTGCTCCTCCGGCGGAGCCCTCTGCTGGAAGGATGTGATCCAGTCTCAAAGGCGAGGATCTGGCGTAGCCAGACCATCGTCGTTGTCGATTGCGCGTCATATCGAGCACAGACCCGGTGGGCGTGGCATTCATCGAGGGAGATCGTGGCGGCTCAAACACGCTTTGGTCCGAACAACGGCACAGTGATCCGGCTGTGAATGCTGAGCCGCAGCCGAGGTGCGAAACTGCCGCTGTGCATCAGCATGCACCTAGCGGCGTTCAAAGAGTGCCACCCAACACCCTGGTCGTCTTCTTTGGATTCTGCGCCTCGTTCCTGCCCCCGGTTTCCACACTCGCCCAAGTCTCAGGAACATCGAGCAGCTTCACGCCGAATCCTCCTCCTCTTGGACTTGCACATCCATCATCTTGCCACAGACGCTCCCGTCTTAGTCGTCAGAGCAGCAGCTTCTTCCCGACATCTTCACGCCAAGGCCGAACAGCTGCATTTCTCCCTGCTTCTCGCGATTCGCTCTTGTGCGTTCTTGTCGAACCTCCCCTACCGTCGAGCTAGTCGCAGCTATAGTCAAAGAAGCGTGTGGGCTCGCTCGCCATCTCAACCAGTCGCGCCTGCAGCGCAGACCCCGCACGCTGGAAGCACCCCATCTCGGCCTCCAGCTCTTTAGCCTTGCGCCGCCTCCAAGATGTCCACGACCGTGGTCACCGTACCCGTCACAGTGACGGCTAGCCAGTCCGTCATCGTCGTCACCTCGACGATTGCAACCACAAATGCTCCTTACATTACAGGCCTCCCGACCTCATCGTCCGACCCGGTAGCCTCAGCCTCTGCGGCCACCGATGGCGCCAACACTGCCTCAGGCGCGGGCGCCACATCGTCCTCTTCACCGTCCTCATCATCTTCTGGCTCGGGTACTCCTGTCGGTGCGATTGCCGGCGGTGTGGTAGGAGGCGTCGCCCTCATTGCTTTCATCATTGTGCTTGCTTTCTTCATGAGAAAGCGATCTAAGGCCAAAAAGACGCCGAGTCCCTTCCCCGATGACGACGACGAGAAGGGTCCTTCGGTAATTGCCGGTCTGCCGCCCAACCCCTCAACGACTCACCTGCGACCGCTCTCGGGCAGCTACAACCCCTCGATGGTCATGACAGAGGCCTCTGCAATGCCTCTGCTGGGAACCGACGGCTCGATCCACAGCGGCTCCCACGGGCCCGGCGGTGCGTTCATGGCCGACGCCCGCTCGGCGCACATGCAGAGGCCATCGACCACCTCGCTCGCCCCAAGCTTCATCATGGGCTCGTCTGCATCTTATCCTCATTCTCACAGCAGCCATCCCGGCCAGGCCTGGAGTGGCGCTGTGCCGTCCAATGGCTACGACTCTCCGTCTGCCTTCGCTGGCGGCTATCCCGACGTGCACAGGACCGCTTTCTACGAGCCTCATCTGCCTCCCGGAGTCGACCCCCGGGCGCTACCCGCATCGACGATTGCTGCAGGATCGGCAGCGGTTGCCTATCACAGTGCAGGCGCGAGCGCCAGCACGGCATCTCCCGTTGCGCACGGCATGGATGCGCGAGCTCTGGCAGCTGCTCCCGGGATGTCAAGCTTGCCGATGGGTGCAGCGCCTGCCAATTATGCAGCTGTGAGCGAGGCCGCTCGACTTCGCAGCGCCTCGCAGAGTGGCTCTGATGGTCTCAATGGCGCTGAATTGCGCTCCGGTGCAGCATCCATGAGCGATGCGAGCAGTCGTCGAGGATCGCACGGAAGCACACTTGCCATGCACCCGGCAGTGGCGCAGCTGTCCGAGGCATCGCCTCCGTTTCTAGCCGATGGCGGAAGCCCTCACCGAAGGCCGCCGGCAGCTGGGTTTCCCGGGTATCAGTCGAATTTGAACACCATCCCCGGCTCGGTTGCTGTTTCCGAGATCGCGAGTGCGGACCATCAGTCGCTGCACTCAGGCGCTCAGAGCTACGGTGGAGATGCGACGCTGCCCCCAAGGCTGCCATCCATCCCAGCATCAAGCCCGCTAATTCTTCAGGATGCGGCCGCTGTGGAAAACCCTCCACGCGCCTCTTCTTTTGGTGGTACGGCTGCCCGACTCACTACTGAGCCAGCCACGGATACGCTGCGTTCCAACGACGCCTCCACGGGCACGTACAACAGCGACGGAACCTACAACACATACACTGGCGCGATCAAGGGCCAGTTGCGCGTTGTTGGATCGAGCGATGCCCACGCCGATGGTGCTCGAGGAACGACAACCATCGTGGAAGAGGAGAGCCCGATCAGCGGACCTCGGCGGGAGATGAGCGGCGACTCTAAGGCAGGCGAGTTCTGGATCGAAGGGCGCGAAAAGTCCAAGCTGGGCGCTGCGGGCCAACGTCTTGGCCAGCACTCGAGCAACAACAGCACGAGCAGCATCAACAAGAACGGCAGCCGCATGATCGAGATGCTCGACGTGGACGAGCAGCCGGATGTGCCTGAATCGGTGACGGGCCCGGCTGAGCCATCGCCGTCGACGCCTTCGAGGCCGTCGTTCTGGAAGGAGCGCACCAAGTCGTCACAATCCATCGCCAAGGTGTTCCGAAGCTCGCCGTTGCTCCACGCCAATGCATCACCCTCCGAGCATTCTCCAGCGCCGACGAGCGGCGCCCGACTGAGCGGCGTGGCTGCCGAGTCGAGTCGCTCGCACGGTGTGCCGGAGCATCTTCCTCCGCTCGACCTGGGCCGATCGGTTGCGATTTCGGACCACCGAGCGTCGGACTCGCCGAAGACGGAGGGTGAGGCTGAGATGTGGAAGGACGCCTCCAAGCAGAAGCACGGAGGAGCGATGCGCAGGTGGACGCGAAAGAAGGCAGGCCGAAGCGGATCCGGGGCGCAGGGCGCGGATAACGAGGTGGACGTCGACGAACTCTTTCGCTGATCGATCGGCGCTGCTGTCTTCCAATAGTTGCACATCCACACTCACATATACAGTATTCAAAGCAACTCTCTAATCATCTTCCGGTCAAGTATGTGTGTGGGCGTCGATAAGATGGGCGCTTGAGTTCTACCAACATCTGTCACCGTGTGCGCGCATGCCGACATCTGTGACAGCGCCACGAGGACGGGCGTTTGCCCAGGCCCCGTTCCGGAAGCTGGTCCCCGGAGGTTTGAGTGACAATCACGTCAAAGGCGGTCGCCAAGAGCTGCAATGGTTATGCGGAAGCTGTTGGCAGTTGCATCACATGCATCGCTTGGCGGTGCGAGCCACATCCACCAGGAAGTTTGGCAGCTGTCGACCCTGAGCGCCCAGAGCTAAGTTGGCGATCAGCGGCGCACAACCACGTCAGCCAAGACTCTCTGGCGGCCTCGAGTTGCGATCTTTTTCAACGCTCTAATTTCCGTGTTGATTTTCGGTCGAGTTTTTCTTGCTCGAGCGTCTTCTGAAAAATGCAACGACTGGGACCCTGAGCAGCCGCACCGATCTGGAGTTCAAGGCCAAAAACAGGCAGATCGCGCACCAACTGCAAGCATCCGCACGGCAGAGCAACAGAGCAGTCCCGAGTGGAGCTCAAAGGTCGATCAGGCCTACGACAAGAAGCGATGGGCTTCAGACCAAAGCTTGGTCAAGTAGGATGTAAGAGGGAGGATGCGGCCTGCGTCGTGGATCCCCCGCTGCAGTTGTGCGTTGGAGCGGACGCGGTGTTCCGAGCATCGACGATGCTAAGCGCGCAGCTAAAGCGAAGGCCGCGCGCGCTCGCCGGCGATTTCCACCGCGCCATGGCAAGCGACCAGCAGCAAAACGGGCGAGGGCGAGGCAACCATGATGCAGTCGGCCCGACGACGCAAGAGAAGGTGGCTGGGATGCGACAGAATGGCTTGGCCCTCAGGCCAGCTGCACGATCAGAATCGGTGCGTCTGCCCAGCCATGCGGTCGGTCGGCAGCCGATCGATGGCCAGGCGAGACGCCAACAAGGCGGTGGGGAGTCAGTCCAACTCATTCGAAATTCTGCCTCTTTTGTGTGTGTGTTTTTGTTTGATTCGGCGGGGCCGACCCAACTACACCGCTGGCTCGCCAGGCCCGGGAGCAGTGTGTGTGTCGTGCTAGGAGCTTGGATTTTGGGTTTGTTTTGGTCGCGCTGCTGCTGCTGCTGCTGCTGATCCTCGCAGCAGATTCGAACCCTGGCGTGCACCCCTGTTGGGCTCTCCTATTTCAGACGCAATTTTCGCAGCCGCTCCTCTCGCGCCCCGCCCGCCTGTCTCGCTCCCAATTTTTTTTTTATCTCTCGGACATCCGAGTGCAGGCTGGCGGGCCGGCCGTGCGGCAGAGCACGTTGAGCGGGTTGGGTTGAGAGAGCTGTTTTGAGACGTTGCGCTTGGCTGTGGGCGAGATTGCCTCCCTTGGGGCCGTGCCTGACGCCGCTGCTGCTGCCTCGCCCTCCGTTTCGCTTGTTTTCGCTCTCCCGTGGCCGCACCCCTCGCCTGTTTGGCCGATTTCCCACTCAGCTCGCATCGCTGCCTGAATGCCTGCCTGCCTCTGACCATCCAATCGAGTGCGCAGTGCCCCTGCCCTTCCTTACCTTCCGCCGCCTCAGATTCGATCCCGCCAGGCTGCACTGCACGTCCTCAACCCTCTGCAGCAACCGGAACAGCAGCAGCAGCAGCAGCAGCAGCCGCCCGCCCGCCAAACAGCCCATCATCGTCCCGCTCCAGAAGCTCACTGCCTACCGCTGCCCGCCGTGTGCGAGGAATCGTCGTCCCCTTTTCTCCTCCTGGCTATCCTCGTCTCCATTCCGTGTTTGTCACCATCGGTCCAGGTGTCTCCTTCCTCTTCACCTGACTGTGAACCACGGCGAGTGCTCCGACTTTTCCTTTCTCCCTCTCCACCTCTCGGTCTCCTCGTCGTCACCCAATCCGATCTCGTCCATCGGTGCTCGGCCAAAACATCCACTCAAGGCTGCTGCCTCCGAGTTCATATTATCGCATCCCCCATCCACCTCATCACACCTCGATCGTAGCGACCACAGCCAACATGCACTTCTCCAGGAGCATCAGCCTTATGGCTGCCCTGCTTGCGCTCACACAGCTGGCGCAAGCTGCACAGGTCGCCGTCACCCAGATCTCGTGCAACTACCTCTACTTCACCCTCAGCCTCACCGCCGCCGAAGCGCGCGATGCCGTCTACCTTGGCGTCTACATCGACGACAACATGATCTCCGAGATCCAATTCAACTCGGCCTACGCCAACACCAACACCTACCAGTGGTATGCCCCCTTCTTCCAGGGCTCCGGTCCCACCACTTCCGGCACTCAGGACGTCACCTTCCGTCTGCTCGACACAAACGAGGAGCCCATCACCGCCTACCCACGCATCACTCAGCCGCTCGCCTTCCAGTGCGGCACCACCCTCACCACCTCCACCACCGCCCTCGGCACCGCCACCTCCTCCTCGCCCCGCGCTTCCAACACCAACGGCGGCGGTTCCTCCGGCAACGCCAGCAACGGCAGCTCCAGCTCCGGCTCCTCCTCGTCCACAGGTGCCATCGCTGGTGGTGTTGCAGGTGGCGTGGCTGCCCTCGTCATCCTCGGCCTCATCGCCTTCTGCCTCATGCGCAAGAAGAAGAAGCAGAACCAGCAGCAGAGCCGCCTTCGCAACGACGAAGCAGACGAGGCCGCCTTCCGTGCTCCCAACAACGACTCCACCACCTCGCTTGCTACGGCCCCAGAGACCGCCAACACTCCCATGATGCGCGACATCTCGACCAAAAACGTCTTTGCCGACCCTTCCACCTCGGCCTTCTCGGGCGCTCCCTCGGGCACCTCCACCCAGTACTCGGCGCTCAATAATAACGCCGCCTCCACCTCCAACGCCGGCGCCGGTGCCGGTGCCGGTGCCGCAGGCGCCGCTGCAGCTGCTGGCGGCATCGGTGCTGCTGCCATCGCCGCCCGCAAGCAGTCGCGCGAAAACACTCGCGCCCGCTCGCCCAGCCACGCCTCGGACCGTCGTCCCTCGTCGGAATTCTCCAAGGACAATTCTGCAAGCCCTTCGTCCCAGGCGCCTCCGCCCGTCCCTGCGCTGCCCACCCCCATGCCTGCCGCTGCCTCACCCAAGCAGAACACAATGGCGGCCGTGCCTCCTGCCAACCCCTCCGCTTCCGCCGCCGCTTCTCACCCACCTTACCCAGCCTCGAGCCCAGCGACGGCCAACAAGGATGCATCGGTCGCCCCTCTCGCAGCCGGAGGCGCAGCAGCAGCAGCAGCCACCACAGCTGCCGCCGCCGCCGCCGCAAGCAACAAGGACACCAAGGACAAGTCGAGCAAGTGGGGCTTTAAGCGCGCCTCCAAGGACACGAGCTCCAATAAGCTGCCATACCCGCCTGCCGTGCCCGAGTCGAGCGCACTTGCCCCTTCGGTCGAGACACCCTCGGCGTCAAGCAACTCGTCCTCGTCCAATAAGTCGGCCGAGGTGCCGGTCCCCGCTTCGCCCTCACGATCGTTCAAGGTGATCCCCAAGCCCGCCGCTGCACCCGTTGCATCCACCGCCGGCCCGAGCAGCGCCTCGATCGCGCCGAGCGAGAACAGCTTGAATCGCACGCCCGTCTTCCCGCCGCGCTCGGGACCCGCGACGCCGGCCGGTTCGATCCGCGGCACCAACTACTCGCGTGCTCCATCGGTCGCCTCGATGACCGCTGGGTTTGCCGATGCGCCGCCCATGCCTTCGGGTGCGTCCGTGTCGTCGGCGCCCGTGAGCGAGTTTGGCGGCAACATGGCTGGCGTGGGTGCCGGCCGTTCGTTTGCCGCTTCGTCGGGCAACTCGACAAAGTGGCACCAGCAGAGCTACAACATCATGCCCAACTTCAGCCACCGCGCATTGGCGCGCTCGACGCAGCTCGACGAGGACCTCATCTTTGGCCACCTCGGCATGGGCCTCACCCCGCCCCCGGGTCCTGCGGGCAACGGCAGCGAGACCGGCAGCTCCAAGAGCCGCACCGATCCGTTTGGTGACCGTTGATCGCCACGTACTCGCTCTTCCTTGATTCTCTTATCGTCGGCAGCGCCGGTCAAGCGCACGCGCCGCTGCACGATGGCAGGCTGCCCATTTGGATCGATCTCGCGCATTCGTCAACGATTCCCGGCAAAAAGTTGCTTTCACTTGTCTTGCACCACCAGAACAATTACTTTCCTCGTCTCTCCCCCCTGTCTATCTCAGTCCATCGGATTCGTTTTCTTCACTCTTCCTTGTCTACATGCGCACGTGCGCAGCACCACGATCCCTTTTTCTTTTTGTCAGCCTGTCATTTGCATTTCGACCTGTCTTCACACACAGTCTCTCTCGCGCGTGCGTTCACTGTGTGTTGTGGGCGATTTGAACGTCGATTGATGGTCACTCTCGTGTGAGTGGGAGAGGACAGTACGTTCGAATCGGGACCCGGATATAGAAACTAGGACTGACGCCCGAGACGAAAGTAGGACCCAAGCGTGGCGTCCAACTCTGGTTTCTGCGCCGAGGCAGAAAGCAGATCATGGGCCTAGATGACACAAACACAGAGAGAAATTGTCAGCAATGTTAAAGGCACGGTCTCACTCGTGGCGCGAGGAGCGAGGAAGAATGAACGTACCTCGAGATTGGGAGGGTAGTCGGAAGTTCCCTGCGACTTGATGAGCTTGCGTTCGCGCTTGAGCCTGGCGATTTCGGCCTGCGACTGTTCCAGCTGCTGCGTCTGGTGTTCGAGCGTCTTGGATAGGCCGACGATCTGCTCGGCTTCGGGCAACAACATCTGCTCCAGCTCCGACTACATGTTCCGCGCACCCAAACGTATGTCAGTAACCCCGCTCAACAAGGCAGATGGAAGTGAAGAAAGACTCACAATCTCGGCGTTCATGCCCAGACTCATGGTGTCGATGGACCTGGCCTCGGGCGTGTCGCCTGCCTCGGCGCGGAGGAGCGAGCCTTCCTCTTCGAGACGCCAGGCGAGCATGCTGCTCGGCAGATCGCGCCGACTCGTGTTGGTGGCACTCCCCAGCGGAATACGCGCCAGCGGCGGCACGAGCCCCGTCTCGAGCTTGCCGTCGATGCGGTTGAGCGCGCGCGTCAGACTGTCGGCCACCATGGAGCGGATGTTCTTGGGCATCGAGTTGAGCAGCGGACTGTATAGCAAAATGAAAACAAGTCGTCAGTACGGTCGATCGGAGCCGATGCTCGGGTTGCAGAGGAAATACTTACATGGCGGTGCGCCAGATGAGGCCGCCTTCGGAAGTGATGCATTCGCGCTCCTGAACGCTGAGGCGGCGCCACTTGCGCAGACGCTCGCGCTCGCTCGGCCAGTCCTTGCGCTTCTTTGACTTGAGTCGTCTGGGTGCAGCTGCACCTGCCTCGCCGTCGGACGACATGACATCCGCATCCGACTGCTCGGCGTCGTCCGCTTCAGAAGCCTCGTCGGAGCCGCCGTCGACCAGCGACACATCCGACTCGCCCGAATCTTCCACAGGTCTCGATCGTCTCCGCGCGTCGGAAGCTGCCATCCTCGCATCCTTCTTCGCATTGCTGCTGCCGGGTGGTCGACCTCTGCGCTTGGCGGCAGGCGTGGACGTCGAGACCGAGGTGTTGGGAGCCGCAGATGCAGATTTGGGAGGTCTGCCTCTTTTGCGTGGTGGTGCTTCTAGAGTTGCACTGGCGGACATCGAGACGGACGTATCAGTTGCTGCCGAAGCAGACTTCGGTGGTCTGCCCCTCTTACGAGCTGGGACGTTCGGTGTCGCCGCGGTGGACACGTCGATCGAGGTGTTGGGAGTTGCTGCTGCCGCTGCTTTCGACGGTCTGCCTCTCTTCTTGCGTGGCGGAGCGACCGAAGTGCCGGCGGTGGTGTCGGCATCGCGGACTGCGCGCTGGTTGGCCAGGCCGCGCAATAGGGCTCGGTGCGCCGGATCATCCGAAAAAGACACGCTGTTGTTGGGCGAGGTGAGAGTGCGATCGTCACGCGCCGTCAGGATCGATTTTGGCTTGGGTGGGCGGCCGCGCTTCTTGGGTCCAGCGCTCGAAGCGGCGCTCGTATCTGCGGAAGTGAAGGCGCGCATGGCCGGGGTTGTGAGGCTCGACTTGGGCGGTCTGCCTCGCTTCTTTGGTTGAGCTGGTGTGGAGGTTGCAACGGTGGATGCCAGGGAAATGTCGCCAGAGTCTCGCGCTTGTATCCTGCGAGACGACGAGGACGACGAAGCTGCAGCGTTTCTCCTCGCAGGAGTGGGTTCGCCCACTGTCGAACTGAGCGATACGTCGGCATCTTTACGCGGCCGTCCTCTCGGACGCTTGAGGATGGTCGAGCTCGACGCGTCTGAAAGTGCGCTTGTGTTGGTCCTCTTCGGCGGCATCGCGTCCACGCTTCCGATCGTGCTATGATGAGGTGACTGCGCCGAGTGTGACAGGACGAAAGAATCGCGATGAAGCGAAGGATTGGTTGGATGCGTGTTGTTCGGATGTGAAACGCGAGGTCGCGCGAATGGCACTCCACTTTTGTGGCACAAACCCTGCAGCTCCCATCAGCAGGCAGCTCGCGGGTGTGCCGACTCTCGAGCGAGTCGTCCAAAATTGCAAACGCGTCTCGACGCGCCGCGCTCTCTGGCCGCTCGGCTCGGCTCAGCCAAACTCACCAACACCCACCTCCATCTCTTTTCCCCCTCAGCTAACGACAACACAACAGCCCCTTGTTTCTCCTCGACAGCCTCATCGGCGCATCCCGACCGCTCATCCGCATCATTTTCCACTCTCACCGCAGTAAAACCTCCGCCTTGATTCGGACCATCCGCATACATCGATCCGACGACACACGCGTATCCAGACATGAGCGGCCGACGCACTGGCTCAGGCGGACGACGTAGCAGCAGCAATGCCGCGTCCAGGCCAAGCACATCGCGTGCTTCCGAAGCAGCAGGTCCGTCTACACATCGCTTTGCGGATCGACGTCAGGAGCGCATGAGAGGCGCAGGCACAGCAGTTGCCATGCAACGCGATTTCCAGTTCAAGCTGCCTGTCAAAAAGTCGGCGCCATCCACATCAGCGACCGCAAGAGCACCAGCTGCACCAACAGGCAACCAGGACATCTCCGTATCCACCGACAATTCAGAGACCCGACGCAGACCAGGGCGGCCCAGAGGCTCGGGTCCGCGCCAGAAGGAAAGGGCAGCAGCAGCAGCAGCGGCGGCGGCAGCAGCAGCAGCAGCAGAATCGTCTCTGGATGTATCCGTGGTCGTCGACGCTGACGACTCGCTGCTGCCGGACCAGAGTCTCTACTCGAGTCGACCGGATGCGTCCACCAGTATTGGCGTTCCCAGGCGCGTAGCTCGACCGCATTCCTCCGCACCCATCAGCAGCACGCCAGCACCCTCGCGCATCCAGAAATCGTCAGTGGCCAGCGCTTCACGCGCGTCCCAACGCAACGCACGCGATGCAGACGAAGAAGTGGACAGCCAGCTCGGTGACGAGGACCCCTATTCGCTTCCTGGCGAAAGCGCAGCCTTGGATGCGTCACCAGGCTGGGACGCTGGTCTCGGTGATATGGGCGAGTCTCTGCCCGTCATCCCCTCGCCCGCAGCATCTTCGTCGCACGTCGACACCTCGGTGCGACGAACAAGACCGAGCGTTGGCGGCACAAGCGTTTCTCGACTCAGCATTGTCGACAGCCCGTCCACGCGAGCGCACGTGGACTCGCCCGCTGCCCGCGCCGCCAAACGCAGTCTGGACGCGCGCCAGCGCCGTCGTCAGGGCAGCCCGGGCACAGAGAGGCCCAGCGCATCGACCGAAAAAAGAAGAGGTCGTCCACCCAAATCGGCCGTTTCAGCCAAGCCGAGGTCGCGCGCGATGCTCCGCGAGCCTGAAGAGCAGGACGAGACGGTCATGGATCGCACCATGATCGAGCGGCAGCGTGGCGGTGCGGTCGGCGGCCCTGCTCGGTCCGGACGCGACCTGCAGAGGCGGCTCAAGCGTGCGCTCACCCTCGTCTATTCGGCCACCGACGCCGACGAGGGGGACGAAGCTGGTGCGCCGTCGGCCAAGAAGCGCAAGTCGGGCAAATACCTCAACGACGTCGACATCATCTGGTCCGTCGTCGACGAGGAGCTGCGCAATGCCATCGAGGAGCAACCTGCCAAGGCGCCCTTCCTGGCGCTCAAGGCTTTGCGCAAGTCGGTGCGCTCCAACTTCCTCAACCTCAGCGAAAAGACAGACTCGCGCACCACGCTCATCTCGCAGCTCGTGCGCGCTCGCAAGCAGAAACGCCAGCTGCGCAAAGAGGTGTTTGCGTGCAGGAGCGAGCTTGCCAAGTCCACCGCCGAGGCGGGCGAACGCACGAGGGAGATGAACGACTGGAAGAAGGAAGTCACTGTAAGTTTGTTTTGGGTTCTTACGCTGGGTTGCAGCGGAGGAAGAACGGGATTGCTGACTTGTCGATCGTTCTCCATGGCCTCTCTGTGCGCGCTATCAACAGGACGTCCGCAAGGTCAATGCCTTCTTGCTCAACTTGCGACACCAGGCCGCCGCTTGGACCTGATGCGTGCCGCTGCCATGGATCGTGCCGACCTCTCGAGCTGTTTCCGACTCGGACTGGAACCGAATCTATACCCGCATCTCTGCACCATACCTTCGTCCGCAACGAGAACTGTCTTACGGATCGTGTCATGCTTTCAACACTTTTATTTTTGGTGCCGACTCAGCTGAGGAAACGGGGTGCGAAGCGTGTATGAGATTTGCATCTAGTTCTCGCGCTTGATGATGATGGCGGAAGCACCACCGCCGCCGTTGCAGACGCCGGCGCAGCCGTACTGGCCGGGCTTGAGGGCGTGCGCGAGCGTAACGACGATGCGCGCACCGGATGAGCCGATGGGGTGGCCGAGCGAAACACCGCCGCCGAGCACGTTGACCTTGGAAGCGTCGAGGCCGAGCATCTGGTTGTTGGCCAGCGCAACGGCCGAGAAGGCCTCGTTGATCTCGAACAGCGAAATGTCGTCCTTGGTCAGACCGGCACGCTCGAGCGCCTTGGGGATGGCGTAGGCGGGCGCAATCGGGAAATCGATGGGCGCACAGGCAGCATCGGCGAACGCAACAATCTTGGCCAGAGGCTTGACACCAAGCTTCTGAACCTCGGCCTCCGAGGCGAGCACCACCGCCGAGGCGCCGTCGTTGAGCGTCGACGCGTTGGCAGCCGTGATGGTGCCGTTCTTGTCGAAGACGGGGCGCAGCGTGGGGATCTTGTCGAGCTTGACGTTCTTGTACTCTTCGTCCTCGCTGACGACCACATCACCCTTCCTGTCCGAGATGGTCACGGGGGCGATCTCGTTGGCGAAGGCGTTGGCCTTCCACGCCTCGGCCGAGCGGCGGTACGACTCGATGGCGAACTCATCCTGCTGCTCGCGCGTGATCGAGAGCTTCTTGGCGGTGTTCTCGGCGCAGTTGCCCATGGCAACCTGGTTGTACACATCGTGCAGGCCGTCCTTGACAATCGAGTCGAGCGCCTGGACGTGGCCGTAGCTGTTGCCTCGGGGCAGGTAGTAACTGTAGACGCCAGTGCAATGCAATATCAGACGGCGGTCAGTCGAGGCGCCGAATCTCCCCAACAAAGCTGTGCACGCTCTCAATTGCCGGCAAGCGATCGGAACTTGCAATGGACCCTTGCTATAGCTGCTTCGGCTCCCACCCAGCAGCCCTTCGGGGTTTCAAGGAGACTGCAGTGCGAGTAGCGGGCCAAGTGGGACAGAGGCTGCTGAGCCGGCCCGGGCGGGCCAAGTGGGCGAGACCGAAGAAAAGTCCGGTTGCGTGGCGCGAAACGGCGATTCACCCGCATGGTGTTAGACCGAAGCGGGAAATTCGCGCGGAATTTCGGACTCTTCTCGCCTTGCCGGGTGGGAGAAGGCTGAGGCTGGGCGAGCGGCCGCGCGGACGTACCGGTCCAAGCGCCCTTTCCCCGAGGAGGACGAGGAGGAGGAGGGGAAGCCCACCTCCGCCCTGCTGGGACTGGCTCGGACCGGCAGCTGAGCACGAAGCCCGACCCGGCAGCTGAGCCAGACAAGGCCGTATCCGCTGCTGTCGACGGAAAGACGCTTCGTGCGGAGAGTGGCGGTGGCGGTGACGACGACGACAACGCGAATGGCAATACTTACGGAGCGTTGGACATGGACTCCATGCCACCGGCGACCATGACGCCGCGCTGGCCGAGGGCGATGTTCTGGGCGGCGAGCGAGATAGCCTTCATGCCGGAGGCACACACCTTGTTGATGGTGGTGGCCTCGGTGGAGTCGGGGCATCCGGCCTTGAGCGCGACCTGGCGAGCAGGAGCCTGGCCGACGTTGCCCTGGAGGACGTTGCCCATGTAGACCTCCTCGATCTGCTCGGGCTTGAGGCCGGCACGCTCGATGGCAGCCTTGACGGCCACCACGCCGAGCTCAGGCGCGGTAGCCTTCTTTAGTACACCGTTGAACGAGCCGATGGGCGTTCGGGCGGCGGAGACGATGAAGACGTCGTTGATCTGCGACTGTCGCCATTGTCGTCGTAGCCGCGCACAGGGCAGAAGGGAAGCAGGAGCGGGTTAGAAGCGGTTGCAGCCAACAGGGGCGGTCCGGTGGTGAGCACCAGTAGGGGGAGGGGGGCGAATTGCACCTACCATGATTCTAGCTGTCTGGGAGAGTCGAGCGACGGCGGTTTGGTAGAAAGCTGGCATTGGGAGTCGAGAAGAAAGAAGGGAGCCTGGGTGGGCGAAGCAGGAGGGTGCAGAGTGGACAAAAGGTGGGGAAGAGGTCCAATCAATTCCGTGAATCGATTCCTCTGCCCGCCCTGTATCGATTTTCCAACACTCACGACCCTCATCCGCCGCACGGCACGCCGAACACGCGCTCCCGGAAGATCTGCGCGAACCGTACGACTTATGGCGGCCTTCACCCGAGCCTTCGACCAAATCACACAGCTCGGCCACTGCAACACGCATCATGCACACGCGCCTCCCACACAACCCTCAACCTCTCCCGCATTTCGGCACCACCGACTGCACGGTCACAGTCACGCCACTCGCACCTTCCGAATAGAAATCAATTTTTAAGGTTTGATGCGACTCACTGCTCCTTGTCTGCACACATTCTCTCTGGCTGCGTACATGCGATCAGAAGGTATTGCGAAATCCGAAAGCGTGAGCTGGTGACGGCGGATAAAAGTACAAGAAGTGCGACAAATACAGTAGAGAGAGAGAAAGGTCAAGGGCGAAAAGAAGCTGCGCGATCATTTGGCGATCTGGACTTTGCCGCTGCTGCTGGAGGAGCTGGAGCTCGAGTGCGGCGTGCCCGTCGATGCGTATAGAGAGATGGCCGACAGCGGAAAGTTGCGGCGCTCGCCCGACGCAAGCGGCGGCGCGTTGCGTTGCGAGCTTGCATGGCCCTGGGGACCGGGCGACTGCGCCTCGACTCGAGCCTGCAACTGTTTGGCGACCGCCTGCACCTCCTTGGACAGGCTATTCGCAGGTCGACCAGCAGCGGGTGATGGGCTCGATCGCGCGAGGGGCGTGCCGGCTGCCGCCGCCGCATGCAAGGCAGAGACCATGGGTCGAATCGGTGGCAGCGTGACGGCGCTACCACCGACCATGCTTTGCGACGCGCTCGGCCGCGGCGACGCCGAGGATGCAAACGTGGAGCTGGATGGCGATTCGGACAGGCGATCCGACGGACTGCCGCTCCCATCGCATTGGTGACGATTGCGCGCGTCCCTTCGAACAAAGGAGCGCCCGCAGTTGTTGCAGCGGAACTTCTTACCAGGCGTGCCCAGACCCAACGAGACCAGCCCGCCCGTGTCTCCGCCAACCACCTCCTCCGGATCGCCGTGAATGCCTGGCTCCGCCTCGTTCTCGTGGATGCTGGCGACGTGACGCTGAAGGTCGTGCTTGCGACTGAAGGAGCGCCCGCCTTCCGATTTGCAGCTCGGGTAGGGGCAAGCGAACGGCTTGGACCGATTCGGGTCCGGGTCGTGCGTCGAAAGATGCGTGTTGAGGTTGTAGGCTCGTGCAAACGCCTTGTCGCATTTCGGGCATGGGAACCGCTTCGATGGGCCCGAACGTGCTCGCGATGATGACGAGGCTGCTGACGCTGGCGTCGATGATCTGGCAAGATCCGGAGCTCGATGCGACATCTTTTCGTCGCTGCGTTGCTCTCTCGCAGCTGCTCTTGCCAGCTCTTGCGAGGCTCGAGCTGCTGCCGCAGCCGCGGCGGCAGCAGCGGCCTGCTGTATCGCCTTCTGTGCAGCCTCGCCGTGTTCGTCGCCTAGACGCCTGATGGCTGCAGCCAATGCGCGCTGGTCCTGGTCCATGCCTCCGAGAAGATCTGCATCCGCTTCCAATCCTATAGCTTTGGCGGCAGCAGCTAGATCGGCTCCTGAGAATGCTTCTGCTTTGACGCGTTGCGAGGTTCCGGCAGCAGCAGCGGGAGCATCGATGTCGGCGATCAGCGCGTCGGCTGCCTGCTCATCCTCCTCTCGCGTCATCTTGGACACGGCCGTATTCACCCTTTGTTCGCCATTGTTTGCACCTGTCGGAGGCGATTGTGTGCCGTCCAAGTGGGCGCCTTCCGCCTCAGCGTTTCGCCCACTCATGTTGAGGGCTCGATCTGCGCTCTGCGGAAACTGATACTGTGCGAAGGTATTCTCGAAGCCAGCGCCTGTTGCAGTGTTGGGTCGCGACGCTGAAGTTGCACGGAGAGCGGCTGCGTCGGGCGTGTCGGCGGCAGAGGCGGTGGTTGATTGCTGCAAGCTTGGACGCGTGTATGTTTGCGGAGCAGTTTCCAGGACGCCATGGACAGGCGGCAGAGGCTGAGACAGAGGTGCTGGCAAGATTGATGCGGGAGGAAGAGAGGGTATCGAAGGAGGCTGGCTTGCAACAGCTTTGTCGGCGACCGCGCTCGAAGTTGACTGAATCAGGGCTTCAACCTGGGCTTGGATGGCCTGTGCATCGAGCATTGAGCCGGTAGTCGTATCAGGATTCGGAGGTGGAACTGAGGGAAGTAGGACGTCGGCGGCGATTGGAGTCGCTGGGTTGGCAAAGGCGGAGAGACTGGCTGCCAGGTCATTGGAGATCGTGTCCGTGGAGACCAATGGCGGCCTCACGGCTGGGACGGCCTCGGTGTCGAGAGTGCCATCCTGGGCTGCGGATGAGATCAGAGGGGTGTGAACGTCGCCCGATTGCAGGAGCGCTGTTGCATCCAGCGTTGAAAGAGCTGTAGCTGAAGGAGATGCGGCGGACGGTGACGTGGTCGTGGCCGAGGGACCACGCCCCGCAGAATGCAGCTTCCGGGCAATGATGTGCAGGTGTGCGCGTCGACCCAAACTAATGAAGAGGCTGCCAAAGAGAGGAGTCAAAGTCATGTCAGAAGATATGCTTCAAATCGTCTTGGCATTGCTGGTGAAGGCAGCGCCAGCCTCGCGGCCGAGGTGGACGAGGTCTGGGTGCGGTCAGGCTGGGCCAACCTGGTGACAGGTCGGCGTGGAGGCGCTTACCTTGTGCGGAGACAAGCGCTCTTGTGGGCCGCTTCGTCGTCTTCGTCTTCTTCGTGTTGTGCACCTGTGGAGCGAGCGTGCTGGGTGGATGTGGATTGGTGGGTATGCTGCTGCAGATGATCACCACGACGCTTCAAGGCAGCCGCAGCAACTGGTTCCCAGCCGTTGCGCTCCACCAGCGCCTGCAGCTGTGCAGCTCGACTCGCCCAGGCACCTCACCTCCCCCCGCCCACCTCGCGCCAAAATTCTCAAAAAAAGTTGCGAACCCTCCCACCGGCGCCAAAAGCCAGTCCAGGGCTGTGCACGTGACCTTTCCCGATCTGGGCTCCAAACCGAGATGCTCAGCCGATCCCACCTGCTCGACACAGGCGCGGCGACCTTCCACGCGTATGGACCGGTGAATCTTCGCCACGTGCTGTGAGCGTGAGCGCCCCCACCTGCTGCTTCACCAAATGAGCTCAGATCCGGGCAATGGATGAGTGGGCCGGCTCGGGCTGAGGAAGAGCAAAGCAGGCTACGGTAGCCAGGATCGCGAGGTGCATTGTGGTGTCGGCGACAAGGCGCCCGAGCTACTGTAGCGCAGGTTTGGTCCACTCTCTTTCGTCGACCGCCTGCGAGCTGCTCCTCGAGGACGCAACGGGCGAGCCGAGCGAATTTGAGCTGGACCCCAATTTTTGAACTTTTGGGCCCACTTCGGCTGCTGACTGTGGCGAGGCCGTTGCAACACTCCGAGGCAGTTCCGCATGAAACCCTTTCTCGTCCTTGTAAGCCCACACTTCATGCCGGCATTCCATCAGCAGCGCAGATGAGATCGTGGATTCAATGGACGGCCCGTATGCCTGGAGCGTAAAGTGAGAAAGCGAGCGAAGCGCTTGGCGTAGTCGACGGCGTGAAGGCTGACAGAAAGAAAAACAGTTCGCGAGAGGCTCCAGCGGCGGATGCCGTGCAGCTGTGCAAGCCGGGGATTTTTCAGTTGAGCGCTAACTCATGGGCGTGCATCGCAGCTGTGCAGGATTTCCGTTTTGGGCATGTTCATGCGCCATGCTAGATGCAAACGTCTGCAAGTCATCGCGATGCGCAACACCCGAGCTGCTCGTTCCGACACTCTCCCCTTTCACCGACTCTCCTTGGCCTTCATCTGGCGGATGCAAGATTCAAGAGGCCAGAGCAACTTTACT